CTTGCCTTTGGATTGGGCTTTGGAAGTTTTGTCCATCAAAAGGAACCTTCCTGGAAGATTCCGGCCATGGTATGCGCGGGATTTTGGGGTTTTACCGCTTTCACTGTGGATCAAGAAGGCCTCTTTGGGTTTATCCCCAATCATATTATGAATTACTGGCGCAATCAAGTCTTTTATGACCTTCTGTTTTCGGCCGGTCTCTTTTGGTTTGCCCTTGCCAAACGTGCCAAGAAAGTCGGAATGCCTTTGTTACCCTGGTTCATTTATGTCGTTAGCGTTGCAAGCCTTGGAGGATTGAACATGTATGCTCGAATCTTGTACCTTGAAGAACAGCAAGGTAAATTGGATGATTGTCCTGTGAATGTCAACAGTCGTCTCCTCTAAATGTGTTGATATGCGATGGAACTCTTCCGATGGTTTAGCTTTTGATAAGAAACTAGTATAAAGTTTAAGGAAACCATAGAGCGAGTTGTTTGGAGCTTACAGTGTGTGTAGCTGCCACAATTTGTGTTCTTGTTTGTTTATCCTTGCTCGAAGTGCACATAGCACAGAAGCACTACCACGTCACGGTACCGTGACGCAGGATCGAGGTATCATTGCCTCAATACTTTTTACAGTATTGTAGCATTACAAGGGGTCTCCTAACCTCCGCACTAGCACATGTGACTAATCAAGTCTAATACAATATAAATAGCTGCCGGTAGATAGGATGGACCTGTGGAAAGTCTGGTTTATTGTATGTTGTACAACTGGAAATTGCAGCAAAAAAACTTATGTGGTATCCGATACTTTCGATGGGCAACGAACATCGATGAACAACACGACTGTTTTAAAATATTGACTTTCGCAAGATCTTCCTCGCTGTCTGTGCGGTATCTCGCTGTGGTACCGGTACCTCTAATGCCTTGGTAAAATGAACTTCAAAAGCTCATAAACGAGTGCACTACTCGTACAACAGTACTATAATTATGGATTATTATATGACAACAAGACTTGGTATCGGATATTGACGGGCCACGAACATCGATGAACAACACGACTGCGGGTTGAGAGATAACTTTTATTTCTTGACTTTGGCAAGATCTTTCTCGCTGTGGTATCTTGTCAAATATAAGGTATTACGGAATCGAACCGCTGCGCCTACCAGGCTACCTTAATCTGACTAGTCCAATTCCAAGTATCTAATACACGTTCCAACATCCTCCGTTATTTGATACTTAGATATAGCCCTTCAGCCTCGCACACCCATTTCTGGTGTCGAAACCCCCACACGTCCATCTTTATCCTGTCCATGCAGACAGTCGGCATTCATTTCTAAAATCAACAAGGGAAATGTGAATCGAGGACTTGATCCCATAACCTTACCATGTCAAATATAAGGTATTACGGAATCGAACCGCTGCGCCTACCAGGCTACCTTAATCTGACTAGTCCAATTCTAAGTATCTAATACACTTTCCAACAGTATCTTGCTGTGGTATCGTTCTGTGGTAATGTCCTGTTTCATGAATTTCAAAAAAGCACATAATGTCGCAAACACCAAAGCCTATCCATGTCACTGTCCATTGAAGAAGTTGGTCCTGCCATCATGTATGGCGGCCTTGCCCTCGTAATGGGGTATGGAACCTATGTCCAAAAGGAACCTTCATGGATATTTCCGGCCATGATATGCGCGGGATTTTTGGGTTTCACCGTCGCCACTATCGTTAAAGAAGGCTTCCTTGCTGTGATCCCCGCTCTTACTTCGAATTTCTGGAGTAATCAGGTCTGGTATGACCTGCTGTTTGCGGTGGGACTCTTTTGGTTTGCTCTTGTTGAACGTGCCAAGAAAGTCGGAATGCCTTTGTTACCCTGGTTCATTTATGTCGTTAGCGCTGCAAGCATTGGTGGATTGAACATGTATGCTCGAATCTTGTACCTTGAAGAACAGCAAGGTAAAGGGGATGATGCTCTTTTGAATGTCAACGATGGTCCCCTCTAAATGTGTTGATATACTTGTACGATGGAACTCTTTCTATGGTTCAGCTTCACATTTGTATTCCTCTCTGTAGCGATGGATTGGAGCATCGTGCTTTGGGTTCTGGTCGACAGCAGTTGAACCGATGACAACAACTTTCATGATGATGAGTAGATTTCTTTGTTTTGTAGACTAAGGTGATCAATAGATCTTCGTGAAGTGGTTCCACATGACTTCACCTCTATTAAAAAAGGTATTTGAGATCAGTTTGAAATGAATTGTGTGCATTTTAATCAATAGTTATTCTGAGGTGTGCTATCTAGTCTTGGTTTGGCCAGGGAACATTTCTTTTAGCCTTAGTAGTTCCAATAGTAGTAACGTCTCGAATATTGTGTAACCTACAAGAGTACACCAAAAGTGGGCCGTAAGATTCGACTTCAGGACGTCTTTTGGAAGTAAGTACATTGGAAGTCTGTCCAGATGACCGCAGAGGTCCCTAGAGAGTATACGGCATTCGCTTCCACGGTAGAATCAAGTGGTGTTTGTGGTATAGTAAGGAACGCATCGCCAGAGACTTTCGGGTTGTGCGTAGAAGCCACATCGAAGCTTGATTGTGTCATTGTACTTGCAGTACACTACCTGTTATGTCACGGACCTGTTTGTTTGGACAGGAATTTTCGTTGCAGTTCGCCGCGATCAAGGATACCAAAATCACCGCGTTTGGAGTTTTCTCGTGTGTTTTATTTTTTTCACGGACGTTGGATGTTATTGCGCCATGGGAGTGGTTGGTGGATTCGTTCCACATAGTTAGCTTTTTTAAGAGTTTTTGACTGTTGTAGGAACCGGTTTGACTATAATTTTCTAATACTTCTTGGAGTTCTTTGCATTGTCAAAGGTCAAAGATACCTTCTCTAGGTTGCGGATGTCGCGAAAACCATACAGCCGTCAAGCATCGTTGATGTAGTAGTGACTTTTTGTCATCAATTTCTACAATTTCAAGCCATCCAGTCGTTGGATCACAAATCGTCTGATGGTGTGTACTGTAGTTTGTTGTGACGGTGTAAGGACCGAGGCGGACGAGGTCAACACAAATGGTGTTGGTGTTCCAAGGCAAAGGTAAAATATTTTACTGGTAATTTGTTGTAACTTCTGGATTTCTATAGTTGGCATTTACGACAATGCTTTACATGAGTCTCAACATCTTGTCTTAGACCTGGTCGAGTGAGATGTTAGCGAATGAGCCCAAACCAGATGGTGATGGACCTATTGGTGACTTGGGGGTTCCGAATCGGTTCTACCAAGCCCTCAGCGCAACATGATGTTGTCTTTGACGGCAAGTGAGGGCGACTATGATGATTTTACAGACGAAGAACTTGGGAGAGGGAAATGATGGCACGACGCTGATGCTGATGCTCAAGTGAAAGGAGGCTCTCCTACAGACCTTGTCGCTGGTGTCAATCGATTCACAACGTTGGAAGCCATCAGTGAAAATGTAAGAATCTTTTTTTAATTTGACTCCGTATCAGGAGGTCGATGGGTCACATCTTTCTCCAACTTTTGCGGCAGTGTCAGTGCCTTCCGAACCGTCCGAGAGTCGTTGGAGAGAAGGGACGGAAACAACATCGACGCCAATGAGTGTTCCAAGATCATATTCTGATATGGAAAGCAGTGCAAGTGGCTTGGCACGACGTAGAAAACAGACCTTGTACGACAGATTCGAGGATGGAAGTTCAAGCATGCACAGCCAAGTGTCCGCGGTCCGTTTAAAAAAAGAAGACTCACTAAACGGACACGAGAAGTTCTGCAATTTGTTTTTGCGGACAAGAGGAAATAATGGCGTACCGGTATACCGCAGCCTCCGAATGTAATCATCAGTCGCCTAAAACACAAATATAACCGGTCATCCAACTAGAACTGATATACCTTTTCCCGATCTGAAGCTTGGGGATAGCTTATACATCCATACTATTCATTGTATTGGCGATCCATCGTGTTGGCACTGACTAGCTTTTCGGCTGACAATTGTTCCAACCTTTACACACCAAAGTCATTATCTCAGCTGCGTGGAAGAGTCACAATTTATTTATAACATACCACACCACTTGCTCCGTTAGGAAGATTGGTTCCTTGCAACTCTCATCACAGCGATCATGGGAATCTTGCAAGAAGAAACCAAGCATGAGGCTGTAGGCAGATCACAACAACACCAGCCCCTGACGCAACAACAGGTCTTGCAACACTTGTCCACACTTCAGACGCGTATGGGTCAGATGCAATCCTTTGCCAAGGGGCTCTCAGAACAAGCGCAACAAGACAAGGTCAAGATTGAAACCTTAGAGCAACAGTTGGAAGCTGCCAAGACCTTGCAGTGGGCCAAACAGAGAACATCTCCTCGAACCGAAAAGAAGCAAATTGATCAGATTCCAGAATCGTCCAGGGCTGTATTACCACCAATTTCGACGCCACGGTTGCAGCAAATACGAAAGGCTCGCCAAGAGCGGGAAGAGAAGTTACGAGTACAGTTTTCCCATTCCTCGGATGTCAATGACTTGGCCAAGGTAGAGCACGAGCACAATCATGAGTTGGAAGAGAAATTGCACGACTTGGAATCAAAATACAAGAAATTGCTCAATACATCCCACGATTTCGAATCTGAGAAGGCCAATCTATTGTTGGAACACACTGAATTGTTAGCGGACAAACAAGCAGAAATCCACATGCTGGAAGAAGAAATAAAGGCTTTGGAAGAATTGATTGAGGAATCCTATCACGATCGTGAAGCCTTGGAAGAGAAATTGATCAAGACTGCTAGAAAGAACAATGAGCTGGATCTCCAACTTGAATCTTTGGAAGAGTTATCCATGGATTGGAGAGAACGGGAGAAGAAAATGACATTGCAGCTTATGCAAGCTCATGAAACGAAGGATAAATTTCGGATCAACCAAATCAATGACAGCCTCGAAGCTCTCGTGGGGCACGAAGAACAAGAGCAATTGATTCAACAGCTGGAGTCTATGATCGAAAATTCGAGAGATCAAGGCTCTAGTCGAAACCAGCCTCAAGTGCACGGAAACCAAATGCAACGGGAGCGGGATTGGTCAAAAAACGTTTTGGGCCTTAACCACAAGGTGGAAAGTCTAAAGAAGCAACTAAAAGATCAGCAAGAGAACTTTCATCAGGAAACTATTGAAATGGAAGTCGAACTCATGGATGCGGAAGAATTTGTTGGGAAGCAGAGAGACATGTTGGAAGCACAAGAAATGGAACTCTTGCTGTTGTCAGATGCCTTGGCCGATTTGCAAAATGATCACCCAATGGCACGATCGCTATCGGGAGGGGACCTATTTGCTATACATGAAGACGAATCCGAGGTGGATAAGTCCCGCGAGGAAGACGAGAGTTCCAAGGAGCAAAAGTCAACTCGAAATATGGTGCCGCCGCCACCACCACCACCACTCCTAGACGACTCACCGATTGTTCAGCAAGAATCCATTGATGCCGAAAAATTGGAGAAGGAGCAGGAAGAAAAGGAACTACAAGAACGCGTTAGGAAAGCGCACTTGCAAACACTGCATTGTAATATCTATATTTTGTCACGAAAATTTGAATGGCAACTGCAACGGGGAGAAGAACTGGAAGCCCAAATGGCTACAGTGAACAAGAAGTTTGATGTCTTGGTTGCCACACTTGCGAAGAAGGAACAGGAGATAAAGAATCTTAAGCCAGCTCAAGAGCGTCAGACCAGCGAAATCGATGGCGTCCCACAACCCGACGATAATGAAAACAAGGAATCGTTGACTCGGAAACTCATGCGTGCTAGCAGTTCCATTCGAAATTTGCAGGATGAGTTGAAGACATCAAAGCAACGAACTAACCAGTTGGAAAGCGAATTGCAAAAAGTGGCGCCCGGTAAGAATGACACGCAGCCAGATCCTTCTGTCGCAGATTTCAAGTCGAAACTCGAAGAACAAACGGAAACCAATGAACTTCTCAAGGAGTTCATGGAGGACATGAAAGACACCCATGAGAAAGAGAGAGAAGAATGGAAATTGCAACAACAAGAGCTAAACCAGAAAATCGAGCAGCTGAGACAAGAACTCAGCAGGACGAGCGGGGGCACCGCTGATTCCTCTGTACTTTCACTTCCGAACGATGCATCGCCAAGCCCAAGAAGTGCAATGGATCGATTGGAGACCACCACACCAGCAAAAAGTGCGCAACAGTTACTTCCAATGGTCGCATCACCACCAGAAACTCCCCTCAGAAAGGAATGGATGACAGAAATTTCCGTTGTCAGATCGGAAATCAGTCGCCTGAAGCGAACTCTACAATCCAAGCAACCTCAGAATGAAAGCTTCTTGGGTGCTTTGAACGAGAGCGGCTCTCAACAGTCAGACGATTACATTTTTGCTGACCGTTCCGATGACAACATCAACAACGTTGATGTCTTGAACAAGGGCAGTGATGACGTCAGTTCCAAGTGGTACCAAGAAGTAACAGCACTCAAGGAAGAACTGAGCGATTTGACAATGGAACTCCGTATGAGTCATCATCATGAAAGCAAGGTGGCTGCAACACCTCCATCTGCAGACTGGAAAAAGGGCCCTCCGGACCCAGTGAGAACTGGACCAGGGCTTGATGACGCTTCCTCCGTGGATTCCTCCACAACGGGTGGTTTTGAAAATGAGATCCTTTTGCTGCGAGAAGAAGTACATCGGCAACACGAGGAAAGAAAGACTGCTGTGTCACCATATTCACCGGTGCCCTCTGCCGGATCGACCTCTCCAAATGGCAGATCAAGTTGGGTCTCTTCATTGGAAGACTCGTCCCTTTCTGAATACAATACATATTCTGAAATATAGAAGGGAAAACATCATATCGTTGGGGTCTAAGGGCTTGGGCATAGCGTCCGCAGGAAAAAGTCTGTGGGTTGCCAAAAATTGCCACAATCAATGTATACTACGGAGATTAATGTTCATAGTTATGGCGTAAATAATGAATAAGTTAAACGACAATTTGCAAATTTCGACCCATTGCTATGTCGCTATTCCGTAAGTGTTGCCCTAACGCCTTAGCAATGTCGCAGCATTATCGAGCTCGAGTATCACTTCGGAAGTTGTTCGAAAGAGCAACCTACTTTATTCTATAACTACTACTCCTTTGTCCAGCCAGATAATCACGTGTCCAACACATGATTTGGCTGGTTCGAAAGGTGCGAAAAATCTGTTTGCTTCGGGTGTGTAAATCACCAATTGATGCCCAGGAAACTTTTCAGCTTCGTCTGCAACGCCACTTGCTGTTCTTGTTGTGCTTTTTCTATTTGTCCCTCATTCACAAATATCAGTGGCTTTCGTGATTCACTGTTCCCAATGATGTGGCGAGAAAGAAGTCGTGATTGTCTCCTGTTACTTTGAATCTCTGCTTCATCGAAAACTGATGTCGACGAGAAACGCTTAGAGGGAGATGAAACCTGACGGATTGATAAATCCATCTGACGCACAGACAACTTGAACTCTTCCGGTGACTCTTCTAATACTTGCGATTGTCTTTGTTTGCGAGAAAAGTAAGCTTGGGCCGTGTCGTAGGCCAGCTTGTTTCGTTCGGCTGCAGTTGTCTTCTTGCTACTTTGGTGAAAACTTGATTGTGACAGTTGAGGCGAGACCTCATTTTGTGTTGTAGATGGCGACAGTGCATGTGCTACATTGACTTCATTTGGCTTCTGTCCCAATGCTTGATCATGCCGGTCATTCTGTTCTTGAATCGTTGACAGCAACGTAGCATTCTCATTCTGCAATTGCTGCACTTGCTTTTCCAAAATTGACACCATCGTGGAAATCCCTTGGCGGTCCTCATCGACTCCTTCCAGTCCATCGTCATCGTAAGGCACGCCTTGCCGCTTGGTTTCAATATTGGACATTGTCGATTGGGCCAATTCCAGTTGTACTTTTACTTGTTCCTCTTGTTTTTGAAGTTGCTGGATTTGTGAGGTCTGATCTTGGATTACTTCCATCAACACTTGCTGCTGTTCAATTGCCAGCAACAATGTCAGGGCGGATGCTGGCGTCCAGGGCGAATTGGATGAAATGCGGATCAGTTTGCTGCCGCACACGAAGGAAGAAGAAACTGATAAGCTTGATTTTCCCTCGGCCTCACCATGCACCGTAGCAATATGATTGGAAATCATGGTTTGCATTTCCACGAGCAGCCTCTGTAACGTCTCAGCTGATTGAGCCATACCTGCTTCGTTTGAAATTGATTTGGGACCCTTCCGCGGAGCCTTGGTCTCCTGTTCTTCACCCTTCATCGATGTAAGTTCGTCCATGTGACGTTCCAAGACGTCCCAAAATTCCAATTGTTCTTCAATCTGTTCTTCAAGAAACTGAATCTCGTCATCGTCCTCTGTTTCATCAAGTTGCGCTCTTAAGGTTCGCAAGGTGTCGATGACTTGTGCTGTCTCTGCCTTTAATACCTCCAATTCACTCGGACCCAATGATCTGGACAACTGTATCTTGGATAACCTGGGCGGTGTGACTGTTTTAGCACTGTTGTCCTTTCGCTGCTTCTGAGTGCTGCTGTTGTCATTGGCATTGCTGTTCTTATTTTTGTTGAGATCTTCAATCGTTTGAGCCACCTGTGACCATCGGTCCAACCAACCCCTCAAGTTTTGCAAACGTGTTTGGGATTCTGGATCGGCAATTTCCAAGGCACCCAGCATTTTCAAAGTGTGCTTAGCTTCTTGTCCAGTGGTACGACTCCATTCCACCAACCAATCTTGATGTTCCTGCTGCTCCTCGAAATTGGTCATGGCATTCTCGAGTTGCTTTTGCACCTTGGAAAGTTGCTCTTGGAGTCCTTCCAATTCCTTTTGCTGCTCATCGTGTTGTTGTTTACCTTTTCCAACAGATGTTTGCAGCTTTTCACAACGAAGAACAATTTCTTGCAATTGTTGCTGTATCCGTTGCATCTCCTTGCTGGCAACATACTGAAAGCCCACATGGAGGTTTCGAATGGTTTCGATCTTCTTTTGGTATTCCTTCCGCGCAACGGCTTGGCTTATCAACAGAACTGATACTTGTTCCTTCAAGTCTTCGTTTTCTTCAAACAGTGCCAGTGTGTCCTGCTTTCGAGGGGTTGTGGCAGAGCTGCTGGAAGTAGTATTCAAAGAAACTATCCCACTTTCCCTGCGAAATACGGATTGGCTAATTTTAAGGGCAGCCACTTGCTCTTTCAGGTCTTCGTTCTCTCCCATGAGTGCCAGTTGTTCGTGCTGTGGCACCTGCAGGGCAGAGCTGCTGGAGGGAGAAACACTGCTATTGCCGGTTTCATCATCATCTCCACAATCGCTACTCAAACGTTCCATTGCGCTTTTGGACGCTTCCAACTTGTAGATGCTCTCTTTTCGAAGCTTCCGATGCTTCTTTCGGATCTGGTTAAGCCTTGGGGACACGGGAGGGTCACTAAATTGGCCAACAACTTTTGTTGGCTCTTCGGATTGGTCTGTAGTCAATAATTCTTGTGACGGATTAGAGACCTGCATCATCTCGAACCTTGACAGACTATATTCTAAGCTTGACCTCTCCTTCTTGCTTTGTTGGGAATCTTCCACAGGTACCGCCTCTTCTGTAACTGGCAGTTCTTCTACTAGTTCATGTAGTGGGATTTTTGTCCCACAAAGAGACGATGACGATTCTGACATCATACTACTTGAGGAAACGGTGCTGTCCACCGTTCGATCACCTCCACTGCCACGACGTTCCAACGCAGTCTTGGATATTTCAAGCTTCTGAAGACTTTCTCTTCGTTTGGAGTGATGCTTAGCTCGTGCTGCTAGGAGCTTTGGAGACAGTGACGACTTTTCGTTCGTCATGTCGGATTGTTGCTCGCACTCGCAAAGAAAACCACCACCTATATCAAACAATAGAAGAGATGGTGATGATTTCTTTAAGAACCACTGTTAACTAACCCCTGTTGACACTGGCTGCTTTATGGCGCCTCAGATATTGTTGTCTTGCTCATGCATGTACTTGGTTTGGGATGAGTTGGTTTACGCCTTCCTACCGGTATATACTGCACTGTATTTTTGCAAGCTGCTGCTTTGAGTACGAAGTATATCGCGGGCTGTATGCAGTTTTGTTCCAGCGAGTATTTTACAATAAACACGAGTACCGCATAGAATATGCGTGTTATGTAGTAGTGACTATGACTATTTTAATACCATATGTAGTAACTAAGAAAATAAAGACGAAGACATACCTCCGCATGCATGCGCGTCGTGGAATGACCGTTGAGTGAAATGGAGGTAGTTCGAAAAAGAGAAATAGAGCAACAAGTCCGCACAGTACTATTGGTTCCTAGTAGTAGTGAGTTACTTGTAGTGTAGTCTTTGATTCTAGCCAATTTAAAATAGAGCTGAACTACAATGACGATATTACCAAACTTGTAGTCTGCCTTGCGACATATTACAGACTAGTACAATAGTACCTGCATTGGATTGCATAGCATTCATTCATTCATTCAGTAATTATTGAGTTTCCCCGCTGCTCTTGAGAATGCCGTTCAAGGCCTTTTTCTGTTCCTGCTGTACCGTTTCCAATTTGATTTCATCCACCAGCGTGAGCGGTACCTTTAAGGATTTGGTGGGTCTGGAGAACCTGGGTTCCTGTTTTTCCAGAATGTGCTTGGCCAGCAATTCCGCTTGGTCCTTGCTGCTGCTTTTGCATGATCCAGCACTAGTGGTGGTAGATGGCTTTAAGGGGGAGGATAACGGTTCGCGTTTCAAGGACTGGCTGAGGTTCTCTTGCTCTTGTTGTTTCTGTTTTTGGTGCGCAAAGTAGGCCTTGGCGGTACCAAATGCAAGTTCTTTACTCCTCTCAGCTTCTGCTTTCTTGGCTTTACTCCTGAGACCAAAAAGTGATCGCTTTGGTTTCCGATCGTGATTTTGTTGTTGTTGTTGTTGTTGTTGCTGTTGTTGTTGCTGTTGCTGTTGCTGTTGCTGTTGCTGTTGCTGTTGTTGTTGTTGTTGTTGCTGTTGCTGTTGTTGCTGTTGCTGTTGTTCTTGTTGTTGTTTCCCTCCTTGTTCCATCGCTGCTGCAGCAGCTGGCAGTTGCTCTCGTCGTACTCGCTCGATTTCCTCAAAGTGTCGTACCATCATTTGTTCCCGTTTATCCTTTTCTTCTTGCACTTGGTTGAGTAAGAAAATATTCTCATTCTGCAATTTGAGGATTTGTTGCTCGGAATTGGACAATTGGGTAGACATCCATATCCGTTCCTGGTCGACGCCGTCCATGGCATTGTCCTGTTCGTCCAAAGTCCTCTGTAGTTTCATCTCGGCATCCTGGGCGTCGGCCGTGGCAATTTTCAATCGGGTATTCAGTTCGGTCTTGTCATCCTTCAGTTGCTGAATCTTGAACTTGAGGTCGTCGTTTTTCCGTAGCAAGGCCTCCATGTTGGGGGAGAACGACGAGGAAGCACCACTCGTCGATGCATTTATCTGTGGAGTGACGACAACCGGCTTCTCAGCTTTTGTTGTTCTTGTGGCATCGTCCAACATGGTTTGCAAAAGATGAATGGTCGACTCCATTTCACGCTGTTCGTCCTTGGCATTTTCAATTACGGCTTTGCATTTCAATTCCATCTCGGCACATTGTTGTTCCAGAGATTGAATGCGTTTCTCTTTTTTCTTTAGCTGATAATCCAAACTACTGCTCTTGCCATCGTCCTCGTGGTCGTCAACATCATCACTACTACTACTACTGCTCATTGATGGAATGTGGGCCGGGGTAGTCGTAATAGGTCTGGGTTGATCATTATCATCATTTGTCACCGCATCCTCCACACCATCGACGCCTTTCGAATGACGTTTGGAAGGGGACAGCAAGACTCCATAAGCAACATCGTCGGTGGCGGGCATTATTTCCTTTGTTGTTGGTGTTGTTGTTGTTGTTGTTGTTGGGAATAGTACAGTTGCTGTATTTCGAAAGGAATGGTAGCACGCAAGAATCAAAAGTACAGCTGTAGGGTATTGGTGAATCGGTTCTTGTCCAGAATAATGATGCTGAGAAAGAATCTCCTGAAGGTATATGTCAAGCGGTTGAAAGATCAGCTATATTATGGTACCTTCTTTGACAAACAGAAATCTTCAACCAACGCTGCTATATATATATGGGTTGGATTCTGCGTAGAAGGACTGGTGGTCTTACGGCCCTTTGATACTGTGGACTATTTGATGAGTCTCGCAATATTATTCAATATCATAATATTGTACCGGGATGTATGCAGTAATTTATTGGAGGGGGTCTTGTCAAAATTATTTTCATGTTCTCGTCCATAGTTTCGACCCAACGGACCCAAATTAGACTCAACATCTCGAAAGGCTGACAGACGTCGTGATGGATCTTACCTGTTACTGGAATGCCGTTCACAAACGTCGGTCAGACCAAGACCCAGGATAACTAGAGCAATTCCTCCTCGCAACACCCAACTCGTTGAATCCAATAAAACGAATTCACCATGGCAGGTACGATATCAGATTGACGAAACAAAAGCAAGGATAAAGAGAATAGGAAAGAAAGTGGTATGATGGAGATTAGAGATAGTAGATTGGGTCACGAGCAGTATTCGCCATAAATAAACGACAATCGAAGAGGCTTCAATCAAGACGATTTTCTGGAAGGTGGTCTGAATTGATTTGACTTGCTTTCTCCATTGGCGATTGTTGGTGTTACGCTCTCATGCCTTGGGTTCGATATCTTGGGTTGTCTATATCAATATCACTTTCATATCGGTCTCTATCCGTCCATTCCCCGCTTTTTCAAATTGAAATCAAATTGATTGGTTTGTTCCTATTTGTTTGATGATTTACTGATTCTTTTTTGTTGTTTCCGTCTTTACAGGAAAAGCAGCAGCCGTTTCAAAAGCCTTGAAGAAGGGAATTTCCAAGAAGGGAACCCGCATTCACACAAAGGTTCACTTCTACAAGCCCAAGACACTCAAGCTTAACCGCAAGCCCAAGTACGAGAAGAAGAGCACACCCAAGAAGTCTGGTTTGGACAAGCACTCCATCATCAAGTACCCACTCACAACAGAGTCTTCCATGAAGCTTATTGAGGATAGCAACACTCTTGTATTTATTGTCGATATTAAGGCCAACAAGCGTCAAATCAAGGCCGCCGTCAGAGATCTGTACAACATTGAGTGCGAAAAGGTCAACACTCTCATCACGCCACGAGGATTGAAGAAGAGTTATGTCCGACTAAGCAAGGACTACGATGCTTTGGATGTTGCTAACAGAGTTGGTGTCATCTAAACTATTATAAAAAAATATACTAAAACAAAAGTTGTAAATCCAACTTGAATCTTTGGAGGCGTGATCATGGATGATTGATTGAACGATTCATTCATTCATTCATTCATTGGGAGACAGGAACTTTGGCGAAAGTGTTGATATTTTCACTGTGCAATATATGATGTTATTATATGGCCATGGACAGAGAGATCAAGTACAGTACGAATGAATCTATTTCTACAAGGGTAAATTACTAGAAGCCTGGGGTATGCTTGTCATTTATGGTGCGCCCTTATTTTGGTCTGATGCCGCACCAGTTGCAGTCCTGATCCCGAGTTCCGTGTGCTCGATGGACAGTGTATGTCTTTCGAAAGTGATGTGCCATAATGCACTAGCTAATTCCCTATAAATCCTTCGACGGAGGGATGATGAAGATCTGTTCAAACTTTTTCCCCAGCTGCATTGGATAACTGTAAATGGACGGATACGAATATTCAACTGACCGTTCGTTGTTGTTTCGCTCCATGTGCTTGTGCAACACCTTTACAAAGAAGGAAGACGTATGATGTGTCAGAGCAATAGCTTCCGCAGAATGATCAATGTCTTCGTAAGGAAACTTGTCCCCCGATGTTTTGGTGGTTGTGGTGGTGGCATATTCAAAGGCATTCTTTTCGGGATGCCATTGGACACCATAGACTGGGAACCTATCGGGATCCTTGGGCTCTATGGTCGAAACAAACTGTTTGCCGCCCTGATTATCCTTGTCAAGGTTGTAGTAATAGTTGTTGTTGTTGTTGTTGTTGTTGTTGTTGTTGTTGTTGTTGCTGTTGCTGTTGCGATTACCCCCCGGTTGGAGTCTCCGAGGTACTGTCGACGACGATGATGTTTCTTTCGACTCGTCGTTATTGTTGCGGAATGACAAATCGTGATTGGTAGAGGAGATTTCCCAGTGCTCCGCTAGCGACGGCGTTGCTCGAAATACTTGTGGAGAGATTCCCTGGTGATGATTGTTCATGGTCACTGGCAGCTCCGTCACAATATCGTAAATGATGGAGGTGTAGAGTTCCATCTGTTTGACCTCCTCCAGTGGCAAACTAACATTACTAGCGGCAAAGTCACTTTCAAGGATGGATGAATTCCCGGAAGCTAGTTTGACAATCCATTCAAATCCCAAACACGTCCCCCACAAGGGTTTGGCAAAGGATGCCGTCGTTGTTGTTGCATCATCATCATCATCATTATCATGTTTTGCTGCTGGTTGGTAGAGGAGATCCCAAACTTGTTTGGCCGTGTCCGGCAGTGCACTGTCGCCACCTGGAAATAAGATTCCGTCCACAGAATTCACAATCTCGATTACTTTTTGTGGAGAAGCGTCGTATGGAATAGCAATCGCGGTTGCTCCACCGGCTTCGAGCCATTTGACATAGGAAGCGGCAATCATGGTGTGATTGGGTGGAATCTGATACTCTTGATCATCATCATAAAAGGGTTGACTGAAGATTCCCACAGTCGGAACTTTCTTGGGCTTGCGATAGTGATGTTTCCGTGGCGTCTGTGAAACAAAGTTGTGCAGAGCGGAATGTACTGTTTGCGTGTGGTCACCTTGGAAATCAGGCGACGAATAAGAATATGATGATGATGATGATGATGATGATGATGATGATGATACTGATGATGATACTGATGATGATACTGATGATGATGAAGCCATGTGTTGCTGGATAAGTTTGGCTTGTTCCATTGCTTGATTATGGTGATGCATCCACCGCAATGGCAGTTCTATCATCACCACCAAGACTATCACCAATGCTATTTGTCGTCTTTCCAGTGATACTCCTGTCATGATACTTTATTATATTGTACAGTGCTGTGTATACGTTTTTTGTCTCGTGAACAAACGGAATTTTAGTGACTCAATGGAATACTACAATATGAAGCTACCGGCACCGTGAACGTCACTCAAACCTAACAAAAATACATATTCCATTTTGTTTCTTTTGGCTACTATTACAAAGCAGCAGTTGAAAATGCAACTACCACATATTGTTGTTTTGTTCTTATTTCTATTATTGTCTTTTTTGTCTTTCTTTTTCACTTCCTAATAAAACCCAGATTCGCATCATTGTAGTTCCTCGTTATAGTTTCCTACCTTTGTTTGCGCTGAAAGCAAAAAATAGAAGTTGCAAGTCCCCGCGACTCATTCATTGAGTGTGTTGTTGTCAACATCTTTTTTTCTCTTTTAACAACTCAATCGTCGCATCATGAGTCGTTTGGTACGAGGTGTGCTCATGTAGTCTTGAACCTGCTTTTCATCTTCTTTGGCCCTCTCCACAGCCTTGTGGGGCGATTCACGAGTATAATGTTTGTAAACTTCGGCCAACTTTTCGGGACTGTACAGTCCGGCCATTTCCTGTTCATCTTGTTCGATAAAGACGGTATCCCAAGCAACTTGCTTCGATTGGCGTATGGTCTTGTCCACGTACTTCTCCAGTCCTCGTATGGCAGTTGGATCACCTCCTTTGTTGTTCATGATATTTCTTACAATTTTCTTTCGCTCCTCTTTCATTGCTTTAAAGTCCTCGCCCTGGAGCCAAAGTTCGTCTTCTTTGTTCGCCAAAGAGGCAACTGGTGTCACTTCCTTGACTCGGACCGATCGAGCAAAGTCAATCGATCGACGGCGAATGACCGGAACCCGTTGGCCACGGATCTTGACTTCAACAGTGTTGGTACTGGCGCAACCAATGGTGGACCGACGTGCCTTTTTATCAGGATCGGATCCTTTGAGCGATGATCGGCGAGGCTGTTTCTTCGGATCGTACTCGTATCTAGCGGCTGTTTTCGCGGCATTGCTTTGGGCGGTAGTGGGAGCTGCCGCTCCGTAACCATATTGTTCAGCGTCCATTGTTCGAGTGTTTTTTGATCAGCGGAATGAAGGATTCTGCACGATTGATTGATTCCGTGAGTGCAATAACCAAGAGAAATGCTGCTGCGAAGTTTCAAACTACTGCTGAATTTTGAGAAAAAATGCTGGATTTGAACAGGAAAACAGTGCTGTTAACCAGAGAAGAGCAAAGAGGTTAAAACAGGTATCCTATCGCAGCCGCTGATTGAGGTGATGTGGTTATCGAGGATGGTTTATGTGACACTTGAGTGCGTGAAGTCTGGCAGTAAAAAGCGAAGAATACGGCGGAAAGTTTTGGATTTATTCGATTTGGTGGTCATTTGACGTGAGACAGAAGGACGACCTCTTGGGCGCGATGACTTCTTTTGTGCAACGTATTCAATTTCAAATTGTTACTGTATTTGACTAGTCCGAAAACTCCAACCTAAACAACATTGATTGAACTTATTGCCATCGTCCCTACCAGTACCAGTACCAGGTACCATGACAACAGTAATTAATCAAATAAACAAACGTTACCTCCTCTGGTACATCATCGTCACTACCAGCACAACAAACCTACGCCCTAACAACATCGATATTCTTCTCTTAAAATAACAGTATCGCACAATCACTAAGAATTACCACCAAGGAAAGATACATTTACGATATGACACAGCAACAAGAAGAGCTATTCGCTGGCGCTGCCGTAGGCGTCGCAGGTACCGGGGCTGCTGGTGACGTTGGTTCGGCCGCCGGTGCTGGAGCTGGTTTTGCTGCTGGAGCTGGCGCTGGCTCGAAATCTTTGGGTGGAGGATATACCTTGTTCTCCGGTCGAAAGGTTTCTTCTTTTGGTGGTGCTTTTCCGGGATATTGCTTCGGCTTGTCGTGTAACCACCGTTTCTCTTTTTCTGCTTTCAGCAAGGATATTGTGATATCTTTTTCTTCGCGTAAGGCTTGGTTCATTTGAAAGAGACCCTGAAAGTCATCCAATTCCACCTTGTTGAGTTCAATGACGCGGTCTCCAACCTGTAAGGGAATTTTAAAATTCTTGTTCATTCGTTCAAATAGACTGTCTGGAGTAATTTCCTTGATAAAGTACTTTTTCTGTTGCGACTCATCCATCCTCATCTCCAAGACCAATCCAGAAGGTTCCGTCACTGTCGAACGATTCACATTGTAATTCTGCAGCTCGGACCGCTTGTATTTCTTCTTCTTTTCCTTGTCCAGCGCCTTGTTTAGGTAAAAGTCCATGTTTTCACTGCAGTCATCGACGATCTATTTTATGTAAAATATGTTGTTACTATATATGCGGTGTTTGGATTTTGTCGGTTGAGTTCTATCCGGGTTTCCTTTTTATTCGAATAGGTCCATATACTTTTTCGAAGGGTAGTCAACCAGTCCATATCTTGCAACTGATACACCAGCAGTCTCAAAGTCGTTCTATCTCTTGACAGCTCTCTTCAACGATATTATATCTAATTGAAAACAGAATTTTGATAAGATAATCATCATAGTATTCATGTCTAATATGGTGTCAAAGATTTGTGGTAAATCTCAAGAAGCTCATCCGAGAGCGCCCTAACAGCATGGTCCTTTGCCGAGCCCTTTGTGACTCCAGCCGCTGCGTACAGGCCAAGGTACAATCTTTCTTTTTCGGACGTATCGCAATATAGATCCAATGCCAATAGAACGACTGCCAGTGCTACAAACTCGGTCGGAAACTCCAAAAAGAGCAAATGTTGGATGGACACTCGCAACAATGGTTGCAGCGTCGTTTGTCGGAAGTGCCGCAAGGAAATGTTGTATTTCAGCTCCAAGAACTTGACGAAGTGAGTGGCAAACATTTCGGTGGTCGGCGATTGAATGCAATGATCCAAAACTTGTAGTATGTTCCGCTCAGTTTGGAGAATCTCTTCTTCGGTGCATCGGTATTCCGTCATTCGGAGGAGATCCTCAAGTGACAAGGAACTTCTTGTTTCATTGTTGACTCGCATTGCAATAATTAAAGATGCGGCTCCAGAGCAATGACAGACTTGATCCGAGGGCAATTCTTGGTCGGGACTGTTTACTTGGCATTGGTCGTTGGTCCTCCTCGTCATCATGACATTCATCATGTAACGGCTGAGAAGGGTGACGGCAATCTCAGCAGTCGAGTGTTTCAGATCAAACAAGTCGGCGGCAGCATAGCACCATTCTGCTTTGGACCCGAGTAACTGTCTCATGCTAAAGGATTGGGGGACTTGCGGTTCAAAATTGTTCAGAATTTGTGGTGTCCTGCTCAGGAGAAAATCGTCATCATCACAGGGTACCGTGTTGTTGTTTGGGGGCTGTGGAATGAATGAATTTTCCATGGCGATGGTGCTCATGCTCATTTGCCTTGGGAATTTCTTATTTTACGACGCTTTTGTGCTTTGTTTGACAAGAGAAGTCGAAATTATGTGTTGCACTGGTATATAATAACTATAGTACCTACACTTTTTTGGACGCAGTGATGTGCACGTCTGACGCCGGTACGCCATGCATCCGTTCCAAATCGATTTACTTTGATTTGATTGGTTGGGAAACTGCGAAACCCAAGATCGAGATCTCACATACTCCAAATCTCCAGCTCTTTCAACATCGACATGAAGTACCGCTACGTACAATACCAGTAGTATTACCCCTGTCTTTTTCTGCGACTGAATATCGTCAGATTTCATTCCTCGTAAGGATCAGCTGTCCATGATTGCGCTCCACCGGACATGTCTATGGAGCAATTCATAAGAAGGATGTGTGCTCATTACATTTGTTGTTACTGGGTGGATCATCATGACAGGCACAGCTTTCAATCTTACTACAAGAGAAGTCAGCTTTAGTTTCGTTCGTTTTACACGGGCACTTGCTCCTATTTCGCTATTGACTCTATTGCTTGCTTTCAGTCTGTGATATACTGGTTTCATGTTATCAGGGTGAAGTCGTTGGCAATTTTCATGTTCCTGTAGTCAGTCTCCTCCTCAACCAGTTCGTTAGTTTTTGGCAGTTTCCATTTTCATGTTCCTCTTTGGTCTCATCGTCCTCAATCAAACCTTTAGTTTTTGGCAGTTTCCACAATTACTTTTCCTTGGATATGGCGGCTCTCTTGTAGTTTAAAGGCATTTCGTACTCCTTCCGTCGTGAAAGGAAATGGACCTTTCGGATCAATTACAGCCTTAAGGGATCCTTCTTCTGCAAGTTGCATAGTTCTAGTCATGACTTCTCGCTTATCTGGCATCGATATGGCAAAGGAATATTTGGGAAGCCGCGATCGTCCCCAGAGTCTAGATTTCGTATATCTCCACAGGGGAATGAGCATGAACAATTTCAAAGCTGCGGGGATGGAATGCAATTCAAAAATGGCATTGTCCGGAGTGATTGTCAAATATCGACCACCCATGGAGCCAGGTTTGATAATGGATTTCTTGATACCACTACTGTAGTCTTTTTGCAGGCTCGTCCAGCCACCTGATGCCAGATCCAGAATGACATCAAATTGATTATCTTTGAATTCGTCCATGGCAAAGACATCTTCTTTGGTATAGTCAACGGCACGATCATACGACAAGGGTGGTTCTAAGAGTCGTTTGGGCGCTCGAGACACACCCGCAATAAAAGACGCTCCACGCTTGCGCATGAGTTGCACGAGGTGGGATCCAACACCGCCTCCAGCGCCAAGGACCAATACTCGTTCTCCTGCTTGAATCCGATCGGCCAACAGCACCGCCGGAGATGCCGAGGCCAATGCAGCAGCATCGACGGAAGACACGCTCTCGGGAATAATCTCACAAACGTCCATATGTACCAGTGCATATTCGGCAAGTGCATTCCGAGGATATTCATGAAAAAATGCAGTGACGCGATCGCCAACCTTGAACGGGAAATCCTTGTTGTCTTCCTCCGAGGGAATTTCTACGACGACACCACTGCAGTCACCACAAGGAACGTATGGGAAAGAAGGCGGCCCTTGTAGTTCTCGCGTCAAGCCAGAAAGGACACGGCAGTCACCGCACGCCAATGCTACAGCATGTGTCTTGACAATCATGAAGCCCTTGCGCTTCTTCTTGGGAAGATCTTTGAGCGACCAGTATGGGACGCCATCTTCCACGGTCATTACCTTGTCAACATCACCATAGTCCACTCCTTGGGCGGCTCTCATGGTTTTGATATCGTGTTTGGTCTGCATGTTGGTGTTTGTTTGATTTGGTGTTGATATTATCCGTATCTTTTAAAACTTCATGTTTTTATGCAGAAGATTCGGCCGTTTTTTATAGAGAACAAACTTCATGTTCTCTGTTACGGATTACTTTTTTGCACTGAAGTTCCCCGCGGGAGAATTCTATTGTGTTCCACACGACAGATTCTGGAGTCTTGACCATCACCTCTCATGCAATTGCAGGAAATTGAATCTCGACGAGATGATGAAATACAAGTGTTGTAAGCAGGCGGAATGATATATACTACTCCTACATACAATTGAAGTTGGCGCCCACAATGATGATTCAAGTTCGCTATGGCGGGGCCTCAATATGTACTTGTAACATGTAAAAACGCAATAAATCACTCAACTTGCTTTCTTCCTGAAGGCATTCATTGTTACCGATAGCTGTAGTATATGGTGTAACGGTACCAGCAAGTATTACCGTACATCTTAGATACATTGGAAGCGAATCGAGTCAGTCGATATTTCACAGGACTGGACTCAAATTTTGGCCAGTTAGTAAAAAGAACCCGGAGTGACAATAGAACCGGTCATCCCGAAAATTTGGTCAACCGATTCCACGAACGGACAGGAGAAGCAACTCAACAATAAGAAGAGCGCAAAAGCCATCGATCCTTCTGTGCTCGATAACAAGAATTGTAATCTGTTGGAAGGATATTCATAGTCATCACGGATGGTGAATACGCTGAATTCAAATCAATCATAAACTTTTCATTCACAATATTACGACTGGCCATCAGAGCTTCAGCAGCAGCTTCCGAACAGAAAAGTCACACATTGCGCAAACAGCTTACCTCCCAATCAGCAGTCTCAAGATGGATCTTCCTGAAATTCCTGAGTTCAAGAAAGTGAATCTCGAATCAAAAGTGGACGGCGAGCCATACTTTGTTTCAGAATTCGTAACGGAAACACACAATCCAGTGGTCGGCCCCTCCGCCTTGTCACAGGCGCCTCTCAAGAGCAATCTCAAGATGGACATTCCTGAAATCCCAAAACACGTACCGAAAGGGAAACGGGATTGGGAACATGAATTGGCGCAGTCCAAACTGGAAACGGAAGTATATCGAGGAGCCCTGGTCGGTCAGATTGAGACGACCAAACAGGCGATGAGCGACGCTGCCAATCTGAGTCATGTACTGGTCACTACCAAGACCGCCTTGGAAGAGTCCATGGCCACCATGGTCCTAGAGATTGAAACTCAGACGGAACAAATCAGGAGTCTCAAGGAGACGGTAACCATGTCGGAGGAAGAATTGAATCTGTGTCACAAAATGTTGGATGACCGAGATGCCCGACTTCAGGATACCGAAATTGAATTGGAGGCACTGGAGAAAGTCCACAGCGATCTGATGGATGCTAGAGAAATTAGGATTGAAGAACTGGAGAAGGACTTGGATATTTACAAGAAAGTCTTTGGAGAAATGTTGGACGAGAAAGATCTCCAGCTTGCCGAGTTGGAAGAGGAACTGCGAGCACTTAAGGAAATGCATTCGAAACTTTTGGCAACCAAAAAACAAGAAAAACGGCAAAGTCTTTTGCTGGAGTCTGTGTTTTCCAGAGAAGAGGAGGCGGGCATTGATTATGAAGCCTATGAAAAGGCCGAACAGGCATTAGAAGACGAATATGGGCCAGTTGGTATCGACCAAGAAACCCCTCTCGATTTACTTTTGACAGCGCTGTCCAGCACAGAGAATGATATTGAAGATTTGAAAACACAAATCCAAGCCAGTACCATGTTTAATTCTACAATCACAATGCCTGCGACAACAGAATATACCGGTACTACTGCTGATAGTTCCCAGTTGACGGAAGGCGACGAGACATCTGATGCCGCAACGATTCAGCGACTACAGCAAAAAATCAGGGAACTAGAACTGAAGAACTACAGGCAAGACCAAACCATTGACTCATTGCAGCAACAGGTCGATAGTACTGACGCATGGAAACTGAAGGAGTCGGGTGCCGAGGTTCTACTTTGAGTACAATTCTGGCAACTGAACCTCTCATTCCCATGACGCAAGATGGCAACGGTGCAAGTGCACTGGGTGGTCCGCCTTGTGAAACTTCAGTGGCATTCGTGGTAAAGAGTGCAATTTATGTTCTGGGGGAATCATAAATCGATTTGAAAGCTCTTGCACAATGAGGACGGCAACAAAGCTTGGAGATGAAACTCTTGGTTTGAGATGTATCCTCGTGACTATTCTCAGCAAAAGGACAATGCAAACTGGCAATTCATGTATGCAAAACTCTGGGCATTCCGGGCATCTTAGTAACTGCACCAGCAGCGACATTCCCGCAGTTTCGGGTCAGTGTGAGGAACTGGACTGTCATGCTTGGTCCAGTGGTGCGGAGTGGGGAAAACGAAAGCTTTCGGACAGTTAGGGACAAATACTGGTGGGAAATCATAGCACACGACAGCTTTGGGAGAAGGTACCGGTAGGCCACAATAATAATTTTTTAAATTTTCGTATGAGCAATTTTTTTGAAAGATAGTAAAAGCTGATGAGTCAGTTTCCTCTTTCATTGTCATACTATACATATTTTCTTTAAAATCAACGACACATCGACATCGCTTTTATACTGGAAATCTACTTGGACCCCTTGTAGTCTGACCATATCTTATCTCCCTCTGTTGGTGCTGCCAGTACTCCTTTCTCGGCCGCCATGCAGTTCTTTAGATTCTGAATGTCGGTCTGACATTGTGACTCGTTTCCCTTTTTCCATTTTAGACAATGTTGTACTTTCTTGTTCAATGGCTGACATTTGTGATTGGGAAGGATGCGGGTCCCATCAAATTTGTGCTCCACGTTGTTTTCCTTTCTCCACTTTTCCCGACAGGCCTCTAATGTCTTGGCTTGACTCGTGCATTTTCGCCCACTTCTCCTTGAATCCTTCAAACAGTCTCGGTATATGCTTGTTTCTGATTTACAGGATGCTGCAGACATTTCAAAAGTTGATGGTTTGTTTAGTATAGTGCAGTTTGTGTGTTGTTGTTGCTGTTCGGTGTTCGGTGTAATTACTCTTGGTTTGTAGCCTATTTCATCGGTATTATCATTTTATTTCGTGTACAGTATCTCTATTGGAAAGTCTGACATCATTGCGAGCGAACGCAGCACGGACAGTACCATTCGGGATTCATCTCACACAATCGAAACCCGCCAAACTTCTGAATCTGAAATCGCGGCACTGCATATTATTGAATATCGCATCGTATCATCATTGCATCGCATCAGCATACGAGATAGTCATAAAACAACGTGAGACAATCAACTCATGGGCAAGGGACTGAAAGGATATTTGAAAAAAGCCATCGGTCACAATGTCTACACTTTGACCCCTTACAGTCTCATCCGTCGGAAAACGAGGAAAAGCAAACACCAACCAGTTGACGGCCAGGATGACAGTAATATGAATCAGGAATTTTTGGAGGACGAAATACAAGATCTGGTCTCTGCTGTACAATCGAAGATTGATTCCCTTGAGAAAAAGTGCTGCGATGAAAAGGACGAACTTGATTGGAGAACTGGCTGTTTTTCTTGTGGCGATGCTGCAGCTTACCCTGCCTGCAAGTTGAACTTCCGGCAGAAGAAAAAGAACAGCTGGCGAGAGACGAAAGGGAAAGAAGAGAAGACTAACTACAGTCGATACCACGAAGATCTTTGTGACGACGATTGGGACCACTTCTGGCGATTAAGAATGTACTTCTCCCGTGTGCAATCCTGTGTCGAAAAATACTGCGACGAGTCGCCAGATACAATGGAAATTGACATTCACGTTCCCAGAGCATGCCATCTGATCCGAATCCTACAATTGCTCTCTCTTCCACGATATAGTATTGAAGATGTGCCTCAGCAAATTGTCAATATTCTCTCTGCGGCTTTGGCAGGGCCTTATCAACAACTTCACAACAGGAACAGCTATGTGTCTAATTTGAGAGTAATCGAGTGTCACGACATCCAAATAACACTTCCTACCATGCAACTTCTGCGCAATGTACTGCTTCATTCTGAGTCCTTGGAGCAATTACATTTGAATAGCTGCATTTTACCGGAAACTACAGAGCACCAGCTGCCACTTGTTCAGTTACTTGGGGACGGTTTGACGAACGCAAAGAGTATTCATTTCAAAGTTCTTTGTCTCCCGACTTGTTACTTTACTGATGGTAGTGTTGGTCATCTGATATCGCAACTCGCTTCACCAAGCCGAACGAATGGCGATGTTTCTGAGCAGTTTAAATTGGAAACACTGATTTTGCAATCAACAGGTTGTGATCAACAGACTTTGACAACCTTGGCGTCGTGGTTGGAGCAACCAAAGTGTCCATTGCGCTTTCTTGATCTCTCCAGGTGTTCCGAATCCTTGGACCTTTCACCACTAAGCCGTGCCCTGAAAGTGCAAAATCGGCAGCAAGTAGAGCAATTTGGGAGTGGCCTCCGTCGCCTCGATCTTGCGTTCAATGCCTTGTCTGAAGAAGGAATTCGGCTCTTGGCGGATGCTCTCAAGCAAGAACAACGTCTACAAGTTCCCTCCGCCGGGAATAATCATGCGACTGCTATGAGTGGGTTAAGGAGCCTGAACTTGGCAGCCAACAGAAGTGGGGTTTATCAGACAACTACATGTCGAGGTTTTCAGTATTTGGGAGAAGCCCTGTCTCTTTGTCATAGTCTTCAATATCTGGATGTATCCTACGTTCGCTTTGATCCAGCTGCACTCAATGCATTTTGTAATGGACTTGCAGCTAATGACAGCATCACTGATTTGCGCATCCAGCGTCCAAGGTTTGTTGGCTTTCCAGAGGCGGGGACGGCTATGGGTGCTGATTGGATTTCCAGCTGGGGAGGCACAGAGCTTCTCCAGCACAGCCTCATTCCACCGTTATCGCCAGCAACATGCATGGAGTATCTTTGCCAAATATTGGTCACCTCGATGCCACAGTTGAAGCTTTTGGACGTTTCATACTCCATGGGTGTTCCAATTTTTTTCTTCGAAAACATTTGTCTGATAAAGGGGCTAGAGCAGATATCTCTCCTGGGCTATAGTGACTTCATGACGCCCTCTGTTCCAAGTAGCACTTTCGGTGACAGGAGGGACCAAGCGTTGATACGGGGGGTTTCAAAGAGTACAAATATTGTGAAAGTTTTCGGCTTGGATGGAGCTCACTGTGGGACTAGCATAGACTTTTATGTACGACTGAACAGAGGAGGTAGGAAGTATTTGCGCCAGCCGTTCTCTTCGTCACTCTGGCCACGTATTCTTAAACGATCAAATCAACAGGCAGATGTGCTCTATCATCTGCTGAGAGAAGGAGCTGTTTCTGTAATGTAACTATTGTAGCCTTGAGATCCTCATTCAAAATTTGTACTAATGAGCTGATGAATATTATACTGCATGTATTAATACTTTCAGCCTAGTTCCTAGACAAAGTTGCCGTAGTCAAAAACGAAATGAAAGCACTTTCCTCCAAACGTAGAAAGTCGATCACCATCAGAGAGATTGGTGGAAGTAGGCACAGGAGGAGCGCTTTCAGCTTCATTCAACAGAACTTTATCAATCCTCGATGTCCAAGTTTCCACCTCTCCATTGCATATATTGGCATTATAGCTGGGTATTTTGATTTGGGGCATAGGGTCGATAGCCTCACAAGTCGAGGCAGAAGAAAACGAAGACTTTGATGAAATGGAATTATCAGACATTCTCTTCGCTGCTTTCGACTTTATCTTGGTCGTTCTCATGGACAAAGACAATGTTTTGTTGCCCTTGATGAAACTTGGGTGTTGGTAGGCGCCCGATGAAGCCCGTGTGTAGCCATAGAAATAGAGTTGTCTTTGAAAAGACTTCCATTTGCTCTGTCGGAAGTAGAACGGGACCACCTTTTCCATGAAGGCATCTAGATCATGTACTTTGAATCCCCTTCCCGAGTTGACCCACGACACGATATCTTCCATATCTGACTTCTCTGTATCTTCGAGCATTGTATGCAGCTTCCACCCAAATGGTATCTTTGATGTTCTAAGACTTCCATCCTGCTGCATGGATAGCTCGAGTAGCGAATTCTGTTGGGACAATATGTCGCTTTCTGTTGTCATTTCAGTTGTCATTTTTTGCCTTTTGATTTTCGAAACTCTATCTTTTCTTGTTTATAGACGTTTGTTTCTGTGTTGGTCAATAACTTGTCGTTTCACGAATGACGGTATAATTTTATGAGAGGAACATTGAAGACTCAACTCGCGTCCCGGATTTTGGGCACCATATATGTTGGCTAAAGGATTTGACACGATCATAAATAAGAGTGAAACGCGGAGCGATTAATCTCTCTAGAATTTTACACGATTCTCGAAATTCACTACGAAAATGTGCGTCAAACATTTTGCGAAACCGCAGCCAAGACCAAGCAAAGCGAACTCACGTGATAAGATTATTTAATGCAACTGTGATTGCAACGTGATATATTTAGCATGCAACTGTGATTGAATTTTGGGGTGGGAAACAATTGTCTTGATCATATGCGCTAAATCAAAATACAAATGTATCCAAGTGTCATTGCGGACCTCGGAGACGATGACGATTTGGCAAGATCGCCCTGTATCAGTCTCGGAGATGATGACGATTTGACAAGATTCCCCAAACTCATATGGAATAACTAGCCTCACAAAATACAAAATCGCAAAAACGGATTCCAAACCAAGCTAATACAATATCCAACAAGATTTGATCATGTACTTCTCGACTAAGACTGTCACCTTCCTTACCCTTGGAGCACTTGCTGCCATGCCTACCATGGCCCAGCGTGGCGGTGGCGGAACACGTGGTGGTGGTGGCCAACACCCCGGCGGTGGTAGACCAGGCCGTGGTCCCGGGGGCCCGTTTGCCAATGCTACCTTTGTCGATATCACTTGCAGCTCGACCGGTGACTTGGATTTGACATGTGATCCTCGTGGCGAATCTGAGGACGGATTCTTTGTCTGTCGAACTATGACCGACAGAGAAGGCGTCGAACGCAGCAGAGTAAAGTGCATTCCTTCCGACGGATCCATTGAAGGAGTTGACGAATGTGGCTGCTGCGGAGAGGACTGTCCGGTGACATGCGACACTTGTCCGTGCACGACCCGTCGTGGTGACCCTGGAGCCTACGTCTTGGATGATGACGATGACGAGCCCTTTTGCGTCCCATTGAATGCCGCCATGATGATGGTATACAAGAGGGATGATGTCTCCTGTCTTGCGGATTGCAGTCTTGCAGGGTAATCAACGGAGCATTCGATTGCTTTCTTTAGACTAAAATCTTATAGTTGAATCCATATATATATATATATATCATCATTTAAAATACAACTCGTACTATCATTCTGTGACAGTCGCAGAACTTAGTTTCCCGGCATCCTACAATCAATTTCAAAACCAGTACAGCATCGTATGGTCAGTTTGAAACCACCCTCACCAGGAGACAATCTCAGGGGGTCGACAGGGCTCGTTGGTCGCTCTTTTGGCACGTGCAACAGGTGTTTATACCTTGTTCGGTATCTTGTAATGCGCTATGTTCAACTCGACTCTTTTTGGTAGAAAGGAGTTTGGGTGTGATATTCTAGCCTAGTAGCTGCTCCCATCCAGCCAGAGGACACTCCGACCATTTCTGACCCGGCGCGTCAGTTACAGTAGTTGAAGGAGGCGCAGTCACAAAAGAACCCACTTTAAGCTACATATCAACATTTGAAACGATCGAGGCCTACCTCCTTCAATGAGCACAAACATTTTGCACGATCGAATGACACCGGCAAACTACTCTCACAAAACGAAATCACAGACAAAACAATACTCAGAATAGCAAACCAAAGATTTCCTGAACATGTACTTCTCAAACAAGATTGCCACTTTCCTTGCTCTCGGAGCTCTCGTTGCCATGCCAGCCACTGCCAAGCGTGGAGGTGCGGATTCCGCGGGGGAGGTGACGAGATGGTGGTCGCCGTGGTGATAAACTTGGCCGTGGCCCTTTTGCCAACGCAACCTATGTTGATATCACATGTGATGCGGACTTCTCCTGTGATCCTAGTGGTCCGGCCGAAGAAGGCTTCTTTGTTTGCCGTTCCTATACTATAATAGCGACGGGGAAACGAAAAGTCGAGTCAAGTGCATTCCTTCCGATCGATCCATTGAAGGTTCCGATGAATGCGGATGCTGTGGAGAGGATTGCCCCGTACCATGCGATGCCTGTCCCTGCACCACTCGTCGGGGAACACCTGGAGCATATATCTTGGATGAAGACGATGAAGAACCCATTTGCGTTTCTTCGAAGGCGGCCATGATGCTTAGTTTTAAAAAGTATGAAGTCTCTTGCCTCATCGACTGCAGCCTCGCTAATTAAGCAATAATAGAGGTCGAAATTATTTTATTGTCTAATCTAGAACAGTAATATCGAAAATTTCAACTCTTATTGCTATTTTCGTACAACCTTGAACCATACAAGCAATTCAGCTCTATGCTGGACCTCATTTTATTTGATTCTACTCCAGAATACAAAGTGGCTCATACAACGAACAAATAATAATTCGCGGTATTATTAAATACGTGGCATATAAATCGATATACTTGATTCTAGGTTACTATTATGTTATGGTCCGCTCACGAAAGAATGTCTTGAATTGTGGCCATATCGGAGAGCACATTGGCCGAGCTTCGCAAGATCGGAACAGCTAAAAGCGCTGCTGTTCCTTCTCCCATTCGCAATCCCATTGAAAGAGCTGGAATGTTATCAATGGGCAATTCGTTTGCCGTTGCAATTTCTTGTATCTTTTCCAACGCAGCTCGTTGCCCTATCTCGGCAGATTGACTGGTAAAGAACAATACATTACAAACATTGGGCGAAATGGCGACGGCAACCAACGCTGCTGCTGTTGCAATAAATCCATCCACCAGAACAGGAATCTCACGTGTGGAGGCCTCCAAAAAGGCCCCAACCAAAGATGCGATTTCGGCACCACCAAGCTTAGCCAAGGCTTCCAATCCCTGGACATTGACTTGACGGCTCGCATTTGCGCCAAAATGCCTTGACAAAGCTCGCTCGACAACGTCAATTTTCTTCAAGATTACCTCTTGGGATGCCTCCTTTGTCACAAAGGCTCCTCCTCCACAAACCTCTCTGGCAGACTTACTGGTCATAATAGCAATGAGCGCAGACGAGCTTGTAGTGTTGCCAATACCGATCTCTCCCAATACAACAGCCTTGGCCGAAGTCTCTTCAACAAATTCGTTGAGGCTTTTCCTTCCAACGATCATACAGCGCTCACATTCTGCTTCTGACATCGCAGGTTCGACACAGAAGTTCTGAGTTCCGTGTAGCAACTTCCTGGACGACACTTTCACAACACTGCTGTTTTCAAAAGGCCCCTGATCGTCGCCAAGGATAACTCCCACATCGACAACGCGCAGATCGACATTGTTACCTTTTGCCAAGACGGATGCTCCTGCTACCTCACGGTGCAAACCCAGCAACACCGATTTTGTCACAGCTTGTGGATAGGCAGAACATTCTTCGCCTCCTTGAGCTTTTGGTGCTGCCACTCCATGGTCACCGGCAAAGATCAAACAGGCCACCCGGTCCACATTCGGCGATAGACTGCGGTGGAGGGCAGCCAAACGAGCGGCCCAGGCTTCGAGAGTACCCAAAGATCCAACAGGCTTGGCCAAGACGTCCAGGTACGATTGAACGGCAGTGAGCCGTTCTTGGAAGGTGCTCTTTGGGTTGGCAAGAATTTCGTTGGCCTTTTGCTTGGGTGCATTATCCTTTGGCTCAGTAGACTTCGGCTTCTCTTGAATTGTGGCTTCTCCTTCCGTGCCTTTCTTCTTTTGGGAGGCTGAAGCAGGATTGGGGAACTCGTTGGCAATCCGAGTCCATGCTTCCCGAGCGAGAATGTAGAGCAGAAAACGAACAAACGCGGCGCCTTGCATCATCTGCTTCAAACCACTCACCACTGAATCATGGCTCTGGACAAACAAGAGGCAGCACAGAACCAAAATTTCGGACAGGCAAATAACGGCACCCAAGAAATCTCCCATAACTCCACCCATTCGAATTCGGCCGTAGCGACCTGACAAGTGTGCAAGTGCCAGTACGGATGGAATGACAAGGAGGGCAACTTCGGGACCAAAGACTACCAATGCAATGGTAGATCCGAATGCAATACCAAGAATAGCGCGAGGCCAACTGACCAAATACTTAGCCGATTTGAGGAAGGCGTAGAAGCTAGACTTGGGACCATTCTCATCGTCAATGTAGTCAAAGAGCCGGAGAAGATAAGGAGCAGCGATACGACCCACGGATTGGGAGACCACCATGGCTGGTCCCGCACCTCTGCTTGCACCAAATTCCCAACACGACTCCCCCAACGCGGCCAGAAGTTGGACTTTTGCAATGGTGTACAGGCAAAAGGTCGCACAGCCATAGGTCCCCACCCGAGAGTCAGTCATGATCTTCAGAATCTGATCGGGTCTCCAACCACCGCCAAGGCCGTCTGCACTGTCGCAGAGTCCATCCTCGTGAAAACAATTGGTGGCGGCCCAACCAGCTGCGGTGCTGATTGCTGCTGCAATCGTAGGTGGAAAGCCCAATGATTGATGAAAGAAGTCAAAGGAGATCGCCATGGCCAAACCAACAAGGGTGCCCACCACAGGAAAGAAGTACATACCGCGCATCAAGAATCCAGGGTGCAAGTCTACCCAAGGTGGGCAACGGAGGCGGGTAAGAAACAGGCAAATCGTCCAAAAGGATCGGACCTCGTTTTGCCAGCGAAATGGCACTTGAAGAAAGCTTTTAATCTCTTCCTCAATCTGATCCCTTGTAACGCCCTCTTTGATGACGCGAGATGCAATTTCATCCTTGGAAATGACGGATGACTCGTGTGGATCTGAGTTACTGTTGCCACAGCCTTTGGCACTGGCTTTCTCTTTGATGGAACTGGCATTGTCCTTATACTTCTTGTCGTCACAATCCTTGTTCATGTTAGTATCATTAGCTTCACACTTACGATACTCGATAGGAATATCGTAATCCTTGCACTTGCGATTCTCAATGGGTATGTCATATGCCTTGCACTTTCTGTTGTCAATCGACTCTGGTGTGTTCTTGTTGGATTTATCAATCGGAATATCATAGTCCTTGCATCGGCGACTCTCTATGGCTGGATCGACGACCATATTTTCTGGGTTAATAGACTACAGGCTGAACAACTATGAGAAAAGGCTGCGGTGGGAAGCGTTATATGGCGTCATTACATCTACCGAGATCAGATTTTGTGATCCGCAGATTTCCAAAACAACGAAGCACGTTCTTCGTGATTGACATTTTTGCAGTACAGTTTCTACGAGACGTATCTTTTGTTTGATCGGACTGGTCGTCACTTGTTTCGTCATCACTCGATATCATCATCATCATTGCAAAACCCCACCCCATCACAAAACGGAGGTGACCACAGGAGCAAGATGGCAGCCACCATTTATCTCATATCCGGTGGCGCCCGTAGTGGCAAATCTAGATATGCTGAAGACATTTGTGAAAAGTTAAGCAAATGCCCCATTTATTTGGCCACTGCCCAGGTTCCAAAGCAAGACAGTGATTTCCAGGATCGCATCCAGAAACATCAAGAGACGAGACAAAACACATCGAGTGGAAGCCAGTGGACGACGATTGAAGAACCTTTGAAGCCCACTAAACATCTGGATAATTTCAAGGGACAAGTGGTCTTGGTGGATTGTCTGACATTGTGGTTGACCAATTGGTTATTGGAGGAGGGCGCCTTCACTCTGGAGAGCAATGGCGAAGGGACAAATAAAAAGGACGTATCTATAGCGGTGGAACGAGGACGTCTGAAACTACAAGATGAATTTGATTTAATGGTAAGACCATACAATATCACCTATGTCTTTGTAACGAATGAAGTTGGCTCGGGAACACATGGCGCAACACATGTCACACGGAAGTTTGTTGATGCTCAAGGTTGGCTCAATCAATACATTGCGAGTAAAGCTAATCAAGTTGTACATATGGTATGTGGAATACCCAATATTCTGAAAAGCGAATTCCGAACCACCAGAGCCATTGCGAAGGGAAATGGAGACGAACTGGCCTCACCAGTAGCCAAGCTCGAGGCGGAACGACTGGATCGTCACTTATCCTCTCGCAAGATTCCCATGGACAAGAAGGGGTACTTTGTTATCAAGGCAGTACCAGAAGAAGGGGTCATTGTTATTCGTTTCATGTCCTCAATTGTCAATGATAAGGGTGAAGTATGCGACTTGCAAGGCAACAAGATTAGTTGTGGGGGAGCCAATCGGCCGGACCCCCTAATGGTGTGGAGGTGTCGGACTGCCAAGGAAGCAACGGTGCAAATATTTGAAGAGTGGCCCAAAGTCAATCAATTGGAGCTATCCGTGGGGCACGTGGCGTATGTCGGACGTGAAATCCAAAAGGCCGAGTATTCACTGTACCAACAGGGATGCGGACCATATCAACAAGATTAGATTGGCTAAAGTTACCAGGCAAGCCTGCAGTATAATCTACTTCATCTTTCATCTCTCTTTTTCATTTCGAAGGCCTAATTAATTCCCATTCATCGTTTCTCAGTCACGGTTTCATTTTCAGTTAGCGAACCAAATGTGAAGTTCGCAATCGTGACATGTATGAGTCACAGTTAGCTTCTAGCAAGAGTAGTGGTTTGAACCAAAACGATTGTCATCACAAGCCGAAGCCCAATGCGATCCCATGCTGGAAACATATATATTGGATGGTGCGAAATTCATTTGAGCATTCGGTTCCTTTACACTGCACCTGACCTGCACCTGACGCACGATTGCAGTGGTTAGATTTGACAAGATTCCCAAAAATCAGAGATGGAACAACTAGTCTCACAAAACAAAACAAAACAAAACAAAACCGAAAACAAATCCCAAACCAAGTTAATACAATAGCGAACCAGATCTGATCATGTACTTCTCGACCAAGATTGTCACCTTCCTTCTTACCCTTGGAGCACTTACTACCATGCCTACCATGGCCCAGCGTGGCGGTGGCGGAACACGTGGTGGTGGTGGTGGTGGTGGCCAACGTCCCGGTGGCCAACGCCCCAACGGGGGTCAACAACCAGATGGCGGTAGACCAGGCCGTGGTCCTGGGGGCCCGTTTGCCAATGCTACCTTTGTCGACATCACTTGCAGCTCGACCGGTGACTTGGATTTGACGTGTGATCCTCGTGGCGAATCTGAGGACGGATTCTTTGTCTGTCGTTCCATGACCGACAGAGAAGGCGTCGAACGCAGCACAGTAAAGTGCATTCCTTCCGACGGATCCATTGAAGGGGCTGACGAGTGTGGTTGCTGTGGAGAGGACTGTCCCGTGGCATGTGACACCTGCCCATGCATTACTCGTCGTGGTGACCCTGGAGCCTACGTCTTGGATGAAGATGATGACGAGCCCTTCTGTGTTCCATTGAATGCCGCCATGATGATGGTATACAAGAGGGATGATGTCTCTTGCCTTGCGGATTGCAGTCTTGCAGAGTAATCAATGTAGCATCGGAATGCTTTCTTTAGATTAGCATCTTATAGTTGAATCCATATACAGCCATCATCATTTCAAAATGCAGCTCATGCTGTCATTTTGTAAGTCACAGAAATTTGTTCTGGCACCATACGATCCATTTCAAATCCGTATCCCCACAACACAATTTTAAAGGATCGACATGGGGACGCAAAGTACCTGGTACCGGTATCTTTCCCCCTATGGTTACTTAAAAAAATGATGAAGTCTCTTGCCTATTGCCGACCGCAGCCTCGCTGAGAAAGCAATATAGAGGTCGAAATTATTTTATTGTCTAACCTAGACAACACTATCGAAAAGTTCAACTCGTATTGCTATTTTCGTACAACCTTGAACCATACAAGCAATTCAGCTCTATTCTTGACCTCATTTCATGTGATTCTACTCCCCAAGGCAATAAAGTGGCTCATACAACGAACAAATAATAATTCGCGGTATTATTAAAAATACGTGGCATATAAATCGATACACTTGATTCTAGGTTACTATGTTATGGTCCGCTCACGAAAGAATGTCTTGAATTGTGGCCATATCGGAGAGCACATTGGCCGAGCTTCGCAAGATCGGAACAGCTAAAAGCGCTGCTGTTCCTTCTCCCATTCGCAATCCCATTGAAAGAGCCGGAATGTTATCAATGGGCAATCCGTTTGCCATGGCAATTTCTTGTATCTTTTCCAACGCAGCTCGTTGCCCTATCTCGGCAGATTGACTGGTAAAGAACAATACATTACAAACATTGGGCGAAATGGCGACGGCAACCAACGCTGCTGCTGTTGCAATAAATCCATCCACCAGAACAGGAATCTCACGTGTGGAGGCCTCCAAAAAGGCCCCAACCAAAGATGCGATTTCGGCACCACCAAGCTTAGCCAAGGCTTCCAATCCCTGGACATTGACTTGACGGCTCGCATTTGCGCCAAAATGCCTTGACAAAGCTCGCTCGACAACGTCAATTTTCTTCAAGATTACCTCTTGGGATGCCTCCTTTGTCACAAAGGCTCCTCCTCCACAAACCTCTCTGGCAGACTTACTGGTCATAATAGCAATGAGCGCAGACGAGCTTGTAGTGTTGCCAATACCGATCTCTCCCAATACAACAGCCTTGGCCGAAGTCTCTTCAACAAATTCGTTGAGGCTTTTCCTTCCAACGATCATACAGCGCTCACATTCTGCTTCTGACATCGCAGGTTCGACACAGAAGTTCTGAGTTCCGTGTAGCAACTTCCTGGACGACACTTTCACAACACTGCTGTTTTCAAAAGGCCCCTGATCGTCGCCAAGGATAACTCCCACATCGACAACGCGCAGATCGACATTGTTACCTTTTGCCAAGACGGATGCTCCTGCTACCTCACGGTGCAAACCCAGCAACACCGATTTTGTCACAGCTTGTGGATAGGCAGAACATTCTTCGCCTCCTTGAGCTTTTGGTGCTGCCACTCCATGGTCACCGGCAAAGATCAAACAGGCCACCCGGTCCACATTCGGCGATAGACTGCGGTGGAGGGCAGCCAAACGAGCGGCCCAGGCTTCGAGAGTACCCAAAGATCCAACAGGCTTGGCCAAGACGTCCAGGTACGATTGAACGGCAGTGAGCCGTTCTTGGAAGGTGCTCTTTGGGTTGGCAAGAATTTCGTTGGCCTTTTGCTTGGGTGCATTATCCTTTGGCTCAGTAGACTTCGGCTTCTCTTGAATTGTGGCTTCTCCTTCCGTGCCTTTCTTCTTTTGGGAGGCTGAAGCAGGATTGGGGAACTCGTTGGCGATCCCCAGGGTCCTGTTAGATTTATCAATCGGAATGTCATAGTCCTTGCATTGGCGACTCTTTTTGGCTTGGTCGACCACCATATTGTCTGGGTAGACAAAATACAGCTTGAACAACTCTGAATGGAAGCATTATGGCGTCATCACATGCACCGAATTAATAGATTTTGTGATCCAGACCAAAACAGTGAAGCACGTTCTTCGTGATTGACATTTTTAGTAGTACAGCTTTTACGAGAAGTGTATTTTGTTCGCTCGCACGTGTTTCGTCATCACTCGCTCGTCACAAGAATAATACTGTTGCTCGTCATCACATCATCAACACCCACCCCACAAAACAGAAGTGACCACAGGAGCAAGATGGCAGCCACCATTTATCTCATATCCAGCGGCGCCCGTAGTGCAAAATCTAGATATGCTGAAGACATTTGTGATGAGTTAAGCAAGCGCCCGGCCACATACAGGTTAAAAACCTAAGTCATTTCTAAGGACTACTTCATTCCCTTTGTTGGTCGTGTGTCGTTTGCGTTTTTATTACGCAGCGCTGGTACACGTGTACGAACCAGTGAAGTGAACCAAAGTTCGCAATCGTGATAGATCAGTCACAGTTTGCTTCAAGAGTAGTGCATTATCCCAGACGATTGCCATCACAAGCCGAAGCCCAATGCGATCCCATGCTGGAAACATATATATTGGATGATGCGAAATTCATTTGAGCATTCGGTTCCTTTACACTGCACCTGACCTGCACCTGACGCACGATTGCAGTGGTTAGATTTGACAAGATTCCCAAAAATCAGAGATGGAACAACTAGTCTCACAAAACAAAACAAAACAAAACAAAACCGAAAACAAATCCCAAACCAAGTTAATACAATAGCGAACCAGATCTGATCATGTACTTCTCGACCAAGATTGTCACCTTCCTTCTTACCCTTGGAGCACTTACTACCATGCCTACCATGGCCCAGCGTGGCGGTGGCGGAACACGTGGTGGTGGTGGTGGTGGTGGCCAACGTCCCGGTGGCCAACGCCCCAACGGGGGTCAACAACCAGATGGCGGTAGACCAGGCCGTGGTCCTGGGGGCCCGTTTGCCAATGCTACCTTTGTCGACATCACTTGCAGCTCGACCGGTGACTTGGATTTGACGTGTGATCCTCGTGGCGAATCTGAGGACGGATTCTTTGTCTGTCGTTCCATGACCGACAGAGAAGGCGTCGAACGCAGCACAGTAAAGTGCATTCCTTCCGACGGATCCATTGAAGGGGCTGACGAGTGTGGTTGCTGTGGAGAGGACTGTCCCGTGGCATGTGACACATGCCCATGCACTACTCGTCGTGGAGACCCTGGAGCCTACGTCTTGAGCGACGATGATGACGAGCCCTTCTGTGTTCCATTGAATGCCGCCATGATGATGGTATACAAGAGGGATGATGTCTCCTGCCTTGCGGATTGCAGTCTTTCAGAGTAATCAACAACGGAACATCCACTTGCCTCGTTCCTTAGAGAATTGTTGGCACAGACTAGAATAGGCGAATCGATAAAGCCATATATTATTAAAACTCCAACACGAATTTTCAGCCTATGACCTGCTAGGAGTGTCATAAACGGTAATCCAACCTTCCAGCATCCAAAAGAAACTTGGGGTGAGGTTCTCATTCAAATGTGAAAAATGTGAAGCAAGTCGTTTTTGTAGTTGGTCGCACGATTTGTACTTATTGACAATAACGCCAGCCTTCCATGCGACATAAATGTAGCAATAAATCTGGCGACCACTTTTTCTTTTGATGTTTGCATTCGGTTTGACATCCTGATCCTTCAATTCCACACACAAAATCACAACAACAACCTGAACAACAACGCACACATTAGATAAATCCCCTACCAACCATGTTCTTTTCCAAACAAGTATCTACTACTCTTGCATTCCTCATTTTGGCTTCTACAACTGTGGATGGGCGACGCCGAAGACCCCTAATTACCAAAGGAGAGTATGAATTCGGTCAGAACGCAACCGAAGCAGAAGAAGCCGACTGCGCGGGCTCACCTGACTTTTCCTGCAAGTTCTCGGTACACCGTGAGGAAGGAGTCTTTGTCTGTCGAAGCTGGATCAACAAGAATGGTATCGAACGAAAAAAGGTTGGATGCTTCCCATCAGATCGATCCATACTAGGAACGGACGAGTGCGGATGCTGCGGGAAAGAATGTCCTACCATATGCAATACATGCACTTGCAAAACCGAACGAGGAAGGGCTGGAGCATACATTGTATACGAAGGCAGAGATGAACCTGTCTGCCGTTCCACATTCATCGCCACAAAGTTGGTCCACAGAGACGAAAGCATTGCATGCCTAGCGGACTGCGATTTTTGAGATTTAATGGAAAGAAGTTCATTGGATGGTGCCTCAATTTGCCAACTTTTTTCCACTGTAGTTCAAATGACCCCCGCTTCTGGTTCATCATGCATGAACAACAGAATCGAACAAATGAATGAAAAATACCAGCATTTTTGACACGTTTTGACACGTCCGACTAACATCTGAATTTCAAAATTCGCCTGCACACCCCCACACAGCAAGCACGACTTGACTTTTTTGTTTTCACCCGCAACGATTGATCATTGCAACACATTCGATCGCCAACTCCAAACGACAACGAGAGGAGTCAATTCGAAAAGATGAATTTGTTCAGCAAGAATAAATCAAGTAGGAGTAATGTCGCCAACACTGAGGCAACTGCCATTGCAGTGCCAGAAGAAGAGATCCCTGTAGCTACGATGGTTGTCGACAATGATGATTCTTATCTTCGAACAAGCAATCCCCAGGCCACAGCTCCTACTGAGTATCAAGACCAGCCCACCTCTCGTCCCATGGTTTACAATAATTCCGATCCTTCTTTCACACGATTTTCAATGATGAATATCACGTGTTCCAATTGTCAACAAGCTGGACGAACAAAGGTCCGGACGGCACCAGCCTGGCAAACTTGGGCTGCCACTGGAGTTGGCTTTCTTTTGTTCTGGCCTCTGTGCTGGTTACCCTTGGTTATGGATTCTTGCAAACAGTCGGAACACTTTTGCACGAATTGTGGTCACAAGCTTGGAACCGTGCCTCCTTTTCAGGATTGCTGTGTGAACACTCGCTCGTAAACCTACTGTAGTGTTGCAGTATTGTGAAATGTAAGATATTAGAAAGACGTTATATTTACTTGTGATTCTATTGAAAAAGTGTAGTGAGTGATTTTAAATTAAAAAAGAGTGAATTATTTTTCTGTGAGACAAGTCGCTCTGAGCTGAAGAGGATTTAAAATGCTACAAGCAGGTATTCTTTCTTTGTATATTTGGGTCAACAACAAACATTTGATATTAATCATTCTTCATACATTGCCTCTGCTCGTCTTTTAACATCATCATTCTCAAATCTGAAATCACTATCACCTGCCTATCACGTTGGACATGATGACAAGCGCAATAAGTCCAAGACAAAGTTTTATCTGACGATGTTCGAATTGGGTATGTAGGGCGTCCGCTACCTGGTACTCGCCAATCCGGCGGGCTGGCCAAAACTGTCCGAAAAAAGACCTATTTTGTCGACCGATGTGATTGGAAACTTTTTGCTTCCATCGGATGGTGACCCTACCTGGTACCGCAATACACGGAAGCTATCGACAATCACGGGTGAAGGAATATATATATAAGTGATTGTTTCTAACTATCAATCTCGCAATTGCAATAAAGTATGGCGTCGAAACGAGCACCAGAGGCAGGTGGCCCCGAACAGCACTGGCAAGAGAATGTACTAAAGGAGGTCAGCAAGGAGCAAATTGGGTTTATTGCCGAGGGTCTCTTCAAGGAATTGTGGGCTCGGTGTGGAAAGCAAATTGCAATTGATCAGACTGCTTTGATGATTGCTGAAGTCCAGTTCTCAAGAGGTTTCGATCTATTGTACAAGATTCACGACAACGCATCGGCACTGACAGAATTCAAAAAGTGCTTGGCTATTCGAGAAAAAATATTGGGCAAGGATCACAGAGACACTGGAAAAACCTATTGCTTTGTTGGACATGCACTGCGAGAGAATAGGAACTTTGACGAAGCTGTTGGGCAATACCGAAGTGCATTGCGAATTCTTGTCGCTCTTCTTGGCAAAGACCACAACCATACCAAGGATGTAATCAGTTGTATTGATGACGTTTTGAAAGCCAAGGGTTTATCCGATCACGATTCGCAAGAGTATCTGAGCACTCTCATGGCAAGTTTAGAGCACAAGAAGTCTGGTGATATCTTCTATGAAGAGTCCAACTACGATATGGCAATGGCGGCATACAAGAAGGCACTGATTGTGGAAAGGATTCAAGAAGGCAAGCACCATCCTGATACTGGTGATGTCTATGCTAGAGTTGGAAAGACTCTTTCCAAGCAAGGTGATCTAAAGGCAGCTTGTATAGAGTATGGTAATGCTCTTGCTATATATGCTGTGACCTTAGGATCGGATCATCCTGATACAAAGGACGCGCTAAGACACATTCAGCAACTACCGACACTGATGAATAGGTGAGGTGAAATGGATTTATCTCAGAAAGTTTGGATGTTATGTACTCTGGAACAGTGATGGGTAGTGGGGATTTATTAGTAATTGTTAGAATTGTTATTACATATCGATTTCTCCTTTCTTCCAGTAGTGTATGGCTCAACACCGTTGGTGGAAATATGGACGATTGGTTCCTTCATCTTCACCAAAAAGAGTGCTAGCATCTGCTTCCATACCTGTAATAGCTGTCCCTTTGTATCTAGTCTCTCTAGTTATTCAATATTATTATAAATGCTATATACTTTGCAGTTTCACAATCCCATCACGTCCAGCCGTTGCCAGTGTAACACCATCAGGAGCAAACGATAACAGCCTCCCGTTGAACTCTGCTTCTTCTTTTTCCTCTTCTACATTCCAAAGAACAATTGTTTCATCTGATCTTCCAGCTGCTAACCGAATTCCACTAGGAGCAAAGCATACTGTCAAGATCTCGCTTCCGTGTTGGATGCACTTGAGACAGGATTGATTCAAAACATCCCAAAGACGCAAGGTTCCATCTAATGATCCGGATGCTAGTAGATTGGAATTTGTTGGTGAAAATGAAAGGCTAACGACCACCAGTGAATGACCCCTCATCATGATAGTATCGTCTTGTTGATGACTTGCCGCAGCAAATGGATTCCAAATCCGAATCATCCTATCCGATCCACCTGAAGCCAGTCGCTGACCATCCGGGGAGAATGTTACCGAGTAGACAAATCCACGATGCTTTCGCATAATCCTTTGACATTTTCCAGTTCCCAAGTCCCACAATCGAATGGTCGAGTCGGTGCTACCACTGGCCAATGTTCGTCCATCGGCATGAAAGGAAATGGATGTGATAGCACCATGGTGTCCTTGCAGACTTTTCAGCGACTCACCATCTTGGATACTGCACACTTGAATGCTCTTACTCTTTCCGTCAAATGCTAAAAACCGATTGTCGGGAGAACAGACAATGTTGCCGAGACAAGCCGATCGGAGAGATCCCCTCCAAGTTTTCTCATTTCCAATCGTTCGATCCCAGACGTGTATGTTACCACTCCGATCTCGACAGCATAATTTGCTTCCATCCGGAGAAAAAGCTATGGATTGAATACTTGTCTTTCCCACTAATAAAGATTTGTGGGGCCAAGGTCGGATCATACTTTCTGTGATTTGAAGCACATCTTTACAAGTCAAACGAAGATTGTTGAAAGTTGTTCGGCAAAGGTATTGTCCAATTCCCTCTCCGAGGACATGGATCGGTACCTTTTTGGTGTATTCTGATATTAGTGGTGATTGCTGATCCGTCATGGTCCAATATTCTGGAGGATGATGACCAGGATCCCAAGTTCCTAGCACTTACAGTATTTCGTGCAGAGGTTATTGCAACAAGAGTCAAAAAATGATCCCAACGCATGTCACTGTTTGGCCAGCGTTCCTTTGGTCGGATTGATCGATCAACCCGGATTTCGGGGAAATTTTTAATCGTATCCGCTGGATTTTGGGAGGAAGAATATGACCACATCGTATGTGTGCGGACCGTTTGCCCCCTTTTCGCCTATCTACAGTATGTCTCATCAATCCCGTGCTCCGAGTGGAGAGCAACAAGAAAAAGGGACACTACAATCACATCCTTTCTGCATCACCATGCCGGGACAACTTCGGCCGCCTTCTCCGAGGATAAATCGTAGTAGTAATAGTGGTAGTACTACGAAGGATGCCACGATACAGAAAGTGGATACATTTTCCACTACGGCCGAGAGCGATGCCGAGACCACCATCAGTTTAACATCATCTGAAGGGTCGCCACCATCTAATATACGGAATGTATCAACAGAAGTGAAGGGGAAGCAAGTCTCCGGAACGTCGGTGTCTAGACCAGAAGGTTATGCCCCTGTCAAGAGAGTGTCCAAGAATGTATTGTCGCCGGTTGGAACATCCAACAGACAATCCAATGTCGTAAAACGAACATCTCCGTCAACTTTGTCCAAGGACAATACTGCTGCAAACAAAACACTGCCACCCAAGGTCTCCACGAAACGAACATCTGCGGCAAGTATGAGAAGTTCTGGTGGATGGGATACGTTAGCAAAAAAGTCGACTGGTTATCGAAACAGCAGTAGTGCAAGCGTTGGTTCCAGAACATCCATCAACAAGAAGAACAGTGCTTTGGCCAACAAAGGGACAGTGGCGGCCAGTAGTTCCAGCGTTGGTTCCAGAGCATCCATCAACAAGAAGAACAGTGCTTTGGCCAACAAAGGGACAGTGGCGGCCAGTAGTTCCAGCGTTGGTTCTAGAACATCCATTAATAAGAATTTGGCAAATAAAGGGACAGTGACGACCAACAAGGCTAACCCCAAAAATGAACTGATTGCCAAGCTGAACAAGCAAGTGGAAATGTTGCAAGAGAAGCAAAAGAAGGCCGATGCCAATCATCAGAAAACTACTCAACATTTGGAAGCGAAACTGGATGATCTACGGATGGCGGACTCCATTTTGATTGGTCAGCTGAGAAGTGAACGAAATGACCTGAAGGAGCAACTGGACCAAGCTAATGATCGATTACAGTCAATCGGCGAAGAGCATGGAGATGCTATGCAAAAGGAGCTAGCACTGAAAGGAATTTTGGAACAACAACTTGCCGAGGCGCATGCTCGCATCGGCAAACTGTCAGAACAGGCCATGGACGATCACTTTGGTGGCTCCAAAATTGACATGTTGCGAGAACGCCGCCGAACCATTGAGGCACAAATGTCACAAGGTGGGCAACCAAATAATAATGAAAGCGCGAAGGATCAACTTTCCAACAAACCCGAGAATCGTCAGGTGGATGTCGATATGGAACGAGTGATGAAGAATTTGAAGGATGAGCTAGAAGCGAGCAAGCAAGTTATAGTGCAGCAAAAAGAGCAGTTGCGACTAGTGCTCGAGTGCCAAGATAGCAACAACGAAAAAGAAACCACCAATTCCTCCAGTGACGACGAAGGTGAATGGAAGGCACGATTCTTGGAGATTCAAAAGCGTCATTTGCAGCTTGAATGCGATCGAGCATGGAGCGAGTTCCAACTGCGGAATCGCATTACGAATGACAGCCTCAAGTTTAACCGACGGCTGAAGCATTGGAAGGACAGGGTGCAAGACGTGGAAACCAAGTTGGACACACTTGAAACAATTCGATCAGCCAGAGAACAACAACAAGTCCCAGAGGTAGCTCCTTTGGATGATAGCAGTGGCGGTAGCAAATCTACAGAACAGCCTCCGGAACGAGGTTGGTGGGGATTTCGAAAGTAAGCAAAAAGCGTTTTGGAGATGAGATTTATTCTAGAGATATTTTCAGAACGATCTGGTGGGTATGGAAGATCATATTACCCTACTTACTGTATGTGAATTAAAAAACTATTTTATGAATTGTCATTTGTTTAAAAAACGACGAGATGAAGATTAATGACACTACTCTTGTTGTTAATACTACTCTTTCTTTCATGGCTTTAATTGCAATTATTTGAGTTGCAAATTAGCTGGCTTCAGAGCATACGACCTTCCAAGACCCTTGACGAACACGTGCTGACGGCCGTTGCTGCCCATCTGAGACTTGACAATAGCCGTTCGTCCATTTAAGTGAGGAGTAATCTTGAGTCCAGTCAAGGTGACGACAGCATCTATGGGATGTGGTCTATTGATGCCGCTGCCCTGTCGTGCCGGCTCCTCCCTAGGAACTCTTTTCCTGGCTCGATTTTGTGATGGCGAAGGTGTGGCCCTTTGGCTATTCCCCCGTTCTTGCTTCATGCGTTCTTTCTTTCTGTTATGCTCCCGTGCAATTTCCATATGGGGAAAGTGTACCGCACTAAAATCTTCATCAAGGCCCTTGCCTGCTGTCAAAAGCTCAAAGGGAAGGTCAAATACTGAACCAGAGTGAGCAGAGTCTACCACGGCATTGAGCGTGACGCCTGCGCATATTTGAAGGATGAATTCCTCAAACACTTCATCATCCACGATTTCTCCAGCCTATGTTTCGTTCACAGCGAGACAACAGAAAGGTGAGTTGACAAATGATTCACAATCAGATGAATTTCAGAGTCCTCATCATCACTTACATCCAAATAATCCATCGGATACCTACAGTATAATTTTCGTCAGCAATCAGGTAAGAGAATCATGAGTTGACGAAATTACACGATCAGAAAGAATTGATGGCATTCATTGTCTCCGGTCCAAAAAAGCAAACACGAAAACTCACATTGTTTCATCCATCCCGTCAGTCTCATCCCCCGATTCATCCGGTATGGTTCCACCATGACCCGAAAAATGAAAGTACACTGCGTCGTTCGGACGGCACTCAGAAGCAAACTTTCCGAATGCTTTGAGCAAATTGGCTCGTGTTGGGGGAGTATGCTCGTCGTCGTCCATGAGGATGGTGAAATCGTTGTCTTCAAAGCCATGAGCACGCTTCAAGTATTTCATCATGTTGTCGCAATCGCCATGTGAATTTGGCAATTCCCACGGTGCGCCCTTGTATCTAATCCCAATGATGAGAGCACGGCGATTTCCAGAAAAGTTTTGGCTTGGAACAAATTCCCATGGTGTGGCCAGCTGAACTGGACGGGAACTAGAAAGCTGTGGCTGTTGTTGTTGGCCTCTGGATTCCAGAATTTGTTTCATATTCTTCATGATACGGCCGAACGACAGGACGCCGTCTGGGTTGATATTCTGGTGATCATAGAGGATGCTCAGAAATGCAGCAGTACATGCTCCGCCCTCCACGCCCTCTGTCGAATTTGATCGGTTCGATTGATCCAGTGGGGTGGCATCTTCCGATGCCGAAATCAAGTTCACTGAAGCTGATAGGTATTCTCGTGCGTGTTGTGTGAGCTCACTCATCGGTGCAGGGAAAAGCTCCAAACATTCAACAGGGACTTTCACGGTTTCAGTGGTGTTTGGAAAGATGACCTTGATACGTCCTGACGACTTCTTTGGTTTGGATCTAACAAATGCAGTAAATCCATTCAGCTCTGGTTCTTCATCGAAGTCAACGATCTTGACCCTTGCATTGATTGCGAACTTCTTCTTTTTCATCGTGATGTCCTTTGCTTGAATGGTGAAACCTAGCTATCGGCTTTCCAGTGCGATGACCTTATTTGCTTGAACGGTGATGCGATGCCTTTTATATGGCTATCTTATATTCTATTTCGGCTTTCCAGTGATTATGACGATGGGATATTTGAAAAATGTCTTTTGATGGCGTAGGATCTCCTACTGCAATGTACGCGTTGAAATATTTAAAAAAATACTGCAGTCATTTTATGGGTGGTGCATTCCAGTGAGTCAACAGCGCTTCCGTTTGTCGCCAATTTCAGAAAATTTACCCCGCCGTTGTCATCTTGCAGTCATTATTTTAAAATATATACACGTTGACTTGACACACACTATAAACATCGCACACATCTGAAACCATACCGCTAGCAGCATTGTTCAAGTTTGAGGATGTCTGCTTCTATTGAGCGAGGGATCTAGTGAGAAATCGAGCGAGTAGGCGATGCTATTGCAAGGGTAGAAAGAGACATTGAGGAGATCAACGAATTGCTCAAGAGCCCCACCATTTCGGACGACGACAAAGCTCACTATCGGCAAAAGGAAAGCGATCTTCGACGAGAAAAAGCGATCTACGGCAAAAGGAGTTGTTGTTGATTCAACGCACCCAGATGCCATCCATTCCAGAAAACCAAAATGTGAACACTGCGTTCCCAGAGGACCTGCGAAAGGACATTGCGGCAACAATGAAAGAGGCTCTTACCAAAACTGACAGAGCTACCCCGCAAAAAACTGCAGCAGCTTTCGGGGAGAAGAGCTGAAACGTCTGGAAAGAGAAGGAAAAGTAGGAAGGAAAAGGTGAAGCAGTCCTGACAACCGAGCAAGCAAGTAGCCTTCTGCAACTAGTATCCGAGCGTCATGTGGTTGCGTTTTTGAACCAATTCCTTACAGCTATTTTTTGGATGCAATGGGTCTTCTAATAGAGCTCTTGTGAATTCTGAAGAGTACAAGTGGCTGAAGACATCTGATGATGAAAACAGTACTGCCTGCAACCAAAAACCGGACATGTTTTTCTGCCACAAGTACCTCTACAAAAAACACGATCCATTTTCTGCACCAAGGGATGACAAGCTTTTATTAAAATGCTGCGCCGATCAACGGATGTTTTGTGGCAATCGTCACACTGGGACCGTCGTCGCTTCATCTCCGTTGTCTTGGAGGCAAAAAAGGACATTGATAAGCAGCGTTTGGGCAGAGCATCAACTACGGAGCTCACCTCTCTTTTGGAGAAAATAGGTCCCATAACTGTACGCCTGGTTCTTTTTGATCGAAAATCTTTCTGGCTAGTTGAGACTGGTAGAGGAACAGTAGCTTCCTCCTTCGCTAGGAAGTGTCGATGGGTCGACGGCGGGTCGAAATCACATTTGAAAAAGTTCATGCTGCATGACCCCCTGATCGAGGTCCTTGACAAGGCTTGGATTGAGTTGGGCCTAGTACCCGAAAAGGACGGATACTTGGGCAGTGGAGCTTTTGGTCTAGTTTTTAAAGTCTGCGATCAGAATGGAGTGGCCTTGGCATTGAAGATAGTTCCCGATGTCGATGATAACGTGGCTGAACTTCAAAAGCAAATGTCAATGACTAATGAAGCTAAACAAAAGTACCCTCACTTGATTTTCGGCGTTGAAGAGAATTCTTTCAGGAAGTTTGACGAGTTGGGCGCTGATATTTTATTTTCGGAAGTTGGAAATCACTATTCTAGTCAAAGAAAGCTATTATTGATTCTCTTCAAGAGCTTCACAACAACAATGTGGTGCATGGGGATGCTCGACTGGACAATATTGTCTACGTCAATGGGGAGGCCAAGTGAATTGATCTCCAAAGAGCATATATTTGCAAAACTGATCAAGTTTCCGAGATGGAACAGAAGCATCACAAAAATCTGATGGAATCCATCAATAGCAGCCATTACTTTGATTGAGTAGATAACTCAAATAACAAACCATCATGGAACGACAGTAATTTGATTGATTGGTTATTAAAACTCAAATAACATACCATGACGCAACGACATAATGCCCACACAGCTATGCAACGGATGAATATCGATTTAGGTATCCTCACAGAGGCGCACTCTAGAAATCAATTCTTCTGGAAATTGATTCTGTCAAAACCGCAAGTTTCTTTTACAGACTAGCAACTTTTTTTATGGTGGTCATTTTTACTCTATGAAAATTCGGAGTCGAATTGCAATTTGCTTTTGCTTCTTTTTAAAATATATATTATAGTGTAATGCTAGTGCAGTAATCTATTAGCTGAAGCAGTTTGGAACTCAAATATTGAGATTCATTGACCAAGTCCGATAGCTGACGTCTGCTTTCCACTTGCGTGTTGTTCTTTTTGTTGTGGCGGATAATGGTCTGATGAGAAGGTGGGGCCACAAGACGTTGCTGCTCACTAGGAACAGCCCGAAGGTTGGCCGCTTGCTGCGATTTGTAGCTTTCGGATATGTAGACTTTCTTTAGCCACGTCTCTGAGAGCTCACCCCCAAAGCTCTTTTGATGGCTAAGGAGGGAACGGACAGTTCCTTTCCGCCGCCTTTTACGTTCAATAGTTTCTTTACGTGTGTACCGTTCAATTATCGTTGCTTCACAGTCATCCTCTACATTGATATGCCCCTTTTGGAATTGATGAACCAGTTTTCGCATTTCTCCTTTCATTCCCTTCAGATCTTCAGCCGACCAAAAGGATGCTTGTTTCTCCTCAGGCAAGTAATCCTCTTTCCGAATGTGATCATGCATCGATTGGTCAAATCTGAATCTCACAAAGTGAGTAGTCTTTTGCTCTTCCATGATATCAATGTTGTTCAATTTACAATTGAAGTTTGTGGGTGCTTCCGGATAAGACGATTCTCCCGCTTGGGAAGAAACGCGTCTGGATGGTGAGCACGATTCCATATTCTTGCGCCAACGATGTTTCCCCTTTGCCACCATTGTTGTTTTCTGTTATGAAAGTATGCTAAAGAAAAAAAACACTGTCGTTGTATTTGTGGGAGACATGGTCGTTTGATGAATTTGGAGGTTTGCATCGTGGATGTCAACGGAGTGGAACTTTCTGACGATTTCGTCCGTTGATCATTGTGAAAAATGCGGGAAATGCCAAAAAATGTGAACGTGTTATGTAGAGTTCGACGATTTGGATGACGTCATAAATGGGGGTACAACACTTTGGGGATTAAGTGGGATTGAGTCGAATGCATTATTTTCAGAAGAAGGATGTTCTTGCAATCTAAGAGCCGTTTAGTAGATATAAGATGAGGGAGCAAATACCGAGGTTTTGCCCTCAGTTGCGGGTAATAAGTTAATGACAAAGGGATTCATTTATTTTTTAAAATAGTACACTCTTACAAAAGTACCTTCTGACAAGGCCAAGTGAGTACAGCAGTTGTCAGTATTTTGACCGATCGAAACGAAAGTAACTGCCAATCGCTGCTTTATATCCCGTGATTATGAATCATCGTCAACCCCTTTCTTGAATTAGATAGCATAATAACAGTGATGTAGTACTACCAAGTCGCTGAAATTGTTTTCAGCAGTTTAGAAATATCCTTCGGCGGAGAAAAAAGTATAGTCGTCATCAGTCGGCAGACAATTTCGCATTGCCTGTGGCATTCGTCCATCCTTCTTTGTATCCCAATAGTGCTTCCTTTCGGAATGATTTGGATGCGCACATACGGTTAGTTTTGACATGAGTGACATGGTAGGGTGTGACATTAGCAAAAGCCATCGCTTTTGCAAATCATATTTCGAGTCGAGTGTGCGAGTCGTCGTGATGGGAGGCAGTACCTTTTCTCGAATCGCATTTTGGATTAGAGCCAGCAGTAATGCATTGTCGTGATCCATCGGGCCACGATCCCCAGTGCAATAATGGGTACAATCTCTGGATTTGTTGTGGGCCATATACAATGGAACCGAAGCTTTGTATACCCGCATAACTGGAATATGGAATTGTTGAACCAAAGGCTCTGTGACTTGGTTGTAGATGCCAGTTTCATTTTCCATTGGTAGCATGGATATATCGTGACATTCTCTTTGTTTTCTCGATTCCCAGTGCCCGGTCTCAAAGTGCTGAGCATAAGATTCTTTCCACCATAGAGATGGTAATGAATGTTTTTTGGACTTCTTTTGTTTGGAGTAGGATGAGAAGATATTTTGTAGCATTGGGATCAAATCATTAGTCGTCCCCTGAAAACTCCGTGTATGGTGGACTCCTGCATTCCAAATTACCAAATCTGATGGTTCCATTACATTCATTAGAATCCCATTGTTGTTCTCATCGGAAAACAAATCCTGATTGGAGAGCTTTCGTTCCATTTTTGAATTTGAAAATGCAATCCATCCACAACATATCAAGATCCCATTCTGAAATTCCTGACATCCAAAGGATATCCGCCGTCGAAACGGATCAGTCCTGTGATAGGCATCCCGAGGCAACTCGTTGGCATTAAGACCAGCTCCTGCCAAAATGTCCTGCAAGTTCATACAGTACATCGACGAGAGACTGTCTCCTACGAACACCAAGGTTCGACCTTCAAATACTTGAACAAAGGTTCGAGGATCGAACGGTGGTATCGAGCAAGTAGCTGAAGAATTGCTGTTGCTGGGATCAATAATACCATGTTTCCATTTCAATTTGGAGCACTTGGCTTTGGGATCTTCAAATTCCCATTGTACCTCTTGATTGTCCAGTTTTTGCAACTCTTGGAAGCAGGAGGAACTGTACGTGTGAGTGTTGTCAAGTTTGTTTGTCGGTTCCCTAAGGGGAGAAGAGGATGTGGATGATGGTGGTGGCGGCTCTATCAATGTTATTGCGGCTCCTTCCTCAATAAAGTCCAGCAGATACATCTCCAATGGAAACAGAAGGAGGCACACCAGAATCCACCACCACCGAACGGTGATGAACGATTGTTTCCGCATTTGATAAACTCGATTTACGAGCTTTTCATTTTGAATACCACGGCGTCGTTATTAATATATGTTACAGTATAGTATTAATACTATACTGTATGACGATTGGTGGGGTGGTGGTTGTTGGTTTATGTCTGGTTGTGAGATGGATGGCTTCCATATCACATGATGATGATGACTTTTATTCCATAACAAATAAGTTGGGGAATAATATGAAGGGTATATATGGCGATGGCGACTTGATCCCCTCCCTCGTCTTTAATTCTTTGACACCTTCGACCCAAGACAGTCTTCTTCTCATCATCCTAATATCACTCCAACAAATCCTTATTATTGCATGAAAGGCATAGAATTTAGGTTCTTCTTTTTCTGATGATTACAAAAAAATCGTTCACAGTTTGCGTGCAGCAGTTCCCAGCAGCATGCCCCTACACCGTCCACGGTAGTCACCTCATGATGATGAAAAGGAAGCAGACGAATTTGGAGTCTGAAACAACAAACTTGCTCCTTCTGCGGTCTGAACTGTGCTTCGTTCGGGTGTCGATGGAATTTCTCCAGAAACAGGATCAAATATTGTGTGGTGTTGTTCCTCATAAAATATTACCTCTGGATCTTCCTCATTCTGTTCGTCACTCAAGAGCGGTACAGTCGTTGACGTCATGCCTTGATCCACTTGAATGGAAAGTCCATCTTCCGTCAGGTTCTCCTTGACTACCATCAAGTGGATGTAGATCACCGTCTTTAGAATACCAAAGGCAGGAACAAAGACTGAATTGGGGAGTGATGCCAGCATATGAAAGGTCAAGGTATAAAAGGGACGAGACTCGTGATCGTCCTTCTTTAGAAGAATCTGATGTAGAATCCATGCACTGAGATAGTATAAAAATGAGAGTGATAGATAGCACTTGACCGTGTATAACCGATGCTCTTTGATCAAATCCCAAGATCGCCCCAAGGCAGAAAGAACCGAAATCTCATCTTCCAATACAATCACAGGCGTCACCAATAAGAAATTCAGTTTCAGAAACAATCCAGGCACCAAAAAGCAGAACGAGCCCAGCACAATGGCAATTCCCGCCACAGTTCCAGCTAGTAGTAGTGTAACCACTTTTGAGGACGCTCGTTGCAAGCATGTGAACCATCGGGGATGTCGCTGCAAATAAATATCCGCAACGGCCACGGCAATTGCACCATCTGCCACTGCTCCTAGGGTAGACCGGATCAACGACTCGGAACCCAAGACTGCGGCATAGTATCCAAATTGATCCATAAATCCTCCATTGTCCGGCTGCTGTTGCTGTCGAGAATGAACCTTGTGCAGCGCGGTATAGACCAACGCCAGCAAGAGACAAGTCGCGGGAACCACAAAGAGTATAGCAAGCTTTAGAAACAAGCGGACTGAGGAAGATCGCCAGTATATTACACCCACTCGTTGAAGGGTATGAAGAGATCCTTGTAAGGGTGACAAGAAAGGATTGTCGCTCATGTTATTGGGATTGAGTCTTATATAATATGTTGCTGCTGGTGTGGATGTGCTTGTGGATTGGTACCGGTACCTCGAGCGATGAATTCAATTATAGTACTCGTATTGTTTGTTGCGGACATGACACTACTGTATTCATATACATGCACATGCCTCAAACACGACTGAGCGAATAACAAAGCGCATCGCGCGCGCGTAAAATTGAAAATATCCATGATATCATATTTGTATGCTTTCCAAATTATTCACAATGGAGATGGCCATTGCTTTACTTTGCATCCGATGATGATTCATACAATGTTATATTATATATGTATAATAATCCAATGACATCTTGCTCGGCTGGGCAGCATATATACCGGATAGATAAGAGAAAATTATATATAAAAGGGCGGCTGAGGAATATATAATTTGTTCAAGTGTCATCCTATGGAACCGTGTAATAGCCTATACAGGAGACAGCCCAATCGGAAAAGTTCGGTCGAAACTGTACCGGCATATTTCGACACAGAGAGAGAGAGAGAAGGCGCAAAAAACGCTGGATGCTTCGCAGCTACGTTGAGGTGTTATAGCTGTCAAGAAACAGGAATTCAGAAAAAAGGTGCTTGGATTTTTGTGGTGTGGGCCAACAAAGTCAGAGGCGGGTCGATCTGTATATTGTCGCTGTTCCATGCCGACGACCTTGCGACTGATGTAATATTTATGGGAATGTGAAAGAGAATCTTTGAATTCTTTGAATCCTTACTCTGGCGTTTGGATGCAATTTCGAAATTACAAACAAAGCAACCTACACCACGTCCTTCTTTTCTCCCTTCAAGCCATGTAACAACACCTCCTATTGCCGGTAGTATATCAAGTGTATAAAGGATATTATTTCGTCTAATACATCTATTGAGCAGCAAGACTTCCTCGGAAGCTGCGCATTTAGCAACAGGATATATAGCAAGAATCTATGTCTTGCTTGTTGCATTCGTCAACTTCTTCACATGTCACGGATCTACTCGTTGCTTGGTGCCTTCATTAAATTCTTCATTGCCTTCTGTACAGGTTTGTCGAATCTTCCATGCTGGCGTGACATTTGGCCTTCCTTCTTGAATGGATGCATGGTCACGACATTCTTCAGATCTCCTTCCCTAACAAAGTTTTCAGGACCTCCATAGTTATTCAGGAAAACTCTGTTCTTCTTGTAATCGGAACCTTCATGACATCCAATGCCAGTCTGTTGTGTTACGCACATTCCAATGACAACATCAGAATGCCACAAGTAGTCTCTATATGGGGAGACATTTGCGCCGTGGACACAAGCATCAATTCCTTGGACTGTATCATCGAATGTTGCTCTCGACAAGACATATCCAGGGCCTCCAGTACAGTACGGTTTCTTCAAACCTGCCTTCGTCAGCCCGTCTCTGTCTTGAACGTATCCCATTCCACGCTCTCCCCAGAATTGATGTGTTTCCGTAGGATCACGGTACGCCAAGAACTTAAGTAAACCGTCAAAGTTGACGTAAGTATCATCGTCAACCTTCATAATATACTTGATATCCATATTGCGCGATGCTTCCATATCAAGGACAACCTCTTGGGTTCGCTTCAACATGTTGGTATTCTTCTTCACGGGAGGATATTCGTTGTCTTCGACTTCAGTCATAATCACCAACTCATCCGCATCCTCCAGACCAGCAAGGCGAAGCAAATCAAAGCTTGATTCGGTGCCATTACCAACAAAGTAGCGAATGTGAACGTTGGCTGGAATGTTGTTTGTCGCTCCCCATGACTCGCGGACAGCAGCAACTCGGGAGCTCAAGTTCTCTCGAGATGTCACAACTGCAAGAAGAATGTCTTCTTCGTATCTATCCATCTGAAAGATTGAACTGAAGGTAGCCTCGTCGCTTTCACGAAGGTTTCGGAGGTACAAACCAAGTTGAGAGCCTTCGACGGAAGTTTTCGAACCGAAACTACAAAGCAAAACGGTGAGCGATTGATATTTTTCGAAGTCATCGACAGGTATTCACATCCTGCTTACCATTGCTGAATCATTGAAGTCTTGACGAAGGATCCGGCAGTGCACTCCTTGCTGTGGAAAATATGAATCAATCCATGTTCACGCATTCGGACAATATTCAGCCCAGAGCTAACACGATGGTAGAAGTCGTTGTCCTCACCACCCCATCCCTTGAATCTTTCATCCAACATGAATTTCGAAGCATCCGCTCCAGAAATAGCATACAATCCGAAACCGTATTGTCTCCATGTGCCGTGGTGGTTGCTGTAGGTGCTTTGCTTTACACCATTAAGGGCATAGAAGTCGTCGACCAGTTGAACGGTCTCGGGATTATATTCGGACCAGACAATTGGGAAGTACGCAGAGTGGCCAGCCTGGACAAATTCATGTGCGTTGTAAAAGAATCTTGGTAGAATAAACATATCGACGTCCATTACGGACACAATACAGTCTCTTTCTTGACAAACGTTGCGATGAAGGTTATTGATGGCATTGGCCCGAGAGAATTCGCTGTCCAACACATCGACAAAGGTAATATCTTCGGGTTCGAGCTTGGTCAAGTAGGAGAGCTCCCTCTTCACATCCGACATTCTCATGTCAGCAAAGTCGCCTTGGTATTTTGTGACAAAGAGTCTAATAGACATTTGCTTGCCCATTGGGGATTTGCGGAAGGTTTGAAGTGATGCACCTAGGCGGGCGGCAAAATGACGAAGCTTTCCATCTTGGCCAGACATGGGTACCGCAATATCCAATCGAGTATGCGTTGGGGCGGCTGCTTCATCAGACGATACTACGACATTATTGTCACGATCGACGAATCCATGAATGGCACCGTTTCCACTTTCGGAAATGGCAGAATACCACGAGTTCGAAGAGCAAGAGAGGCACTTGAACATGTTAATCTTTCCGCCACACTTTGGCTTTCCACAAAGATTGGACCGGAATTGGCCCTCAATTTCAGATGAGAATGATTGGTCGGTTGCGGTCATTTGAGCACCAAAATCTTGGTACATATCCTTGACAGACTCGAGCAAAAAAACAGAAGGTTCTTCAGTAGAAGTCCATGGCATTTCTTTTGGTTTGGAAACTCTTTCTGCTCGTCTTCTTCTAGCTTGAGCTCGCTTACGGGCATTCTTGCGAGTAAGGCCTGGAATACCTGGTGCCTTTGCAGCGGAGGCACGGTTTGGATTGGGGGCTTTGGCGTTTGCTGCCTTCCCGTGTCCTTTAGGGGCCTTGACTGCGGTAAATCCACCAGATGAGCCACTTCCGGAACCAGATCCACTTACAGAACCTGAGCTTCCAGAACCTGAGCCGGAACCAGAGTTAGAGCCACTTCCAGAGCCTGAGTCAGAGCCAGAATTTGAACCACTTCCGGAACCAGAGCCTGAGCTGGAGTTGGACCCAGAACCGCTTCCGGAACCACTTCCAGAGTTGGATCCAGAGCCAGAACCACCACCACTAGAAGGATTTCCAGAGTCGGGATTAGAACCTGCGGAACTATCAGGAGCAAGTGCACCGCCTTGAACAGAATCGTCGTCCCAATCAAAGCCATCGTCGTCGCCAAGGGTACCAAATGAAATACTCATACTGAGGGAGTAATCATAAGACATGCTTTCGTCAGCCAGGGTACCGTATTCATAACTCATACTGTAGGAAGAATAATCGTAGGACATGTTATCCTCGGACATTGCACCGTATTCGTAGCTCATACTGTAGGACATACTTTCTTCGTTGGAGGCACTGTATGCATAGCTCAGGCTGTACGAGATGCTGCTGTCGGATGCCTCGACGGTCGTGCTGGGCTCGTCGTCAGCATAGACGACTCGTGTCCAGTCTTCTCGCGACATACGTCTTCGTCTATTTTGCATGGCTGGAGCCTTACCCATCTTCTTTCCAGGATGAGAAGCGATAGGACGAGGCAATTTTGAAGTCCCCTTGACATCAGGAATGGGGAATGCTTCGAGATCATCCTCACTACCAGGAAATTGGTTTCCAAATTGAGGAGTGTCCATGGACATGCTATATGAAAAGCTGTATGACAAACTGTAGTCCATTGAGGTTTCCATGCTGTAAGTGTAGGACATACTCTGGAGCATGCGGTGGTCGTGTTCGTCCATGGCATCGGCAGCAGAGTTTCCGAGGTATCTTCGGACGTACTCGGCGTCTGAAAGTGTCTCGGTTGGTTCCAGTTGCATCATCTTGCGCCCTTTTCCCTTTCCAGCTGCAGGCTTGGCCGTGTTTCGCGTTTGCTGGCCATTGCTGAAAATGGAAGTGTAGAAAGTCGATGGGTTGTTAGGCGGTGGTGCTCGGTTCACATATTCAGGCTCGGTAGTTTCAATCGACATGACAAGAGACATGCTCGTTTCATAAGACATGCTTGTTTCGTAGGACATGCTTTGGTCGACGTAATCATCATCGGCCATATTGGCTGGAAGGTAGACAATATGATCCTCCTCTGTTCCATATGACATGCTGGTATCATAAGACATGCTCTCGTCAGGAGGGGAGAGAGTACCATACAAGACACCTTCAGCTTTCTTGATGAGAGAAGAGAAGAAAAGCTTTCGATTACCGTTGGCTGCTTCGGCATGATCGGCATTTCGAAGGTACTCTGGTTTCTTTCTCTTCAACACACCCAGTCTTTGGGCGCTTGCGATGGGGCTTTCAAAAGAGCAACATAGTAGGGAGAGAGATAGAGCTCCGAACTTCATATTTTACAATGTCGACGATCAGTGGTCGACAGTGAAATGTGTGTGGGAAAGGTAGTTTTCCAAATAATGTGATGGATGGATACGATACCGTTACTTTCTCGAAATTTCAAAATGTGTCTTGGTTGACCGCGTGGTCATATACCGTTAAAGCCGCTTAACGAGAAAAAGAACTACGACATGGCCGTTGTTAAGTCGGAGTATATGACATACCTCTGATGTTCAAGTCTGTTTATTTCCAATGAGGAAACTGTCATGCTCGGACACAGGACCAACATCAATTAATGCAACAAAAAACTTATAATTGATGATCGCGGGGAAAGTTCGTACCGGCCGAAATTCAGTCGGACATCCTACAAGACATGAAGTCGTACCTATGTGAATGTGGAAGCAGTCAGCGATTTTTGTTGATCGTGACTGACCTCGGGATCCAAGATGAAGTTAAAGTGAGATGCGAGACGCTCTCTTCCCTATACAAGTAGTGTTACATCTCACTCCATCCACCAGCATACACACGAGTTGAATGCTTACAGAACAATTGAACCATATCGCAATAATCAAAATTGAGTCAGCAAGCTTTGAGTTTTCTGTATAAAGTTCTCCTGAAGTTTTCACCTTAAATCTCCTTTCAGGAAACTGCAACTCGTCTTCTGGGCAATATTTCGAGAAGCACAATGTCGGGCAAGTTTCCCAGTCCACCACCGCTGGCAACTTCAGAAACGATAGGCAGTAAATCAGGATTTCAAGTTGAATTTCGGGAGGGTTATTATTACAGTAAGCAGCAGCTATTTTTACAGTAAAAACAAGCAATCATCAATGTCTCACACATAACCTGTTATTGTCCTTCTTGATTGGTTATCAATCTGCTCCTTTTCTCTTTTTCTTTCCACGTGACAATTCAATATTTATATCAATACAGTTGCTGCGGTTCCACCTGACTGTAAAGATCTTAAAGTCGGGGACAGAGTGCTAGAAATAAATGGGGTGAAAGCCTTCAACTTTGGTTCAACGACGACAGCAAATGAATTATTTGATACAGTATGTATGGTCTTTCTCCCAAAGGAAGAACTCATGAAAAAACAAAACGGGACGTCTTCAGATGAAAAATCACTTAGTAGGAGAGGGAGGCGGTCCGTATATGAAGAAGAGGCAAGACGGGCAGGAGCCGAACGAATAAGTTCAAGAAACCTGGGGGAAACGCTGCGGAAAGAAAAAGAGGAAGAAGATGAAATACGACACATGGAAAGGGAGATTCGACAATTGCAAAAAGCAGATCGAGAACGACGAGCAGATAAAGAACGGCGGCGTAGCCAAATCCTTAGCAGTTTTGCTCTGCCCAATGGAGAATTAAAACTTGGTGAGCGACCTTCCCTTTTGTTTTCTCCTCCTCAAACATCCAGCAAAAGGATACTGCAGAGTTCCATTATGGAATCCATAAAGAGATCACCTTCCACCTCGGATCGCAAAAAGAGCCAAATACGGAATGCCATCAGCGTTCCTTCTACTCCAATGACTTCCGAACAGCCAAAGAAAACAAAGGAGCAGAAATCAAAGGAACGAAAGTCATCCAGCCTCTCTCCTACTCCATTCACAACCAGAATCGATTCAACTCCTGAACAACCCAAGAAAGCAAAGGAGCAGAAAACAAAACAACGAAAGTCTTCCAGTGTTTCTCCTGCTCCCCAATCCAAAATCGATCCGTCGACTTCCGAACCGCCCAAGAAAGCAAAGGAACCGAAAACAAAAGAACCAAAAACTGATATTGCTTCTGCTGCTCCATCCAAACCGGAAGTACCCAAAAACCCCAGACCACGTGAGCCCATGTCCCCCAATCCCAATTCGGATGCACCCAAAATGCCAATACGGCGGAGTTCCGTCATGGTGGAAAGGAAGGTACGGGAGCTGGAACGAGCGGCACGAGCACGCAATGGAGGAAACATTTCGGAACCGCTTTCCCCGGAAGAGAACATGAAACCCAAAGTGAGGATTCCGTCCAAGGTCCTTGACAGAAAACTGAGCAAGAGCAGTAGTGGTGGGTCGAAAAAGTGGTCGTCCGAATCATCATAACCGAGCAACAACAACAACAACAACAAAACTAATGATCCTAAAGGATACAATTTTTGATTCGTAGCTTCTGTCTTTTCAAAAAAATTATTATTACTGCGCTCCTCTCATTCTTCTCACTAGAATGATTGCATGCATGAATGAATCATCTATCTGATGGACACCAATCGATTCGAACGAATAGAACAAATCATCTTCTGGAAACCAATTCATTGAAAATGGGAAAGGTGAAAAAAACCTGGCTCTAAGTAGTTAGTAGTGCAAAGTGTTGTACCGGTAGTTTGCTATCTATACAAATGCCAAAATGTCCAACAAGCAATGGACTCTTTTCTTTTTTCTGTTTCGTTTTGGATTGGATCTATGCGCGTTTTTAAATCAAGCACCTCCAACAGTAGTGGCACTCTTGGGAAGGCCTCCCATCCCCGTCAAGACTGCCGACATGTTGCCAACTTCTTCGCCACTGGCATATCCTGCAGCCTTTTTGGCCATGCTGGTTGTTCGTTGGATAGCACTAGTATCCTTGTTGTTGGACGATGACGATGAAGACGATGATGACGAAGTGGAAGAAGGTGCCACGGAAACCAACTTTTTCTTGTTGTCGGTCGTTTGCCGATACCGTATTTGTGACATGGTATTGGCATCCAATCGATTCGGTTGGACTTGAAGGGAAGTAGCTGGTCGCATAAAGGCAGGCATGGTCTTGGGGACTGCTTTCGTTGTGGTACCGGTGGTAGTGCTGGTTTGGGCCCGAGAAAACTTGAGCAAGTAGAATTCGCGGGATTTGCGGGATTCATCATCAAAGTTGGTGTGTACCGCATCGGCATCGGACGCTCCGGCTGCCAGCGCCAAATCTCTGGCCCAAGTGGTATTTTGCAAGGATACCATGCGCAGTTTGTCAGCATCTTCGCGGAAAAAAGCCTTTTGACGCTTGTTTTCTTCTACCACGGCCCGTATGGCTCTTCGGACATTCCCTTGCCGCTGTCGGCCTTCATCAATGGAAGCAATGTGTTCCAAGCCTCTCCGTGAGTGACCAAAACTGTGCCACCACTTGTCTCGGGTGTTTTCGTATTCTGCTTTTGTGAGTCCATCCTTTTGTTTGTTAGTTTGCCGTTCGGACAAGGTGGTAGCTTGTCGCAAGGTGGTGGATCGATTTTGGTTCGGCATTTGCCATGATCGGTTGGTAGCCAACCAAATTTCGCTGCCACCCTCCAGCATGGCCTTGGTGATCATGCGTCCCGTCTTGCGGAATTCTTCGTAATCGCTCTTTTGCCACCAGACGCCTCCCTTCTCGTCCTCTTCCATGTCCTTCTGTGACTTGACCGACAAGACACGGGCCATGGGAGAAAAGGTAACATTGTAATTTTTCTTCTTTGGGGTAGTTTCCGAGTAATTGGGAAAGAGCGATCGTCGTCTGGCAGCATCTCCGGACGCTCCTTGTTTGGAAGTACTGGCTCGGAGGAGATTGTTTCGACTCATTCGCGATTGTTGCCTCAGAATGCCTCGAACTTTTTTGGGTTCGGCTACAGATGATTCTTCTTCATGTACCGTTGTATCATCATCATCCGTTGGAACTTCAGGTGGAATCGAGATTCCATTCAGCAGACCCTTTTTGGCATTGACTGGATCCGGTGAAGAAGGATGAACGTCATCATTGGTAGTGGTGGTGTTGTCGTTGCTAGGACTGCTGCTGTTGTTGCTGTTGTCCCCCCCATTGACTTCATCTGGTTGCGCCAATCGTAAGCGAGCCAAAACAGCCTGACGATTCTTATCAGAAAGACGCTCTCCCAAAGCATCACTTCCAACTGAGGTTTCATCTTCTTCCTTAGAGGAGGACCGAGTAATCGTAGTAGATGGAGGGGTCGTGTTGACGTCCACGAAGGTTTCTTCATTTTCGGTTTCATCTTCATCTTCATCCTCATCGTCTTCTTCCTCATCTGAATCCTCTGAATTATTCATCCACGGTGCAAAACAGAACCACCACGGTTGTTTTGATGTCTTTTTGTTGGCCAGTAACTTTGGCGCTTGATTTTCCGAATATGCTGTATAGTCTTGATAATAGTCATCATAATCCACAGCATGAAAGCCACTATACCGTCCAGTGGTGTTTTCCTTCGAGTCCTCCTTAGACTTGGACTTTTTCTTGTCGGATGATGATTCCCCATCATCACCATTCACAGAAGAAGGTGCCACCGACGCTGAGGATCCAGTGCTACTACGCAGGGCCGAATCGGAATCAATGCTGTTGCTGGCCACGGACGATTTCTCGTCTTCCTCATCGTTATCCGAAGGATCTGGAGTTTTGGTTTCTCCAAAATCTAAATCATCATTCGTAGTGGTGGTAACGGGGGCGCCCTTCGTGGTGCTGCTACAGAATCCAGGATTGGATTGTGCCTGCTTTTGTGTTGATGTTGGTTGCTGTGATGCATGTTCCATTCCTTCCTTACTGTGAGAAGATGATGAAATCTGAACCAAATTATCAGAACCAACCGGAGCTGATATTTCAATGGAAGTCTTGAATTCTCCATCGTCCACCTGTCTGGCCATTTCCGCCAAGTCCAGCATGGAGTCTCTTGCTAAACCGAGCGACATGATGCTGGCTTATATATGACTTGTATTGTATATAATATTGTATTGGTACACGAAACTAAAAATCCCAACCCGAACTGAAACAAAAACTATCGGAAGCCGAGTTCCACCTGAGAGATCCTCTTGTAATAGCAGAAAGCCTCTATACTGTCAGGTAGTATAGCAATGGTGGTTCCTCGGTATCCTTCCCTTGCTGTTGTTGTTGTTGTTTTCTCTATTGATATTTTAATAAAGGGTCTTGGAGGGAGAATGGGAAAACAGAATCCTGTTGTATTCCTGACGTTGCGTGTTATTGCTGGAAGCATGCGCCCCCTAGGTTGGCCCCCGGCAGATGGGATTGTCGACGTGTAGGCAGGAACCACACGAACGCGCGGAGCTTTTGGTTTGTTAAGTAGACCAGATGGTGAGTTATTTTCTTTACTTAGTAATGCGTCGTAGCAGACATGTCGTAGTTCGGGTGATCGACCACGTATTGCTGATGCTGTCGTCCTTCCGCCGTCCCCCAACCTCGGCAAACTTGGATTTCGATTTGGTTCCAAAATGATCCAATCAAATTTGCTTCTGTCTTGTTTTCCCATTAAATTTCTATCAACAAACTATAATTCAAACCAACAACAACAACAACAACAAACAAATTCCAATCCAAAGATGAAGCCCATGGTAAATGTCAAGATCATCTCGGACGTTGTCTGACCCTTTTGTTTTGTTGGCATTCGGCATTTGCAGGAAGCCAGCAAGATTGCCAGTGTGAATTTGAACGTCACCTGGGAACCCTTTTATTTGAACTCTTCCATGCCAGAAGAGGGAGAAGACATGGAAGCCCACTTGTACAAGAAATACGGGATTCAAGGAGTTCAAATGCTCAAAGATCCCAATGCTTATTTGTATGTAGCAGGACGCAAGGTGGGAATTGAATTTACCAAAAAGCGCAACATTTATCCCACCAAAAAGGCTCATGCCTTGATGGAATATGCCAAACAAGAAAAAAGTAACGACGTTGCCAATCAAATGATGGAAGAAATGTTTCAACGGTACTTTGAAAAGGGAGACAATATCAATTCGGAAGACGTCTTGTCCGAGATTGCCACCAAGGTTGGAATTGATGAGGCAGCTGCTAAGGAAGCCGTGAAGGATGACAAGTACCTTTATGAAGTCAATGAAAAGGACAAGCTATACAAGCAACAAATGCGGATCTCGGGTGTTCCATACTTTCTGATTGATCGTAAGGATGGTCAGCGTCCTATTGGATTTTCTGGTGCTCAACCCATTGATATCATGGCCGAGCAACTGGAAGAGGCTACCGAAGAGTAGGAGACGATCATGTTATGAAATGAAACATCATCCAAAAAAGAAGCACCAGGCTGTACAAGCAAGAGAAACCTACAAGACTACCTTTTCAATCGTTCCATGGAACAGTTAATGACCGCTGTGATAGTCCTTCAATTGATTGAAGGATACCATCTTTTGCGCGACACATTGTCACATGGATATTGGATTGAAGGATTTTGTTGTGGGTGGATTCTTCTGTACCGGTGCGTTGCCACCGCTCTTCTAAATGAAACTAGTGTTAGTTAAAATGTGTTTTTCAAATAGCGAAAGACCGAATCACTTCTTGACCAACTACAGTACGAGTGGTCTTTTTCTCAGCTAGCTAATGGCGACGAGGTGTTCTGGTACTGTTTACTATGATGATCGATGTATTAGCATTATGACCAGACAGGCTTTCGAGTTGAGGCATCGGATCTCTATTTAATGATCTGATCTTCGTTTGATGACTAAGAGTAATAATGCATTCGTTTTACAATACTGTATGGTACCTGGTACCTGGTACCTGGTAGTAAGCAGAGATCGTATCGTGCCAAAACTATCCTGTACACGCACTGGGGAACAATATGCGGTAATTCATTTTCCTAGCGCCAATACAATTGACCTGGCGAGACCACCAACCAGCCTATCATCATTTAGGGAGTTTGGGATGATTGATTAGTTCTGTCAAATGCTGCTCGGACAACTTTGATCACTTCGAAGAAAAGCTAAATTCATAGGTGCCATAAATGCGCAGATGGATTGCTGGTTTGGATTTATGGGACTACAGAAAACCTTATATTCTCAACGGAGCCACAGAAAGAGGCAATAAGATCTTATCTTGAGAGAAGAATAGAATCATCTCATAAAAGTGCACAGGCTCACCATCATCATATCACGATCCCAACCATATTGGGGTTGAGTGAAAACGTGCAATGGTGCTCCTTTCACAATGCACGACAATACTGCTCTCATGCCTATTAGCAACTGCATCATGGCTACCATCGGCGCAAGCCTTCAAGGGCATGCCCGTGACCTTTCATGAATATCAGTATTCAGGTGAAAACAATAATCCAGAGAATCCTACCTTTGGCATTGCTGGTACTCCTCGGGTCCGCCAAATGCCTCCTGGGCGAGGTGCCTTTTTGGATGACGCCGGTAATACACCATTCTCAGAAGAGAACAGTGATCTTCCCTCGGCCCGCCGCATCATGGAAGAACTCTTTCGGAAACCCATTCCGACTCAAACCTCTGCCTTGCGATGCGAATTGCTCTTGTATTTTGGTTTGTTGATTCAAGTGGATACCATGAAGATGGGCTCCAATAGCAGCGAACCCTTTCATATTCCCTGCGATGGACAATTGGAAGATGCCATGTTTTGTCCCGCTACAGGAAACTCGTATTGCGCCAGCAATGGGGGCTATGACACTACATCACCACCACCTGCTCAAACCAACGTCTTTCGGGCCGAACACGAGATTGTGGATGGACAACGTGCTACGATGAATGGAAATACAGCCTTTTTGGACATGAGCTTTCTCTATGGTGGCTCCAAGGATCAAGCCGACAAGATTCGTTCCTTTGTAGGTGGTCAGTTGGATTTGGTGGACAATGGAGCTGGACTTTTGCCAAGAGATTCAACGGTCCTCAGCCACATGAACACTCTTCCTACTTTGTATTCCCTCATTGTGGTCTTTATGCGGTTTCACAATTATGTCGCCAAATACACCATGGAAGAGAACCCAAACTTTACGGACGAACAAATCTACAACTCGGCCCGCAACTATGTCATTGGCACCTATCAAAAGATGGTTCTCAACAATTACTTTCCTGCCATTACTGGCGATACCTTGGGTGTCTACAGGGGATATGATCCTTCCGTCAATCCTGCCGTCGACGAGTTCTTTGCCACGGTCAGTTACCGATATGCCCACACGGAGCAACCGTCCGTCATTCGCTTGATGGATCCCAACTATGTGCCCACCGCGGCGGACCCCATCTTTTTGCGGGATGCTTTCACTCCAAAACAACCCGACGGCATTGCAAAGATGGTGACCGATCTATCCGAAGGGATTGAAAATGTGTTGCGAGGAGCAACCTTTACTCCCAAGAAACCCTACGATACCTATTTTGTGGACGATTTGAATCTCTTCACTCCGACCACTGTCTTGGACATTCAACGATCTCGCGATGTAGGAATTCCTCCCTACAATGAAGTCCGACGCAGGATGGGGTTGAAACCAGCCGAAAGTATTTACGAGCTGGTCATGTCGAATAAATTTGGAATTTCCTACGAAGACTCTTCCGAGCTAGTGGCCATTCTGCAAAATTTGTACAATGACGATGTGGAGAAGGTGGATGCCTACGTTGGAGCACTTTTTGAAGGAGCCGACGAATCCACGGGCACCTTTGGTCCTCTCTTTGATAATTCCTTCAAGGATCAGTTCAACCGGATCCGTTTGGGGGATCGTTTCTGGTTCGAAAATGTGTTCTCCGAAGAAGAGCAGAGTGGGATGCTTACCCTCACGGATATTATCAAACTGGTTTGCGATGGAATGAATCGATTTCCTTGGGACCCGTTTGCTGTCTGGGGTACTGACATGAACAAGGTAGTCGAAGAAGACTGCGATGAACCAACTCAATTGAATAAAGTCTCCTTGTTGGGGTAAGTTTTGTCGATGGCAGAGTGACGCATATGTGGTGGTTTAGGTTTCACGTTCTCACTGAATTGCAATTGTTCGTCTTGCTTTGCTTACTACAGAGGCGGATATACAATGGCCTGGGCTATTTTCCCTCCTGATCCCACGGCGGAACAGGATTCCGGTGAGGAACCGGGAAGGACCGTCGAAGTTACTTTGACTGCCGAAGAAGGATTTGACGGTGTTGGGTTTATGGGTGTTGGGTGGAGAGCCCGAACCATGAATGGTGCGGATATCTGGTTCTGCACAATCGACCCAGAAAACTTTGTGGTGACGCCTGGTTCTTGTGATAGCAGACAGACCGAGCCTTTTGCCTTCAACTGCTGTGTGGCACGAGGTGCCAATGTGATGCCAAATTGTCTCGGGCTAAGCGATCCAGATTTTTATCCTTTGCAAGTCGTCGATTGGTGCTTGGACGCGGATCAATCATCAGTCACAATCCGGGCTGATGTTTGTGCTGGAGACGATGTTGGGGGCAAGACTCGCAACTGCTTCCAATCCTCCTCGAATGGCGATGGAACTATGAATATGATTGCAGCCTACAATCCTTCCCGAGTGAGACCTCACGGATTTCAACGAAGGACTTCCACCGTAGTTGATTTGAAGGCAGGGATTCAAACGGCAGACGAAGGTAACGTTGCTCAAGAAGGATTGATCGCCTATCATGCTATCACAATGCTGGTATTCTGGATGTTCCTTGCTCCTATTGGCATATTCGTTGCCCGGTACATGAAGACCAAAACTTGGCGTCTCGTGACTCACATTTCCATCATGGTACGTCATTCTCCCAGCTCCAATAGCGGTATAGTCATCTCTCAAATTGCGTCTCATATGGTTTTTTCGTTTTGTCTTTCGATAGGGTGCGGTTGCTGGTTTGATGATTCCAATTCTGATTGGCGTGGAGGCTTCCGTCGGTGCTACGGACAAGTCTCAGGAGCATGCGGTTGTCGGTTTGGGATTGACTGCGGTTGTGCTTCCAATGTTCCTCGCTGGAAGAATTCGTCTGTTGAAGCTCCAAGGAGTCAAAGTGGGCAGAAGGACCGCTCGCATTGCATTCGCGTTCCACAAGTATACTGGTTATTTCATTTTGTTTGCCTCCTGGTATAATTGCTATGCCGGCCTTATTCGAATCTCTCCAGAAGACTCGAACCTCCAACTAGTGCTATTTTCAAGCGTTTCGTTGGGTAAGTTTCAAAGCTATAACTTATTGCATTGATGTGCCACAAGGAACAACTCACGCAACTGCCCCAATTACAATTCAAATCGAAAACAGGGTACGACTTTCCAATTTTTGGATTCATAAAGGACCACCTATTCGTACCATATGTTGCATTGATTTGCCTTACTTTCCTTGCTGCCGAAATCCATAAGCTGCGATTGAATGGGGCATTTCACGAGAAGAAGCTAAAGGAAGTCAAGGAAGGAAAATCAATCTGGGACGATCAAGACGAGGTCGATTTGTACGACGAAATGACTATGGACAAGTTTTTAGATCTCACAAGGCTTGGAAGCAACCTGTGCATCATTGATGGCCGTGTTTTGGATATCAGTGGCTTCGTCGACAGTCATCCTGGAGGAAGAGACATGCTGAAAACTGTCGCTGGATCGGATATCACTGATGAGATCGCTGGTTTGAGAGATATTGAAGGATTCAGGCATGCTCACAGTTACTTCGCCTTGCAGAGGATGAAAACGCTAGTGATTGCTGTGCTTGTCGCGGAGGACTTGGAAAAGTACAAGCCTATTCTCATCTCGTCCGCAATTCTAGCTGGAAATACCAATGTCCAGGACACCGAAAACCCTGTGCAAACAGTGCAAATCAATTCAATGCCAGTTTTTCGCCGAGCACGTATTCTTGATGTACGGTTTATTACTCCCTTCGAAGAGATTTCAGATGTCAACAAACCAGTGATAATGTTGTGCCTTGCAGTGCCAAAGGTTGCTGGCTGCATTATTTCAAACGATGGTTTTATTTTACCAAGTGCATGTTTCAAGTTCCGTGTTGTGAACGCATGGGGATCGACATTTGAAGCCTATTACACTCCCGTGAGGCTATTGAAGGATGGTGTCGACCGAGGTGCACGTAGTAGCGTCAGCGTGAAAGAGGACGAAAATGTTTACGAGTTTCTGATTAGCTTACGGCCAGGAGGTCAGATTTCTAAGGCATCTTTGGAATGGAAGATCGGGAAGGCACTTGCAGTCCAAGGACCCAGTGTCAATCCCAAAGTTCTGCAAAGTCTTGTTTCGATCACCTCATCCACAGTGATGACGCTTTTCGCGGCTGGCACTGGAATAGCTCCAATGCTCCAACTGTTAGACTTTTACACGGAGCCTTCGAGGCGCTCCAGCACCCCGAATATCTTTTTGATATGGGTGTTGAAAGGTCCTGAACACAACTACAGCGATTGGCTTGGGTTCGAAGAAAGAGCCAAACAGCTGCAGGGGAAGTTCAAGTGGATTATCATCTACTCTTCTTCGAATTCATCTGATAAGAACAAAACACAGCGGACGTCGCACACTACCAGCAGGAAGGACGCGAACTCTGGGTCTTTACGAGAATCAGCAATTGCTCCAAGTTCCATTCGCAACCGCGTTTCGAGGAAAGGGAAAGGAGATTCGAGTGCGTCAGCACCACGCAGCAACCGCTTTTCCCTTGCCAAGTCCCTGCGAAAAGAATCGAGTGATACCAAAATCTCCTCAGTGGCGGTTCCATCAAAATATGCTTCGAGCGTAGCAGCTTCTAATGGGTTGAAGCTGTTCAAGGGTCGGAATAGAGGAAGTTTGATCGAGCGGATCAGGAACCACGACCCAACAGCGTTTACACCAACAAAAGCAGATGCTGGTGTTTCGTTTTCTCCTGATCTTAAATTTGATGACGATTTCTGGCGCGTTCATGCAAATAAGGCCCTTTGTCTTCAACTTGACGAACCATTGGTGTCCAACATTCTCGCCTCGATTGACTACTATTTTGAAATTGAAACCGCAAGAGACTGTGCAAAAGCAGTTACCGAAGCGCACCAGAAGTCAGATGCCGGTCGTCGCCACGATTCTTCACATACCTCAGAGACGGAGGGGACAAAAACGAAGGAGAAGATGTTAGCTGACGAAGTTGCAGATGCTTTCCGAGACAGTGGTCATAGTACTGTGAGCTGTGCCCCCGAAGAAATTAAATTCTTTCTTTGCGGAAGTCCAAGATTTGATTCCAACGTTCGAGACTGGTTGGAATCAAAAGGATGTGACACTGATTCGATCCACAATTTCTACGCCTCTCCCAATGTTCATATTTAAAAAATAAGCATGTGTAAACATAGATATTGCATTTTTAGAAGATCCGAACTTCCTACCTGTATGATCCATTGCATTTTTTTGTCCATCGTGGGTTGAGGTTCGTGGTTTAGCGCGATGTCTTGACTGCCTGGAAAACTTGACACTCATGGGACATTCTATGGTGCTTCTATTTGCCGTGAATCGAAAATATTTAAGAGGCATTCAGTTTCTGCACTTATTGCAAGAGTGCTTTTTTGGAATTTCGAACTCTTCCCGCGCGAAGGATTCTTTCTCCAAGACATCGAAACTATCGCATCAAAAATCCATTTTATAAAATCCAGTCACTTTGAATACGAAACCAAGGTATCATGGCAAGCTTGTTGACCTACGGGAATATATCCAATGTTACAGAGAGCTGGGACCATCTTTTAAGAATTGAGGATTATGAGGAAAAGGCAGGAATTCTGCTTTTCAGAAAGTAAGCTACACTTTTCGTCTGAAAGATTGCAATTGTGCTGCAATACTTCGCTCGTCGCTGACAACTTCCTGTCTTGTTGATTGCAGATTCTTTGCCTACGAGCCACAAGCACTTAAAGTCTTTGGATTCGAAGCGGGTACAACGCTAGACGATGACTTCTTCAAGAATCCAAAGGTCGTTACCCATGCGGTGCAATACACGCGCATGTTGGGCAAGGCTGTCAATTTGTTGGGACCGGACATTGATGTTGTGAACGGCATTCTTCATAACTTGGGACAAAAGCATCGCACTGCATACGGTGTAAAGGCTTCGTTTTACTCTCCCATGGGAAAAGCTCTAATTGAAACCCTAGAAGAGCTCATTGGACCAAAGCATTTTACTGAAGCAGTCAAGGAATCCTGGGTAGAGTGTTTTCAAGCCATGTCCTATGAAATGATCCAGTCCGAGGGTTCAAGGAGACATAGTTGCTGATACTGCATTTCTTTCATAGCCATATGAATAATTACATCTTACATGCCCTAGATGTACTTCCGCTGGCTTAACGATGCTACTAGCGAAATCATCATGTGTCGCCTCAAGAAAAAGAAAAAAGTGGCCAGCACTTACTATCGACTTTGAACTTTTTGACGTTTGTTCACCGCGATGACTGCGATGCGAATCATCTTTTTTGCTTCCAGTGGCCGGTCTGTCGACCACACCGTGTAAACCATTTTCGTCGCATGATGATGATGATGATGCGACGGTCATGTAATCATATATGTTAGCATAGGAAATATGGCAAAATACATACTGTACAGTATACGGTGATACACAAACATGATTACACGCCATCATCAATTACTCTTCAATGCCGCATAAGACAGCATCCTGGCTGCCAAGCAACACCCGCAGCAACATTGTAAGACCCGGCGCAGAAACGAATAATTGAGCACAAACTCTGACCAATGGATCCAGAAGTTACAGTACTGTGCTGCGTGAAAGACAGAAATTGTTGGAGGATAGAGACCATTCTGAGATTCGAGATAGGAATTGGAGAATGGAGCGTCCGAAAACTGCTCTTCGAAGACATGTTCTTTTGAACCTGTGTTACTACAATAATAATGTTGGCAACAATAAGTGCAATGATGAGGGAAACAGAAGTTGGAAAATGTCACATCATGCCACTATCACTATGTATGAGGCGGCACTCCTCCATCTACCGGTAATCACAAGAACGATGGGAATGGTGCTATTATCGAATTGGTTCACACAAGTTCACAGGTGGTTGAAAGAAGTGAGGCGAAAAGTCATTTTCGAAGAAATGTCCTACAATAACTTTCCGAGCAAGGACATATCGGGCATGTCATCATTTCTATGCTTTGCATGCGTAGAGGTACCAATCATTTCGTCTCGCTGGTCTCTTGGTTCGTGCTCGCTCCTGACCCTTCCACTGCCATGGCAATTGTGAGAAGAACGCCCGTCTCCTCGAGGTTTGGAATGATGCTCGTGGCTCCGGTCCTTTCACCATCAGCACGGGGATCCCTTACGACCTCGCTTCCTCGAATCGTACCAACAGTTTTGGCGCTGGCAATGCCAATCAGAGCAGTCAAGAACGGAACAGCAATAGAGACGAGCTTCATGATGTTTGCTTCAACAAAGACGGTTCTCGCTTTTGTGAGTTGGAGAGACGTTATTGCTTTATTGCAAAATCCAAAGATCGAAAATTTCTTCCGAGACTACAATACAGGTTTTGTGTACATTTTATCAATAGAAATGACCCAGTTCTGACGATGCGCCACAGTACTGTACATTGCCACGGGCTTCAGCGTTGGTTGAAAGATCCAAAGATCCAAAAAGTGAGGCTCTAACGCACTTGGATACCAGGTAAGCGTGTGTTGTACAGGTACTGTATTAATACCTGGTACCCTCTGTGATACCAATGGTATTTTATTTATTTATGCGATGCTTTGGAATTCGGAATCTAAGAAATAGAGAAAAGTGAAAAATGAAAATCGACGTGACATCTCCGCTATAATACAAATAATAATGGTACTGCTGTATTGTGTAAGCCTTCCTCCCTCTAATCACAACTCTTGTATCCTCAGATATGCTGTGCGGCTTGCATCTTTGCTCTCGGTGATCATTGCATCCAAGATTTTGGATGGGCGATGATTGTCGCAACAATTGACAACGAAAATGTAGACAAATGGTCATGATCGGGCAGGGCATTCAGGACAGTGTGCAACAAGGCAGCCACTTGATAGCATAACAACGTGAGCTTCGGTGATGCGAGTGAAACAACTTACAGGCATCATTTTTATTATGATTGATTCATTCATTCAAAGTACCGGTACGATATCTTTGGGGATTTCCAGAAAGCGCGTGCTTTCCTGTTGATGGACGGGCTTTTTATTACAGTACTGTAGAAAACTTGTCATTGCTTTTCGGTTGTCATTTGTTGGGCAATACTTGAAGCATTGTCTGAACACAGAAGACCTTATCATCAATATCTAAGAGTTTAACACTATCAATATCATCACCACGATGGAGAACACACGATACATGGTAAAGTTATCGGACGGAAGAAGCATGAACATTGGAAGCAACCATGGTGCCAATGCCTTTCTCAGAGCAGCCTCCAAAATTGACCACTTCTCGTTTCATGTCAATCAAATCAACGGCATTCGACGCAAGAAACGCATCAATGATATCGATTCACACAAAATCATCAAGCACATTGAATTCTTCAACAGCATTGCAAGAGCCGACCCTGATCTCTTTCGAGAAAAGGTTCCACAATCCGAAATCAAGTGTTGGTTGGATTTCATTGTGGAATCCATCAAGAAGATGTCGACCGATTCGAAATGGATCAGCACTGGACTTCCGGCTTTCCGTGACATTTTTTAACTTTCACATTGTGCCCTATTGTTCGGCCATGCTGTTCCAGTAACGCTTGCCTTTCAAAGTGATTACTTTCAGGTTTTGGCTGGCTTTATCCGAGCTCGTCCTGATGGTCGATTACCAACCGCCATGGCCGCTGGGATAACATGTGAGAATGTGACCAGCGCTTTTTTTGACGACAATGGATTCATTTGATAATGTTTGGTCATCCGAAAAAGCCCTCAAGAAATTGGAAGCGACTGGTATCCTCGAAGTGTACTTTCGATGTTTGCCTGCGATGCAACAACTCGATCATAGAGTCATGGATATACTCATCGAGATTCAGTATTGTCCTATCCTTTTGAACAAAAAGTGCAAGAGAGGGTCACCTTGTGGAGAGGCTCTGTGGGCAATTCTAGAAGGGAACGATGGTAGGCCAGATCTTATCAAGAAAATGCAAAGGATTCACAAGTTTGTGGAATTGTCAGTCGTCGATCCTTTCCGCGTAAGACACGCGACATGCGGTTGCTGCGGCATTGGTGATACATCCGCAGCCTTTCAAAAGTCGTTGATGAAATGCAGCCGTTGCAAAACCGCTCTATATTGCTCCAAAGTATGTCAACGATCTCACTGGTCAGAACACAAACTGGTTTGCATTCCCATTGCCGAGGCTAACGAGGACCACAAGAACGCAAGCGAAACGATCTCTGAGAATTGGATGATCAAGAACTACTCAAAAGTGATGGTTCAGATGATTGTGGAATGTCAGAAGACGGGCCTGAAGATGAAAGATATGGTGTTGGAGCTTGACTTTATGGAAAACAAGGACGGAATCATTCCTGCCGTGGAAGATCCAGCTATTTTCAAGATTGCACCAATTCGAACTTATATCGAAGGGTCTCGGCCAGATGAACTCGATTGGTATGGGAAAAAAGAGAACCAAGAGACCTACGAGCAAAGAATGAAGAGCACCATTTCGTCCTTGACACCAGACAAACAAACTACCAAAGAATCTGCTGCTGTCCTTATTCGTTATGCTCGTCGTGTAACTTGCCTCAATCAGTAAGTCTGCCTAACGCCTCGCGGTTTCGATCCTTTGTATCTTAATAGTTCTGACAAAGATATCTGCTATTTTCCTGCTTGCAGCGATGACAACCTCACAGAGGAGGCTCTTGGTGACTATCGGGATGCTCTACAGGGATGTTTTGATCAAGTGGGCGAATCTTACGATGCTGACGGTGACGGCGGCTCAGATGAAGGTGGATATTACTCTGATGATGATGATGATGATGCATACGTCTATGGAAATTCCATGGAGGAAATATTGCTCAAGTGTCTATCAAACCCAAGTTCGAATGTGTCAGCAGGTGCTGCATTTGCCTACAATTAACCGACATTGCAGATAGAAAGATTTCAAGTATCTCCAAATCATGGGTGTCTACTATCTTCCCCTCTGCAGAAAGCAACTTGAGGGCAGAGTTAAATTCGCCTGCTTGTTGCGTTCTTGCACAGTGTTAGCCTATTATAATTGACGATAGTGTATAGATGATAGACCTAAAGAAGATTTCTAGGTCGTTGATTGTACGGCAACTATACGAGTATATGCATCCACGACTTACGAGAGTCTAGTGCTGGAAAGCATGTCTCATAATCTATGTATATGTTCGTGACTATCATTACGTTTATGACAGTCTAATGGTCGAAAATGTTATTGTGCTTTCTGCGTCTTTTTCCTGATTTGGAACTTGAGCTTTTTCCTGATTTGGAACTTGAGCTTTTTCCTGATTTGGAACTTGAGCTTTTTCCTGATTTGGAGCCTGAGCTTTTTCCTAATCTGAATCGTGGACTTTTTCCTGATCCCAATTCTGGCGTTGGACCTGGTCCACACTGCCCATTGGTAGACAGTGAAGGAGCTCCGTAGGCTTCGAGCTGAACATCATCAATGTACACTGTCTTGCTTCGTCTAGTACGCGTTGTGCGAAAGCGAAATTTGACGGTATTGATTCCACCTGTGAGTTCAAGATCAGCTTTGCCACTGCACCAACTTGATTTTAAGCGGGAGCAGGACGCATTCCTTCCGAATCTCTGCCAACTTGTCCACCTCCCCCCATTGATCTGAATGTCGACGTAGAATCCGTCTCGCCTGTTTAGGCTTGTTGTTCGGTATGCAAATAAAAGTTGGATTCTGCTGTACTGAGAGAACTCGTATGATTCGATTGTTTCAGATAACACTCTGTTTCGTCCAGCGAGTCTCAGAGAGCTTTGACTGCCATTAGATCCGCCAATGGTTGTGATGTCAACACAACCTCCTCCATCGGACAAGAACCGAAATCCGTTCTCGAAGTCCTCGTTGAAAACACAGTTCCATTGGTCGGGGGAGTTGTTTGCTGTGGAAGGCCTGGTGCTTGGTACCAAACTGGGGCTTTGGGATGGTGATAAACTGTCAATTGTATAGAGCAGCTGCGAAGGTTCAAGCGAGGGTAAGATCGAAGGGGTTGTGCTAGGAGCCGTGGATGGTATAGTCGACGGAGTACCCGATCTCTCCATGCTTGGCCTGTTGGATGGAACCAGGCTTGGAAGTTGCGAAGGAGCCACTGAGGGCGTTGTCGTTGGTGTACCTGATCCTTCTTTGCTTGGCCTGTTAGACGGAGCAGCGCTAGGGAGTCGTGAAGGAGCCACGGAGGGTATAGTCGATGGAGTACCTGATTCCTCTTTGCTTGGCCTATCGGATGGGGTAGTGCTTGGGATCGTGCTTGGCATGGTAGATGGTGATGTCGATGGTGTACCCGATGCTTCTTTGCTTGGACTTTGACTCGGTGCAATTGATGGAGTCTTGGATGGGATGTTCGAAGGCCTGAAGCTTGGTAATCCTGATGGTTCCTGACTTGGACTCATCGAAACCGTCCCTATGCTGGCGACGGGGACAAGTATAATGCTTGGTGAAGATGACAAAGTTGGAACCTCACTTTGTGTTCTGGAAGGCGATTGGCTTGGAATCTGCGAGGACACAATGCTTGGACTTTGACTTGGACCACTAGAAGGGCTCTGGCTAGGAAGCTGCGAGAGAATAATACTTGGAATTTGACTTGGATGGTTTGAAGGGGTTTGGCTAGGAAGCTGCGAGGGGCCAATACTTGGAGACTGTGATGGCCCAATAGATGGCGACGCACTTGGAACTTGACTGGGTCCAATAGAAGGCTTTGCAGATGGATGGACGCTTGGCATGATAGAAGGCGACTGCGATGGCGCAACGCTGGGAACAACACTTGGCTTCGCAGAAGGTATCGTTGAGGGTACAGCCGATGGAAACGGGCTTGCACAGGTCTGTGTTCCTTGGAAGACTTGTACTTCGGCAAACCCGCCCGCACTGGTGTCGATCTCGACAACCCTGATTGTGAGATCCTCGCCGCTGCCGAAGATGTTGCTGATAATGTACTCATCACCAACTGATAACCTGGCCTCAAGATTCGAGAAGGATCCAAATGCTGGATTTTGCGAGACAATGGTCACTTGGTTTACTGCTTCATTGGTTCCCTCATGGAATCCCACCGCGTGGTTGTACCCGACATAGTAGTCGGTTGCCGCATCTGGAATCTTGAGGACAACCTTCTCATCTCCAGCGATTGTAGGATAATTAGCAACACCCACGAGCGTTCCACAGAACGGTGTCGTCGCAGCGTCAATATCAAGATTCTTGTCGCTGTACCATCCGAGAGTGTACGACTTTGCCGGACTAAAAGACAAGACATCCAAGTGTTAGTATAAGAGGAGTTCAATGACCACAAGAACATCGGTTTCTTTGCTTACTTGAAACACATCTTAGCCCTTGAAGGGCCATCGTCAACAAAGTAACTTATTCCCATCATTCCAGTTCGATCTCCATACTCAACATCCACATCAGTATTATCGGAAGCGTGTGTCAGACCTACATTATGGCCGACTTCGTGCTAACGTAGGACGATAAAAATGAGAAATCGACACAATACACTAGCCATTCCTCGACCTCATAGTGCACGTACCATTTGAACCGATGGATACAAACAAGCATCATCGTTGTAGACACTGACGTATCCAGGTAAACCTGCATATGCAACCCAATTCCCATCCGTGGTACCTGGTGGTAGACAAAGCATGATAAGATCGAATTGATCTTCCAGGTTCGAGGAGCCAAATTGGGACTCGAGCTCGTTCATGGCTACGTCCTCGAGCTGCGAAGAAGTGAGCGACGAGGCGGCCACCGGTACGTTGATTTCGAAAACGCCATCAATAACATTGTTGTTGTAGTTCGACGTCGTTCCGCCACCACATACGCAGCAGGCACTGTTACCAGTCTCTGGGCCACCACCCAAGTCAGCATCATTACCATATGTATTGCATGTGGTTGGATCCTGATTCTGGAAAAACTCGAACCAATCGCAATCGGCATAGTTTCCGCTGGCGAATTGAAAGAATCCAAGGTAGTTTGGGTCATCGGCACAAGCCGTTCCTGATCCAGTTGCTGGGTCGATGATAATTTGGTCGTTAGAGCATCCTTCGTACTGCGACTTGAGGTTGACTGGATCACCATCTGTACCAAAAACAGCATCACTTATTTCAGCGATGCTCGCTGTTGGTTGAGCGTCATTGGTAACGACTCTCACAACAAGAACATTCTTGTTCCCTGTGCTGGTCGCGAGCCTGCGTCTCGACTCGCCCCCAATCGCATGGCGTTGGGTATCGAATTTCAACTCACTGTTGGGAGTAATCACAAGCAAACCACTTTCAATTACAGCATCTTCGGCAAACAAGAGTGTTTCGCCGCTGACAATGTCAGGTTTCGTGGCCAAGACATGTTCGATGCCTTGAATATCGACGTTCAAATGATAGCCTCCAAGAAGTGCACCTGCGTTCGTAGCATCCTGCCCCTTCATCCTGCATCTCCATTTGAATTCATCTTCGTCCAAGTTGTCACGAGCTTCGAAGAAAAGCGTACAAGGCTTTAACTGTTTTTTTGGACCTGATGCTTGCACCTTGTTCGACAATGGCTTTATTTGCATTTTCCCCCCATTTTGGCCCTGGCGCTTTGTCTTCTTCCTGCGCAGTTTTCTCCTCTGGCTTCCAGTCTGGTGTTGAGTGACGAAGAAACAATGATTGGCTAATCCAGGAACTTTTCAGAAACAAACGAAATCGAATAGGTCTCTTACCTCTCTTGATAATCCAATACTAGTCTGCGCAACACTTTGTGCGGACAACGTGATGAGACAAAGCAATATTGACAAGCACCTCGTTGTCATTGTCGGCGGTTAATTGTCTGGGCTTAAATTGAGATTATTGTGATGCGATCATACGGTACAGCACGCATCGGTTTCTCATAATTCTTCGGGTGTGAAATGTCAATCGGAGAAATTTATTTGAAAATCCAGTCGATCAGCACACTTCGAGTGGGATATACGAATGATATCACATGTTTTGGGTCTATGAGCCTGTTCCTTCGTTCGAAGGAGTGTTTCTTTTTTCATGCAGTCATCGAAAGGAAAGTTCTTGGTGTCACAAATTTTCATGTGGATCAAGACCAATCTGCTTGCGGTCACACACACATATATGCCCATAAGGGAAAAAGCACCTCACATTTTCCGGCGCATATGGATAATGTAACCGGGTCTGCTTTTATGGCAGAAACAACAACCCCGAAAAAAGTCGCATGTGGGCGCCATTGGTATGGTCATGGTCTTTTTCATGGTTTTGCTTGTTTCGAAGTGACATTGTGGTTCTTTGAATGATGGTGGAAATAAAGTCTATTCATCGTGGTAGCAAATACTTCGCGGATAGTATTACAAAATATATGTTTGTATCTTGTTTCGATTGCATCAAGACCAATAGTGTGCTTGCGGTCACTTCTCACACATGATGCCCCGAGTTGCCAGGTGATTTGCAACCGATTTTCCTCTGATAACGATTTATAACAGTAACAATATATAAAATAGTATCTATTTTATGGGTTTTGTTGGTCACTGAATCGGTAAAATCAAATATCGGTATACCGTATAGCGGTATGTGGATTTCTTTGCGGTCAAATCAATAATCATCTGATTTACATTACAATGATGTGACAGTGTCTGGCTCTCGATTCTAATTGCATTCATTTACCACCTCATGTGTCCACCACCAGAATGAATCAATCGTTCATGCCAAACAAGCTAGGAACACAATTCGGGTTTTGTACAGCTTCCCATTTTTATTAATGAATGGCCTTGATTGTTTTGAGTGTTGGGAAGACGACATTCTTGGGAATCTTGTATGTTTTTTTGCGACTCCCGAACCCAGACGTTTTTCCCGAGTTGGAACTGGAACCTTTTCCTGATTTGGAGCTCGACCCTTTTCCTGATTTGGAACTTGACCCTGTTCCTGATTTAGAACTTGAGCCTTTACCTGACTTGGAACTTGAATGTTTTGCTGATTTGGAACTTGAGCCCTTTGACGATCTTGATATCGGTCCACACTGTTGTCCATTGGTAGTCGATGAAGGAGGTCCATAGGCTTCGAACTGGACATCATCAATATACACTGCCTTGTTTCGCCCACGACTATGCAACGTGTGGAACTGAATTTTGACGGTATTGATTCCACCACTGAGTGCAAGATCAACTTGACCTGTGCACCAACGCGGTTTTGAGCTGGAACAATAGTCATTCTTTCCGAATCTCTGCCAACGGTACCACATTCCACCATTGATCTGAATGTCGACGTTGAATCCATCTTGACTGCTGAGTCTTGTTGTTCGGTATGCAAATGAAAGTCGAATTCTGCTGTATTGAGAGACCCCGTACTCGTTTGTCTCAGACGACACTGCATTTCTCCCAGTGAGTATCAAAGCGTCATTGGATCCGCCAAAGTTGGTGATGGCTGCAGTACCTCCTCCATCAGACAAGAACTGAAACCCGTTCTCGAAGTCTTCATTCAAAATACAGTTCCATTTGTCGGGGGGGTTGTTGAGTGTAGTGGGACTGAGGCTTGGAAAAGTGGATGGAAATCGCGAAGGAGCCGCGGAGGGTACAGTCGATGGTCTCCCCGATGTTGAAGGAGCCGTGCTTGGTACTATGCTTGGCATAGTTGACGGTGCTGTCGTTGGTGTACTCGATGCCTCTTTGCTTGGCCTGTTGGATGGAGCACTGCTTGGAATCATGCTTGGCATGATTGATGGTGATATCGATGGTGTATCCGATGCTTCTATGCTTGGTCTATTGGATGGAGCAGCGCTTGGAATCAAGCTTGGCACGATCGATGGTGATGTTGATGGTGTATCCGATGCTTCTTTGCTTGGACTTTGACTCGGTGCAATTGACGGTGTCGTTGACGGGCCGTTGGAAGGTTTATGGGATGGCTGCTGGGAAGGAACCAAGCTTGGGAATCCCGATGGTTCATGACTTGGACTCATCGAAGCCAGCGCTGTGGTTGGTGACGTCGACAACGATGGAGTCTTAGAGGGCCCAATACTTGGAGACTGTGATGGCCCAATAGATGGCGACGCACTTGGAACTTGACTGGGTCCAATAGAAGGCTTTGCAGATGGATGGACGCTTGGCATGATAGAAGGCGACTGCGATGGCGCAACGCTGGGAACAACACTTGGCTTCGCAGAAGGTATCGTTGAGGGTACAGCCGATGGAAACGGGCTTGCACAGGTCTGTGTTCCTTGGAAGACTTGTACTTCGGCAAACCCGCCCGCACTGGTGTCGATCTCGACAACCCTGATTGTGAGATCCTCGCCGCTGCCGAAGATGTTGCTGATAATGTACTCATCACCAACTGATAACCTGGCCTCAAGATTCGAGAAGGATCCAAATGCTGGATTTTGCGAGACAATGGTCACTTGGTTTACTGCTTCATTGGTTCCCTCATGGAATCCCACCGCGTGGTTGTACCCGACATAGTAGTCGGTTGCCGCATCTGGAATCTTGAGGACAACCTTCTCATCTCCAGCGATTGTAGGATAATTAGCAACACCCACGAGCGTTCCACAGAACGGTGTCGTCGCAGCGTCAATATCAAGATTCTTGTCGCTGTACCATCCGAGAGTGTACGACTTTGCCGGACTAAAAGACAAGACATCCAAGTGTTAGTATAAGAGGAGTTCAATGACCACAAGAACATCGGTTTCTTTGCTTACTTGAAACACATCTTAGCCCTTGAAGGGCCATCGTCAACAAAGTAACTTATTCCCATCATTCCAGTTCGATCTCCATACTCAACATCCACATCAGTATTATCGGAAGCGTGTGTCAGACCTACATTATGGCCGACTTCGTGCTAACGTAGGACGATAAAAATGAGAAATCGACACAATACACTAGCCATTCCTCGACCTCATAGTGCACGTACCATTTGAACCGATGGATACAAACAAGCATCATCGTTGTAGACACTGACGTATCCAGGTAAACCTGCATATGCAACCCAATTCCCATCCGTGGTACCTGGTGGTAGACAAAGCATGATAAGATCGAATTGATCTTCCAGGTTCGAGGAGCCAAATTGGGACTCGAGCTCGTTCATGGCTACGTCCTCGAGCTGCGAAGAAGTGAGCGACGAGGCGGCCACCGGTACGTTGATTTCGAAAACGCCATCAATAACATTGTTGTTGTAGTTCGACGTCGTTCCGCCACCACATACGCAGCAGGCACTGTTACCAGTCTCTGGGCCACCACCCAAGTCAGCATCATTACCATATGTATTGCATGTGGTTGGATCCTGATTCTGGAAAAACTCGAACCAATCGCAATCGGCATAGTTTCCGCTGGCGAATTGAAAGAATCCAAGGTAGTTTGGGTCATCGGCACAAGCCGTTCCTGATCCAGTTGCTGGGTCGATGATAATTTGGTCGTTAGAGCATCCTTCGTACTGCGACTTGAGGTTGACTGGATCACCATCTGTACCAAAAACAGCATCACTTATTTCAGCGATGCTCGCTGTTGGTTGAGCGTCATTGGTAACGACTCTCACAACAAGAACATTCTTGTTCCCTGTGCTGGTCGCGAGCCTGCGTCTCGACTCGATTCCATTCCCTCTGCGTTTGGCATCGAATTTCAACTCACTGTTGGGAGTAATCACAAGCAAACCACTTTCAATTACAGCATCTTCGGCAAACAAGAGTGTTTCGCCGCTAACAATGTCAGGTTTTGCGGCCAAGACATGTTCGATGCCTTGAATATCGACGTTTGCACGATAACCTCCAAGAAGTGCACCTGCATTCGTAGCATCCTGCCCCTTCATCCTGCATCTCCATTTGAATTCATCTTCGTCCAAGTTGTCACGAGCTTCGAAGAAAAGTGTACACGGCTTCTTCTGTATTCTTGTACCAGATGCTCGTACGCCGCCACTTTGTTTTTTGCTACCTTTGTTGTTGCCTTTACTTTTGCCCTTGCTCTTTCCTCTGCTGTTGCCCTTGTCGTTTCCTTTGCTGTTTCCCTTGATCTTGCTTTGGCTATTGCCTTTGCCGCCAAGTTTTCTTCTCTGCCGCTGAGAGAACTGTTTAGTTGACATGGTACACTTCTCTCACCATTGAACAACTCTAATCGAACTCTCTTACCTCTCTCAATTGCTCAATGCTAGTCTGTGCAACTGTTTGTGCTGTCAGCATGAGAAGACAAAACAGTATCAAGAAGATTCTCCTCTTCGTCATTGTTGCCGGTTAATTATTTGGGTTTGGTTGGACTATTTTCAAAATTTGTGGAGAATAAAAAGAGACGCATCTCGTTTATTTAATTAATTCTTCTTTTCGGATGGAAAATGTCAGTAGGCATTTTCGGAATATCTGGTGATTCCTTGGCACCACACGCTAGAGTGGGGGTGCAATGAGTGCCATACAATTTGTCGAATATTCGGTTTTCTTCCGTACTCAGGGATGATTCGTGCCCTCCTCGAGAAAATTCTTTTTGTCGCTTTTTCATGTGCATCAAGACCAATCTGATTGCGGTCACTTCACATATATGCCCACAAGTAATAAATTTGTCCCTGGTATTGCTCGACAATATTGTAACCGGGTTTGCTCTGATGGCGAAGGTTCGATTTGCTTCTTGCCCGTCATTTGGGTACTGTAGCTTGTCATCAGTAGGTATGAGGATACAAGGGCCTTGCTTCATTCGGTCCATTCTATACTCTTGGTCCATTGATCGAATGGTACAGTACCAGGTACTGTGTAAGCTGGTTTTTATCCCGGTGCAGTGCCAGATTGATTCATTCATTCTTCTCCATCTCCAGTGCATTACCCCACTCTGTAGCAATCGTGTTTTGAGACTTTCTAGTTTTTATATTGTTGAGGAGGAACGAAGTACAGACAGCGTCTGTCATGCGACATAAACACGATTACTCTACTCACTCTTGGATCGACCGGTCATGGATAAACGAGTGACAGACAAACATCGTGTGCTATAATTTTGATTTTGGACCGGCGATTTTATATATGCGAAGATCCAATGACTGCGAAATATGCGGTATAGTCATTATACGTCATTACATATCTTCGAGTACCAGTATACCGGTACGCATATCCAAACGACCTGATCCTTCTTATCTTGTCCTGGCTTGATCAAATCGTTCTCTTGATGATTGATGAGCTTGAGAATTCCTCTGGAAACTATCAGACGTAGAAAACACCCGAGAAAGCCACCCTTCATATATGACTAACAAACAATCTAGAAGTCGTATCATGGCAACTGTGAACCAAGCTGATGAAAGCGGCGGCAAGCCTGCTAGCAACGGTAACACTGCCAATGTGGGGAGTAACGTCTTCGTTGCGACAGCCAATGATGCAAATTCCTCCTTTGCACTCCTCCAACAAGTTCAATCTATATTGCTAGAAAACAACGAGGCCAAAACGAAAATGGTGGAACTGGAAAATCAGATGGCAACCTTTCAAAAGGAACGGGAGGCATTGAATCGCCAATTGGACGAAAACGAAAAGGATTCAGAACAGAAAATTCAGAGTCTGCAGCAACAGCTGTCCCTAAAGGAAGAACAATGGTCTGAAAGATATGAAACTCAAGAAAGAAACCACAAATCCAGCCTTCAGAAGCTACAAACCAACATCGATGATTGGGAATCCCAGCACCAAGACTGGATCGTACAAAAGGAGCAACACCACGACGATGCCAGCAAATTGAAAGAAGAGAAAATACGCCTGGAATCTCAAGTTCAACAAATCAAGTCAACCTTGGAAGAATCTGAGGCAGACGCACGTCGACTCCGGCAGCACCAAGAAGAAGCTACCAAGACGCATCAAGAAAAGGTCGACGAAATGAATAGCCGTCTAGAGTCAACACAAAATGATCTGGAGGCACAGAGACTTCAGCAGAAGAACGAAAAGCAAAGCCACGAAGAACAGGAACGCAAATTGAGCCAGACAATAAAAGAATTGCAAACTTCTGCCAAAGCGAAAGACGCGTCTCTCCAATCGTTGAATGATGTCATCAAAGAATTGCGCCTCGAGGCCTCGCAATTGAAGCAGTCTCATCAAACACAAGTGGATGATATGGAAGGAACGATTGCCAATTTGGAGCAGGAAAATGTTGCTCAGTCAAGACAAGCCGAGGAATACCAAACCGAAATTGAAAAACTCCAAGAGGAAATGGATTCCCTTAAATCAGTCTTTTTGGAGCAGCAGAAGCGAGTCGAAGAAAAAGAAGAATACAGCTCAGAACACGAAGACCAAGAAGATCAAGAATCCAAATGGCAAGACCTGGTGCAATCACTCCAAATCCAAGTTCAGGCCCAAACCAATGTTGCCGAAACACAAGGTCAAGAATTGGAAGAGGCCAAGAGTCAGAATATGCAATTACGAGTGCAACTGCAAGTCGCTTCTCAGCAAAAAGAACAGCTGGAAAGGAGTTGGAATGAAACCAAGGAAAAGCTCAACAGTTTGGAAGAACGCCTTTCGCGACAGAGCGATGGTGGCAACTACGCCCATGAAGAGGCGGCAGAAACAACTAACTCTCTTCACGACCAGCAGACCCGACAAGAGCAAGAGATTGCATCCTTGATGGAAAAGAATAGTCACTTGAATGATCGAATTGTCCAAATGGAAGCCCAACTGGTATTGGGAGGCTCTCGGAGCTATGATCATTCCGAAAGTAAAGACGTCCATTCTGATCAAGAAAATGGAATGGGAAACGATAGTCAAGACGGCAACCATGATACCATTGCCCAGTTGCAGCAACGGATCATGCACCTGGTAGAGGAAAAGCTCATCTTGCAAACAGCGGTAGAAACCTTGGAGCATGAATTTATGGAATCGGATTTGCTGGAACGAAATGCTGTGAGCCGCCAACTGCAACAGAAGCGATCTCCTGCTATGGCGATTAAGGAATACTGGCACGATCATCAGCTCGAGCTGCAAAAGCAGCAAGAGCCTCCTACGATTGTAGTGGATGAAAATACCAAACAAGCAGACATTATTCGACAAACGTTGGAGCACCGGCAGTCCCAAAAGCTCAGTCGTCGCATTAGCGAGAAGGTGCGGGGTCATCCTACGAAGCCAAAGGCTACACAGCAGATTGATGTGAAAGCAACCAAGCAACTCTTCCTACAGGAGCAACAAAAGCAGGAACTTATCAAGAAGGCACAAGCTCAAAAGCGAACGAACTTGAGCAATGCAAGACCCACAGCCGCGGAAATCGGCCGAAGCAACTGGGTTCGCAGCAGAGACCATGGGGTGGCTTCTAAAGACACACCTTTTAGTCACAGTGGCTCTACCGATCTTCCAGAATATTTGGGACCGAAGCAACACGGTTTTGTCCAATCGGCTGCGTCATCTTCCAACACAAAGGAAAAGACGACCACTTGGACAAGGATCCGAGATTCAATTGCAGGATCAAAGACGAACAAAGCGGAAGGGGAAGCCCGACCCTCTGATGTCGACGATTTTTCGCAATGGGTCCAAGAGCTCAGTCAGGAACAACAAAGCGCCGAAGTAAAGGAATCTCAACAACCCGAGGAATTTAAGAGTTTGAGTGTCCCAGCCAGCATGTTGGATCCAATGCCAATATCCTCGAATACTGGGCGATATGCTGTCCAATCAATTGATGACATGCTGAACGAAGGAGCAAGTGGTGGAGTAGAAGGATTGACCAAGAAGCTTGGCAAGCGAGAAGAAACTCATGCAGAACAGACCTATAGGGTTGCGGCTCCGGTTCAATCCAAAAAGACGCACATTTCAAAGGAAGAAAGTCAGACAGCTGCTATGGGTCAAGGGAAGGCAATCGATCAATCCAATCTTTTGGGATTTTACGTGAGCAAGCAAAAGGAAGCAGCTAATTCCACAACTATTGGATACTTGAGCAGTATGATCTATGGGGATCCAGAGGAAGAAGAAGCCAAGATTCAAAAGAAGCTACTTAAGCGACAGCTGGCGCAAAAGAAGAAGCAAGAGCAACGAGAACGGGAACAGTTGAAGCAAGCAGTACAAGGTACAATAAAGAGCAAGCCGAAAACACTGTTTTCGTCGTTTGTATAAACCATACTAAAGGAGCAAGTTTATGTATTTTGCTAAACGTTGCGGTTAGCAAAATTGCACTTGTAGACGGTTCAGGATCTTCCGCTCCAGGTGTCTGGCAGTGTCGTTTGTAAAATAGGGGATCAATCGCAGACACAAGTTCTTCGTTTCTTCCAACAGACTCTCTCACAATAACGACTCGATAACTCGTGCCCCTTCCACTTCCAGAATCTGAGACTCTGAATCACGATCTGTCTGGCTGCCATTGGTTTCTGTTAACATGGGAAGTTGCAATCGAAAACGAATACTTTCGCTGTGATTATGCTTTGTGAGCCAAATAGTGGTCCTGTGCTTCCAGAAAGCAATTTATTGACTTGTCCCAAAATGATTCTGCCACAAACAAATCTTCCTCGACTACTGCAGCTTCGGCATTGTCCATTCCAGACAACAGCCACTCATCCCTTGTCATCGTCATTCTTTCCACATCGTTCACCTTGTTTCGCATTGCCAAAGGTATCTTGCCGTTTCTTGCCACGGTACCTCCGTTTGTGACTGTGGAATTCGTCGTCACCCAGCGCTCCAGCAAGACTTCCATCCGTCTCTACAAAGAATAGTCTTTCAATACTTCGAGTCATGGCTGTATACAGCAGCTTTATTTGGCTTTCGATTTCAGGGTACTCGTACTGCACCTTTCGTCCCAACGCCCTAACAGCAAGCTGCGCCAGGCCTTGCTTATCTCTTTTGGCAGCTCCCCAAAGAAATCCAGCAATATAACACTCTTGAACTCAAGGCCCTTCAAGGCACAAATGCCATAGACTAACGCATACCCATCCTTCATAGGGACATTTCCGTAGGGTCCAATACAATCCGACTTGGGCGAGTGGGGTTGTCCGTTACCAAAGAATCATCATCCAATGTTTCAGCATGTACTAGTTGTCGGTTGCTTTGTGCTTGAGAGTCCTCAATCAGCTTGACCATCCTATCGTGCTTTGCAACGTACCAAACCAAGATGTCATTGCCTTCTTCAGTCCACAAGATGCGAAAGCCAGACTTCTGTTCTAGATACGTCTAGAGATAGTGACCCTCTTGCTGCCTTTTAGTCTCTTTGCCAGGATCCGGCTTCGTTCACCTTGTGATAGTTCCGTAATGCGGCGAACAAAGAATTATTTGTATTTGGGGTCACTCTGTTCGAGCCACTTTACAACGTGGTTGGTGTACTGCACGTTCCTGCGCAATACTTCCTTCATCTACAGGTGATACTGTATTTGAAAGTTTTGTGATCGTGTTGCATTCTTTTAGGTTTTCTGCCCCATTGACTTCGTTGGCAGCGTGACCAACGCAATTGTCGCCTATGCCTTCTTCCAGAGTCATGAGTCATGTCCAATGGTACTTTGCATTGCGATATCCAGCATTTATATAGTCTTGACAACATCTTTGGAAATAATCTCATTGGACTCGTTATCATTCTGGCTCTCAGTGCTCTTCACAAAGTCGACCATTGTATCGTGAAGTAAGGACCATCGGCTGACACCTTGCGTTTTCACATTAAGGTGATGCAGACATCCTCCCCAAACAAGCTGAAACCTACGAGAGATTTCATTATGCAATTGCAGTTGTCGCCCATTGGTCTGCCGGGCAGACCAACCACGATATTATGGCCTGCAGCCTCTTAATTCCATGACGGGCGATTTGTAGTCTTTTCCTTGCCTGAACTTGCCACATTCTCCGTCTCATAAAGCTAGCTACCACATGAATAGCCTGTCGCTTGACAATGCATTCATTAGCAATCTTTGCTCTGCTCGACTTCGCAATTTCTATCACTGTTCGTCCTTGTGTGTCCAATGTAGAAAGATCAGCGATACTTTGATCAGTTAACCACTCTAGTACATCGACTCTGTCATAAGCCGCAGCAATATGAACCAGACGAAGCCCACTCCCGTCGCATGAACTGGGATCAATCTTCCCAGTTTTGACACTTTCTGCAGCTCTTGCATGGTACATCCATTCTTCAGCGCATCAAATTGCCCGAATCCTTGTTCTTGCTTGGCGAGCAAACTCCGTACGAACTCTGTTCTTGCAGCTTTCGGAGGATATCTACCAATTATGTGACCGTGTAGGGGGAGACCGAGATTTGATACCTTGTCTGTCCAAGCAGAAATTTGTTCTTTGAGACTCCTATCATCCAATGATTCAGTTACAAGTCTGTACTTTTCCAATACTTTTTCTGTCAATCTATATAGAAGGTGCAATAAGAATCGAAGCCAAGGCAGTCAAACAGATCCAGAATGCCATGAATCACGTCGCACAAATCAAAAACTGCACCATTTTCCGAACTCCTTGCCAACCAACATTGTCCGAACCAATCTTCGCCCGATGAGGCGAAAGCACGAACACAAGGATGTGTTTTCCTGGATATCAGTTGAGACACCTTTTGTCGCCTCCGGTTCCAATTCCAAGGTATCCATCCTTTTCAGGAAATGTCTATTGTCAACTAGTTCCTCGTATTTTGACTTCAGTAAATCCTCTGGAACATTTTTTGGTATTCGATCAAGATAGTCATGCATCTCCAAAAGATCGCCGCAGTCAGTTGCACCTGCTGCAGCAATCCAGCAGTCATCGATCGACGATTCAAAAGCCACTGCCCCGATTTCGCCAAGAAAGACTTCAATCAAATCCTTTCTCTTCAAACATGAAGCCAAATATGTCATAATGATCTCACTGTTAGCAGTCAAGTTGCATTGATGTTCGAGACAAAGCCTTATCACCCCTGCATCACCGTCAAGGGAGATCAATGCATACAGCCTCTCCAAGTCAATAGGAAACAAAGAATACTTTTTGATTCTCTGAGGCTGCTTCGTCGCCTTTCCGTTGATGCGAGCTTTCCACTGTAGCTTCACTTTTCCCGTTTGACTAAGACAATGATTCTTATCGTCATAGGGCTCAGCCCCTTCCTGTAGCAGCTTTGCATTTAGCACTCCAGGTATAGGGATGAGTTCGCGTAGTGCTCGCTCGGTCGCCGAAGCAAAAAGCAATCGCTCAAATTCATCGAGACATTTGGAATAGAGTCCCTGGATTATGGCAATCTTTGTAATCATTGCAGTCAACCCACGCTGCGAAGATTTGTCAAAAAGCTCCACAAATGGATTTTGGTTTGTGTGATGATCTCGCACCTCTGTGCCCGTTGCCCAGCTTGAGTGACCGCACTGAGCGAGGTCGAGATCGCCCAAAATACCTTCAAAGTCCAAACAAGAAATCATCACAACAGAATCTGAGTTTGTTTCCTTGTGAAAGAATATACCGTTGTTTTTCTTCAAAATGGCCCTCACAGTTATCCAAAGACTCAAGTCCGTTGCCCCCAGTCTAACGCACTGCAAAATGACGGACCTGAAGGAAAAAGGTAACTTTCCTTTTTCGTCCAGTGTGCTACATCCAAGATTGATCCAAGATTGAATGTCCATGCATTGTGACTGGGCAACGTGCTCTTTCAAGGAGGCCAAGGGCGCTGAGATGTCTGCAACCAGTTCTAGAAGCATATTCACGTCACTTTGGAGTTGAGTTGACTCCAGAATAGCCAGCGTCCAGTTTTTGACAAATGTGTGGCTGGATTCTGAAGCTATGAGAGACACCGACCTATCGTTTAAGTCCACTATTGGACACTTTCCCGACAACAGCAAGTCGGCGATGGTGATGTATGCATTCGAGACAGCAATATGGGAGGCGAACCACCCCTGGTACTTGCCACTTCCAACAGCTTCCATCACTAGAGAGGCAAAAGGCGGTAAATTACTGATGTAATACATGATTTCGATACGTCCGAAATGTGTGGTGGCGTCAACCAAGTTGAATCCAAAGCCCTCATGTCCAATAATGCCAGGCCCGTAGGAGCCAAGCAAGAATTCCAATGTTTGAATGTCATCGTACTGCACTGTTGCGAGAAATGATAAGAACTTTTTGTCAGTCATTTGAGGATTGAACCCTATTGGCAATTCGAATTCCAAGCTCATCAGCTCCGAATATACCAACAAGTCTGTCTCCAGCATAATATCATCTACATCAAGACAGCCTCTTGCCAGGAGCCATCGAACGAAACTACACTGGCGGAATTGGATCGCCATGAGGGAACTTGGCGGATGCAAACCGTTTTTGATCACGAGATAGACCAGTAGTGATGTTTGAAGATGGTGCTTGTCGTCATCCATCATAATACTTTTCTTTCGTCCAAAAACTGTTGCTGATTGCTCTTCCAGGAATTTGTATTCTCGATTATCGTCCGCCCGCTTTCATTTTGGTGTTCACACTCGAACCAAGATTTTGTTCCATCCACCACAACGCATTGTAACTACTATACTCAATTGCTTTCGAAAAAAAGATTTCTTCGATCGAAGCCACGTGAATCCTAAACCCTTCCACAAGAAAAAAGATGTGCTCGATGCTCTACAATCATGCTCTATTGCGTCCATAAGTCTGGTTCGGGGATCATTTCTAGCAATGTGTTCCTCAGTATCCTCAGATATGTAGCAGCGATATGTATTTCCTTTCTCCCGGAATGAACATCCGTAGCAGCCCATGTGTACTGTGTAAAGGGTTCGTCCCCTTGACTGCTTGGCAATTTTTGGAATCGTCTTGACTATCTTTCCTTCTCTCCAACCAGTTCCAAGCTATACAGCACCTTGCTTGATATTTGCCTTGTCGGCATTGAAAGCAACAATGTCCCCGACCCTGAAACGCAACTGTGACGGAATGTCCTTGAGTTCAGTTTCCCCCAAATCATCAAAGATGGTTGTTTCAATCCTGGTCTCAACTGCTCGACAGATATACAGCGGGTAGGCGGACATTAGAACACTCCAGTGATCCACATCTGGAGGAGGACGCGGCCACAACCACACAACTTCATGCTCGATCCATTCCTTGGGATCATCATCACCACTATTGCTGTTGGTATTACAGCACAATACTCTATCGCGCAATTGATACTTCAATTGAATAAAGTGCAAGTCAGTATAAGCATCCTTCCTGACCAGGAAGTGCCTTGATGAGTATCTTTGGCTGTAGAACTTCTACAGGACCGTCGTTTGACCGAACGATGGTTCCCCGTATCATGCGTTGCCGACCTAAAAAATAACACACATGATCTCCTTGAAAAAAGGGTCGACGTTTTCCACCATATGGCTTAGGCTTTCCATCAATGGGCACAACGTCTTCTTGCTCTTCTTCCAACCTTGTCTATTGCTGCTCGACCGCTACCAACTTTTCCTCTTGCCTGATGTTTTGCTCGGCATCATTATTGCGGGCTTTGCTTTTTTTTGGCATGGCTCGGTTTCTTCTAGTTGCTTTCCTTGCCCATTGCTGCATCGTTGTTTTATGTCATGTATCTCCTCTCAAGCAAATTAGGACCGCACGCACTCCAGCACAACATGTATTATATTCAACACAGTATCACAATACGAGTATGTGTCGAATAATAATATACGCATCGATTTTTCGCATGTCGATTTATTTGACTCACTGTGACGTCTTTCACTCATTGGGGGAGGGGAAGCAAAAATGAAAATATGTCCTCTCCCCTTTTCACATCAGAAAACACTTCATCATAAATCTCGATCTCATTATCATCTTATCATTATTACTTTGCGCATTGCAAAGATAAAGTGGCATTATCGGTTGTGTTGGAAGACCGTAGAGGTTGTTTGAGACAATGCCAACGCCTGTATTGCCTTCTAAATCGGAAAGGCGTCTTAAGAAGCAAGGAGCCGCCATATTCCCTCTACAGAGGCTCATTATTATTATCTTGGTGGTCCTGACGATAGGTTCCTTTGTCTATTTCAATGTCAGGATAATACTGAATCAAAATTATGACACTGGCACATCTGTGCTGGCTCCCTTGGAAGATTCGCTGGGAGATGAGAAAAATGCTGTAACCAATGCTGATATTACGAATCGGATACTCCAACAACCGCCAACTTCACCGCCGACGGAACCGATACCAGATGTCTTGTTGTCTGTCCCCTTTTATGTCTATGAGGACTTTGCATGGATCAATGGGACGATTGACAAGCACTTGATTTCCAATCGAAACTTGCATCATAGTTTCAATGGAACCAATCGCTTCAAACATGGGGATGACTACTTCTTTCTCCTGGCAAGTCTGAATCATCCCATGAGGACAAGGAATATTCACGAAGCCAGGCTCTTCTTTGTTCCTACACTGCTGAATCATTATGACTACTACGTGGAATACCTCAAGTGGGAACTATGTGTCAACGATCGATGTGACATGGAACTTATTGACTATACACGAGAACAATTGGAAAAATCCACAGCATTTCAATTGTATCCAGAGAAACATCTGGTGGTCCGATCTCATTTTGTCAGTCCCCAATTGGACCGACAAAAGAAGTATCGCAAGGTACCAGGATATGACGCATTCTTTAAGGAAACCCTTACCAAAATGAGTGTGGTAACCTTTGAAGCCAAAGAATTCTCTATTGACCCTCGGCATGCAACCCAAGCAAAACAGCACTATCACTTTCCATCCTACTATGTTGGGTCGCCGTGTTTGGGGATTGATGGGTCCACGACGAGCAATCGAAGTTTGGATGTGGCCTTGATTGCTGCCATGAAGGATGAATTTCACAGTCGACAGCTAATTTGTGACTGGCTCGCCAAGAGATCTCCGGCCATCCAGTCGGTTTGTGGCAAAGGAAATCGTTGTCCGACACTGACACAAACCAAGTTTGGCTTTCATGTGGCGGGTGATACCTTTGGATCCCAGCGGCTTATGGATCTAATCATGTGTGGGGCCGTTCCAATCTTTACGGATGCTAGTCAATATGCCATTTTGGGTGATTGGATCGATTGGGATCAATTGTCATACTTCTTACCGGTATACGACAGTTCGACGATCAACAATAGCACTGGACTGCCTCTTGACGACAACGATCTGGAAGTGAATTTTATGCAACGATTTGAAGCCATACTTCATGACAACGTAGGATATGAGCAACGACGGCAGGCAGTTGTCCAACATATACCGCTATTTGATTACAACACCATCTATCCATTTGATACATTCATGTACCTATTCCAAGCCAAAGTTTATCCAGAAACAAGACGCACAACGAGCAAATGGCCTGCCCTCGTTCTTCCTCCTGCCGTGAATACACACAAACCTTAGAAGATGAGAGAGTCAGTCCGTCGGTCAAGACTATCCTTTTCTTCTGAAACAAGCAACGTTTCACGACATTGACAAAAGTTGAAAATTGTCTCCTTCCACTGACACCCCGTTTCCCATGCTAGCCAAGCCAGTGCAAAGGCTGAAGCAGACGTACGGTCAGAAGTCAGTCGACGTTACTATTATGTTGGGGTATGGCAATGCTCCCATGAGAGCACTATCTCAACTGCCGCAACTGCCAAATTGTATCAATAATATCAATCATGTTTTACTAGCATATCATAGCCTAAAAAAATAAGTCAGTGGCAACTACTTTGTCATCTATAGACTTCGTATTGCGCTCATGACTATGTTCATCGAATCAAATCCCGTATTTGAATACGCTGTGTATCAGAAGACAAGTGACCACTGTGCAGTCACTAGAACCCCAGCAGCACGTACTAGACTCTGCTTGCAACGTTTGTTGGTCATCTTGAATTGTTCCCAATTGATTCATTCATTCATTCCGGCTCCCAGCTCCCATCGTCTCTTGATTTTAATTAATCTATAATCATGATCTTCTTTGTTTCCCCTACTAGTCGACCATGAATTTCACACATCCCTTAAAGTGTTGCAATAATCGTTTATTGGAATTTCCAGTCGTCAGTTGCTGTTGATGTATCGCGTCCATCTTGGCAAACTCTTGTTCCACGCGCTTTGCTTCCTCCAGCCGTGCCTCAATCTTGGACAATGGCGCTGGCTCTACACCATATTGATCCATGAGAGAGTTGGATCGATTGAACAAGGCCGGTTCCATGTACCGAGGATTTTCCGAAAAATGAACCCGAGTCGCCTGCGACAATAAATGCCGTGGAATCGCATCTCTGGGTGGTTGAAGCCTTGGAATGGTGGAATTTGCCGTTTGCCTACTACTACCAGTCGTCTTCTTTCGGTCCGGACTAGTGGCAAAGGAAATATTCTGATGCTCTTGAAACCAATAGTCGTCGTTGTTGTTGGAAGCGTTTTGTGCCGTCTCGGAAGAGAACCACTTGTTATCGGCTTGTTGTCCAAACCCTTCATCAAAGACTTCGTCAAAGTGATTTTTGGGAGCATTTTGCCTCGTAAAGTTGTCATTAAAGGCATCGTCAAAATCCTTGTCCAGGACATTGTCAAACTTGATATCAAAGCCAGCAAAGACATCCTCATCATCCGCCGAAAAGTCAGCCGTCTTGATATCACAGTCGTCAATAATGGAATTGTCGCCATTGAAAAAGTCATCTTCAAAGCTCCGTTCCGGGACCTTTTTTCGAAACGAGGTCGTCTTGCGCGGTCGAATGGGCGACAATGCGGGACTTTTCGGTTGTTTGGACAGTACTTCGTTGACTGGTGTAAGTTTCCTATCGGAAGCGACAAGGACTGCTGCTACTCGTTCTTCCAATTGCTTCGAGTCAGTGGAAGAAATGCTCTCAAAGGACGTATCATTGGCGGTAGACTCGGTCCAATCGACAGAAAGGTTCTTTTTCGAGGGAGTCAAATCACTGAGAATGTACAAATTGTATTGAATTTCGTCGACAATCAAGGATAGTTCTTCCATGTACTGCAGCAAATCAATGAGTTGTTCTTGCGATCGGATCCGGCAACTGGTCAATTCGGGATCCTGTGACAGATACTCATTGTGGGTGGGAAGGACTACGGATAGAAACTTGACTAGACGGTTGCCCACTAAATAGGCTTCGGACACTTCTTCGGCATTACTGGAAGCGCTACTCGTTGATAGAAACTCGTCCAGAACCTACAGTATACAATCAATCGAACATGCGGTGAGAACCAATGTGAGTATACTCCATACCGGTAAGCATCACCAACATTGCGATACTAAAAAATACATACCCGATCAGCCACCCGATAATAACGATCAATCGAACATTGATTCGACAAGACAAAGGCATTCCCCCCCTTCTGTTCATCTTCCACAATCAGCTTGGCTCGGTACACCTTGCCATGTTTTCTCCAGTCCTTTCGAATGTCCGACTTGTCTAGAGTGGATGCCGGCAGGGTTTTTTGAGGCGACGGAAACTGCAAGTGCTCCTCGTGTTGTTCTAGTGGTTCTTCTTTGTAGTAATGCTGCGGTTGTTGTTGCCGTTGTTGCCGTTGTTGTGGTTGCCATTGTTGTTGTGGTTGGTGATGACTCTGTTGCAGCTGCTGTTGTTGTTGTTGCTGCGTTTGCTTTCGTTGCCAGTAGTCTTTCACGCCTGCAAATTGATTACGGTGGACCGCACTGCCTTCAAATTGCGCTGATCGGGCTGCCATCTTTTGAGAGAAGGACTTGTTAGAATCGTGGTCGTGGTTGGTGTCGTCTGTGGAACTGCTCCAAAACTTCTGAAATCTGGACGACCTAAGACTGCAGTAATGTACTCTCAGTACTCTCAGTACTCTCAGTCAAATGTTTCTGCTGGAAGGGATCAGCCTGAAGAGAACCCTCGTTGATTCTATTCAACTCGTTTCGTCAGTTACGATCGTCGTCCTAACTAATATTTATTAGACGGAATGACAACGCCGATCACATTATAATGAGGATGCGTTTTCCCTCTCCTTTCTGCCAGGCAGCGTGGATAGCTTTCATTGAACGGCAAATAGGCATGCGACCGAACTATATTTTAACCGCCACTGGACAATTCATATATACAGTGATCAATACAAACATAAAATTTGGCGCCTTTTGAATATTTGATTCATTCGAAAGAAAAAATTGGTTCAAATCAATTGGTAACGATAGTGGCAGATGCAGAGATATTACTGTAATATTACGATGTTCGCTGAAAAACAAGACTATACTACTATTGGTGGAAGGACAATACGGAATGCTCAAGAGTTTGAGATTTCGATGACCTATCAGTGCATTTGGCTATTAATGTTCCACCACCACAACATTTACATTTACAAGACGGCAGCAGCAACGGCACCCAACAATGCAACAGCGGTAGTTCCAAAGCCTGAAGTAGAAGCCGAAGATTCCTCAACCGCCTCCAATTCAACCTTCAGCTCAAACTCCTCCGACTGACTACTTTGCAAGACGCGAAGCAACTGACGACGATTTGTACCGTTGATGTCAGTAACGTCCAAACTCACAGTGCCAAAAATTTCCAAGGGGTCGGTATTGGCAAAGAAACTGGCAAACGGACGGCTTCCAATTGTAACTGCACCTGTTCCAGCTCCGAGCACTTCAGTGTTACCTGACAACAAGTCGATCTCCTCGGAATTCTTTCGGCCCACGAAGGTGTTGACAGAATCAATCACAGCGCTGTCATCAGTAGAGTCAATGCAGATGAACAGGGTGGTTCCAACGGCCAACGCACCAGCAGTGGCGAGGGGGGTACGGTCGATGGTGCATCGGTAGGCGTCGATTCCAAAGGTCTTTTGGTCGTCGGCCACAACCCCACTGATTCCATCAAACTCTTCGGCGGCGATATTGGAAACGGTGAAATCGCCATCAGCAACGAAGGTGGCGCTGATCTTTTGGCCCTGGTAGACCATTTCATTTCCGCTGCCATCCTGCAAGCTGGTCAACAAGCAGAACTGAAAGGCTTCGTTCGCCCCACTGGCCAAGTTGAAGTCGGTGGTGAGGTCAATAGTGACACTGCTGGCTCCATCAGCCGCAGCTGCGGCTGTAGCGGAAAGGGACATGAGGGAGTCACGAGTGGCAGTTCCTTCACAGGCATCAAAGCCTGTGATGGAGTAGACAAGTTTTCCAGTAGCGGGGACAATACCGGTAAAGTCGCACTGGACATTATCATCACCAGTGATGGCACACACAGGTGCTGGGACAGTGTAGTCTTGGAGGTCAAAGGTTGGGCCTCCTGAACCGGCCTAAATGTTCGAGTTTCAAGAACAATGCTTGATGAGAATCGCGGATCAGTAATAATATACCCATATCATGTTCATTATTAATCAAGGAACTCACCGCGGTCGAAGGTGGTGTGGGAGTGACAATGATGTGATAGGTGAGATAGAGTATTAACAAGCAAATTGTTGATTGTAGGGCGTAACGGCATACTACTGTTGTGTTAAATAACGCTGATATGGAGTTGAATTCGCAATTGTTGATTCTTCATTGGATGCGGAGCCGAACAACAAGGTGCAAGGCGTACTATGTTGGGAAAGCATAGTCATGTCCAAGGCTGGCGATAGTGTAATCGTGGTGGCGGTCGGCATGAATAGTCGAGAAAAGGTAGTCGTGCTGCCCATTTGCCAAAACCACCGATTGGCTGCGCAAGCCCAGCGTCGCCTCGCATCATCCTTGACCGCCACGACCATGTGGCTCGAAGTCATGTGAGCCCAATGCTCTCCTCCTGCTACAGTAAAAAGGTCATTTGCTAATTTCCTTTCTCACGTGGAATTGTAGACATTTCATGTAGGATTATTGCTGGGCACCCAATAAAATATACTCTCGAGGTTCGTTCCATCTTGTGGAACGACGACTTCGGGGTCCGTATTGGGAGACTTTCTCTCGATATTTTGTTCATCATTATTTGTTGGGGGAGGATCCCTTTTCGACTTTGCTGCGGTTCGTTTCTTTATTTTGTCTGTTGATTTCTTGTCGCTGCTTTGCCCCAGTCTCCTTTGATGTTTGGTATCCCTGCTATCACTCTTTTTGACACAGTGCAAAGCTTGTTCTGTCTCTTCTCTTGATTCTTCGACAAATTGGCTACACCGTAAGTCCCGCCTCGATGCGGCTTGCCGTCTCATCAATGCTGGTGGAATAATGGTATTCGCTTGTGGAATGGCTGGCATTTTGCGATTCATAGCTGGAGGAGTAATGGTACTGACCTGGTGTGGGGGTTGGTTGCCCTTTTTACGGGCCGGTGGCTTGAATAAACGTTGCAAGGCTTGTCGTTTTTCTTCCTCTGGATCATCAAAGGTGATCATCATTTCCTCCTCCGAAGCCGCCAAGGTTGCCGCGCCGCAAACTTGGTGCTCCACCCCTTCGCAAATCAAGTCCAAAACGTCCTTCTTTGGCAGTCGCTTGTGTTGCGCATGCGATAATACGGCGGACCGGTTTGAAGGCTTGCAAGAGGCGGCCTCCACGTGATTGCAAATGACGTCCAAAAGGTCTTCGGGTGTTATCATTTCGCGGTGAGATTCTTCTTGGAGTTGTAGAAGTTTGGCGGATGGAGGAGAAATGACATTGGGAGCTCCAAGTGTCAATTGGGAAGCTGCCTCTGCCGCTGCTACTACAACATCATAATTCTTGCTTTTGGCTCCCTCGGCAATGAGACGTGGGTACTTGGTGAGCACGTGCTTCTCGTCGATTGCTTTGCGAAGGAGCACATGTTTCTCCTCCCGTTCTTCCTCTTGATCGTCCTCCTCGTCGTCGTCAGGTTCGATTCTCTTGCGCTGATAGGCATATCGTGGATCCGGGCCACACAACATCTTTTCGGCTGCACCAAAGAAAACATCCAAAGCATCCTTTTTCATAGAGACGTTTGGGTTTGGACATATCGCATGCTCCAGTACGTTGAATACGTCATCTAGTGTATCTTGGGGTTGCGGATATCGAGTGTCGGCAATTACTGTGTGATACATTGGTGGCATCTTTAGCATTCTTCCACTTGTATCCCTTCCTTTTTGTAGCTTGGATGTTTCGTTTTCAGTATGCCTTGCTCTTGCTCTTCGATTACTTGTGGACAGATCAATATCCGCAAAAGAACCACGGAATTGAACTTCTTGCGGTTGCTGAGGAGGCTCGGACTCTATCCGAAATGGCGATTCTTTGGCTCTCCGCGTCCTTTTCGACATTAGTTTCTGTAATGTCATGACTGGATTTTCATCATCATTCCGCTTCTCTGCGTCACCAGAACCTTTTGGTTTGGATTTCGTCTTGTTGGTTTGTGACCGTTTCGAGCACGGCGGTCGGATAATCCCGGCTTCAGAAGGAGATGACAGTGATGATGTGGCAGAGTCCACCTTGAAAATTACTGGCGTTGTGGTACCCTTTGGCTGTTGTGAGTCTTTGGGATGCAATTGCGTCCATGCAGCATCATCATCGGCTTCTCGAACCTTCCTTATGGCAAGATCATGAGACTCTTGGGAAAGTTGGTTGTTATTGCCATTATTAGGAAAGATATATGCTCCTAATCTTGCATTCCCGGGTCTCGTCAATATGGTGTTGCGCTGATGATGCTCCATCTTGTATTTTTTTGGCCTTGGTGGAGCCCTCCTCCTGTTGGTGGGCACTGTCGCGGTTATAGGGAAAATGTTCACTTTGAATGCCCAAAAATATCGATAGCGATGTCGCAGTGCTCGCCAGAGGAATAAATTGTCTATTGTAAAAAAAGTGGAAGACGGCCGACGTGCCAATAATGTGATTGGAGGATGAGTCACTGTTTCGCAAACAGGTGAGAATTCGCATTAAGTATCCAATCAATCTTTTTAAACCGCCCTTTATCAAAGGACAACAAACAATAAATGGTCGAAAAAGGGCTTTATGTACCAACTGGTGGTCATTCCCCGTCATTCGATATATCTGGCGAGAAGCAAAATGTCAGTTAGAACTACTTGGAAGTCCTCGGAGAATCAAATTTGGTAAAACTTTCCCCAGCAACGTATTTTCGTCGTGGTTTTGAAGAAAGTGCCGAATGGATCTCGGAAACTCGAACTGCCACTCCCCACCAAGAACGGCCATAAATTTAAATCCAGGACAATCGTAGAAAAATTACAGGATATTCCTCACCTACACTAACAATCATCATGGCAACTACCACTCAATGCGCAGCCGTCGATCAGTCGGCCACTATCATGTCGTCACGAATTGCAGAACTGAAGGAAAGAAGGAGATCACTGACTAATAGCATTCCTATGAATCGCACTTCCTCGAGTCTCTCCATGGCATCCTTGAGAAGTGATAGAAGTTCCGTCGAGGATGAGACTGAGAAACTTGAGAGAAGTCTGAGCCGAATTCGAATTAGAAGACCGTCGCTACAAGTCAACGTAGATCTAAACGGAATCGTTGGTGCCGAACCAACAATCGACGAAACAAAGAGCGAAATGTCTTCTGTTTCGAAAACCTCAAAACAAGAAAAGTCGGCATCATTGGCACCAACTAGCATGCTCGGAAAGGCATATGCGAAAGCGATTCTCGCAAATTATCCTGATCAGCAGAGCGCAGTCAGCAAGGTCTACAAGAAAACGATTCTAGCAAACTACCCAGTTCCTGCCGAGAGCCAAAAATCCGTCGACTCAATCACGGAACGAACCCTTTCGTTTTCGGATGGAGGGTCCGAGAGAAGTGGCAGAAGCAGCTAAACGATTTCATTACATTTTCTGCAGTACATAATTTAATTTCACGTTGCATTTGATTCATTCATTCATTCAGTCTTTCTTTATCCTAGAGGTGACATTAGACGATGGTGGGTGATGATGACAATACGCTGATTCATTCACCCCTTCGACAATTTCTCATTCAACAGATTTGATTCGCATCGGTATATCAGGTATCAGGTACTCGCGCGCTCCTACTCCGAATTGGTATGCGTACCGCTGCGTACACGTACCTTGGTCCACGTACACTACTATGTACTGTACGATACCTCTCATTCCCATCAGGGGGGGATACTATTGGGGGGCACTCATTTCAAGAGCGATCGTCATCCTTCCACCAAGTTATCTATTCGGGGGCCAATAGTTTGGGTATCTGGTGATCGGGGGTAGTACGCTTTGGTCCCCGCTAAAAAAATTATGGCTTAACCACGCCGCCAATAACGTTTGTCACATTTTTGAGATCCGGCTGGCATTTTTTGCAGGAAGTTCCAGAACTTCTGCCAGCACTACTTTTGATAACCAGGCAAGAGGATGTGGCATACTATACCTTATCATCACAAATCTGAAAATGGACGCTAATCACAGTACCCCACAAGAGGAAAGCAAGACTACAGACGCTGTAGAGTTGGAAATGATTTTGTCACCACGTGTTGCAGAACTGAGGGAACGAAGGAAATCCTTGAGTAATAGCATTCCTACGATGAATCGCAGCGCATCGAATCTTTCGTTGGCATCTTTGAACGGTGGCATCGACAACGACGATGAGACTGACAAACTTTCGAGAAGTCTAAACAGAATCCGAATCAGAAGACCTTCCGCATCCTTCAAGGTAGACATGGCTGGAATCGTGAATAGGGAAACGATCGAAGAAACAAAGACCAATAGTGAAACAATTTCCATAACGGTATCGGAACGATCACAGCAGAGTCAGTCATCGTCCACCCGCGACAACTTGTCGCTGAGGAACATGTTCACCAAGCCCACTGGAAAAACAGTTCTAGCAGAACACCCTACTATTGAGGAGAGCAAAGAGCAGGACTTGGACCCTCTATCTCTGAAGAACATGCTCAGCAAACCAAAAGGAAAGACTGTTCTTGCCAAACGTGATAGCAACGCCGAGGAATTATCGTCATCAACTCCATCCCTGCTAGATACGTCTGGCGAAACGGCGGCTGATGACATGTCGGATCTATCCCTCGGCTGTGAAAACTCTGCCACCACCAAAGGAGGAGATCCCAACTCCAATCCACTCTCGTTGAAAAGTATGCTTTCCAAACCATCTGGAAAGACAGTGCTTGCTAAGCACCAGACGCAATCCACCATGGATGGAACTGAAATTACGACTATTTCTGTTGGGTCTACAGATGATGAAGCTGCTCCGACAATCAAGAAGGTACAACAACCAGTAAAGATTTCACTATTTTAGAGTGATCTCATTCATTTTTATAAAAAAATTATTTGTCCATTATTCCTTTCATTTTAGTTTTCACACCCATACTATACAATAGGATGTGATTGTGATGACGATCAAGAAGGTACCAGCAGGTACACGCAGCATCAAGATTTCACTTTTCCTTTCATTTTTAGTTTCAAAACCCTAATGATTTAGCGCAACTGTGACTTTTGTGAATCTTCTTCAAGTTCCTGTTCGCCATGGTGAAAAAGGAGACGGGTATGAATAAATGGTATTACTGTACTTTAACAGTCGATTGATTCGAAATTCAAAAGTGGCAGTCATGCTTCTGTATTTTAGCTCCCTTCTTTCTTGTGGAGTCTCTTTCTCTTGACAAGAAGTCTGACACTTAAAAAGTTTTAGAACACGTGTACCAAATCGGAATGGTCGAACTCTGTCTGGTGTTGATTGTTGAGCCAAACATCATGAAGAACTCTCTTTCCAGTTTTTACACATAGTCCAGGATTCTTCTTGTCGATTCTCACTAACATGTGTTACCAAACCAACCACAAAGCAGAAGTTTCCAACCCGCCGGAACATAGACGTTGGGCCTTATCAAACTCACAAAGACTCCACCTGACACGGTAGAGACAAGGTAGTAGTACAACGAGACAAACACGCGCACGTTGCGGGTCTCCGAGGCAGATATACGGGGCAAATACACAAGTGACACTCCAGAATTGTTGTCAGTGACCATATATGAAATTGATACTCGCATCGTGGAGACTGGCAGAATCAAACGAAATATCTACCTTATTTGAGCACTGAGGAATCCATCAAGGCGGAGAGGCAAGAGAAACCGACATTTCCCGACACGTTGAGAAACCGAAAAATGAACGTTTCGGCAACTGACTTGTATCCTGTTGTCCAGGATCTAACTGAGGTAGAATACGGTTGCTGCAGTTCTGCTGAGATGGTATTTGGTAGTTTTTCGATTCAAGACCTGGCAAATCCGAATGCGATGCCAATCTCTCCATCGCCTCGGAATGGATCTCGAAATAACTACCTATCACCCAGACTATCGCCCCGGAGTGTGCTCGACCGTGAGAAATCTCTCATCGACAGCCTTGATGAAAGAGCAAATAAGGACCGAGAAGGTGTAGACGAAATGACCAGAAGAGACGATTTGAATAGTCGATTCGAAGACACCTTTGTGTTGACTCGACAGGTAAGCTCTGATTTGCAACGGATTCGAAGTTTACTATTGATCAATGTCTAACTTATTGTTTCGATGAAAGATATGTAGCTGTAGGATTTCAACAGTGTGGGAGTGTGTTGATAGAAGCACCGGAGTTAGACGCTGCGTAAAGGTCGTAGATCGCAGAAAGTTTACAAGTCCACAAGATGAAGACACTACGCTGAACGAAATGTCAATGTTGTCCCTACTGAGGGAGTGCAACACGAGCCCAAACATTATTCAAGCTGAACACCTTTCGCAAGACCAGCATCACTTCTACATTGTCACGAATCTTGTAGAAGGACGAAGCCTGGCTTCGTTTGTGCTCCAAGAGCGTATGCCAGCAGATAAGGTCCGACTGTTTGCTAAATCGTTGCTGGAAAACGTAGCCGAACTTCACTCTCTTGGTATAGGTCACTTTAACCTGAATCCAGAGAATGTAATCTTGAGACCGGACTTTCAAGTTAGTCTTTGTGATTTTGGTAATGCCGCTTTTGTAGAGGGTATGGAACACCGGAGCCGCCAAAGCAAACTGGCATACTCTTCTCCCGAGGATATCAAGAAAATGCCGGACTTCGCTTCCGACTTGTGGAGCATCGGAGTCATGTTGTATGTCTGTTTCTGCTATCACCTTCCGTTTCGAGATTCATCGCGAGCGAAACTAAAGGCAAAGATATGCAGGCATAGCTATGATTTTTCTTCGAGACATTGGAACTTGGTGTCGCGAGTTGCCAAACAGTTCATTTCCAGCTTGCTGCATCCAGATCCACAAATCCGAATGACCGCCCAAGAGGCATTGAACCATCCTTGGCTAGCAGTGCCTGATAAGAAACCAAAGGTCAAGCGGCGCCGAAGGGGGCGGCTGATGGAACAAGTTTTGGGGCGGTTGAAGCGGCAGTCTCAGCATGATTCAAACGAATTGAAAACGACCCCCACCTTCTCATCTAATGAGTCTGGCTGAATGGTTGGTACACGTGTACCGTACCTTTCATGATCAGTATTTTTTTCTAACTCGTAAAGTAGAAAAACAAATATTACTAGATATCTTATCACAGTTTCAAACTTGGTGGCATTCCTATACAGTTCCAGTAGTCGTGTCTGCACACGAAGAACAGCATGTGCAAGTCACTTCACTTGCGCAATCAGAAATGAATGTGGCTGGTGTAGTAGACAATTCGCAGGTAGGCATAGTACCTGTAAAAGCATTGTTTCCAAGATCCAAATTGTCGAGGCGAATCAGCTGCTTGATCTTGGTCTTGTCGCCGATATTTCCAGACAAGCCATTGTTGCTTAGATCCAACGTGGTCAGCGATCGCAATTCAAAGAGTGCGTCCGGAAGAGTACCGGTAAGGCTGTTGGCATACAGCTCCAAGTTGGTCAGCAAATCAGTCTGTGGGATGCTTGCAGGAATTGTGGATGCCAAAGAATAGTTAACGACAGTAATTCGACTCGCCTCCAATCTGAATAAATCTACTGGGAAGGCTGGGGTACCTGTTGCAACTTCAAAAACACCATCTGGCGTCGTCAAATTGAATATGTGAGATAAGTCAAGACCCGGTGTTCTGGTGATGTCACGAAAACGACTTACCGAAATATACCCATGTCACTCGACCGTATTCGCAAGTAAAGGCTGTTTGCCAAAAGCACACCTCGAAAGGCAACTCGGAAGAGAGGAGCGACTGTAACTTCAACTGTTTGTGTGCCAAAATCATAATGTAGCGTTCAACGACCTGCGGGTCAGTCATGGTAGCCTTTTCGGAGGCAAAGTAAGTGTCTGTGGTAGCACTCAACAAATCAGTGAGAGCACTGGCCTCATTAGTACCCGTAGTATCGATGCCCGCAGCTTGAATGATCGCAGTGATGCCTGCATCATCCCTCGCTCCGATGGTTGCTGTTGAATCGCATCCGCAAGTGGCAAGAATATCATCGTAGAGTTCAATGCATTGTTCCTCCAAAATGTCTCCATTGTTTTGATCATCAAGAAGCTCTTGACAAGTTCTAGTTACTCTTGAACCAAAACTAATCTCACCGCTGAGGTTGGTAGTAGACATCGTGTTACCTTCACCACAGAGGCTGCACGTAAAGGGACCAAATGTTGGAGAACTAGAAGCAATTGGTGTCGGCTGATTACTGGTAGTTGGAGCGGGCGTAGAATCAATAGACGGCATGTCTGAAGGCAGAATTGACGGAAAACTTGAAACTGATGGCGTCAAAGAGGGTCGAAATGATCTTGAAGGCGCCATTGAAGGTGAAGGAGTGGCTATTGTAGGAGAAGGGGTCGGTGCCGGTGTGTTGGTAGCCTGGTCCACTGCATACCAGATGAGATATCCCAAAGCACCAGCTGCTAATAGATTCAGAATCACCAATATGATGATTGTGGTTGGAGAGAAATTCCACTTGACTGGATCTCCCTCGTCACTATATTCACCTGCGGCAGGTTCATCCTTAAATGTATCTCCTCCATTGTTGCCTTCTGGTACAGCTCTACTTGTACTTTCTCCGCCAGTGATTTCAGGACCAGGTGGTTCGTAAGCAGGAGGATCCGATGACATGTTTTATCAATAAGTGCTATGCAACTTAGCAATATGGTTCAGTGGCGGTGATGCAGCAACGAGTGTATTTCCCTTGAAAGCAAACACAGGAGATGATTCACAGCATTCAGATCCAACGTAGTATTTTTTTGGTTGATTTTTTTGGCCAGTTTCTGGACAAAAATCACATCCGGAACATGACTCCAAGCCAGCCGCTTCTAAATGCTACGTTAAAAATATTTACTCCATAAGTACCCTCGAGCACGCCGATCTGTTTTTCGGCCAAAAGCTCTCGGAAGACCCGAAAAATCGAAGATCCAGTTGACTAAGTTGACCATACTTGTTGCGGTGAAATATCTTGATCATTTCGTCACAGTTATTACAGTATCTATTCTATTCATGCATTCGCTCTTCGTCCGAGACAGATCAAATATTCAATCAAATTGCCTAGATCAGCATCTAAACCAAACAGACCATTCCTTTCGAAAAATAGCTGTCAGTTTCTGAATGAATCAATCTTCTTTCTTTGTTCGATTCATTCATCATTTGCATCTTCCGTGGTTCTTTTAGTAGTGCTATCTGCGATGTCGCTTCAAACACTAACCATTATCTTGTAGACTGTGGGTAACTGTCGACGTGTTCCTCGACAACCCTCAACATACTGCCGATGTTGAATAGCGCTCGTCATGCCCGTCCGAAAACAGATCAGACCTCGATTTGCACAAATATCCAAACACATTGCCAATCACAATATCTGCACCACATTGACACCGACAGTCCGTTCGACTCGTGTCATCAGCTTCTAGGTCTTCTTTCTGCCCCCGGTTCATCTTCATCTTCCAAAGCGCTAGTTCTATCAGTGATGTCGTTGCAGTCATCACGCAGTATCTTGCAAACTTTTTGAAACTGTCGAAATGTTCCATTCTAGTTACAGTGTCATTATCACTTCGTATCAACTCGAATCGACGAAGCAGCTCGGCTTCCTTGGATTGGCCAAGACGCTGCATATTGAACCTATCCATCGCTAGTTTCTGGATTGCAAGTTTCACCAAAGGGACGGCATGGCTGGACTTATGTTCGATCAGGTACTCCATCATCATTTGCCCGTTCTTATCTTTTCGTTCAAGCACCTCGATAGGATAATGATCAACAAGGCATTGGAAGAGGTCAATCCTCAGATTTGCTGATGCAGCGACAACATGAAATGGTGTCAAGCCATGGCAGTCTTGAATATTTTCCTCTTTTAAGGCATTCTCAGTGTTAAATACTTCCACTAATTCCTCCACGGTCGCTAGCGAGGAGTAGTAGCACACCATGTGCACCGGAAGGTTGGTGTATCGATCTCGAATACGCTGGAGGCGGTTGACGAATCGATCTTGACCATCTTCGCCAGGAATCATCATCCTTTCACAGCTTAAAAAAATGAAGAAAGAAAATAAATCGGATGGCCTCGAATAATAAGCTGGAACCCAAATGTTGATTAAATGTGCGCAGCCAGTAAAAGCCGATTCGGCAATGTATAACCCGTCGATCACTGGAATCTCGACGCCGACGAGGCTAGTGCAACCCTTGAAGGTGTCGGATGGAATATGTTCGCACTCGGGCCAAGCAACAGCACAAAGTGACGTGCAATTTTTGAACACTTCCTCACCAAAGTATGTCACTTCCTGTGGAAGAGTAACATCCACTAGCGAAGAGCAATTCATAAATGCCCTGTCACCGATATCATCCAACAGTCCTTCGTCATAGTGACACCGAACGTGCTTCAGTGCGGCACATCCTTGAAACCCGTCACGTTCAATGGTCTCGACTGTTTTTGGTACATCAATTTCCAGCAGTGACGTGCAACCACGGAAGGCTCCACTGCTGATAATCTTTATTCCTTCTTGAAGCTCGACCGTGGTCAGGTAGGTGCATCCTTGAAAGGCTGACCTCTCTATTTCCTGCACGCTCTGGCCAATCGAAAGGAAGCGAAGAGTCCTGCAATACAGAAAGTATTCCTCCTTTATTTTTCGCACTCGTTGGCTCGTGGTAACATGACTGACACCTGCCGGAATGTTGATCTTGGGCCGTCCTTTGTACACAAAGTTTACTATCGGTACATTCTCAGTTGTCTTTTGACGTTTTGCCACATGTTGTTGTAAAGACATTATTTCTGGCTGTGTATCATCTACTACAGTTTAGCACTTTTCTGATACCTCGTAGCACGCAAATAATAGAGAGCCCAATGTCACAGTGATTATTTGCGATTAAACGATTGATGATGTTAGCTTATTGTTTAGCTGCGATACTCTAACACAAGAGACGCGCAGTCATCTGTCGGTGGTTGTAGCGTTCATCTATGTGCTACCGGTTACTGGTATACAATACATATATTGAGTTGAGTCGACACGTTCGACTCGGAACCAGTCATTGCTGTCGCTGTGTACCTATGACCTATGATAGTTACTATCAAAAGTGGCTGGGTCCTCAACGACGACGTTCAACATACTGCCGTTATTGAATAGCGTTCGTCATTCCCATGCGAAAACAGATCAGACCTCGATTTGCACAAATACCCAAACACATTGCCAATCACGACATCTGCACCACATTGACACCGACAGTCCTTTCGGATAGTGTAATCAGTTTCCAAATCTTCTTTCCGCATCAGGCTCATCTGAATCTTCCAAAGTGCTAGCTCTATAAGTGATGTCGCTTCAATCATCACGCAGTATCTCGCATACTTCTTGAAACTGTCGAAACGTTGGCATTTAGTCTCAAAGTCATCATCGCTCTGTATCGACTCGAATCGACGAAGCAGCTCGGCTTCCTTGGATTGCCCAAGATGCCGCATATTCAATTTATCCATCACTAGTTTCTGGAGTACCATTTTCACAAACGGCATGGCATGGCTGGACGTATGTTTCAGCAGATACTGCATCATCATTTGCCCATGTGTGTCTTTTCGTTCCAGAACCTCGATAGGATAATGATCAACAAGGCATTGGAAGAGGTCAATTCTCGGATTTGCTGCTGTAGCGATAACGTGAAATGGCGTCAAGCCAAAACAGTCTTGAAGATATTCCGCATTTGAGGCATTCTCGTCAGTGCCAAGTACTTCCATTAGTTCCTCCACGGTCGCTCGCGAGGAGTAGTAGCATACCTTGTGGACCGGAAGGTAGGTGTATCGATCTCGAATACGCCGGACGAGGTTCTCATATCGCTCGTTCCGATTCTTGCCATTAATTAGCATCTTTTCACAGCCAACAAAGGAATCCCATCCCTGTTTCCAATTTGGGACCCAAACGTTGATCAAATTTGTGCAGCCCTTGAAAATCGATCCTTCAATTCGCAATTCGTCAATCTGTTGAATCTCGACGCCGAAGAGGCTAGTGCACCCCCTGAAGGTGCCGGGTCGAATATAGTCGTATTTTGGAACAGCAACAGCAGTTAGGGATGTACAATTTTTGAACACTTCGGCACCAATGTAATCCATTTTCTGTGGAAGAGTCACATCAGCTAGCGAAGAGCAGTTCATAAAGGCACAGTCGCCGATGGTATCCAACGATCCTTGTTCATGACACCGAGCACTCTTCAGCGAGAAACATCCTTCGAACGCATCCATACCAATGGACGTGACTGTTTTTGGAAGATCCACTTCCAACAGGGAAGTACACTTTCGGAACGCCTGACCACGAATGCACCTTAGTCCTTCCTGAAATTCCACCTTGGTCAAGTTGGCGCACCCTTTAAAGGCTCCCATGTCTATGGCTCTCACGCTCCGCCCAATCGAAAGGTGACGGAGCGTTTGGCAATTTCGAAAGCATTCGGTAATTATTTTTTCCACCGCTTCGCTCGTGGTGACATGAGAGATACCCGCCGGGATGGTTTTCTTGGGCTTTCCTTCGTATGCAAATTGTACTACTCCTACAGCAGTCGTATCATCTTCCTGATCATGAACATTGTCAATAATCGTCTTTTGGCGTTTTGCCGGACGTTGTCGTCGTCGATACATTTGATTTCGCTGTGATATGTCTTGTGATGTCGTGTGATGTCTTTTGATGTCTTTTTTAACAGTAGAATGAATGAATAAATGAATGAATGAACCGTTGTATGAGAGATCTATCGTAGCACGCAAATCGAGACTTGAGTATCACAACTTTTTATTGTTTCAATTGGTCACTTGGGGTGAAGGGAACGTAATATCGCTCGCTGCCGGCAGCCTCAGAGTAGGCGCAAACAGCATTGTCGGGTGCAGTACAGTAGCATCTGTTCTCCTTTTTATTCGTATCTTTCCCATTTTATTTTATTTTGGATTCCGTGAGTCGAGTCGACACATTCGACCACGATCAGAATCTTCTGACGCAGTCGTCATTATTCATCGAAGATCCGCGAAATCAGTAGCTGACACCTTGCAGGAACAACACAGCCCAGCAGCTTGTGAATCCCGTCTCTTTCATCACAACAAACACACACAAACAAAGAGAAACAGAATATGTTCAAGACAACCATTAGTTTCCTGTTCATGTTTAGTGCTGCTTCCGCTTTTGCTCCTTCCATTGTTGTCCGTGCCGCCCCCAAGACCACCGCTGCCCGAACCCGACATAACCAACAACAACCTTTGAGAATGATTGGTAGTATTTTGGATCTCCTCGGAGGTGCAGGAAAAGGGGAATTGATTGCTCCCGAAAAGGCTCTTCCAGGAAGAGAAACCAAGATGGCCAACATTGATGGATATCGCCATTATGTTTTGGGAAACAAATTGACAGGTGGGTTTTTTCATAAAAGAAAACAGCAAGAGAGAGAGAGTTGTTGTTGCAATTTTGGTCGGTGTTATGTCTAGCTAGTACCAATCCTATCGGTGTCTGTGTCGATGCCACACGTTTCAATCTGAAACTTGGAGTCCCCTATACTATGATACGTGAAGGACATGAGGGCGTTCTTATCGTCCTGCTTCCACTTTTTTGAATCCAAACGTGTACCTCACCTTTTGTCTTTCAAATTCTTCTTTTTTTGCAACCATTGTAGAGGTCCCCGAGGGTTACAAGGAAGCTGTCTTTGCCAACGGTTGCTTCTGGGGTTCCGAAAAGGGTATTTGGAGATTGCCCAAGGGTATCCACTCCACCGCGGTTGGATATTGTGCTGGGTAAGTACTACTAGAATTGTCGTGTGTTGTCGTGTGTTGTCGTTTGGACATTTTGATTCATTCTTCTCACAATACATGTAAAATGTATACATGCATATACATGCATATACATACATATATATTCATATTATGTATGTTATAGATTCACCCCCAATCCTACCTACGAAGAAGCCTGCAGCGGCCTCACGGGCCATACCGAAGGCGTCCGCGTCGTGTACAATCCCAAAGAAGTGAGCTTTGTCGACATTCTTCGTTGGTTCTGGGAAGCCCATGATCCTACAAGTGGCATGGGACAAGGGAATGATCGTGGTACCCAATACCGATCCGGTTTTTATTACTTTGACGACGAACAAAAGGCCTTGATCAATGCCAGCAAGGCTGCTTACGAAAAAGCCTTGGGAGGTTCGAGGGAAATCACCACGGAGATTGCCGCCGCCAGTGATTATGAAAAGTATGGAGGATTGTGGTACTTTGCCGAACAATAGTAAGTGAATATGGTTGCAGTGTTGGATGAATGTTTTGAATGTATTGAATGAATGTATTGAATCATATGATATGATATCATTTTTTCTCACTTTTCCCTTGTTGCTCTCATCACTATATATATATAATAACTAACTCACCAACTACAGTCATCAACAATACTTGGCCAAACCTGGATCCCGTCCGTATTGTTCCGCCCAACCTCAAGGCGTGGCCCTTCCTGACTATTCCGAATGGAGTCCCTTTGCCAAGGATTCGCCGGAATACAAAAAGCATGAACCTACCTTGCCAGCCAGTTTCTGGAGCAAGTATGCACCCAAGCGTGGTTGTTCGGTAGTCCAAGAACCCAACGACGTCATTGATGAATCTACTTTTTAAATACTACTATTATTATACTAATAATAATAATAAGAAAGGTAATACAATAATAACAAAGAAAAGAACGATCGATGTAGGAGATGTGTTGGATGTGAAATCAATCATCATCGCGCACTTGATATATATATTTCAGAGATGAATCAGCAACGACGAAGAGGCTGCTTACTAATAAGTTTCCTGCAATGAAGTCTTACAATGCAAAATAAATGTTGATTCAATAAATGATAATACAAATTTCATTTTTTTCATTCTTTGTTTCATTATTTTTTAAACTCTTTTTGCACAATTGCTACTCTTAGAATCCAGCAGAAGCGTTAGGATCGACCATTGGAACTGGATCCACTGGAGGCATGGCCTCCATTGGTGGAGCAGCGGCCATGGCAGCAGCAGCACGCGCTTGTTCCTGAGCCGCAAGCATCGCTTCTGGATCCACTTCTGGCTTGGGTTCATGAATCTTGACGACATCATCCAATGGAATCTTGGGACCCATCTTACCCGAAGGATCGTGTGGCAAAAAGATGGAAACCTTGATTCCAATGACACCTTGTCTCATGAGTACGTGACGGACGGCAGTATCCGTGTACACTTGTCCGGCATGTCCCGTCTTGATCATGTAACCATCTCCAAACTTCATGCCCTTGGCACGTTGTCCACGAAGCTTTCCAGTGACGATGACTTCGCAACCCTTGGCAGAAGCTTCCATGACGAATCGGACGACACCGTAACAGGCTCTTCGGACGGCAAGTCCTCCCAACAATTTGAATTTCAAGGATTCGGCTTGGGCTTGGGCGCAGAGACCACGGTTCTGGACACGCTCGGCGTATAGCTCCACAGCGCCATCGGCAAAGCCGAATCTCTTTTGGACGACGGAGGTCAATTCACGGATGCGACGTCCATTCTCTCCCAACACGTTTTGGGTGCGGGTGGCACGGATGATGATTTCGGTGCGGTGGGGAGTGGTACGAACTTCGACACCAGCGTAACCATCTTCGGCCAATTCGCGGGTCAACAACTCATTCAATTCGGAATAGAAGACTCCGTCAGCGACGAATTTCCTCTTGCAGGACAATCTTTTCAACGAGGTGGCCATGGTTGTGTTGGATCAATATATAGTATCAACTGTTGTTGAAATAGAAGATGACAAAGCGTTGTCGGGATACCCTTGCCGAGTTTCGGGGATTTTGTTGCGGATTCCCGGGTACGGCACTTTCCTACCAGATTTTCACGCAAAAATCGAACCTGGGAGGTAATCGGTAAATGTCAGTCCATCGTCCGTGCTATTTCATCATTACCACCTACTAAAAACCTTTTTCGGAGGAGTCAAATCAAATCAATCGAACCTATCGATTTTTGCTCGGTCTCGTTGCGTCCAACACTACCGGTACCGCTACAACAACCTTGTCGAATGTGAGTGTCACCACCATGGCCTTTTTTTTCTTCTGGAACTACTGATGAAATGAGATGATCGGAGATAAAAGTGGATGAATGATGGATAGATGGATAGATGGATAGATGGATGCTTGTAGTTCACAGTGCTTGTAGGATGGATGGATGGATGAATGGATGGATGAATGAATGGGAGGAGTCAATGATCATATCATGATCGGATGGATACAAGCATTCATGCACGCATTCAAACCATGTCATTCCTATTCCACAACCGCACAAGAGCAACACCATACTTTCCTGCAACACAATCATTGAATCCACTCTCTCTACAGTTCCTCGTCTGTCATCAAGTTTTCAAATTACCATCATTTCCTGTCACTCACACACACAATATCGCTTTCTTTTTTATCTTCCCAACGCAGACTTTATTATACACAAATAATATGAAGTTCAACACTGAAGTCTCTTCTTCCCGCCGCAAGGCCCGCAAGGCTCACTTTGGTGCCCACTCGGAGGCCCGAAGAAAGCTCATGTCGGCCAATCTATCCAAAGAATTGCAAGCCAGACACGGTGTGCGTAGCATGCCCATTCGCAAGGACGACGAAGTGCTGATTACCAGAGGCATGTACAAGACCCGCGAGGGCAAGGTCACGGCCGTCTACCGTAAAAAGTGGGTCGTCCACGTCGAGCGCATTTCGCGAGAAAAGTCCAATGGGTCTACGGTCCAAGTGGGCATTCCCGCTTCGGCCTTGGTCATTACCAAGCTAAAGATGGACAAGGACCGCAAGGCCAAGTTGGAAGCCAAGTCCAAGAATAAGGAGGGAGGAAAGACCGATGTTGCCATGAGCAATGTTGACTAAAACACCTTGTGCTTTAATAATGAAGAAAAAAATATACCATATCACCATAAAGAATGCCTCAAACTTGTGCAGTGTGTGTTTGTGTTTTTGTTTTTGCAGAACACACACATTCACACTCACTTTTGAAGGATTGCTTTCTCTTCGTGTCTCGTTTTGATCGAGACTATCTAGTCATCATGCCCTTTTTGTTATTGTTGTGTATGTCTTTACTATTTTCATTGTTTGATTGTATCATCGTCTCGAAATTATGTTTGGCAACGGTGCCGTAGTAAAGCTGACAATCAACCTTTTCTTCGTGGAGGACGACGTGTTGTATCTGCAAGTGCGATGATGATGAAAAGAGTGAATGAACGAACGAATGAACGAATGAACGAATGAACGAATCCGTGTATCAAAACTAGACTTTGTGTATCTTACTACTTTATATATATACATACATTAGGTACCTATGCTCTACAAGCAAAACACAGTACTTCTTTCTTCCTTTTTCTCTTCTTCTTATAGTGGTGCTGCTGGTGGTGGCCCCACTGGATATTCCCAAAAGCGTTGCGACTTGGTCAATGGTACTACGTGAATCGGAGAGGGTGCATGCCATACCATTGCACTAATGTCATGATCTTCCAATCCCTCCAAGTATCCACCAAAGCCAATGCGAGATTTGGCATACAAGGCTTCGTTGGCCACAAAATGCACCAGGTCGGATGACAAAAAGTAAAGTTGTCCATCCACATATAGATGGACACCACCAAATTCGTTCCCCCAAAAGGACTCCAAGCGATCCATTTGCGACGGATGAGGTTTGGTGGGTGGCTTGTTCAACTTGCGTTGCTTCACTTGAGAAGGCTTCGATGACGACAACGAGTCGTCGTATCCTTTGCGAAATTCCTCATCGACAGCTTCAAAGTCACCCCACCACATGGCCTTGTCTCGCAAGGCACCACCAATCATGTTGGTATTGTAGGGTGCCGGGGGCAATTGATCGACGGCAAAGGAAAAGAAATCCTTCCAATTCACCTTGGTTTGAGCATCAATCTTCATGACATAGTCAATGGTATTAACTTGTCCTTGTTCTTGATGTCCTTCTTGTTGTTGTTTGAGGAGCAGCGAGGCAAAGTACAAAAAGGTTTGACTCTTGCCTTGATGTTCATTTTCGCTGCGAGTGGAATGCAAAGTAGTGACAGGTGAGGAAACAAATAGAGAGAAAGAGAGAGTATCGGCAGTGTGAGAAGAAAAAAAGTGTTGCTGGTTCTTCCATTTTCTTTTTCTATCAGCAGTTCAAAACGTACCGAATATTGAGCAAAGTGCAATCATTCTCGTGAACATCCTTTGGAAGATTTTGACCCTTCGTATTGACCAACAAGGAGTGATGCTGGGCAGTAGCCGCCTTATTCTTATTAGTATTATTCTCGTCATCTGGAACGGTGAGGAGTTCTGTAGGAGCATTCGGATCCATGTTCCCACCAATGACAAAGGTATAAATGACTTGACATGCCTCTTTTTCGCTCAACGACAGTTTGGTACTACTTTCATAGTCTCCCAATGCGCAAATATGCTGAGAATATTGGGCAAGGTTTTGACGGTGCCAATCTTTGGAAGGATCGTCAAGTGTCGTAAAGATTCCGACCAAGGTTTTGGGAAATGGAATGGTGGTGGTGGTGGATACTTCTCTCAAGTGCCGCCGTTGTTGGACAGCATTGTTGTTGTTGTTGTTGTTGTTCCAAGATGATGGAGTATTCGATTGCTTGTTTGCGGTCGTCAGTTGTGTAGGTTCTGCCATTCCCCCAATTGTCGTACCATCGGGTGAATGATTCCATGTAGCTACTTGCACGAGGAGGAGGAGGAGGCCCAAGGCAAAGGTGCTAGCCAAGGTCCAGTTCAACACGAACGACCGTCTTGTTGTTGTTTTTGATTGCTTCCTTCGGTGTGGCATTTCGTCAGTGGGATAGCAGTGATCGTCAGATGATAATTCTTGCAGCTGATTTCGATGGGGATGTTGCTGTTCAATTCCTCTTCGTCTCCCTCTTCCCAGCATGGTGATAGTCATGGTCAACACCAATATTGGTAGTGTACGGGTGTACTATCGTGAATTTCAATTTTGTCACTTTTTCCGTTTTTTGAAAAAAGTTTGTTGTTTCAAATGACAAAAGGGGGAAACGGAACATGTTCACTTCAGAAACGTACTATACCAAAAATAGGTGACATTAGGGGGAGATATTCTGGTGCCATCCATACTTTGATGAGCGATGAGCGATATCAGAAATCAATAGAATGAAAATAACCGCGGCTGGACTTGAGTTGTTACTGACATACTCAAGCTGAATGACTTCTTATCACTACTTTGGAAACGAAGGAGAAACTATCCTAGAAGACGTGACGGAGTTAGTCGTTCATCCTCTGGTGCAGGAGATTCCCTCTTGTCGCCATCTCCAACAGCTGACATGCGTGAACTTCAATAATAATGCATCATCCTCCTCTCTCAGAATCATTAAACGTGGTACCTTCAATGAATGTAGAAATCGAAATTCCTTCATCCGTAACGAGCATTGGAATGTGGGCCTTTGAGGACTGCCAGTCATTGGCAAAAGTTCATTTTCATCATCATAATCATCATGAGGATGGTGCTGGTGCTGATGCTGGTTCATCATCATCATCATTGGCTACCATGGGAGATATGGCCTTTGCTGGTTGCAAATCTTTGACTCATATCAGCATTCCCTCTAGTGTGGAGATCATTCGAACTGCGGCATTTTGTCTCTGCAGTCAGTTGGCAACGGTGTCCTTCTAGGAAGGACTGAGGAGAATTGACCAGTACGCTTTTGGCAGGTGTGAAACGTTGGAACATGTGGACATTCCGAGGACTCTTGAGATTTTGGGCGACAAAGCCTTTCTTGACTGCACATCATTGCAAACAGTGAATATTCACGAAATAGGAAACTTGAGGGTGATTGGACAGAATGCTTTTGATGGATGTGTCAAATTGAAGACGATCAGCATCCCTTCCACTATTGAGCGCCTTGCAAGAAAGACATTCCAGAACTGCGAATCTTTGTTGGAAATCAAGTTCCAAAATGGTCTCAAATATGTGGAAGACAGTGCCTTTCACTCATGCAAGAATTTGCAATCGGTTGCGTTACCAAAGTCGGTAGAAGTGATTGGTACTCTGGCGTTTGGACAATGTTCCAAGTTGGTGTCCGTCGAATGGGTGGGAGCGTGTAGTAGAGGTACGGAGATACAGGATGACGCCTTTGCGGAATGCAAGTCTTTAATAAATATTTGCCTTTCCGACGATGTCCATTCCGGCGGGGTGAGTGCCGGCAGCTTTCGAGGCTGTACAGCGCTGGAGAATCAATACGGCGACACGAATACTATTTCGCTTGCCCTGACGCATCGTTTCGAGGACTTTCCGGTACACAACAAATGTTACCATGCCTCTGTGACAACAGCAGATGAGCTGGCCCGGGAGATTGAATCGTTAATGCAATCGTCGTCGCAGGGCAATGATATCTGCGATCGTTTGGTAGATCCTTTCGGTATGACACCCTTTCACATTCTACTATCGGCTGCAAACTGCAAAATCGATCTTTTGCAAGTTCTACTAGATGCATATCCAGCACATGTTCTTGGATGGAAAGACGTGAACGAAAAGAACGCCGTTGAATACTTCTGTCAACGAAGTTACCATCTGTCTGAAGATTCACAACTCATCCTACAAGCGACCCTTCAAAGATGGTTAGTGGATTCAATATCGAGTTGGAATGCTGGGTTGGAAGCGTGGACACTGGACATGGCGAATAGGATGAATGCAATAGTTGCTGAAAGTGAATTGACTGAAAGACAATCTTTGCTTCAGGAAGCATCAATCGTTCTATCGCGGTACGAGCGCATGGAAGCTACAACGTTGTTAGAGTTGTCATGATGGAAATTAGAATTGAAATTGGGCCATCATGCATTAGCAGAGGATGTAGCAAGAACGACAGTCCATCAGGATGACCGACAAGCATATCGGATTCGAAATGGCTCTTCAGTTATCATTCCGAATGTGACTGCATTCCTCGATGAAACTATCTAGCTATGTAACAATGCTTTGTTGGCTCCTCAGTCACTACTATACTTATTAGGTTCCACTTTGAAATCGGCAGGTCTCCTGACCATTGATCCATCCTTTCATTATAGTGTAATAGGACTTATTCATCGTCTAGATTGAGGACCGATCTTCTTCTCTGTATAGAGCTCCATGCGATAATTGTGAATCATTACTTGATTATTGCGTCCAATCGCAAAATCTCTGCGCTCCAACAGTTGAAAGGTTTTGCTTTTCAAAAAAGGGTTTGGCTCCTTCACTCGAAAAGGTTTGAATCATAAGCTTGCTGGTGCTGGTGATGGTGGCATCATTGGATACTGCTGGCTTCTTTAGTGCTTCTTGTAGCACTTGCTGATAGAGGCGACTGGCGATTCCTTGTCGAAAATATGATGGGTGAATGTACAAAAGATCACGCTCTTTGCAACTTGGTTTCCAATCAATATAGCCCGCAATCATGATCATTGTTATATCTTCTGTAGGAGTATTCTTAGTTGATGACACTTCATCCTTTTTACTGGTGCCAGTAGTAGTAGGAACGGCTACCCAAGATATTCTATCATCTTCTTGTATCATGTCTTGGATACGATTCATATATGGAAGTAGCTCATGCCAAACTTGGATTTGTTCGGCCTCGTAGTAGGGTTGTTGTGACAATGAAGAAGACAAATGATGACACACATGTCTTCAACATGGCTGCAATCCCACCAGCATCCTCCAATCAAGCTTGCCGAATTGATACGCTCATTGTCATCGTTATTACCATAGCGCCCACGACCCACACCGTAGTCGCCCAATCCCTCTATATCGTCACAATAGATGTCAATAACATGGACCGTCACATTGTGCTATAGTAACTACAGTAAGCGGTGGGTTTTTGCGTGAGTTACAGAATGCGATGATGGACAGACGTAGCATGTCGAGTATGTCGAATTTCGATCGTTCGGCCTGATTGATTCATTCGTTTTCGACGTTCGTGTCTCTTAAGTCGAAATTTGCCGTGTGTCCTTATGTAAACAAAAGATCGACAACTGACATGTGCTGAAGTTCGGGAGAAATGAAGCGAATTTTAGATGAGAATCGTGGTGCCGGTACCAGTATGGATATGCCAGCTTCCCACACCATAGATTGGGTTGAGGATATTCTAATAGACGCTGTAATGAAGTGTTATAATACACTATGCTATTATAATATGTAAAATGTCATCATCTGAGATTCATTCTAGTTGTGATGATGAAGAAGAGCCGCCGCATGATATAGTAGCAATCCCATTACATTGTACATCATAGCAGGAGTGCTGTATTCACAGATTCGTAGCAATATTGTTCTTTTTCCATCTTGCTCTCATATGGGAATTACGCTGTAATTGGATTGTTCCATGTCACTACCTCGAAGGACGTTCTCAAGATATGAGATCCAAAGGACTTCGTCTGGTGAATTCATTGTACTTGGTCTCCAGTTCAGGAGAAGACCCTTCAAGGTTTCAAAGTAATGGTAGTTCACTTCAGGTTGTGGAGAAGAAGAACCCTTTGCCGTGGTAGTTGCTATATCATATATCCGTTCTGAAACTGCCAGATTGTTCATGGCCGCTATCAAGAAGTTGACATTTGTGGCACTCTTCTTGTTGTCCAAAGATGACATGCGCTGCTGCCTATGGCGCGTGGCTTGAATCGATATTCTGTAGAGTTCACTTGCCCTTCGAAGCCATTTGGCATCTTTCGACTCCATTGGTGCTCGGATATGAGCTAGCTGACAGGAAAGACCTTGATTGAAGCATATAGCACTTGATATAGCAGCAGTAATATCAACATGGCAGAAGCGATTCGCATTGTCTTGAAAGAAGTTTATGGGAATCAGGATACCCTTGGGATACACGAAAAACGAGCGAGTAGCAGCTTCCGAAAGACGTGTGTGCAAAGCTTCTGTGGAAGATACCATCCAATGATCCAAAGAAAGACTTTCAAACGAGGATGAGCCTTCATTGCAATCATCATCGCCAGGTTCTTCTAGTCGACCTATTTGTTGAGTCTTGCTGGATCGGAAATCCCGAAGTGCTTCCAACAGCTGCTGTGTTGCCTTGTTGAACTCGCCTCTCTGTATCATGATGACTGCATCATTGTTGCGCTGAATGACCAGCCTTTGTTGGTCTACTTCCAAAGAATCCATTGCCATACTGCAATTTGTCTTGTATATGAGGTGAAATCAATAACACCCCTGCCTAGCTGTCAATTTTATAGCCAATAGCAGATGTTTATTCAATTTTGGCAGATGGCTTCACGCCAACTTCAACTGAATTGGAATTGCCGGCGGTCGTGTGCATCTGCGCGTTCAGTTCTGCTGTACTACCTGGTACCAGGTACGTGTACCACGTATCGGTAGTTCTGCGTCCTCGACCGTTGACGGAAAAACCTCTCCTTCGACTCTTTAAAACTTGTTCTTCCGACGCCTCTGCCTACCTGGTACCCTTCTTCAAATATTTACCCACTGTTGTACCTACCGATACAATGTAGACTCTTCCTCGAGATCCTCTTCGGAACTTGATTCTTCCCTTTCAGACTTGCCATTCTCCTCACTTTTATAAAAGCACGAGAGTGAATGCATTCACCAAATCTTGACTGATTTCGTGACGTGTGCTGTCAAAGCATCATCTCATACTGTACTTCCGGCCAGTAGAATATTTGATCCCGCACCAGTCAAATACAGAATAGAGGGTTGACGGCAAGACGGAAATATTATCTTCATAATGCGTATCATCATACCGGTATCTGCAGCATGCCTCAGAATTCAAGGCGGGAGACTCAGCTTTCTTCGAGCCTTCTAGAAAAACTCATGACTGTATGCATCCAATTCTTGCAGGCTCTTAATGCATCTACAAACAGAGGACCGTAGCAACATAATATATCCTACGGCATTCTTTCTGCCAAGCATCATCGGATGCCAACTTCTATGCTTGCATCCGCGATCCTACTGCTCCTATTCTTTCAAATCCGATCTGTTTCGTCATTTCAGCAAAGCCAAGCTTATTCGTCTGGAATGCAATGGATAGGACACCGCCCTACGACATGATTGTGGTCAGCTTCCATTCATGAGAAAATGTAATTATTGCCAAATAAGAGAAAGAAGCAGCTAATATCTGGGACGAGCAATTTGAGGCATTCCTTTCGTTTAAAGAAGAATATGAGAAGGTATATCCAACAGTAGCAAGCTTCTGTCGGGATAAGCGCCTAGACCATAGAAAGGACCAGAGGAACAAGTGGCAGAGGTTCCCATCGGAGGATGACATTGGCTGTGTTTGATCGCAATGTTCGTTATCGTCGGCTGGAAGTTATAGGGTTTGAACTTAATGTACCACTAGCCCAATAATATGATAAGTACCAAGATCTGGTGCAGTTCCACCGTCACGATGGGCATCTTCGTGTGAAAAATGATGAAAATCCTGCTCTTTTCCAGCGGACAATGAATCTACCTCAGAGGCGGAAGGGAACTGAAGGATATTCAAGACTTTCTGAGACACAAATCAATCAAACGAATAGAGCGACTTGGTTTTGGGGAAACCTTTTCTTTTCGGCTGAACCGCAAACATGGTTGGAAATGCATAACCAGCGTACTGTTTCCTTTCATAACGAACACGGACATTTGTTGGTGACGACAGAAGCGAACGCGTCTCTATTAACTTGGATTTGCGGTCAACGATCACAATACAATCATCTGTTAAAGCAACAATAGAAGTTACTAAATGACATTGAGTTTCATTGGAAGCCAGACGATGCCAAGTCCAAAGGGTATGCCGGATACAACCAGCACAGCCACCTTCAGGTCAACCAAGATGATAACCCAAATCTCTACGAATGGATGACGACTCAACGGAAACGATATCTCATCAAGAAACCGGCAATGACAGATAGACAAATCAAGAAGATGGAAGAGCTTCACTTTTGTTGGTCGCTAGATTGGAAGGAACGGACGTGGTTGAGTTCTACAAGGAGCCCTGTCACGTTCAGGATAAGAAAAATGGCAACCCAAGTCTCTACAATTGGATTCAGACACAGGGGAAATAGTACGAGAGAACGAAGGGTCACAGGTCATTTTCGGAAGAGAAATTGGAAGTATTGGAACAGATTGACTTTGTGGTCCTATCAGAGACCAACCGCGCTTGGCGCGGAATACACTGTATGCAGAGATGGTGAGATTTCGAGACGAAAATGTTGGGCGATTTCCAGGTCCTAGAGATGACCCTAAATTGAACACAATCTGCTAAACTATAGTCAGACTGTCCAGTTTTCTACTGTATATGATAACAGCTAAGCGAACAATTTACATTCTGAATTTTACTTCATGCGCTGTCTCCTAGGATGAGCACAATTCACTGTTGCTCTGATGGCTAATACCGAAACCTAGTCATTGTACCCGTCACTTTATAGTTTATCCAACTTGGATGTGATGCTTATGCTTGGTTGAAATATTGCTTATCGTCTCCTCCAAAGAAATTCTTTTCTCTGTCCCCAGAGGCGACTTCGGGACGAAATTGTTCAGGAGCTTGGTATCCAGGGAGCAAAACATGTTTGATGGCATGGATGATGCCATTTTCACACATGACATCGGTTGGGTACTTTGTTCCATATGTGTGGTTGTTCTCTTGTCCAATTAAAGCGTCGTCGACTATAACCTTGCGAAATTCAACTCGTCCTGTGATGCACTCGCCATTCAGAGTTTCGTACTTCCCATTGAACTCATCCGAAAAGACATCACCCTTGATGATGTGATATTTGAGAATATCTTCGCTAAGGTAGTCTTTGAAAGCTAAGATACCGGAGTTGACTGGAGCGAGAAGAGTGTACTTTTCGTTAGTTTGTTTCAAAACTTTGTCGAGTCCAGCTTGGGCCAAGGCATCGCGAAACATATCAAAACTGTCGTATTCCTTGATTTCAAGCTCTTCCTTGCCGATGAGGATGCCCTCTGGTCCGTAGCAGACACTTGGACCTTCTAATCCTTGCAGCTCGCTCCAGATATCGTATCCGTCGGCCCCGATACCACCCAAGGCAATCTTCAATTCAGTGCTGGACGACTGGCGAAGTGCAGCATTGTTGTTGGGAGTATTCAAAGGAGCAAAAGCGGCAGCTGATGTGACCAGGACACTGAATAGGAAAAGCTTCATGATTGTCTTGTACTGTAGGGTAGGGACGAGGTAGTAAGTAAGACACTCGCAGTTGGGATTGGAAATGTAACGTTATTGTCAGCTCTTGGAGTGAAGATATTTTATTTTATTCATTTGCGTGTTTTCCTCTCGTCCTCTCACATGCGTCAGTCTTTGTCGGGGCATATCTTAGTGCCGTTTGTTGATAACTACGTATTCTTAGTCCAATGAATCAATCTTTTCGTGTTGAGCAGTACTTTACTTTACTACAACCCACAGTATAGTAGCATCCAGTACAATTGCAACGCATTAGGCCAAAGAGAAAGCGAACCTCAAGCCTTTCTAGGCCCTTTTGAAGGACCCGCCAAATTGATCTGGATCGTGGTTTCCTTATATATTTTATATTTGTGATCTTTTCTCCTGTCTACCGGTCCTGGTACTCGTAACGAGACCCGAGAGATCGAAATTTACATCACAAATGAATGCGTTGCATACTCAAAGGCCTCTTCATTGGCAGTATTCTTCAGGCCTCATCTTCAGCCTTTGCATTTCACAATTACGACAAAGCATCATCAAAGCAATACCAAACTGGAAATAACAACGTCATTATGGGAGGAATGGAGGACAACGACCAGTCGTCGGGTGGATGGGATGACTATGCGGATGACTGGGATAATCAACCAGGTGTGAGAGAGTTTTCTCAGAATACGAAAAATGTCCTCATGAAACAAGACATCCCGGAATCCTGGTCTCAAGCCACAATCCTGGATCTTGGCTGCGGAACAGGCATCCTTTCGAGAATGATTGCTGGAGAATGCAAGTCAATAGTTTCGATTGATCCATCTGGCAAAATGGTCGACGTCCTGAAAAAGCATATCGAAAATAACGAAGCCCTTCAAAACATCCTCCCCGTCAAGGGAATTTTGGACGATGCCACGGCAGGAGAATTTTTGGAAAAGAAACTTGGACCATTCGATGCCGTCGTTGCAAATTCCGTTTGCAGTTTCGTTCCTGATTACGACGCGCTTCTACTCAATATTCACAAGCTGCTAAAGCCTGGAGGATACTTTGTCCAAGCAGATTTCCGGCAGACAAAGGAACCACTGACGGAAAATCAAGGGGATGGCTTCCACGAGGCATTTATGCGCAAGGCATACACCAAGGCTGAATTGACGGTGATTACCATTGAGCCCATGACCGTGACAGAAAACAACATCATCGTCGGGGTGTCGAAAAAGGAATAAATTGGCACTGCTAGAAAGTCAAGAATATAATATTTAGTTTCTATAATAGTAAAATAGGAATCGGGAAATAATCTCTTGGCCTTCAAGAGATTGGATGCTCCCTACCATGTACCTTAGCTTTGCCAATCAAAACAACTCCAACCTTAATTTGATCCAACTAGTCGACAGTGCCAGGTAAATAGCTCATCCACGTGCGATCACTCATATATCGTGCTCGTCGCCATACACATATAATATATTTCGCGTCATCGTCTGATGTTAAAAAAATTTGCATTGCATCATTGCAAATAGGCTTTAGGTGATGAACAAAGACCCTAACTTTTAAAAGGAAACTCAAAAGATAGCCCATGGGAAAGAAATCCAAGAAAAAGGGTGGAAACTCGTCCAAAAAGAATAAGCCCGCAAAGGCAGGAGCAGCACCAAACAAACAATCATCAGGAGGAGCCGGCAAGAATAAGAAACTGGATTCCGATCAAATTTCGCTCTATCGGATCTACAAATACTGTACTGAAGCTGTCATCCAATGGGGGAAATCCGCCTTTTACAAGAAAGAGATCAAAGGAAACAACAATAACAATAGCACTAAAACATCCTTGAGTCATGTTATTTTTGACATTCTCGGGAGTTTGGCCGACGATGGGGTTCTCATGCCGGCTGCGGTGGTCCGAGATTTGAAGTTGGCCATTTCCTACCGAAAACGAGTGCGACGCTTTTACAAGTCCCTTCCACAGGTCAGTGAAGAAGATTATGCTCGTCACGAATGGTTAATCCAACAACTGGAGAAGCTGGTAAAGGCATTTCGACAAAATAAAAAAGGAAATGTGGAAAACAAAGACAATGATGCAGCTATTACTGTCCGTGAAGGATTCGAGGTGCTAGCACTCAGCGATGACGAAGAATCGGTAGCTTCGGCAGAGCAGGACGATGAAGCTAACGTGAAAAGACCACCTGTCGTCTTTTCGACACCGCCCACGCCAAAAGAACTGGAGAATGAAGAGCGACAGTTTGCTATTGCACTTTTCCTCTACGATCTGGATACCATTCGACAAAATCTTAGGAAACGATGGGAAAAGTGGGCGAAACTATCAGCGCGAGAAGGGGACACGGAAGTTGCTGCCAAGAACCTCATGGCCGTTACTGCTTCTACGGAATACGCACTAGTCGCTGTTCGCAAGTCCATGCTGCAAGTGTCGTTGGAAATTGACAACTTTTCAGGGTTCGACAAGATCCTTCAAGCCATTGGCGAATCGCCATCATCGGGTGAATCGAAACAAGAATTTGGTATGCAAGACTTTAAGGAAGGGGACTTGGTTACAATTCAGGGTTTGGCAAAACGACCCGATTTGAATGGAACCCACGGCTTCATTTGTCGTTCAATGGACGCGGAAGCGTCGCAACGCTTTGCGGTGCAGCTCTTTGACAAAAAGCAAACGCTATCGGTACAACCAAAGAATCTTGTCTTTTCCGATGAAACCTTTTCACGTCTGTGCCAAATTCAAAAAACCGTTGGATCTCTCAACGTGAAATCCTTGGACATTCCAAAAACTCCGCCGATGACATATGGTGCCCCAACGAGTGCCTCTGTACAAAAGGCTGGGGTAGAAATAATCATGCAAGGAGACAAGTTTGAAGAGGCTGCCAAGAGCAAAGACTTTGCATCGCTGTTACAGCTGACTATCCAACACTCATTGCCGCTTTGGATATCCATGTCGCAATACCTTCCTGATGTCGGTGCGGCGGATGCTGTCTTGAATGCCTACATTCGTGATTTTTTCAGCACTGGAAAGCTAAAGTTGCCACTAGCTTTTGCGCTATTGATAACGTTGGACGGAGCCATGGCATGTGCTACGGAAGGCAAGAACCTTGCCGAAGACACGAAGGACTTAGTCGTCAAAGTCTTGGAGGAGGCCTACACCACGTACTCCTACACGCCCGCCATTCGCTTGCTGGAGAGGGATGGAAAGAACTCAAACGCATTGTACTCTCATTTCGAGTTTGTCAAGCATGTACGTGAGGAATATTCTGTGGTTGGAATGTTCTTTCCGCTAGTTTCGGGAGAAATGCTGTTGAATGGACTCCGCATGCACTTTACCTGTGGTAGTGGCCTTCCCTACACATATGTGGAAAAGTGCACCCACGTTTTGCACATCTACTGGTTATTGCGGTCAGAGGGACATATGGGCAGGATTCCAGAAGTGGAATCCATTCTTCGTATGTATCAACAACGAGTCTTCTTCCGTGCCGGATTAGCAAAGAAGGGTCAAGATTCCTATTTGAAATGTCAGCAACTAGCCCAAGGTGTCAGTGCAGAAGCAGTGCGATATTTAGATGGCAAGGCAGTACCTCGACGAGTGGGTCGGGCTCCAATGAATGCGGATGCACTCACATATGAAGGCTTGCATGTAACAGAAGTATCTCGTTTGCTGGATGTTCTCCAGTGGAAGAGTATGCCAATCATTGACAAGGATGCATGCTTTGATGAAATTGAAATGATCTCAAGAGAGGAATACTCGACTATTTTCACCGCCCCGCTTTTGAAAGTGGTCGTCAAAATGATGGACCTCGCCAGCGCTCTGGAACTTGGCATGACTCGATTGGCCAGGCAATCTGGACCACAGATGCTGCCAAAGTTCGCCCAGCATACGTCCCGAATGACCGAACTTGATTTGGTAAGCTTTTGGGCCATGGCATTGGGGGACAACAGGTCTTTAATTCCAGGGGAAAAGGACACAGTGTTCGGCCACTTTGCCTCCGTCTTTTCACAAGTCTTTGGCAGTGGAATCGAGCCGATAATACCAGACGAAGAAGCAACCCTCGTATTCAGCCTGAACGACCATAAGGTAGATCCCACTCTTTGGGGAGAAAAGGGCTCCAGGAGATTAGAGCATTTGCAAGTATGATAAAAAGTTGAGCCTTAGTAATCTGCTTTTGATGAATACTAGTACGTTCGCATCATCATCATCATCATCATCATAAAGGAGAATCCAGAAACATAATATATGATTCTATTTTATTCATTTCTAATGAAGCGTGATCCAATCAATGACAGGCATTCCAGCGGACTTCGCAAGATTGACAAAATGTCGTCAACGTATTTATGGTCTTGATAAGACGGCGAATTGATGTGAGAGCGAAGACTGCAATGCCATTAATTGTTGTATTGACTCTGACATATCTACCGGTACCTGTTTTCAACAACAAAAAAAGGGATTTTCCCCCCATGGATCACACAAACAATCAGCATTGATATAAAATAAATTATGACAAAATGAACCCGCGAACGAACTTCTTCATAGCAGCATGGAGACGCAAATGTCCCTCTTTGCGGCGAAACGAGAAGACCGCATAATATCTATTTTGTAAGCACTCTTCGAACAATGAGGGCAGTGCCCTCCTCTATTTATGGACTTCAAGTGAAGATTACTTTGCCCTTTAATTGTTCTTATGGTCACTCCGGCCAGCACGTATCTATCATCATTGTTTCGATGCGAACCATTCTGAATTCAGTTTTTTTTCCTTCTCTCTCCGGATCCCACAACACAACATTGATCACATACCGGTAGCAAAAATCAGAAGTCAAAACGAACTCTTGGCGCACAACGACCAAGCCCAATACCAGCATGAGCCAGGAGATGAAATTGGGCATAAACTCAGAGTACAGTAGAGTAGATGTTACAGCCTCAAAACGAAGTGATGAACTTCTTTCATCAGTGGATCAATCTTCCAAAAGAAGTCTTTTGTCGGACCAGTCTACTGATGTTGCCAATTCAACATTCACTGGATACACAAGACACACTACAGCGACTGTTTCAGCCTCTGCGAGAAACGCAGTCTCTGGAAGCTACAGCCTAAGCCCAACACGACCAACAGGCAATGTCAGGAGAAGAAAACCTAGTAACTCGTCACACGTAAAGGGTCGTTTCAAAACAACATCAAATCTTCCGCCACTAGATTTTGGTGCTGTAGGGCTGGTCGGCAGAGATACCGAAATTGCGACGCTAAAATTCTGCTACGACCGTCTGGTGAAGGAAGGAAGAAAGGAACTTATACTGGTAGGAGGTCAATCTGGGGTTGGGAAGTCAAGTGTCATCCGAAGCATGGAAAATTACGTCCCAGTGGAAGGCCTATTTGTGGGAGGCAAGTTCGATATGAATACTAGCAACGAACCTTACTCTGGAGTGGCAGTAGCCTTTGGCGCTATGTGCCGGACGATCATGGAAGCAGGACCCGATGCAATTGCGGACCTTCACCAGGATCTGCGGAAAGAGCTGGGGGACAAGTCGGGAATGTTGATTCAGCTGATTCCTGAACTAAATGATATCATGACCGTCGACACTGCAAAGGACCCAAACGTCGGATCCATTGACAGAGTGGACGAGACGGACGGTGGAGTCGATCGTCTTAGATTCGCATTTCGAGTGCTGGCCCGAGTCTTCAGCGCTGTCTTCTCGCCCCTAGTCTTGTTTTTGGACGACCTTCAGTGGGCGGACGTGTCATCACTCCAAGTATTGGAATATTTAATTTCCGATGCTCACAATGATAATCCTCTCATGATCATTGGAAGTTACCGATCGGAAGAAGTAGATGAGAACAGTATGCTCCACAACAAAATGGCAGTGCTTCGAGAAAAGACCGACAGATTTCGATTTCACATGACCGAGCTGATGATCGAGTCTTTTAGCCTTAGCGACGTTGAAAAGGTGATCGCTGCAGTATTACCATCATTAAGGGCTGATCACACAGTTGGACTTGCCGTTTTGTGCCACCAGCGAGCCCTCGGCAATCCATTTTTCACGATTGAATTTCTCAAGATACTTCATTTCGAAGGGATGCTGGCATTCGACCGCAAAACAAATACTTGGTCATGGAATCTTTCCGAGATTCGAAAAGAGACCGTGTCCGCTGCGAACGTTGTGGTGATGCTTGAACAGCAGCTAAGGAAGCTTCCAGAGCAAGTGCAAGCGCTTTTGCAGTGTGCAGCCTATCTCGGTTCGTCCTTCAGCGAACCGACAATCGATCTTGTTTGGAGTGTCTATGGGCGAAGAATTGTGGAGAAAAGAACGGAACCTGTCTCGTCCCTTCTACAACTTGTTGTTTCTGAAAGCATATTTGAGACGAGCGAAAAGCAACAGTATCGATGGGCACACGACAAGCTTCGAGAAGCTGCACTTTCTCTGTCAGATACGCGTCGAGATACCTTTCAATTGGATATTGGAAAAACTTTGTACTATGGACTTACCAAGGAGCAAGTTGAAGAAGACCTATTTACAATCGTTGACCTCATCAACAATGGTAACACATTGAAGCGACCAGAGTTTGCACCCGTGAACCTGAGAGCAGCGGAAAAGGCACGTGACATCTCGGCATTTCAGGCTGCCAGCGAGTATGCTTCTGAGGGTATTAGTCTCTTACGGGAAACCGTTTGGGATAAACACAAGTCGCAAGCTCTGAGCCTGTATACTATTGGAGCTGAAGCGGAACTCGTACTCGGGAATGTCACAGCTGCTGAGGGATACCGCGAGATGGTGCTCTCTCGATCTGACCTTTCGACTCTAGAGATGCTACCATTACAGATCGGCAAAGCCAAGGCATTGGGTGACGTTGAACTAAAGTCGAAGGAGGCATTGGAATACTGCCTCAGACTATTGAAAAAACTGGGTTGTCGGCTGACATGGATCAGGCCAGTGGCCCTTCCTCAAGCCGCTATGAGAGCAATCCGTACAATCAAGAAAGCAAAAGCAAAGCCCCAAAGCTTCTACGAATCCATGGTAACCTCTGATAACACGAAACAAAAATACATTGCCTATTTGCTTTCAAAGGCGGCATACAATGCATACACCACTGGGGACACAGCAATGTACCTCTTGACCACTGTCAAGTTGGTTGAGTTGACGATGGAGTTTGGAGTGAATGAATTTTCAGCTACTACCTTTACCTTTTTGTCCATCTTGTCGATTGTCGTACTGAAGGATTATGAGGCAATGGAACGGTTCCAAAACATTTCACTTTTCATGGTAAAGAAGTTCCGAGGAATGCATGCTTCCGAGGCCATCTTTGTTGGTGTCCATATGGGTCTCCTTTGGGTGAAGCCACTCGAATCCGGCCGCACTATGGCTACAGAAGCAATCGTTGCAGGAAGAAGAGAAGGCGACATGGTGTACACTAATTGGTCCATTGCATGTCGTAAGTTTATCGCACTCATTGTTTACTTGTCATCTGCAAAGAAGCATGCTAAATGTTATTATATTTCCTCTTCTTTTTAGATGTTATACATCTTCCATACACTACAGGACGTCCACTACAAACAATTCTAGAAGGCTGTCCTAACATCTTGGCTGAATTCGAAGAGACCAAAGGTATGCTTGCGACTGTGAGTTCATGAATGTCTCCTCTTCCTCTTCCTTTTGACTCATTCTTTTTTTCTTTTCGAAATCTCCAGCCAGAGCCCATATCTTGAGTACAAAGGCATACTATCAAATGATTCTAAATCTGAACGACCCTTTGTGTGAGAAGCCAAGTGTGCACATCGGTGAGATTTATGCCGACACAAAGGAGGATCACGACGGGAATTTCGTTCATTTGGCCGACAAGCTACTCGCAGAGGGAGAACTGATTTTCTGGCACGAAGAGTACGAGGTCAGTGCCAAACGAGCACTTCAGGTAGGAGAGTCCCATGCAAAGTTGGCCCCAGCCATTTATTTGAACCAGATTGAATCATTTCATCGTGCAGTTGCTCTGTACGCTGCCGCCATCAAAACGAAGAGGGGCAAGTACAAGCGCGCTGCAAATAAGATCAGAAAGAGGATAGCAACGCTGGCGCAATACGAAAATACCACTATCCAGTACTACAACCTGTTTCTATCGGCTGAGTATCTTACATTGCAGAAGAAGCACAAAGAGGCGAAGTTGAAGTATGAGCAAGCCCTTGAAGCGGTGGGGAAATTGTGTCATCTCCACCATCTCGGGCTGTTGAACGAGCGATATTCAGATTTCCTTCAATGGGAGCTTTCGTTGCAGAAAGAATCAAGGTATCGGTTAGAACAAGCTATCGAATACTATAGGGAATGGGGGGCTGTTCACAAGGTGAAAGCTTTGGAATCTAGGCTGTAGGAAGCAAATGAGCAACTTTAGAAATAAAAAGCATTCAAAACTGTATTGCGATTGTCCTAGCAATTTGACGTTTGGAGAAGGTAATTGCAACTCGCGGGGTTCAAACTTTTTCAATGTTGTAGAAGTCTTTCTCTGAATTCAGACTGTATTATAGTACAGACCACGTACATATACTCGTAACAAACTATATCGCTGAGTGACTAATAGCTTCGACCTCAAGATTCTCTCAATTCGAGAATCATCGCTTTTGGAGGATGCTTATATATATCTCCACCAGGATTTTGGCAATAAAAGTCACCATCTGGAAAAAGCACTGTAATGTAAAAGCCATGGAGCTTGTCAAAGACTTTTGCAACGTGACATCAAGTATTGTTCTCTACAGTTTTGAATGCATTTTATTTCTAAAGTTGCTCATTTGCTTCCTACAGCCTAGATTCCAAAGCTTTCACCTTGTGAACAGCCCCCCATTCCCTATAGTATTCGATAGCTTGTTCTAACCGATACCTTGATTCTTTCTGCAACGAAAGCTCCCATTGAAGGAAATCTGAATATCGCTCGTTCAACAGCCCGAGATGGTGGAGATGACACAATTTCCCCACCGCTTCAAGGGCTTGCTCATACTTCAACTTCGCCTCTTTGTGCTTCTTCTGCAATGTAAGATACTCAGCCGATAGAAACAGGTTGTAGTACTGGATAGTGGTATTTTCGTATTGCGCCAGCGTTGCTATCCTCTTTCTGATCTTATTTGCAGCGCGCTTGTACTTGCCCCTCTTCGTTTTGATGGCGGCAGCGTACAGAGCAACTGCACGATGAAATGATTCAATCTGGTTCAAATAAATGGCTGGGCTTGTCTTTGCGTGGGTCTCGCCTACCTTGAGCGCACGATTAGCACTGACCTCGTACTCTTCGTGCCAGAAAGCGAGTTCTCCTTCTACCACTATCGTCTCTCCCAAATGAAGCAGGTTTCCCTTGTGATCTTCCTTTGTATCGGTGTATATTTTACCAATGTGGACATTTGGATTTTCACATGATGGGTCGCTGAGATTCACGAGCATCTGGTGGTGGATCTTATGGCTCAGTATATTGGCCCCGGCTAGATTTTAAAGTGATAATAATGTTAGTTCACAATGAAAAGAGCGAAAAGGTGCCGAACCACATTGCCGTGTAAGCTCACCCTTGCTCTCTTCAAATTCAGCCAAGATGTTGGAACAACCTTTCAGGATCGTATGGATCGGGCGCCCTGTTGAATACGGAACGTATACAACATGTTGCATAATGCACCACAACGTGTAAACTAAGTCACCTTCTCTCCTGCCTGCTAGGATAGCCTTTTCAGCCATCCCACGACCAATCTCCAGCGGTTGCACCCAAAAGAGACCCAACTGGGAGCCAACAAAGGATGTCTCTGCATTATGCATTCCTCGAAACTTTTTCAACAGGCGAAGAGCAATATGTTGAAAACGCTCCATTGCCTCGTAATCCTTAAGCACGACGATGGATAGAACGCCCAAAAATGCGAAGGCCGTAGCCGAAAATTCGTTCGCACCAGACTCCATAGTCAACTCTACCAATTTCACAGTTGACAGTAGGTACATTGCAATATCACCAGTGTTGTACGCGTTGTATGCCGCTTTCGAAAGTAGGTAGCCTATGTATTTCTGCTTCTTGTCATCAGACGATACCATGGATTCGTAGAAGCTGTCCTGTTTTGCCTTGGCTTTCTTCATGGTACGAATGAAACTTGCAACTGCTTGTGGGTACGCCAACTTTCTAACCAACGCAAGGCGGCAGCCATGATTGTTCAGTAATCTGAGACAATATTCCAGTGCTTCCCTCGACTTCAGCTCAACATCACCCAATGCCTTGGCTTTCACGATCTGCAGAGGAAGCATTTCGAGTGTCGACAGGTCTGAGCGGGATAGCACAGTCTCCCAGTATCGCTTAGCGGTATCGACATTGCCAAGAACGAGTTCTGCTTCAGCCCCAATAGTATACAAACTCAAAGCCGTCGACTTGTTTTGAATCCAATCCTTTTCTTGCAAGAGACTAATTCCTTCAGCTATGTAGTCTCTACAAGCTTGAAATGCTGCGATTTCGCGGGCTTTTTCCGCTGCTCTCAGGTTAACGGATGCAAATTCTGGGAGCTTTAAGGTGTTACCATTGTTGATGAGATCAACGATCGTAAACAAGTCTTCTTCAACTTGATCTTGAGTGAGTCCATAGTACAACGTTTTTCCAATGTCCAACTGAAAGGTGCTTCGACGCATATCTGAGAGAGACAGTGCTGCTTCTTGTAGCTTGTCGTGTGTCCATCGATACTGCTGCTTTTCGCCTTTCTCGAAGATGCTGTCAGCTACGATAAGTGGGAGAAGAGATGACGTCAGTTCGATTCTTTCCTCCACCAACCTGCGTCCATAGACACTCCAAACAAGATCGATTGTCGCTTCGCTGAAGGACGATCCGAGGTAGGCGGCGCATTGCAGTAGTGCTTGCATTTGCTTTGGAAGCTTTCTCATTTGTTGCTCCAGCATGACGACGACATTCGCAGTGGACATGGTCTTTTTTTCGATATCTGATAGGTTCCAAGACCAAGTCTTCGTTTTGTGGTCGAATGCCAGCATCCCTTCGAAATGAAGCATCCTTAGAAATTCGATTGTAAAGAATGGATTGCCAAGGGTTCGCTGATGACATAAAGAAGCAAGCCCAATTATATGGTCGGCTCGGAATGATGGCAATACTGCTGTTACGACCTTTTCAATGTCATTGGAGCTGAACGATTCGATCGTCAGCTCGGTCATGCGAAATTGAAACTTGTCGGTCTTTTCTCGAAACCCTAACATTTTGTTGTGGAGAGTACTGTTTTCATCTACTTCCTCTGATCGATAGCTTCCAATGACCATAAGAGGATTCTCGTTTTCCTTGTCCAGAATCAAGTACTCCAACACTTGAAGAGATGACACGTCCGCCCACTGAAGGTCGTCCAGGAACAAGACTAGGGGAGAGAAAAGAGAGCTGAAAACTCGCGTCAGCACTCGAAATGCAAATCTTAGGCGGTCGACTCCACCTTCCGTCTCGTCCGCTCTATCGATCGATCCAACGGATGTTTCGTCGGCAGTCTCGACTTCCATGATTTCATGGAGTTCAGGAATAAGTTGAACCAACATTCCAGGCTTGTCCCCCAGCTCTTTCCGTAGATCATGCTGTAAGTCCGCAATCGCCTCGGGTCCTGCCTCCTTGATCGTTCGGCATATGATACCAAAGGCTTCTGCCACTCCAGAGTAAGGTTCGTTACTGGTATTCATATCGAACTTGCCTTCCACGAATAATCCTTCAACTGAGAAATCATTTTTTATGCTTCGGATGACGCTTGACTTTCCGACCCCCGACTGGCCTCCAACCAGAATCAGTTCCTTCTTTCCTCCTTTTACAAGGCGATCATGGGAGGATTTCAAAGCAGCTATTTCGTTATCTCTGCCGACCAACCCAGCAGCACAAAAGTCCAGTGATGGAACATTCGATGCTGTCTTGAAACCCCTTTCTGTATCTGATCTGGATTTTCTAATCGTTGCATTGCCGGTTTGGCTTGAGCTGAACTTTCTAGACACTCTTTTTTTGGCCGAGATTGACACGATCACCGTTGTTTCTTTTGCAATCTCACCGTGTGCCAAGGACCGTTCTTTCTTTGACGATTCATCGGCTGGAAGGACGAGGGGGTTATTGTCTCTTAAATTTTCGTATTCTTTTTTGTACTCTTCGCTCATTGTTTGGTTTTGGCTATTTGGCTTCAAACAGTTTCAAGAAATGCAAACAATAATGCCATGTTGGGATTTTTTCCTGTCCTTCGGGCGGATTTTCTTTTTCCAGCAGTTTGTCTTGTGAAAATGACCTTTAATTTTAATAATAATAATATATTATATTATAATAATTGCCAACTATTTGATATATATATATCAACCCTATCTTTGGACTTCTGAATATCGGGCGGACTTTCTTTTCCGGCAGTCATTCGTTTCTGAACATTTCATGCCTACGGGCCACTGTCCAAAAATCACTAATACACTTGCATTTTTTAAAAACACCTGCTCGGTTCACCGAGGTGTTATGAACCGCTCCAAAGGGACTTCTGCTGCATGGGTATAAAGTAACTCCGATATGACCCTTCGGTGCAACTCCCATCCATCCATAGCAGCATCCTTTTATTGCCCTTTCCTCACCATAATGGAGTAGCTTCACCTCCTAACGTATTATCTGCTCGATTCCTTCCGACTTGTGAAAAGATGGAGAAGCAAAGTGGCCGGGCATGTCATATATCACACGAATTGGGCTTTGTAGCTTCGCCTGCTATTATCTGCTCGATTCCTTCCGACTTGTGAAAAGACGGAAAAGCTAAATGACCGAGCATTTGTGTCCTTCCCCCATGGAATTAATTACAGTATGTGAATTACAGTCTAGATTCTAAAGCTTTCGCCTTGTGGACAGCACCCCACTCCCTATAGTATCCGATTGCTTGTTCCAAACGGTACCTTGATTCTTTTCCTGACAAAAGTTCCCGTTTAAGAAAATCTGAATATCGCTCGTTCAACAGCCCGAGATGATGAAGGTGGCCCAACTTTCCTGCTACTTCCAGGGCTTGCTCATACTTCATGCTTGCCTCTTTAAGTTTCTTATTGGATGCAAGATGCTCAGCTGTTAGAAACACGCTGTAGTACTGGATGGTGTTATTTTCATATTGCGCCAACGTTGCCATTCTCTTTCTGATCTTATTTGCCGCGCGCTTGTACTTGCCCTTCTTCGTTTTGATGGCGGCAGCGTACAGAGCTACTGCACGATGAAATGATTCAATCTGATTCAAATAAATGGCTGGGCCTATCTTTGCGTGGGTCTCGCCAACCTTTAGAGCTCGCTTAGCAGTGACTTCGTAGTCTTCTTCGTTCCAGAAAACGAGTTCACCTTCTGCGATAACCTTATCTGCCAAATGAACCAAGTTTCCCTTGTGCTCTTCCTTTGTATCGGTGTATATTTTGCCAATGTGCACACTTGGATTCTCACATGAAGGGTCGTTCAGGTTGAGCAGCATCTGATAGTAGTTCTTGGCGCACAAGATATGCGCTCCCGCTGGATATTTCGAACGAGATAATCATGCATGTTAGTCACAATGAAACGAGCGAAAAGGTGCCATTCACTATATCGCCGTTGCAGACTCACCTTTGGTCTCTTCGAATTCAGCCAAGATATTAGGACAGCCTTCCAGGATCGTTTGGATCGGACGCCCAGTTGTATAGGGAAGGTATATAACATGCTGCATAATGGACCACGATGTGAACACCAAGTCACCTTCCCTTCTGCCTTCCAAGATAGCCTTTTCAGCTACGACGCGACCCATTTCTGGCGGCTTCACCCAGAAGAGACCCAGCTGGTGTCCAACAAAGATCGACTCTGCAGCATGCATTCCCCGAAACTTCTTCAGCATTCCAAGTGCAATATTAACAAACCGTTCCATCGCCTCGTAATCCTGCAGCACGATAACTGACATGACTCCCAAAAATGTGAAGGCAGTAGCTGAGAACTCGTTCACGCCAGACTCCATTGTAACGTCAACTAGCTTCACAGTGGTCAAGAGGTACATCGCGGTGTCCCCAGCGGTATACGCATTATAGGCAGCTTTCGAAAGTAAGTACCCAATGTACTTTAGTTTTGTGTCGTCGGACGGCTTCATTTCCTCGTAGAAACTGTGTGGCTTTGCCTTTGCTAGCTTCACTGTACGAATGAGACTTGCAACTGCTTGTGGAAGGGCCAATGGTCGAACCCATGTCAATCGGCAGCCATGGTTCTTCAATAAGCTGAGACAGTATTCAAGTGCTTCCTTCGACTTTAGTTCAACGTCACCCAAAGCCTTGGCTTTGCCGATCTGCAAGGGTAGCATCTCGAGTGTAGACAGGTCAGATCGAGAGAGCACCACATCTCTGTATCGCTCGGCGGCATCGACGTTGCCAAGCAGGAGTTCTGCTTCTGCTCCAATAGTATACAGGTTCAGAGATACGGACTTGTTTTGAACCCAGTCGGTCTCTTGCAAAAGACTAATGCCTTCAGAAGCATACTCGCTGGCAGCCTGAAACGCCGAGATGTCACGTGCCTTTTCTGCTGCTCTAAGATTCACTGCAGCAAACTCTGGCCGTTTCGACGTGTTACCATTGTTGATTAGGTCCACGATCGTAAACAAGTCTTCTTCCACTTGCTCCTTTGTCAGCCCATAATACAAGGTTTTTCCAATGTCCAACTGAAAGGTATCTCGGAGGCTTCCGGAGAGAGAAAGTGCAGCTTCCTGAAGTTTGTCATGAGTCCATCGATACTGTTGCTCGCTTTTCTCGAATATGTCGTCAGCAACGAGTAAAGGAAGCAGAGACGAAACGGGCGCTGTTTTCGTTTCCACCAATCTTCGACCATAGACGCTCCAAACGAGGTCGATGGTCGGCTCGCTGAACGACGATCCGAGACAAGCCGCACACTGAAGGAGTGCCTGTACCTGCTCTGGTAGCTTCCTTAAATGTTGTTCGAGCATGACAACTACATTCGCAGTAGACATGGTCTCTTTTCTGATCTCCGAAAGATTCCAATACCAAGTCTTGGTTGTTTGATCGAACTTCATCATCCCTTCGAAGTGAAGCATCTTCAGAAACTCTATTGTAAAGAATGGGTTTCCGAGCGTGCGCTTGTGGCATAAAGCAGCAAGCCCAACTATATGATCAGCTCGTAGTGATGGCAATACTGCTGTCACAAGCTTTTCAATGTTACTGACGCTGAATGATTCGATCATCAGCTCGGTCATTTGGAAATGAAATTTTTCAGTTTTCTCTCGCAGAGCTACCATTTTGTTGTGGAGTAGACTGTTCTCATCCACTTCTTCAGATCGATAGCTTCCAATGATCATGAGTGGGTTCTCATTTTCGGTATCAGAAACCAAATAGTCCAATACTTGAAGCGATGACACGTCCGCCCACTGAAGGTCATCTAGGAACAAAATCAAGGGCGAGAAGAAAGAGCTGAAGACTCTAGCCAGAGCTCTAAATGCGAATCTTAGACGATCGACTCCACCTTCTGTCTCGTCCACTCTCTCGATTGATCCAACTGTTGATTCATCAGCAGAGTTCTCTCCTAGCATGATGTCATTGATTTCAGGAATCAGATACATCAACATTCCAGGCTTGTCCCCCAACTCATTTTGCAATTCCTGTCGCAGATCCGCTAGAGTCTCTGGTCCCGCTTCCTTGATCTTTCGACAAATGATGTCAAAGGCTGTTGCCACTCCAGAGTAAGGTTCGTTACTAGTATTCATGTCGAACTTACCCTCCACAAATAGCCCCTCAACGGGGATATCATTTTCCATGCTTCGGATTATGCTTGACTTTCCAGATCCAGACAGCCCGCCTACGAGTATCAGTTCCTTCTTTCCTTTCTTCATCATGCGATCGTAGCAGGATTTCAACGTCGACAGTTCCTTGTCTCTGCCAACCAACCCCGCAGCACCAAAATCGAGTGGCGGAAGATTGGATTTTGGCTTGAACTCCCTGGCTGTAGTACAATGTATTTCTGTCTTTTGTTTTCGCCGGCGTCTTGATTGAATATCTGCTTGGCTTCGACGAGACGCTTGTAACGTCCCGGACGTTAACACGGTCAAACTCGTGTGCTTAGAGAAACTAGTGTAAGATGAATACGCAACCGAGGACTGATCATTTGATGATACGTGACTTTCTTGCTTAGAATCCGCTGAAAGCAGAGCATCACTCCGTCTTGAAGAGGCATCGTCTTCTTTACGTTCCGAGAATTCCAAACTCATCTCTGAGTGTTCGAAGTTTGTGTACGAAAGTGTATGCATGGTGTGTGGTGAAAATGTGGGAATATTACTCTTGTGAGTGAAAGTTGTGGAGTGGTTGAGTCAGATAATGTGGGAATAGCCGTGGATTTCTGAGTTTGTGGTTCGCTCGCAAAAATTGTGCCTTTCTGGAAAAAAGCGAAACTCAACACGTCACTGGAAAACTAGCGAAACCAGCTGTTTTGTGTCATTACCGACCATAATTCTCTTAAATGAAGGATAAATGTCTCATATACATTAAGTAAGAAACGTCACGCGTTAAATCAAAGCGATACTCCACGATCGCATTTGCAATTAGTGTATGCAGTTTTCTAAGCTTGTTTCGCTTCCCCAATAGTTTCTGTACGCGTGAGAATCAGCTTCAAATTCCCTTTGCTGATATTTCGGTTACACATCGTCATTCACTCACATATATACGATCATGGTTCGTATCGGTACACGATTGATAATTCAATCCGCGACATCAATATCCGGGACGATAGCAGTAGCATCTGGCCAAGGAACTGAAAAGCAAAACCGAAGATGGGAAGACGAATGAATGAATCGAATGAGCAAATGAGAGAGCTACAACAGAATGGAAATACTTTCTGTAACATTTTCATTGGTACCAGCCATTAAGGGATGCGACTTGAACCACTGCACTGCCATGAGCCGGATGATGCAAGGATGAGACTCAATGGAGTTGAAAGAGTTGCCCTACCGGTACAAATGTATACCGCCCTACAAATGCTACCGTCGCATCTCCACATCCCATTTGGCTTCATTACTGAAGAGGAAGTGTCACAACTGCTTCGAGGTCGATCAATTTCCCCCTATGGCCAACAGCTTGATTAAGATTTTCTTGTCCGGAGGGATCTTTCATTGGAGAATAAATGGACCAAATCATATTGTGTTTGAAAAAGAAAAGAAAAAGGCAGTCGGATGCTTCAGCGAATCGGAGGACACGGTTTGCAAACGGTGAATCGAGAATCATGGTGGCGGTAGCAATGGCTGGTCTCAGCAAGTAGCAATGCCAAGAAACGTAGTCAGCGCTCTTGGAGTCTTCCTTTCAGGGACTCTGCTAGTGGCTTGTGGTAGTTATACCCAGAATGCAAGACTCCCATAATTTTGCTGCGGCCAAATTCACAGGTTCTATGGTAGAATGGGTCGCTGATGACCGTTAGGGCTTCTGCAGCAGGCACTGTGGCATCTCCGCTTGTTAAGAATCTGTAATAAAAGGCTTCAGAGAACGATAGATGCTTGAACTGGTATAGGCCCCCTTTGGCATATGTCGTAGATTCGGACAAAGTCTTGATAAGTGGCACACCTCCTTTTTTATCTTGAAGCTCCAACCATTTTTGAAACAAGGTCTCGCTGTTATCTTCTCCAGCAAAGGCTTCCTTCACTTCGTTCATGTCAAAGACACGTCGTTGGGCTCTCATGTTTGCAACGGAAACTTTCGTTAGCATGGTTGTCACTATTTGTGCATCGACCTTGTCATGCTTCACCGCGCGATGAACAACACACTCCATCGAATTTTCGTAGAGCTCAATAGTGCTCCATTGAAGGGCTGCCAAAGGATCTTCCACGCCTCCTCGAAACAGAATGACAACAATGAGGGATAGAAGAACTGGTACCTTTGCCATTGCCTCGAAACGGGTTAGGCTATCTTCTATTCTTGGTGACTCCAGTGCATTCCCCAATACCGCATGATATCGCTCCTTCAGGACTGACCGAAAGTACTCGTAGGCTGCATGCCCGTCAGCGGACTCCTCATGCTTCATGATCGCATCGAGATGTAGCTGCACCTCCACCAGAAAACTAGTATTTCCGTCCACTAGCTGAAGAGTTGCAATCTTGAATCGAAAATGAGTCGGTGTCAGCTGGCCATGATGGAACATGTTCTTCAGACGGACAACTGTGGTTGAATCCTGCTCCATTGCCACCACATTCTCGTCCTTTTGTAAGATTCTCATTATTTTCTTGATCGCTTCCGCGCTGCGACATATCAGTCGAGCTCGCAAGACATCCATGACACATGCTTCTGGTAAAGAGTCGTCATCGAATCGGTTTGCATAATCATTTTGTGCCTTTTCATAAACTCGTATCGGATCTTTGATGGATCCCCTATGAATCTGCAGTTCTTCCTCTCCAATGATTGCTTGAATAGTCGCAAGCCACTTCTCATACAAGGGTGAGAAATGTCCCGCCGAGACATACAGAGCATCTACCCTGCTGGCAATATGATTCCAGAACTTTTTTAAAGGCATTTTGTTTCGCTGTGTATTGGAGTACAAAAGGCACAGCCTGATACAGACCGTGCGCAGGTCTGAATATCCATTCATAATGTCAAGGCCGTCTTTGGGCAATATCTTGTCCACCATGTTTTCAGCAGCGACTACCTTCAGTACCTGACTTGTCTCAAAGTGTGCTCTCAGTTTATCTTCTAACTTGCAAAGGATATCATGAGCCTCCATAGCTTCTTGGAGCAACTGAAGATAAGAAGAATCCAGCGATGAAGCAACGCAAAGGTCCGATCCGTCAAGCGCCTTTTGTCGCTTGGAGGGATCCCATGATCCATCCTCCAATTTGAAATTGTCCGATGGACACAATGATTCCACATACATCCGTTCATTCCTGTCAAACGCAGTATTGAAAACGTTGTCGTGTCCTCTTCGAACATTGGAAAGCTTGAAAAGACTTGACAAAAACTCGTCCTCTTTCAAAAAGTGCTGAATAACACTTATCTGTTGTTCTGGAGAAAGAGGAAGCAGCTTGATAATGCTGAAATCTTGACAATACAGTGGCAGCCGAACTCCTTCTGGTCGAGAGGTAACGACGATTCTGTTTCCAGTTGGCTTTAGAAAATCATGAATGAATTCTTCGATGGTTTGGCGCTTTCCAGCAGCTTCATCTACTCCATCAATCAATAGAATTAATCCCTGTGCCTCAAGCTTGGCTGTTAGGAAGCTGACATATTGCGGGTAGTCCATTTCCAGAAACCCGTGAAGCAGCTCCATCCCTCTCATGTTGTGATTTTGTCGTAAGATTCGAGCCAACTTTTGCACTGGAATCAATATCGGCACAACTGAAATGCCTCCCTGTGATTGTATTTCCTTGACAAGCCTACAGCATAGCTGTTGCAAAAACCACGTCTTGCCCGTCCCAGGTCCAGCCACCATGAGTACGGGATCTGAAGTCTTCATGACACCCCTGCATACATCGTCAACGTTATCGACCGATCTCCATGTCGCTGAGGATATTCCGACAGGGACATTCAGCACTCGTTCAATCGTCCTTTTGTCCGTTTCATATTTCTGTTCCGTTCCATCGGGAAGCATGATCGCTAAGTAAAGAAATCGGTAGTGCTCCACTGGTCTAGCTGTAAGCTTTGCGACAGGAATTCCTCGAGCGACGTCTCGAATAACGTCTCCAGCTTTTAGTTCCCACACACCAGGTAGTTCTCTCCAACTGACAGCTGTATCCTGCAAACGGATGCATTCCTCAAAGCTCAACTGCTTCTTACTTTTCCATATTTCCAAGCCACCAATATCTTGGATAAACGTTCTATTTCCAGATCGAAGGAGCACTTCTGGTTCTACTTTTGATGATGCTTCACTTCGCCGTGATACATCTTGGACTAGAGCAATCTGAATCTGAATCACTGCTGTTGCATCCCTGGTTTGAATCAAATCCCCAACTTGAAGATCACCTGTTTCACAGCGTTCCCATATTATTCCCTCTCCCATCAATGCAATGCACTCTTCCAGGTCTTTCAGACTAAAGGATTTCCAGCTTACAGCCGATGTGCTGACACGGATCAGTTGGGTTTCAACGTCGAGTTCTTCGTCCAAGATATCATCCTTGATGGTCTTCACTCTTGCGGCCAAATCGCTTAGGTATTGCCTCGATGGTTCTTCCTCTTGGCGTGATGACGAGTCTCCGCTACCGGATTGCATTGGCGGTCAGCTATTCAAGGCAGAGGTACTGTAGGATTCATCAATGATAATACAGCAGTAATAATGTCATGCATGCGTACCATATTTTGCGCCGACAGTATTATTATATTCGATCTTTCGGATCCGTTTGAAAATAAATTCTGAGAATTATAAAATATTTATATACAGTGCAGTCGCAGTACGTACAGTACAGTCGTTGCTCGACGACTACTTCGAGCAACGACTGGCTGGCGCGATTTCAGCGATCCGTTAGATAATATTATGCTACAAATTCATGACAAAATCGAGAGAACTTTTCTTTGTTGACACCGATGCAACAAAATGAAAGCAAAGAAAGCTGCTCCAATTCGCTGCCATCCCATGTCGACCAGCGATCAAGGCACAACGGATAGTAGCTCCTTATGTAGCAAAGCTGCTCGAAATCGTCATCGTCTCATGTCCACCAACAACGATCATCATAGCACAACCAACACCACGACGACGGATAGCACTTCCTTCTATAGCTATGACGGTAAAACAGACATCAATTCGCGACAGATGCTGTGCCAAGCTCAACATCTACAAGTTTCTAACAAGGTCACCAATATACCCGATCACTTTTGCCAATCTGACGTTCCATTAGCATTGGATCTGAGTAATGCTTATAACTTGCGAATGATTGGTCGATCTGCCTTTCAATGTCCTTCTTTGCAAACAATTATATGGCCGACTACCAACCAAACAGATGATCAAGATGTCGGTGATACATCACCCCATCTACAAGAGCTTGGAGCAGGAGCATTTGAGGCTTGTTGTAATTTACAGCATTTGGACTGGTCACAGTTGCTCCAATTGATATCGATTAGCGAGTCATGTTTTCTCGCTTGCAAAGGTCTGCAAACGATAAAAATGGCTCCGAATCTGAACCGCATCGGATCTCAAGCCTTTGGATATTGTAAAGCATTGCGTGAGATTCAATGGAATGGAATCCCAATAATAGAACTGGAGGCGGACTTATTTACGGCGTGCTCTCAGTTGACATATTTGGATTTGACGGATCTGAAACAGCTTCGGATCATTGGACCTCGTGTCTTCAAGAACTGCAAGGGATTGGAGTGCGTGGAATTCCCAGCATCCCTGGAGACTATAGGAATGGGGGCATTCTATGGCTGTGAGTCCTTGAAGCAGGTCAAGTTTGCAAGTGACTGCACTGCCCCCACCAATGAACTTCTAATTGATCAAGCCGCCTTCGCCAAATGCACCAGTTTGTCGTTCTTTGACATGCCAAACTGTGTTACACGACTGGCCCCACTGACATTCTGGGGATGTACGAATCTTGAGACTTTAATCTTGTCACCAACTCTTGAAAGCATTGGCGGGAGCGCGTTGGGGAACTGTGTCTCGTTGAAAGAAGTCACCCTACCATCCACCATGAATCAGGAATCCATTGGACCAAACGCCTTCTTCAATTGCCCTATTGAGCTCGGATCTGATATATGGTACTGGCACTATCCGCGGCATGAAAACGACTTCCACCATAACATTTTCAATGACGGTCGATGCTTGCCAAGCATTGTTACCAAGGTCAAGATCATAATTTCCGGTAATGCTCAATGGTATGCTTCGTATGCACCAATCGACCACCCGAACGGCAAAGAAGCACTAGAATGGGTCGATATCCAAGGTAACGATGATTTATTATCTGCTATTCAGCTCAGTCTTCAATTCCCGAAGGCTACCGCTGCCACAATTTCCAAGGACCGCCTGATACGCATGTACAACAACGCACCGATCTGTCAATCACTCTTTCGCACCGCCATTGATGATCGCCAGGAGCACTTCGTCCCTAAACTATTTCGTACCTTAATGTTCCAGGACGATGGCGACCAGCAGGAAACTCGTGATATCATGGAAAAGTTTAAAGAAATCCAACTGGTTCATGCCAATACTATTCACCAACTCGTCTCTAGGCGGGTCGGCATTGACTTTCCATTTGAACCTTTTGCCTTTCTCTGTTCATGAGATGAATTGGGAAGGTGAAAGCTCAAGTAGAATATAGATGTGTGTTATTTAATTAATTCATAGACTGTACATTATGCTCTTGGTTCATTCTATTTTATTAACTCTGCCCGCTTTGCAGCGGCTTCAGCAAACTCTTCTTTGGTTATTTGGTCCATGAGTTTCGGGTTGAGCCATGGAGACTGCCAATCCGTCTTTTGCGGCAACTTGAGCTTGGAGGCAATCTTCTTGCCTCCCTTGGGCAGCAATTTCGATATAACTTGTCCAGCCGCGTGCCGCCCCGAAAGTGCCGCATTGTGGACCCATCCAATTTCACCGGGATTGCTAATGTATGGAAAGGCTTCTCCCGCTAATATAAGTTTGCCATTGATCAATTGGGTTCCACCACAAATCTTGGGTTTGTCATCGTCAGCATCGCCAGATTCGTCACCATTGTCGTCGTCGTCATCATCGCCTTCACTACTTTCGACTGGAGGCGCAGCACAGTCAAAGGGTTGAATGGAACCACCCCGAATGGACTTGATCTTGTTCCAGTAAACGATTTGCATCTTGATCAAATTGGCCGAGACGACGTCCTCTTGCAAAAAGTAATTGACCATTTGGCGGTCCAGAATTTTCAGGAGGTGATTGGTAAAGTTCTTTTCGGTCCAATCCTTTTTCCAACCTGGTTTCTTAACGTCCAAGACGAACTGCGCCGAGGAAGCATTCGTCATATCGTAGTATTGGGTAGCATGGGACCCCAAAATGTCGCCGACAATCACATAGTTCCTCGAGTGAGGCTGGAGTAAGTCCGCTCCATAAAACTTGGTCAGACCGGGTGGATCCTTGGGTTGGTACCAACCCATGTCGACGTATTTCGGGTAAAAGGGCCATTTGAACTCCATAATGACTTTAATGCCGTCCATGACAGTAGCTGGGTGATCTTGGACCAGTGCTTTTGGAAGCGGCGGATTGAATTTCATGTCCCCTGACTTTAGGACATTGAGTGGGGAGGTAACAATAATGTGCTTGGCGTGAAAGGTATGCTTTCCACAGATCGCGGCGACAGGAGCATCATCATCCTCCTGCTGTTTCTCGTCTTTTTTGGATTTCTTTAGTTTCGGATAGCTTACCGATTCTACAAAGCAACTGTGAACAATTTCTCCCCGTTCTGGTTGCATGTGATCCATGACAAAGTCATTCCAGGTGTAATTTTCAAAGACCCACTGTCCATAGCAGGGCAATTTTTTGGAAGAGAATCGCACAGTCGTAGCATTGACATCCTTTCTCGCAATAATGTTGGGCCAGGCTGGTTCGTAGACCAATGTGCTTCCCACATCGAAACCAATGCCGCCAAATTGATGCGTCGTTTGCAGACGGCCTCCAATTTTCCTTGAGGCTTCGAGTATTTTGAATTTGACATCTTGCTCTCTCAAGGTAGCAGCCGCAGTCAATCCAGCAATGCCAGCACCAATGATCAAGACGTCTGTCTCTATTAGACTGGGCAAGGATGACAGTGGTGTTGGTTCATACCCTTCACGTTTGCCGCCAGAACTGAGAAACACAAAGACCAAGTAGAGACCAACAAGAGCAGACAAGCCGACTTTTATTCGAATCTTTCCTATTCGGATCATTATTCTTTTATCCCAGCCTGTTGAACAGACCCGCTTTAAGGAATATTTTCGATTTCCAGTGGTGGACAACTCGAACGCAACGTTCAATTGATGGTTATGGGTGCAAGGTTTAAAAAAGGATACGAGACGAAAAATAAAAAATAAATGCGATGTGATCGATGACAGTAAACACTAAGACAGTACGCCAATTGAGGACTAAACCAGCTCTACATGAATGGGTACATCAGCATAAAAAAAGGGGGAAATATTCCTACCGATACCAACAGTACGTGTACTTTCGGGAAGCGTATCGTGTATGGCTAAGCCAGCTGATTTTCAATTCTCTTTTAAAAATTGTCAGTCGCCGGCACTACCTGGTGCCACCACACCACTGTACTGGTAGAGGCGATGAGGTTTTTTTCGCGGTCATTTTATAGGAGTTTTATTGTCATCGGAATTCTCTTTTCTTTTTATGCTTCTTGATGGATTCATACCGGTATACATCCATCATCTATATACTGTTTTACTTCTCCTCAACATCACGACCATCATACACACACAGAGTGAAATAAATGCAGAATAGCAACTGTAGCAGCAGTAGATCCATTAGATTGGACCAATCCTCAGATGGAGGATCGGCCAAAAGAAGTACCTCTTCGAATGGCGGTGCTGATTCATTATCTGGAGTCACAAATCAAACGACAGTGACCATATCGATATCCGACAAATCTTCAGAGTCTGGAAGCTCATCTGCTCTAAACACAACAATAGGAGCAGGCAATAGCAGAAGGAGTAAACCCAAGTCGTCAACAGTCAGGGATTTCAGCAAGACAATTAGAGCAACATCGGATCATGTTCCACCTCTAGACTTTGATGCTGCGGGGTTGGTCAGCCGAGACAAAGAATTAGCCACTTTGAAATCCTGCTACGACCGTCTGGTGAAGGATGGGGGGAAGGAATTTATACTGGTCGGAGGTCAGTCTGGATCGGGAAAGTCAAGCACAATCAGAAGCATTGAGAAGAACATGTCTGTGGAAGGATTGTTTGTGGAAGGCAAGTTCAATATGAATACCAGTAACGAACCTTATACTGGAGTGGCAAATGCATTTGGAGTCATGTGCCGCAAGATAATCGAAGCAGGATCGGAAACAATTGCCGACCTTCGACAGGATCTGCGAAAAGAACTGGGAGACAAGCCTGGAATGTTGGTGCAGCTGATTCCTGAACTAAATTACATCATGGCCGTCGATACTACAGACGACTCGAGCACGGAATCGATCGGGAGAGCAGACGAGGCGGAAGGTGGAGTCGATCGCCTGCGATTTGCATTTCGTGTGCTGACACAAGTCTTCAGCGCTGTATTTTCACCCTTGATCTTGTTCCTAGACGACCTTCATTGGGCGGACGTGTCATCACTTCAAGTGTTGGAGTATTTGATTTCCGACACTCAAAATGAGAATCCTCTCATGATCATTGGAAGCTACCGATCGGAGGAAGTAGATGAGAACAGTTTGCTTCACAACAAAATGGTAGCGCTGCGAGAGAAAACTGAAAAGTTTCAATTCCACATGTCCGAGCTGATGTTGGGAGTCTTCGGCCCGAGCGACATTGAAAAGGTGATCACAGCAGTATTACCATCATTAAGGGCCGATCACATAGTGAGCCTTGCTGCTTTGTGCCACAAGCGCACGCACGGCAATCCATACTTTACAATCGAATTTATCAAGATGCTTCATTTCGAAGGGATGATGAAATTCGATAAAACAACGAAGACTTGGTCTTGGGATCTTTCAGAAATTGAAAACGAAACCATGTCGACTGCAAATGTAGTCGCCATGATGGAGCAATCTATGAGAAAGCTACCAGAGCAGGTCCAAGCACTACTACAGTGTGCCGCCTATCTTGGATCGACGTTCAGTGAGCCAACGATCGAGCTCGTTTGGAGCGCTTATGGACGAAGGTTGGTGGACACAAGGACAAAACCTGTTTCATCTCTTCTTCCGCCTCTGGTCGCTGATAGCATCTTCGAGAAAGGTGAAAAGCAGCAGTATCGATGGACACACGACAAGCTTCAAGAAGCTGCACTTTCTCTGTCAGATGCGCGACGAGGTACCTTTCAGTTGGACATTGGAAAAACCTTGTATTATGGACTCACTGAAGAGCAAGTGGAAGAAGACTTGTTTACGATCGTGGACCTTATCAATAGTGGCAACGCTTTGAAGCGGCCAGAGTTTGCTGCCGTCAATCTTAGAGCGGCAGAAAAGGCGCGTGATATCTCGGCGTTTCAGGCTGCCAGCGAGTATGCTTTGGAGGGCATTAGCCTTTTGCAGGAAATCGACTGGATTCAGAACAAGTCGACGGCTCTAAGCCTATATACTATCGGAGCTGAAGCAGAACTCCTGCTTGGGAATGTTACAGCTGCTGAGGGGTACCGTGAGTTGGTGCTCTCTCGACATGACCTTTCGACACTTGAGATGCTACCGCTACAGATTGGCAAAGCCAAGGCATTGGGGGATGTTGAACTAAAGTCAAAGGAAGCACTGGAATACTGTCTCAGCTTATTGAAGAAACACGGCTGTCGTCTGACAAGGGTTCGGCAATTGGCTTTTCCACAAGCTGTTGCAAGTCTGATTCGTACAGTGAAGAAGGCAAAGGCAAAGCCACAAAGTTTTTATGAGGAAATGGAGCCGTCCGAAAACACAAAACTAAAGTACATTGGGTACTTGCTTTCAAAAGTGACGTACAATGCATACACCGCTGGTGACATTCCAATGTATCTGCTGGCAACTGTAAAGCTAGTTGACATAACAATGGAGTTTGGTGCAAACGAGTTCTCAGCTACTGCCTTTACATTTTTGGGCATGATGTCAGTTATCGTGCTGCAAGATTACGAGGCCATGGAACGGTTTGTAAATATTGCACTTGGGATGCTGAAGAAGTTTCGGGGAATGCATGCTGCAGAGTCCATCTTCGCCGGACACCAACTGGGTCTCTTTTGGGTGAAGCCACCCGAAATCGGCCGCGTCGCAGCGGAAAGAGCTATTTTGGAAGGCAGACGAATGGGTGACTTGGCGTTCACGTTGTGGTCCATTTTGCAACGTGTTGTCTACCTCCCGTACATAACCGGGCGTCCAATCCATACAATCCTGGAAGGCTGTTCCAATGTCTTGGCCGAGTTTGAAGAGAGCAAGGGTGAGTGAGATGTTGTATGGTACCTCTTTGCTCTGTCAATCGTGACTTACAATGATTTTCTCTTTCAAAATATCAAAATGTCATCTAGCCGGCGCGAATATACTAAGCCTCAAGATCCACTATCAGATGCTGGTGAATTTGAGCGAGTCTTCGTGTGAAAATCCAAGTTGGCGCTTTGGCACAATATACACCGATACAAAGGAAGATCACGAGGGGAATCTTATTCATTTGGGTGAGATCATAGTCGTAGAAGGGGAACTCGTTTTCTGGAACAAAATCAGCGAAGACTGCGAGGTCAGTGCCGAACGAGCGCTTCAGATCGGAGAGACTCATGCAAAGATCACTCCAGCCAACTTTTGGAACCAAATTGAGTCGTTTCATCGAGCAGTTGCTCTCTATGCGGCTGCAATCAAAACGAAAAAAAGCAAATACAAGCGCGCAGCAAACAAGATCAGAAAAAGAATGGCCGCCTTGGCGAAATATGAGAATACTACCATCCAGTACTTTTTTATGTTTCTAACGGCGGAGCATCTTGTATTGCAAAGGAAGCACATAGAGGCCAAGTTGAAGTATGAGCAAGCTCTGGAAGCAGTGGGAAAGCTGGGACACCTTCACCACCTCGGGCTTTTCTATGAGAGGTATTCAGATTTTCTTCGGCTGGAACTGAATCTAGAGACAGAGTCTAGGTACCGATTGGAACAAGCAATAGGATACTATAGGGATTGGGGAGCGGTTCACAAGACGAAAGCCTTAGAATCAAAAATGAAACTCAACAGATCATGAAAATACAGTATCAATGTGGAGGGATTCATAAGATTGTACTAAATAAGTCACCATCGTCCTTGTTGTTTAGAATTCTTCCCTTGTGTATGGAAGAAAGAAAGTCGACCACAGTGGCTTTTCTCGTGGAACAAGATGAGTAAAACAAGAAACTGTGAGATCATAGGCTTGACGAGTTTGACGGTGTAAATAGTGCGACTATAAATAAATTATCGGAATCTCTTTTATATATGTGCGAACAGAAAAAGCGAGACTCTTTGGCTGTACCGGTACGGTAACCCCCGAAATCACTTATAATATATATTGTCTGTTGTCAAGTAAGATGTGGAATAGCGACGATGTGATTTTCGATTTAGGGCTCGCGTTTGAAGCTCCGCGTATTGAAATATTCAGTGGTAAGAAAGCTCGGCTGCACCGTCACAAACATGATATATTCTATTGCAACGAAAATCCATATTTTGCACCCATTCAGACAACTTCCTACCGGTAGCCACAAACAGCCAAAACCAAACCATGAGAATGGAGGAGAGCGAAGATGATAAAGAGGAGCACGAATATTTAATAGACAGTGACTCTGTCATCCATTCAGCCGATGAATCGTCAAAGAAAAGCACGCCTTGGAGCAACCGATCTATGACAAACAGTGAAATTACAACAGCAACCACGGTGACCGTGTCAGTCTCGGCGGGGACCCCAGTGTCTAGAAGATCTATCAGCCACAGCATTAGAAAGTCCAAATCAGATACAGGAAGGGGATTCAAGACAGCGTCGAACGTTCCCCCTCTGGACTTTGGTGCTGCTGGGTTGGTCGGTCGGGATGACGAAATAGATGCTTTGAAATCCTCCCATGATCGCCTTGTAAAAGGAGGAAAGAAGGAACTGATTCTGGTTGGAGGCCAGTCCGGGGTCGGAAAGTCAAGCGTCATCAGAAGCATAAAAAATGATGTCTTAGTAGAAGGATTATTCGTGGAAGGCAATTCGATATGAATACCAGTAACGAACCTTACTCTGGAGTGGCAGAAGCCTTTGGTATCATATGCCGAACGATCAAGGAGGCAGGACCCGAGGCGATTGCGGACTTACAGCATGATCTACGGAAAGAGCTGGGGGACAAGCCTGGAATGTTGGTTCAACTTATTCCTGAACTCCATGAAATCATGGAAGTCGAGACTGCCGACGAAACATCCGTTGGATCGATCGATAGAGCGGACGAGACGGAAGGTGGAGTCGACCGCCTAAGATTTGCATTTCGAGTGCTGACGCGAGTTTTCAGCTCTCTTTTCTCTCCCCTAGTCTTGTTCCTGGACGACCTTCAGTGGGCGGACGTGTCATCTCTTCAAGTGTTGGAGTACTTGATTCTGGACAAGGAAAACGAGAATCCTCTTATGGTCATTGGAAGCTATCGATCAGAGGAAGTAGATGAAAACAGTACTCTCCACAACAAAATGTTAGGGTTTCGAGAAAAGACCGACAAGTTTCAATTTCGCATGACCGAGCTGACGATCGAATCGTTCAGCTCCAATGACATTGAAAAGGTCGTAACAGCAGTATTGCCATCATTCCGAGCCGACCATATAATTGGGCTTGCTTCTTTATGTCATCAGCGAACCCTTGGCAATCCATTCTTTACAATCGAATTTCTAAGGATGCTTCATTTCGAAGGGATGCTGGCATTCGACCACAAAACGAAGACTTGGTCTTGGAACCTATCAGATATCGAAAAAAAGACCATGTCCACTGCGAATGTCGTCGTCATGCTGGAGCAACAAATGAGAAAGCTTCCAAAGCAAATGCAAGCACTACTGCAATGCGCCGCCTACCTCGGATCGTCCTTCAGCGAAGCGACAATCGATCTTGTTTGGAGTGTCTATGGACGCAGGTTGGTGGAGGAAAGAATCGAACTGACGTCATCTCTTCTCCCACTTATCGTAGCTGACAGCATCTTCGAGAAAGGCGAAAAGCAGCAGTATCGATGGACACACGACAAGCTACAAGAAGCAGCACTGTCTCTCTCAGATATGCGTCGAAGCACCTTTCAGTTGGACATTGGAAAAACGTTGTACTATGGACTCACTCAAGATCAAGTTGAAGAAGACTTGTTTACGATCGTTGATCTCATCAACAATGGTAACACCTTAAAGCTCCCAGAATTTGCATCCGTTAACCTGAGAGCAGCGGAAAAAGCCCGCGAAATCGCAGCATTTCAAGCTTGTAGAGACTACATAGCTGAAGGAATTAGTCTCTTGCAAGAAAAGGATTGGATTCAAAACAAGTCGACGGCTTTGAGTTTGTATACTATTGGGGCTGAAGCAGAACTCGTTCTTGGCAATGTCGATACCGCTAAGCGATACTGGGAGACTGTGCTATCCCGCTCAGACCTGTCGACACTCGAAATGCTTCCTCTGCAGATCGTGAAAGCCAAGGCATTGGGTGATGTTGAGCTGAAGTCGAGGGAAGCACTGGAATATTGTCTCAGACTACTGAATAGTCATGGCTACCGACTGGCAATGGTTAGAAAGTTGGCGTACCCACAAGCAGTTGCAAGTTTCATTCGTACCATGAAGAAGGCCAAGGCAAAACCTAACAGCTTCTACGAATCCATGGTAGCTTCTCATGACAAGAAGCAGAAATACATGGGCTACCTACTTTCGAAAGCGGCATACAATGCATACGCCGCTGGTGATATTGCAATGTACCTACTGTCAACTACAAGATTGGTAGAGTTGACTATGGAGACTGGTGCGAACGAGTTTTCGGCTACTGCCTTCACATTTTTGGGCGTTCTATCCATCATCGTGCTTAAGGATTACGAGGCGATGGAACGTTTTCAAAATATTGCCTACGGGATGTTGGGAAAGTTTCGGGGAATGCATAATGCGGAGACGGTCTTTGTTGGCTCCCAAATGGGTCTCTTTTGGGTAAAACCCCTTGAAATCGGCCCTGGGATGGCTGAAAAGGCCATCCTAGCAGGCAGGAGAGAAGGTGACTTAGTTTACACACTGTGGTCCATTATGCAAGATGTTGTATACGTTCCGTATTCAACAGGGCGTCCGATTGAGTCGATTCTGCAAGGTTGTTCTCACATCTTGGCTGAATTTGAAGAGAGCAAGGGTGAGTTATGGCTACTGCGATATGTGGTTTGGCACCATTTCACTTTATTTGTTGTGACTTACATTTTTGCCCATTTCGCAATACTGTATCTAGCTGGGGCCCAGATGCTAAGCCATAAGATCCACCACCAGATGCTCGTGAATCTCATAGACCCATCTTGTGAAAATCCAAATGTCCACATTGGCAAAATATACACCAATACGGAGGATCACAAGGGAAACCTGCTTCATTTGGGAGAGACGATAGTGGTAGAAGGAGAACTCGCTTTCTGGCACGAAGAGTACGAGGTCAGTGCTAATCGTGCGCTAAAGGTAGGCGAGACCCACGCAAAGACAAGCCCAGCCATTTATTTGAACCAGATTGAATCATTTCATCGTGCAGTTGCTCTGTACGCTGCCGCCATCAAAACGAAGAAGGGCAAGTACAAGCGCGCGGCAAATAAGATCAGAAAGAGAATGGCCACTTTGGCGAAATATGAGAATACCACCATCCAGTACTACTTTATGTTTCTAACAGCGGAGCATCTTACGTTGCAGAAGAAGCCAAAACAGGCAAGGTTGAAGTATGAGCAAGCCCTTGAAGCGGTAGGAAAATTGGGTCATCTCCATCATCTCGGACTGTTCAATGAACATTATTCAGATTTCCTTCGACGGGAACTCTCGCTACAGAAAGAATCAAGGTATCGATTGGAACAAGCAATCGGATACTATGGGGAGTGGGGGGCTGTTCATAAGGTGAAAGCTTTGGAATCTAAACTATAGATTGAAATATTTGATCTAACGATGCAAAAGTGTATGCCCCTCCGATGGCTGGGTGCCTCCCGTTCGTGGCAATTCCCTCTATTCACCCTTTTCACCCTTTGTGTCTCCTCTCATCAGCGTTCTTGGAGAAAAATACGCGATGGAACACCAAACGATATCCATTGTCTTCACCTTCTATCCACGATAAAGGTATGTTTATTCGTCTAGAGGGGACGTACAGACGTGCAATCAATGGGTATACTGTACGTTTCAGCTAGTACAGGTAGTGCGTGCGCTAAGTTTTGCTTCTCTTTATTTTTACGATAGGAATTTTGTTCAAAAATGTCCAAAAGCACGCCCAATCGATCGGTATCCTTCGTTTCCACCATATTTGACAGTGAAAAAGAGTGTAAATCCTAGAGAACATACCGGTAGAGAATTACGTATTATTATTTTATTAGAATTTATTCCGTTTCTATATTTATTAGTATGTGATTTTAAGCTCGAAAGCCAGAGCTTTCGCCTTGTGAACAGCTCCCCATTCTCTATAGTATCTAATTGCTTGTTCCAACCGATACCTTGATTCTCTCCCTAGCGAAAGATCCCGACGAAGTATATATGAATAGCGCTCATTAAACAACCCGAGATGATGAAGGTGGCCCAACTTTCCCACTGCTTCCAGTGCTTGCTCATACTTCAACTTCGCCTCTTCGTACTTCTTCATCAATAAAAGATGCTCCGCCGTTAGAAACATACAGTAGTACTGGATGGTTGTGTTGCCATATTGCGCCAACTTCGCAATTCTCCTTCTGATCTTGTTTGCCGCGCGTTTGTATTTGGCATTCTTCGTTTTGATTGCGGCAGCATACAAGGCGACCGCTCGATGAAATGACTCTATCTGGTTCAAAAAGTTGGCAGGACCTAGCTTTGCGTGGATCTCGCCAATCTTTAGCGCGCGCTTAGCACTGACTTCGTAGTCTTCGTGCCAGAACACGAGTTCTCCTTCTGCGACAACCTTATCTGCCAAATGAATGAGATTATCCGTGTGATCTTCCTTTGTATCGGAATACAATTGGCCAACGAGCAAACATGGATTTTCACAAGAGGGGTCGCTCAAATTCAGAGCCATCTGGTAATAGGTCTTGATGCTTAAGATATTGGCCTCATTTTTTATCTCTTCACTTTCAGCCAAATTGTTGGGACATCCTTCCAAGATTGAATGGAGTGGTCGCCCTGTCGTGTATGGGAGGGCGTACACATCTAAGCAGCATGTAAAGTGGCGATAAATGTTGAGAGGATATCATGCCTTATATTTTCGCACAGAAGTCCAATGACGCTTAAACTTACAGAGGGAAATGGACCAAGCGGTATACATCAAATCGCCTTCCCTTCTTCCTGCTAAGATGGCCTCCTCAGCCATCGCCCAACCGCTTTCTAGTGGTTTCACCCAAAAGAGACCCATTAGGTTGCTAACGAAGATCGTCTCCGCATTATGCATTCCCCGAAACTTTCCCAACATCCGGAGGGCAATATTTTGAAAACGTTCCATCGCCTCGTAATCCTTAAGCACGATGATGGACATGACGCCCAAAAATGTGAAGGCAGTAGCCGAAAACTCGTTCGCACCAGTCTCCATAGTCAACTCTACCAATCTTGTAGTTGACAGTAGGTACATTGCAATATCACCAGCGGCGTATGCATTGTATGCCGCTTTCGAAAGTAGGTAGCCCATGTATTTCTGCTTCTTGTCATGAGAAGCTACCATGGATTCGTAGAAGCTGTTAGGTTTTGCCTTGGCCTTCTTCATGGTACGAATGAAACTTGCAACTGCTTGTGGGTACGCCAACTTTCTAACCATTGCCAGTCGGTAGCCATGACTATTCAGTAGTCTGAGACAATATTCCAGTGCTTCCCTCGACTTCAGCTCAACATCACCCAATGCCTTGGCTTTCACGATCTGCAGAGGAAGCATTTCGAGTGTCGACAGGTCTGAGCGGGATAGCACAGTCTCCCAGTATCGCTTAGCGGTATCGACATTGCCAAGAACGAGTTCTGCTTCAGCCCCAATAGTATACAAACTCAAAGCCGTCGACTTGTTTTGAATCCAATCCTTTTCTTGCAAGAGACTAATTCCTTCAGCTATGTAGTCTCTACAAGCTTGAAATGCTGCGATTTCGCGGGCTTTTTCCGCTGCTCTCAGGTTAACGGATGCAAATTCTGGGAGCTTTAAGGTGTTACCATTGTTGATGAGATCAACGATCGTAAACAAGTCTTCTTCAACTTGATCTTGAGTGAGTCCATAGTACAACGTTTTTCCAATGTCCAACTGAAAGGTGCTTCGACGCATATCTGAGAGAGACAGTGCTGCTTCTTGTAGCTTGTCGTGTGTCCATCGATACTGCTGCTTTTCGCCTTTCTCGAAGATGCTGTCAGCTACGATAAGTGGGAGAAGAGATGACGTCAGTTCGATTCTTTCCTCCACCAACCTGCGTCCATAGACACTCCAAACAAGATCGATTGTCGCTTCGCTGAAGGACGATCCGAGGTAGGCGGCGCATTGCAGTAGTGCTTGCATTTGCTTTGGAAGCTTTCTCATTTGTTGCTCCAGCATGACGACGACATTCGCAGTGGACATGGTCTTTTTTTCGATATCTGATAGGTTCCAAGACCAAGTCTTCGTTTTGTGGTCGAATGCCAGCATCCCTTCGAAATGAAGCATCCTTAGAAATTCGATTGTAAAGAATGGATTGCCAAGGGTTCGCTGATGACATAAAGAAGCAAGCCCAATTATATGGTCGGCTCGGAATGATGGCAATACTGCTGTTACGACCTTTTCAATGTCATTGGAGCTGAACGATTCGATCGTCAGCTCGGTCATGCGAAATTGAAACTTGTCGGTCTTTTCTCGAAACCCTAACATTTTGTTGTGGAGAGTACTGTTTTCATCTACTTCCTCTGATCGATAGCTTCCAATGACCATAAGAGGATTCTCGTTTTCCTTGTCCAGAATCAAGTACTCCAACACTTGAAGAGATGACACGTCCGCCCACTGAAGGTCGTCCAGGAACAAGACTAGGGGAGAGAAAAGAGAGCTGAAAACTCGCGTCAGCACTCGAAATGCAAATCTTAGGCGGTCGACTCCACCTTCCGTCTCGTCCGCTCTATCGATCGATCCAACGGATGTTTCGTCGGCAGTCTCGACTTCCATGATTTCATGGAGTTCAGGAATAAGTTGAACCAACATTCCAGGCTTGTCCCCCAGCTCTTTCCGTAGATCATGCTGTAAGTCCGCAATTGCCTCGGGTCCTGCCTCCTTGATCGTTCGGCATATGATACCAAAGGCTTCTGCCACTCCAGAGTAAGGTTCGTTACTGGTATTCATATCGAACTTGCCTTCCACGAATAATCCTTCTACTAAGACATCATTTTTTATGCTTCTGATGACGCTTGACTTTCCGACCCCGGACTGGCCTCCAACCAGAATCAGTTCCTTCTTTCCTCCTTTTCGAAGGCGATCATGGGAGGATTTCAAAGCATCTATTTCGTCATCCCGACCGACCAACCCAGCAGCACCAAAGTCCAGAGGGGGAACGTTCGACGCTGTCTTGAATCCCCTTCCTGTATCTGATTTGAATTTTCGAATGCTTGCATTGCCGCTCTTGATTAATCTAGACCCTGTTTTTTCGGCCGAGATTGACACGATCACCGTTGCTTCTTTTGCAAGATTAATTATCTCACTGTGTGCCAAAGGTCCTGTTTTCTTTGACGATTCTTCGGCAGGAAGGATGACGGAATTGCTGCCTCTTAAATAGGCGCCTTCTTCTTTATAATCTTCGCGCTCTGCCATCTTCGTGGTTTGGTTTTGGCTTTTTGGCTTCAAATAGTTTCACGGATTGCAAAAATAATAATGCCATGTTGGGATTTTTGGCTGTCCTCTCTGGGCGCGGTCTTTCCTGTTTCCGGTAGTCTTTTATGTGAAAATGACCTGCAAGAGCTTATGGACCTAAAGTATTATTGGCTACAAATCACGGGTCCTGCTCGATTCCAGTTTCGCGTACTCCTGCTTAGATTAGAATGCCATCTTGGGATTTCCGGTTGTCCTCCGGGCGGACTTTCTTGTTTCCGGTACGAACCAGGTAGTCTTCTGAAAACGAGCCATATTTTAATTATTATTTGTTTGTTTTTTTGGGGATACAAAAAAGAGTCATCGCAGGCGAACTGCCATCTTGGGATTTCTAGACTTGAGCGGACTTCCATTTTTTCCCTCTGAAATTGCCGATATACAGGCCAAAAGTTCGCACAAAATGTCCCAATTGAGCGCACACGACATTGCCCTCGTACATCGGAACACGACAACATCGGTCCAACAGTCTTTTGGCCCTATACTGGTCCCGAACTTGATTAAAGTCCAAAGATTCGTCGCTTGATCAGACAAGTGAGTCTTATTTTCGACGATTCATTCATCGGCTGAAAGGACGCGAGAGTCATTTCCCTCCTGTCAAAGTTGAACTTGAAGAAATCAAGAAGACATCATATGGGTTGAAATAACCTGTCAGAAGTTTCATGGGCAATCCTTGAGGGCGAGCCTCCAGGACGAGCAGCCACGCGGCGTCTTCTTCTTCGTCTTCGTCTTGTAATCTGGCGGAGGAAGGAGCGAATTCCAATCTCATGGTTTGATTTGTGCTGTTTATTTGCAACCGGGCCGATAGGAAGTTCGACATTTGAATTCAATGCTCGTACTTTTACAACAGAAGAATATTTTACTGAATCTCACCCAGCACCGTACTTCTTGCTGTGACCAGCATCGTCATGACCAAAAACTTCAACATCAATGTCCATGATTTTGCAACAATTGGTTGTATTGTCGTGCATCCTTCTACATGCGCAAATTGACATTTCTACAACAAGAACATGACATGAATAGGGCGATCAAGGAGTAGGCTACAGCAATACAGGTAGGAGGAGGCAGCAGCCGTGCCGCTTTTCATCCGCAGGTAGTAAAGGCTCTGGAATCGAGACTGTAAACGATATATGCATAGATATAATAGTAAATTGACTGCAGCATTCCTTTGTAGCTCTAGTGGAGACATCTATCGTACGACAACAAAATCGTTCCTCATTATAATATTGTTTCTCCTCGTGAACATCTCTCACCTCCAGGTGATGTGTGTACGTCAGCAACAAATGGTTCGGATCAATCTTCCGATCTTTTCATTTGACGGGCGATCTCCATATGGTACCTGTACCTATTCTGCTACCAGTGTCTATTGCATTCCTAGAGGGTTCGATCGATCCATCAACTTCTACTGTACAAGATTTTAATCGTTGGAGACCTATGTACCTTTTCGCTGAAACATTTACTGGGGGCTGAATGAAACTAAGCTAGTCCTTGTTTTCCATGACTAGAAAAATGTACACGTGTACAGACAGACCGCGAAAATTGGTGTGATGAGGCTCGTCAAAAGCGGCTATTCTTTTCCCTTCAGTCATAAATACGATCATTGAAGGATTGATAGAATTAAGTATTAAATGTCCAAAACGTAACGACGCCCTACTGGTATCCTTCTCCAATACGCCATATTTGTTTCTGGAGTTTCCAACACGACTGTTCTATCAGATTTATAGAGCGTCCAAATTGAAATCGTGAAATTTTAAAGAATCAGAAGGACTCATCACTGACTGCTGACTGGTGTGTAAGTAATTCAAGAACTCTCTGTTTCACACCGCACTACAGGAAGCTACAGTAGCGTCGTCTCGTTCAAAACTAGATTGAAGATCATCATGTCGTCCATGTCCAGCACCATTTCGGAGCTTTCCAGCATCAGCGAAGCTTCCACATACGGTGTAGACGGAGAAGACCTTCCTCCTGCCGTTCCTCGAAGAAGGAGGAGCATTGGAAGTAGATCCGCTGTCAGCACTGCAGCCTCGCAAGCTGCTGCTACTGTGGAAGCGGAATCTCTGCAAAGCATCACCGAAGAACAGACACCACCACACCAGCAGCAGCAGGATGGTGGTGTTGGTGGTCCAGTAGATGATCCTCCCTCACGACCCAAGCGAAGCCACGATGATGATGTCGGTGGTAACAACAACAACAACAACAATATTAAGGGCACTGGCACACTCGCTGCTCGCATCATCAGCCAAGAGGAGGGAAATGCACAAGAATCATCATCTGCTGAAACGATAAGCAGCCGCCCACCACGATCGAGCAACAACGCTGAATCTGTCAAAAATGCCGGTGGTGGTGATTCTGGTGCACCGTCGCAAGAAGAAGAAAAATTGTTGGAAGCTGCTCGAAGAAGAACACGAAGTAGTGGCGGCAGTAGTATTAATGACAGATCGTCGTCCCAGAAAAAATCGCGCAGCAGAAGCAACTCTGATGATACTGATACTGATACTGATAATAATAATAATAATAGGCATTTGGGTGATGCAAACGAAGACGGCGAAGAGCGATTGGAAGCTGAGACTGGGAAAAGGCCTGATTCTCATTCCAATCAGAATCAGAATTTGGCACATCATAAAGGCCCACCCACCCAAGATGAAGAAAAGCAGAGGGAAATTGCGAGAAGAAACAATGCCAGCCAAAGTACCGCCAACTCGAATAGTAATGATAATGATGTCGAAGTGGGAGGGGGAGGAGGAGGAGAACCAGCCCGAACTGAATCATCCCAAACCACAGTCTCCGAACACCGGCATCGTCACTCGAGACGTCCGCGTCGCACTCGATCTGGAGACAACAACAATGCGGCTGGGATATCTCCCGACTCGAATTCGTCGTCCCGATCGCTCTCATCCGTTTCCGTTTGGACCAGTGATGATTCCGATTCCTCGTCCAGTTTTTCGAGGAGAACCCTCGATCGAAGAGGACGCGAACATGAATTGAGGACTCGTGCTGGCAGCGGCAGCCAGCATAATTCGAATCACAGTCACTTAGTATTGGAGCCTGTTCCATCCGGAGATGAAGAGGATGGATCTGTTGCCCCGTCGTCCCATTCCAGCAGAAGCACACGGTCCTTTGCCGGGGAGACAGACGATGAGGAACAACAATTCGGCGAATCCTCCTTCACATCGAGTCTATTGAGTAATATGGTGGAAGCCGAAGTAGCACCAGACCTTACAGAAGAAATTGAAGCGGCCAGAGCACGGGGACGAGCTGAAGCCATGGGGGAGGTTGATAACCCTCCCATTGTGGTGGCAGTGGCGGAACCAAGAGAGCCCAAGGAAGACGACGAGTCTGGAAAGTCAAACAAACGAAAATGCTGCTTGCTACTTGCCATGTTACTTCTAGTGGTTGGCTGTCCAGTGGCGTATTTTGCCTTGAAAGCCGAGCCAAGCGAGAGTGTTATTGCTCCAAAGGACCCACAAGACTCGGAACTGGTGGCAGAAATTATTTTTGATCCACCTTCTCCAGACGAGTGCGAATCCATGGCCAATGGAAATTCGGTTGTCAGCCAAGAGGACATGTTCTCACAGTATGTGGATATGGACATGGACATGGTATCAACGAATGAACAAGATGCTGCCTTGCTTGTAGCAGAGCTGATGAAGCAGATTCAGATCATTCTGATGCCCTTGCTTGTAGGATGCAACAGCTATTCCACTGGGGACAATATATTTGAAGACAACAACAACAAGGGCAGCGGCAACTCGACCACAACTACTTGCACTTCCAAACAGAATCCCGACTGTGCTGGCATCGCCTTGACATTGACGTTGACTCTGCGCAAAGACGAAGATAGCGGAACGGTGGTGGAAACAACCAGTGAACTTGTGATGCAGCCGACGTGAGGAACAATATTATGAAACCCTCCTTTATGGTGTCTTGTGGATTGCATCGAATAATAATACGACCAATATACCAACCATTGGATTGATTCCGGTGCCAAGAATGAATCGTATCGTATCATATCGTATCCAACAAAAGAGTTCTTGGACAGATGGACACCGACAACCTAAGGTTACCAGATATGCAATCTAAAGTCCACAGTCTAATCACACTAATATCATCTTATGATTCACGACGAACGACAAATACTTTCGATAGGAAAACTTTCTCTGACTGGTGCAGGCATATCTATGATGCCACCTCGTAAACGGTGAACCCATTCCACGGTTCCAAAACTGCATTCTGGGTACATCCAATACCATTAAAGCCTTCGCCAGCCACGAATCCAACCGAGAACTTGGTACAATTGGGTGTCGTGCCACACGCTTCGTTGCACTCATCAAGGTCGTCAACATCTAAAATGTTCAAGACTCGATCGTCATTTAGAGGACACTTCAAGTCTTGTCCTATTGCAGTACCATTTGTTCCCAGATAGTAAAGGCTGCACCCTCTTTCTACTTCCATGCGTGCAGTCTTGCTACACATCCCAAACAATTTAGGCCCTCGCCAGCGACAAATCTCACCGAGAACTTGGCACATATTCGCTATCTTGAAGAGATGATCATCACTTCCAAATCGACGTTTCAAGTCCGGTCTTTGCTTCCAAAAGGGGGGATAAGAAATTCCTCTTGGAAGGGACGATGACGTTGTTGAAGATTTGGATGTCGGTGCATCTGTCGGCATACTCCAAGGCATATCGTGGGAAGTGGCGATGGTGGTGTACTTGGACTTTCTGACGGCGAATGTGAAAGTAATTGCAAAGGGAGCTGTGAAGTTCGAATAGTGGGGCTTGAAGATGGACTTACGGATGGTCTTGAGGTGGGGCTCTTGCGGTCGGCAAAGGCGTAGTTAGCACCAACGATCCCGCACAGTGTACTGACTGTCTAGCCTGGAAGTGCTACATCAATACTTCCCGCCGTTTGTGAACAGAGACTTTGCAATGCGGAAAACTCTAATACTCCAAGGCATTCAACGTCACACGAGTCACCTTGTCTTCCAAGCAGTACTGCATCGCTGTTGTCGTCTCCTGTACACGACAGTATATAGGTGGTATCGCTGTCAGCGCCGCCCTCTTTTTTGGAGAACTTTTGATTCACAAAGTTTAGGGAAACGTCTGGGCAAGCAGGGCTTGGTGTATCACCTGGAATAGAGGCTTTGGTTGGTGTTGTTGTCGTCATCGCTGTAGGAGCCTCAGTCGGATTGGGTTCTCCAATAGCAGGTGCAATTGTTGGCGCTGGCGTAGGTACTTGACTTCTTTCTTCTCTTGGAGGAATAGAGCTCGCATCTCCATCAAACATGTCCAAACTTCGAGCTGTAATCTGTACAAACGGATTGGCCAATTGCAGCTTTTCCACCAATGATTCCGAGCTTGAAAAGGAGAAGGCATCATTGATGAACGGAATAATATCGATTGTCCTTTCATGTCTTTGGAGAACAAGGTCTTACCTTGCCACAACATTGTAGCATGGTTCATTGGTAGTACAGCCATCGCAAGTCCCACCTTGCACGATGCTCACAATGTCTGTTCCATGGTAAATTACAAATCAAACCGACGACTCGTCTTGAAGCCTTCCAACAATATTGTTGTTGCTGCTGTTACCTCAAACAAAGGTAATAGTTGATGACGACAACGACCACCAACCAATTCGGACAAGAGAAACTTGGGAATGGCATCTTCCACCTGCGGTGCCATCGGTGTTCCTTCTTGCAGTTCCACGTCAAATAACACGCCAATTGCACGTTTCGTCTGATTGCCATTCGCTCCTCCACGAGGCTGACCATTGGCAATATTGTCGCAGCCTTCGTCATTTGGAGGTGGGTACTTGTTGACAACGACTGAAGGTACACTTGGAGAGTAGTCGGCCACCAACGAGAGAGGAGCTTCAGAGTCGCAATGGAGGACTATAAACGGTAGGTGGCTTTGGTGGGGCAGCACGGCCATCTGCTTGGGAAACAGTGACTTTACCTTCATTGGGTACTACCGCACGCTCTCGTTCCTTGTTGTCACTATTATTGCTTTCAGATCTACCCTGAGACCGGTTGCTTAACAAAAGCTTGTCCTTTTTTGTGGAACTCTTCGAGCGGTGAGCACTGCACCTTTTGCGTTCAGTTTCTTTGGGCTTCCACGCCGGTCCTATTCGTCTCGATCATTCCTCGACGATGACGTTGTCGTTTTTCTCTCATTGCAGTCGCGGCTTGTGCCGGTGTCCTTATCGCTTTCTTTCATGATGATGAATTATTATCCTTATACGTATCGCGTGTGCGTTGTTATATTGTGTTTGGCTCTGTGTGAATATATGTTCAAAGATGGATTCATTCATGAGCTTTATTAACGGTCCGTCCGCCGCTCAACAGAACTAATTTGTCGGAAGACTGCTGATCAAGATTTATTTTAAACCCCATACAGACCTACAATCAAATTTTTTTCCATGCAAATGTTTTCGTTTGGGTCCTTAGCTTTCATCCCATTGGGTGAGCACCTCTCTGCTATGCTCTAGAGAGTTACTGTAGCGCAAAATGTCAATAGATCCTTTGTATAGCAATCAAAAGGAGCTGACAACATTGTGCTGAAGCGACTCACTAGAGCATAGCAGAGAGGTGCTCACCCAATAGGATGAAAACCAAGGACCTACAGTAAGCTAAGACATTTGTATGGGGGAAATTTTGATTTTAGGTCTGAATGGGGTTTGGATCATCAATCATCAGTTTTCCACCTACACATGTGCTGTTGAGTGGCGGACGGACCGTGAATACGAGGTCCCATTTTTTCCGAGCAGCGAAATCACTAATCGCACGTGAGTATCTGTGTGAGACTGCATGCAACCTCGTATGTATTGTTTTTTTTTGGTAAATTTTGACTACAATTTTCATTCATTCAACCAAAAGCAGGAAAGATGCCATCAAGAGAGGAAGAAGACAAAGACGCCAAGCGCAAAGCTCGGGAAGAAAGGCGCAAGCATAGCAGCAGCGCGACTTCCAGCAGGTCTCGACGGGAGTCAAGCGATCGTGATCGTGATCAAACGGAGAAAGATCGAGTTTGCAGAGGCCGTGACAACAGCAGAAGCGCTGCTCCGGGAGCATTTGCTGGCACTGATTCGTCTCCAAGCAGATCAAAGAAATCTTCTGGTAGACCAAGATCCTCTAGTGGTGCTATCGAGCGAAGTGATCGCGGCAGCAATCGTCATTCCAGATCTGACGGCAAAGGATACAGGTCTTTGGGCAAAAGCCGAAGCTCAAAGCCAGCTACTGTTCCTGGTGCAGTCACTTCGTCCACAGCTGATGCTCGTAGGGAACAGCGCAAAGCTGGGAACCGAAAAGATTCCAGCACAAGAAATCAGGGCGATTCCAGCAGGCCCGATAGAGCTCAGCAAAAGTTGAAGGCTGCTGGCATGCTGGATGAAGAGAAGGCACAAAAGAAGGATGACAAAGGAGAAATGACCAACAACAACAATGATAAGGTATTGCTTGAAGCCGTGACTGTAGACGACACAAACGAAGGCCAAGCTGCAGTGAATACAACAGAGGCTTCCTTGTCAAAGGGCAAGGGAGCACAAGAGCCTATTTTGGTTCTTAATGAAACTGGAGAGCCACCAGAGACTCCTCCCAACGAAAACAAAAAGATAACAGCCTTGAAGGATAAACCATTTTATTGCAAAGGCTGGTTCTGGGTCGTCGTCCTACTTATCTTGGTTGGAGGAGCAGTCGCTGCCTTTGTTTTGACTCGAGAAGATACTCCCACAATTGCCAAACCTGACTCGGATACTGTTGCAACAGAAAACACCACTGATCCATCAGTATTGGAGGAGCTAGTACCCGGTTCCAGTATTCCCTCTGGATCACCATCCAGCACTCCAAGCGGCATCGTACGATTGGATCTTCCTCCTTCAACCAAAGACTGTGCCGCCGTTGTCAACGGAGACGATGTTCCTGGTCAAGAAGATACTGCATTGCAAAGATTCCAAGTACAGATGGATATTGTATTGGATTCTGAATATCCCCAAGACACAACGGCGCAAGTTTTGGAAGAGAAAATCCAATCGCTTCTCATGCCTGAACTTGTTGGATGCCCAATCAAAAGTGGAAGGCGGATGCGGGGAACAACGTCTGGACATGGCGATATGTTCCGTCAGAGCAGTCCTTTCTTGGACACTACTGTGAGGATTGTAAACGGTATTGCAACCGTACAACCAGAATCAAACACGCCTTGTGTAGAGACCAGCGAAACGCCGTGCCTCCATGTCTCGGCATTCCTCGACTTGTACTTGAAAGAGTCTTTGCAAACAGCATTCACCTTGACGAATATGATCATTCAAGTGTTTGGACCAGAATCAGAGCTGGTCGCCAGACTTGATTTGCCACTACCATTCAAGGAAGTATTCATTGTGTCTATGGAATCCACGACACCCGTGCCATCGTCACTGCCCTCGGCCACTCCAAGCGCAAGTCCATCAAGTGCTCCGAGTGCTTCTGTTTCCAACTATCCCACCCGAGCGCCTGCTATGTTTCCAACCACAGAGGAACCAACTTTGGTACTTAGTCATGTTCCATCAGCTTTCCCTACCCCCGGCATTTCTATCGATCTGACACCTGAACCGGTAATCAGTCCTGCTCCATCCGCTTTTCCTTCACAATCACCAACTCCTGCTCCAACAACACTTGCTCCAACATTTGTTCCAGTACCATATGCAACACCATTGCCTACACAACAGCCGTCACAACGTCCATCACAACGTCCATCACAACGTCCATCACAGCAGCCTTCCAGAGTCCCGTCAAATGCTCCGTCCGATGCCCCTTCCAATGGACCTTCCAGAGTCCTGTCCAACAATCCTTCCGATGCCCCTTCTGATAAACCCAGCAATGGACCTTCCAGTATGCCTTCGGCGAGAGCAACTCTGGTATTTGATGGACATGGGATTCCGATATACGGTGATTGGGATCACCTTTTTACTTCAGCCGTTGATATAGGACGATACTTCATTTTCGAGCCATTGCATTGGGAAGCTATCTTTGGGTCGTTTCCCCTCACAGGAACATATGCTATCGAGCAAAGACGAAACGGTGAAATCGTGTGGCAGGGAGAAGTGCAGATTTTTGTGGATGATGCACTTAAGCATGGAAGACGCCATCCTGTTGGTAGTTCCACTAGTGGACAATGGGTAAGTCAAAATCAACGATTCCATCGCCCTGGTATATCGATGGATACTCGAATTTGATTTTCTTCTTGTTTCTAATACAGCTTCACATTTCACAGAAAGATGGTGATATCATTGTTCCCCGATATGTGGAAATTAACGCTGACTATAGGAACTCCTTTGAGTACCGCACTTTGGACGACAATGGTGTTTATTTTCGGTTCACTGGAGCAGCATGGCTTGACACTTTTGGTAGCTACCCCACATACACATCATTTGCCAAACAGTGTAGGAACGGACAACAAGTTTATGATGGTCGCTTTACAATCTTTTACACCGAACCCAATGAATGGGGAACCGGTCGGCGGGACCCCAATGCAAAGGATGGGGATGTTGAGACAGGAGACATTCTTCTGCCTAGATCCATGGCATGCCCATTGCCGATAGCAACCCCCACCTATCCCGTTCCCATCACGGCACTCGGCCCTGTCGGAGCGGCACCTGCAAATACATACTTTAAATTTGACAATAGCGATTGGGAACAATCATTTTGGATGGAAACTTTTGGAAGTTACTCGAGCGGTGATACGACAAATCCGGCTAACAATGACCTGGTCTACTTCCGAGCACGGCAATGTAGGAACGGTGCTGAAATCTGGTCGGGGCTTGTGGCTACAGGTGTAACTCACTTTGAGATCTCAAGTGGCGACACTCCGTATGGTCGACGGGAACCAGAAGAAAGCGGAGTGTTCCAAAGTGGAGACAAAATTGTTCCTTTTTCTAGAAGTTGTTAGCACTGCTGTACTGTGGGTGGCCTATGCGTAAAATCGGAACCAGAAGAAAGGCAATTGATCTTTACCGTGTAAGTCGGTGAATTTAAGAGTATTGGTTGCGGTACTAATATACGTAGGAGTTGAGGTAGGTGCCCAGATAGTCTTCCGAAGCAGGCATTTTAATTTGGATGAACATTCCATGAAACTAATACATTGCTTGGTCAGTACCTGGTACTACAAGTAAGCATTGAACTAATGGAAGCCTCACTTGTTTCCCCAGTTCTCGATGTCGTCTAAGTTGGCAGTTTGACACCGCAAGGAGCAAAGAAAACTTAGAATGAAAAGTCAACATTCATCTGATCATTCGTCTGATCAAGCAAAAACTACATGTGTATTATTGTTTCATTTCGGAGTGGCTGCCATAGTGTATGATTGTTGCATACCATAAAAGCTGCAAACACGCCCAGAGTCAGCACTTCCGACCCTGTCTGATACTGAGAGCCTGCTTTAGAATTAATATTTGTCGTAATTGAACTCTGCCGTAAATACATGTCACTTCCATTGGAGTTGTTTCGTGACAGAACTCAATGTTACTCTTGACATGATTGTTGCAAGAGAGAAAGAAAGAAGCAGCAAAGTATGATCACTACCAGCTTCAAGTTCTCTTGCGTATCTGGAGGCACAACGCTGCATGTAGTCAATACTACAGCATGATGGCGTTATCCTCATCTTCCGAAATACGATCTGCAACAGCAGTAAAAATGCTCATTAGTTCGATTTTCAAAAAAAATAGCAATGTCCACTAAATTAGTACCGTCGCTAGGTGTAACTTTAGTACCGTCGTTAGACTTACAAATTGCAAGTATTCATCATTCCAATGATTATTAGGGTGAATGCAGGTCCAGACATTTAATAATGCCCCGGCAGTGTAGGACGTGGTATTACATTACCACTGCAAAAACATGCCTTCTTGGTGACAAACATTCTTGTTGGCTTACCACCAATGGATCATGTGCAACAAGGCCAAAGATAGGTGTTCATCTTACTAAATTCCCTCGGACTACTGTATCTAGCTGTCCTGAGGCACATGCTGCTGAGAGATTTTGATAGAGGTAACCAACATACAGTTCGTACCATACAGTAAGTGTCAAACACCGCGTACGAGAATGCCAAAAAAATCAGTTTACGACCAGCCGCCGCATGCAAAGAATCAAATTGACATTTTCGATCCAATCAAACCACCCGGAAGAAGGGCATCGGAGCATCGCCAGCGCTCGAAGTGTGCGTGTGAAGAATCAATCGTTCAAGACATTATTAGGAGAAAGAAACAGTCGGAAAAAAGGGGTACGCAAGGCGCAGCTTGTAATATCACAGTGTGCATCATCCTGTGTATATACAGCAACAAGAAAAGCAACAACAAGAAAATCTCCTGAAGGATTTCTCCGTAGAACTATAACACATCTCCAAGGTGACCGAGATGAGGGACTCAGAAACCATGGAAACCCTTTCGGACAATCAAGAGATTGTGATGTCGATTTGCATGGTAGTTTCTGGTTTACTATCTATGTTTGGAAGCACGACAATCGTCTACCGAGTGTTAAGGAAGGATGGTGGTACCAAGCCCTTTGATCGGTTAATGCTTGGTTTGAGCGTCTTTGATGTGATTGCGTCTTTTTCCTTTGTCTTGACACCATTTGTACTGCCCAGAGAAACCTCCGTGAGAGTCTGGGCGTTTGGAAACAAAGTTAGTTGTTCCGTTTTGGGATGGCTCAGCCAGCTAAGTGTGGGAGCCGCCTGGTACAGTTGTCTGATAAGTTTCTTCTTTTTGGCTACCTTGCGGTTACGAATTTCCAATGTCGACTTTGAGGTGCGATTCGAACCATACATGCATGGTTTGACGGTATTTTATTTCTTGTTTTCGGCTACCTTTGGAGTAGTCTTTGATATCTATGGAGAGAATGATTTGTGAGTGGACTGCTCTTCTTGCAAAGATAGAAGTGCAATATCATATTGTCAAGAGTGTCTAAAACTATTCGCTATTCATTCAAACATGAAAACAGACAACTCGGATGCTGGGTCAAAGAAGTGCCAAAGGTAAGGGCCGAAAAAGGGTTTAGGTACAGTTCCTCGACAGATTTTCTCACCTTCCTTTTTTCTTTTCAATTTTCAAAGGGATGCGACGAAGATGGTGGTTGTCTGACAATCACTACCTCCTTTTTCATGGGAGGTTTGCCTCTGTTCTTTACTCTCTTTGCACTTCCCATCAACTATGTTTTGGTAAGAATCAATCAATCAATCTTCCGTCCTTCTTCGCGACATTATGTATCCAAGCAGGTTTACTGACAGCTTTTATTTAGACCTTTAGTCATGTTCGAAAAGTCTTGAAATTTGTGGCGCGGCACAATCCCATTCAGGCGGCTCACATTCGGCGGTTGGCAGAGCAAGGTACCCTCTATGTTTTGGCCTATTTCATATCGTATGGACCCCAATTGGTGATTCGAATTTTAGCCGCTTTCTTGGACTATGGTCGTGCCGATGAACCGTCCATATATTGGCTGTTGGCGCTCAACAGTATTTGCTATCCACTCCAAGGATTCTTGAATATGTTTGTCTATTCGAGGCCGAACTTTTTGCGTTTGCGAGCCGCCGGCATGCCCTTTTGGGAGGCAGTCCGTGCGGCTTGTTTCGAGACGGACATTACCCAATTCTTGGACCGCACCGGAAATTTGTTGCAGATTCGACCGTCGGTGCATTACGATTCGTCGGAAGAAATGGAAAAGTACCATTCTCGAGTGGAATCCCGGAAATCGCAAACGGATCTTCGGGTGACCCATTTGTTGTCGCAGGAGTTCAAGGCAGCCTTGGGCAAGACGCGAATGCCAGAAATGGTGGAATTTTTGTCCAGTGAAAATGATGAAGATATTGGAAGTGTAGAGTATCAGACCGAAGTGGTGGATTCCTCCGAAGAAGCCAGGGGATGAGTCGAAGAGTATTTGGGCGATTGCGATTCAGCAATCTGCAGATCATTGTAAAGTGGTTGGTTCGCCAGTGCCTAGAGCCTAGAACAAATGAAGAGGAATCCACGCAAATGAAACCAACGTTCCCAACAATGGAGTTCATGGATCCCAGAAAAACCTTGCTGCGGATCGTTCAGACTGATCATCGCAAGAGCGAAATGCCACGATTGCGTATCTACTCTCATGTTTTCCTGCATGCCTTTTATTCTGCCGCCGCCATTTTGGAAAAAGGGTTTAATCTTGATTTGGGATTCCTTAGAGGATTGTTAACAAAGTGTGCCTACTGTTGTTTGGAGGACGGGCACAAACTTTCTGCTCGGAACAAATGATATGGAATAGATACATCGTTCTACAATATAAGGTCACGATGATAACGACGGTTCATTCGTACACCAGTATGCATTATTTTGGTTATGCGACGACGGTCAAGGAAGCTACCGACTGAATGTGGCTGAAGATGGGTGCTCAAGGTCTCGTGATTGGAATCTTGAATATGGATGGCCCATCTGTTGCCTGGTGTTCTCAACCATTCATAGTTTGGGACTTATACTAATACTGTATATGAAGGAGTGATCTGGCAATCGAACCACTAATGCCATTTCGCTTTCTGCTGTGTAAATATATTATACCGCGTATAGTTTGTGTTGCCAATTTTCTCGAAGGTATGATTGGTGATGGTTTCGATTTCCATTAAAAAATACGGTGCTTGGAGTTGCCCGACCGGCGCTCTTTTGTCTTCCGGACATGTCTGATCCATGACCGTGGCTTTACATGTACGTACCAGGTACAGGTACCTCATCGGAAGAAGAATCAAGGACGAATGTGCGTGCAGCATCATCATCAACAAAACGCCGAATGACAAAGAGTATATGATACTGGGAGAAGAATGCAAACGAGAGTGAACAACAGTATCAAGTCATACCCTATATAGTTGAGAATCAATCAATTAGTCAATCCAATCAAGAATCAATCCAATCAAGAATCAATCAATCAAGAATCAATCAAAACAATAATGGACAGTCTTTCCACAGATGGCGAAGAAACCTTGTCGTCGCTCACGGACGCCCAAGAAGAAGTCATGTCCATATGCATGGTGATCTCTGGTTTGTTGAGTATGTTTGGAAGCACCACCATTGTCTATCGAGTGCTAAAGAAGAAGAAGGACAAGAAACCATTCGATCGAATCATGCTGGGACTATCCACCTTTGATATTATTGGGAGTTTCTCCTTTGTCTTGACTCCCTTTGCGCTGCCAGCAGCGACCAGTCCAAGAGTCTGGGCGGCTGGGAATGATGCGAGTTGCTCCTTTCTTGGATATTTGTCACAATTGAGCATCGGGGCAGCGTGGTATTCCTGTTTGCTGAGTTTCTACTTTTTGGCCACCTTGCGGCTACGGGTATCCAACGACGATTTTGCCGTTCGATTTGAGCCATACATTCATGGATTGAGCATCTTTTACTTTCTATTTACAGCCACCATTGGTGTACCATTTCACCTGTACAGAGAAACCGAGCTAGGTAAGTTGCTGTATACCTACTACAGTTAGCTTTTATTCCCTGGATTGGATGATTCATTCATTCAGAAATCTAACATCATCATTTGCACAGGTCTTGGTTGTTGGGTGACGAACAGAGTACCACTCGATTGCACTCGGAACCTTGACTGCATTGGACATATTGTAGCTTGGTTCTATGGTGGACTTTGTTTATTTTTTACCATGGTCGCCTTGCCTCTAAATTATTTCTTTGTAAGTCGAGTACAGGGATCCAAATCTTGCACAATGTTGCGTCCGTTAGTGCTCTATTTTTTTCTTCTTCTCACACACACGCCGTCACTCTACTATATACAAAAAGACCTACTGTTTTGTCCGACAAACACTCAAGATTTTGGCGCGGCACAATCCCATTCAAGCCATGCAAGTCAGAAAACTGGGTGTTCAAGGAACATTGTATGTGCTAGCCTTTTTCATTTCGTATGGACCCCAGCTGATCATCCGAATCTTCGCCATTGCCTATTCTTATGAAAGGTCTGCCGAACCGGGGATCTATTGGCTGTTGGTTCTGAATAGTATTTGTTATCCGCTGCAAGGGTTCTTGAACATGTTTGTATATTCCAGGCCGAATTTCTTGAAATTGCGAGAAGCGGGCATGCCACTGTTCCAAGCACTCCGAGCTGCTTGCTTTCAGAATGATATTCCCAAGGCCATGGAACAGAGGACTCTGCGTGTCCGATCTTCGAAACACTACGACTCTTCTGAAGAAATCACAAAGTTCCTTTCCAATGTGGAACGTCGAGCCTCTGCCGTGAGCATCAAGAAGCCAGTCCGGCACTACGAAGAGAGTTCTCTTGGTTTCTTGCCGGAGGTAATTGAGGTGGTTCCAAATGACGAAGAAAGTACAGCAGAAGAGTAGAGATTGTGTACCCTGACAATCGCCGGCTCGTTTCGAAAGGAGGAAACAATTATTCCATAACCAAAGCATCATGGGTAGACGATGCTTCGAGTTGCAGTGTGATGGCAATCGCTTGATTGTATTATTGCTGTTCAAGATGCTGTTCAAGATGCTGTTCAAGATGCTGTTCAAGGGGGGACAGCATAATATCTCCAGTCGTAGCTCGCTCGATGGCATGTTTTCCTTTTAATTAACATCTTCAACACTCGTGGGATGTTCACTACAAATAAGGGTGCAGAAGAAATATAGAAACCAAGGCACGATACCTTACATGGCTCGATCTTCTTGTTTCTTGTCAAGCAGATCAGCTGCAGAAGCCAGTCTATTAAACAAGTCGCTGTACTTGGCACCTCCTGCAAGTTGCATTGAATGTATCAGCACCCCGTCCCTGTAGGTAACCAATCATCCATGTTATCATACTTCCAATGTATTGCGATATAACAAAATAACTGATACAATATACAATTACAGTCTTCCAAACTACGATGTTCTTATTCTACATTCAGTATACCGTGGTCAAACCTCTTCTTGGTCAAACGAGTGAGTGTGAGAATATTCAATGAATTGGAGGTTCGTACGTCACCTCACGGAGATGGGATGGACGAACAGTAGCCTCTGATGTCGTATCAACCAAGATGTTGTTGACACGATATATACACACTTTATAGATATATGCTTTTACTACATTGATCCTACCCTTAAAAGACATCAGATTTTCACACGCTCCCTCTGCGTTTTACAACACTGAATACGACATACTGAATGCCGGGAGGAGAGTCAACGCGACGGTCAAGAAGAACAAATCTAGGACAACCACCACGTCGACTCGGAGAAGAAGAAGAAACCTTGGAACAAGACAGCAACAGAACTGTTCGATTTCGCGACGAAAACCTCGAAGAAATTATCGACAACAGAACTGCCCAAGTTGAAATGGATCAAGGGCAAGGTGCAGCACCACAACAGGGTGCAGACGCGAATGCAGCAAACCAAGGAAACAACCAGAATGTTGCAAACAATCCGGCACAAGCCGCTGGGAACAATGCGGGTCAAGCAGTGACCCCACAGTTACGCCAAGTGATTGCGACTGAAATTGCGAATGCGATAGGGCCGCTAATGCAACTGCTCCAAGGACAACAGCAACAGCCGCCACAGCAAGCCCAACCTCAAGCACAACAGCAACCACCAGCGCCACATCAGCAGCAGCAGCCACCAGCACAACAGATCCAAGGACAGCAGCAACAGCCGCCACAGCAGGCACAACCGCTAGCGCAACAACAGCCTCTAGCGCAACAACAGCCTGCACAACAACAGCTGCCGCCACTACAAAATCCTCCGGTACCGCAACCACAACCAGCTGCTGCCGCCGCAGTCCAACAACCACAAATTGTAATGGCGTCAATGTCCACCTTTCCACAAGGGACCGACCCAATGATTGATCCCAAGGATCCTGTGCATGGTCGCCTTAATCGGAGTATGTATAACGAGGCCAAGGAGGAACTCAAGACCAAGATTGACGGGAAGAACTTGAGCATGGTTATCTCGGAACTCAGGGAGAGATGCAGTGCGATCAACTGCATGGACCTATTCAACGTTGTCACCACAAATGGGACAAAGAATCTACTCAAGCACTATGGAGAGATCACATTCCAAGATACACGCCAAGAAGCCAGTCAACGTTGGATGGTCGCCAATTGGCACACTCAAGCACGATACTTAATCGGAATGTGCTTGCTTCGGTCCATGACAGAAATGTTCAAATTGCGGATGACGCAGAAGAGGCATCTGTACAATATGCCCAACGATCAACCCGATGGACCTCTCATTTTTAAAGTGATGTGTGATGTTGTGCGCCCTTCGACACGGAACACCACGCAAACGCTGATCAATCGGATTCAAACAATGAAACCTCGTGAATTTAACAATAATATTATCCAATTCAATGAGAAATTCACATCACTGAAGGAACAAATTCGTGCACAACAGGGCGGGAGCAACTCTCTAACGGAAGAATTGTTGTACAACGCCCTTGTTTTGGCTTACGACTCTGTGGATCAAGATCAATTCAAAGCATTCATGGGAGTGAAGGACAACTCAGCCATCCAACCCCACGAAGACCTTATGTCAGAAGCCGATGCAAAATTCCTAGACCTGGACGAGAAGAAAGTATGGAACGTCCCTTCACAAAGTCAACAAATCATGTCCTTAACGACACTAATCTCCAAGGCAGAAAAGAAGACTATCGATGTCCAACGACAACTGGACAAGTCGAAACAGTCTCGCAAGGAAAAATCCAAACGTAAACCTTCACCTGCTGATGAAGCAGCCGACAGTGGCAAGAGACAGCGGCAAACCGACTTTGATAGATGGATGGTTACCAAACCCAAGAAGGGAGAGGAGACCAAGGTGGTCCAAAAGAAAGGTCCAAATGGACAAGTGAAAGGATGGAACTGGTGCGACAAACACAAGAAAATGGTCTTAGCGATTGGACGAGATGGGCGACCACACAATTCGGATACCTGTGCATTGAGCAAGACACAGTCCAATAGCAACCCAAAGCGAGCCAAGAAGCAACTTCGTGTCAACGCCCTCAAAGCAGCACTTGCGCTGGAAGACGATAGTGCATCTGATAACGCAACAAGCAACAGTGACGATACGGGCGAATTCCCAACGAACGACGACGGAAGTAACGAGAACGATTCAGATAATGACTCCTGAGATATGGGCAAGCAGAGACTCGACCTCAGTCATATTGGGAAAATAACCACTAAACTTTCTATCAAGACCTTCAAATCGCATCTCTGTCGAGCCATGAACACATCCTTAATCTTTGAGCATGATTCTGTGCCGGTGGGAATTGACAGCTGCACGTCTGCAACTGTGTGTGGGGCACGACCGATGTTCATTGGAGAACTGGAACCGGTGCTTGGTCTTAAGCTTGAAGGCGCAACAAATACAAGCATTCCAATTGTCGGACGCGGCACACTACTGCTCACATTTGTTGACGATGCAGGACAGACACACCAACATAAAGTCCACAATGCATACTATGCCCCTCGCCTCAAATTGACCCTGCTCAGCCCTCGACAATGGTCAAACCAAGGACCGAAGAAGGGACGATCCGCAGACCCGGTTCGCACTACTGTCCTTCGTGGAGACAAGGTCGAACTTCACTTTGAAAAGGACTGTATCAAAACTATCGACTACGATGCACAGCTTCAGATCCCTCTCTTGATGACAAAACCCGGCTACAAGTCTTTCTCTACACATCTTTGCTCTCAACACCTTACAGCTAGAGAGGCACGGATCCGCCCCACTGCACTGACTATTGGAAATGTGGAACTACCTGCGGGATCAGTCCTAAGACACCAAGAAGATCGGGAACTACTAAATCAAGAAATGGACAATAAGAACTACGAGAAGGACCCTTTTGACCTTCGTGGTGAGACAGCACCTATTCTTGCCGACACAATTGCGGGAGCATTTGAAGAACCGGCACTGGAAGATTTCAATTTTGAATCTATTCTGTCAGAAGACTGGGATTCAACAGCCCCTGAAGCCCGACTCCCATCACTGAATGAGACGGACAAGCGTACTTTGATGCTACGATGGCACTATCGTCTTGGCCACATGCCGTTCAGCCATCTCAAAGCAAGTGCAGCCGCTGGACTACTCGACCCTCGTCTCGCCACTGTTCAAGAACATCCATTTTGCCCTGGCTGTCAGTTTGGGAAAGCAACACGTCGGCCATGGCGTCACCGCTCTAAAAAGAAAGATGGGAGCCGAAAGAAACTTCGTCAAGCAGCTCATCCTGGTGATGTTGTCTCTGTGGACACTGCGGAATCCCGAAATGTACCTGGCCTCGTTGCCCAGTTGCGTGGACGTCCAACCCTTATGCGGTACCACTATGCCACCACATTTGTGGATCACTTCTCTGATCTTGACTATGTGCACCTCCACCAACGTAATGATGGTGACAGCATTCTTGAAGCAAAACTTGCATTTGAACGCTATGCTGGGACCTTTGGCGTCTCTGTGAAACACTATCATTGTGATAATGGCGTGTTTGCCGACACCAACTTCAAAACGGCATGTCGCGCTGCTCGTCAAACCTCCAGTTTTTGTGGCGTTAACGCTCATCACCAAAATGGCAAAGCCGAGAAACGCATTCGTGACATTCGTGATAGCGCTCGGTCCATGCTTCTACTTGCGCAACACAATTGGCCTGCGGCAATCACCGCCAACCTATGGGGCTTTGCAATGATTTACGCCTCTCAAATTCGAAATTCCACTCTTCGAGAGGGAGAGAAACGGACAGCACTGCAGAAATTTGCGAACACCGATGATAGACCAGATGTCAAACAATTTCACACATTTGGCTGCCCGGTGTACAACTTGGATCCAAAGCTTCAGAGTGGAAATTCACTGGAGAATAAATGGTGTGATCGAGCGCGTATTGGAATTTATCTTGGACTATCACGAGAACATGCACACTCAGTATCACTAGTGTTGAACCCCGACACAGGACTGACTTCACCACAGTTTCATGTGAAGCACGATGAACGATTCGAAACGACAAAGATTCCAGCAATGAGGAATGTTGGAAAATGGCAAGGAATCACGAGAATACACGAAACTGTACTGAAGCCAAAGAGAGCACGATCAAACAAGAGAACCAAACTGTCCCATACTCCCGTGTCTGAGCCCATTGACACAACTCAAACTCCCACACCTGAGTCAAATGGTGAGAACGGTGCACCCGTGCAAGAGAGCATGGGAGCCCATTCGATCGACCGGAACGGCCAAGATAGGCTAGGTCAACCCGAGCGGAACGGCCAAGATAGGCTAGCTCACGACCGGAACGGCCGAGATAGGCTAGGTCAACCCGAGCGGAACGGCCGAGATAGGCTAGCTCACGACCGGAACGGCCAAGATAGGCTAGGTCAACCCGAGCGGAACGGCCGAGATAGGCTAGCTCACGACCGGAACGGCCAAGATAGGCTAGGTCAACCCGAGCGGAACGGCCAAGATAGGCTAGCTCACGACCGGAACGGGGAAGACCCCATGCATACTCAGCAAGAGAATGAGCAATTGATTCAGAGGGAGACTCCAGCGTCTTCACAAAGGGAGACCCAATCCGATCCTCAGAGGGAGACACAATTGTTTTCTCAGAGGGAGGATGGATCCGCCTCTCAGAGGGAGACAGAAAGAGTGAGTTTCCAACATCCGGCGCTGCAGGGAACAGTAAACTCCCAAACACAAGCAATTCAAGCCCTGAAAGCACACAAATCCTCCTCACAGAAACGAAAACGAGGACGAGAGGAGATGGAAGAAACTGAAACTGCGACGTCCCTTGAGGAACATCGCCGCGAAATGCAATTGACGATCCGATGTTATAAAACTGAGATCGCCAGAGAGGTTCATGCAGAAGAGCTGGTCGAGCAATGCATGACTTCAAATCCGTTTGCATTCGCAGCGACGCTTGCAGATGAAGACACTATGTATCTGAATCAGGCAAAGAAAGAACCTGACTGGGTACAGTTTCACGAAGCAATGGTCAAAGAAATACAAGACCACACTGAAGGGAAACACTGGGAAGTCGTTCCAAGAAGTTCCATGCCAGAAGGCCACCGTGCCATGCGTGGAGTATGGTCCATGAAGCGAAAGCGGAGAGTGGGAACCGGAGAAGTCTACAAATGGAAGGCGAGATTATGCATCGATGGCAGTTCGCAAGAGAAAGGCGTCAACTATTGGGAGACCTACTCCCCAGTTGTTGGTTGGGAGACAATTCGAAGCCTACTGACACTGGCAATACTCAATGGATGGACTACCAGACAAATCGACTTCGTACTGGCATTTCCACAAGCAGAAGTTGAATGTCCGATGTACATGGAAATTCCGAAAGAATGTTACGTTGATGGATCGGAGTTGAACGAAAACAACGTTTTGCTTTTGAAGAAGAACTTATATGGGACCAAGCAGGCGAGCCGTGTGTGGTTCGAATTTCTGAAGGAAGGACTGGAGGAAATTGGTTTTGTACAGTCGAGTGAGGACAAGGCAGTCTTCTACAAAGGCGAGACGATCTTTGTTGTATATGTTGATGATGGGATTTTGATGGGTCCAAACGGACGCGAAATTGATGACGTCATCGGACAACTCGGACACAAGTATAAATTAACGGACGAAGGCGACCTAAATGAATATCTCGGCATCAAAATGAAGAGAACCAAAGACGGTCGTGAACTAACCCAACCAGCACTGATCCAACGCATATTGCAGACGGTCGGAGTGTCGCTCAATAGAGGAGATCGGCAAGAAGTGAAAACCCCAGCGACAAAAACGTTACACAAAGATGAAGGGGGTGAGAAGCGCCGAATGAATTGGGACTACAGATCGGTGGTTGGGATGCTGAATTGGTTGGCACGTTCAACGCGTCCAGAACTCATATTTGCAGTGTCACAAGTTGGTAGGTTCATGGCGTTTCCTAAGAAATCCCATGAAGATGCGATAATGAGAATATGCACCTACTTGAGAGACACTCGAGACAAAGGAATGATCATGAAACCTGACAAGAATAAAGGATTTGAGGTTTATGCCGATGCAGATTTCGCTGGAGGATACAACAAGCACAATGCAGAAGACCCAGCGACAGCAAAATCACGAACTTGCTATCACATCATGTTTAACAACTGCCTTGTATATTCCCACTCAAAACTTCAGACAGAGATTGCATTGAGTACAACTGAAGCGGAGTACATTTGCTTGTCCCAAGCGCTACGGACAGTGATCAGTTTGATGCGATTCTTCAAAGAACTAGCAAAGAAGATCAAATCATTCAAGTACAAACGACCAAGGTTCAAATGCAAGGCATTTGAAGACAACAATGGCGCGATAGCGATCGCAACAACTGAAAACTTACGGCCACGAACAAAACACATCAACATCAAATACCATCACTTCAAACGATACGTGCGAAAAGGGTATGTGACCATTGAACGGATAGACACAATTGATCAACTTGCCGACATTGGTACCAAGCCTCTATTGCCCCATATGTTCATACCATTGCGGAAAGCACTCATTGGATGGTAATAAATGCTCTGACTATTCGTCCTCCCAAGAGGGAGTGTGAGAATATTCAATGAATTGGAGGTTCGTACGTCACCTCACGGAGATGGGATGGACGAACAGTAGCCTCTGATGTCGTATCAACCAAGATGTTGTTGACACGATATATACACACTTTATAGATATATGCTTTTACTACATTGATCCTACCCTTAAAAGACATCAGATTTTCACAGTGAGACATTCAATGTCGCATACGGACAAACATCGATTGATTCGTGAGTGAGCCATGCAATAAATTCAAAATGTCAAAATTGAAAAAGTGCTTGGGCAGACTTTGCACCATGGCATCGATCCGCTTCAAACCCTGTTCATTGAAAGTCTCATAAAACTGAAAACAGATTGTTTTCAAGCACAGCAAACTCACACCGACTAACTCACGATGGCATCTGGATTCAAGACTCGCATTTCGTCCAATTGCAGTGCCATTGGCAAGGTCCCGGCCACCAACGACGACTACGACGTTGCCTTCAAAGTTTACTATGCTGGAGCGTGATGTCCACATGGGCCAGAGGCCAGGGATATGGCGATTGATATTATTCATGAGACATTCCCTGGTACTTTGGTCGAGTGGGAACGTACTCGCCGCGTTCCAACACCAATCATGGTGATTCATGAAACCACTTCCGGCGACGAGGTTGCTTCCTTCCAGCAGGTTGACATGTCAGATGACTTCCTAGGCCCTGGGGTCGAGTTACTTCGCAAGAATTTGATTCAGTACAAGAAGGAGCACTCTTAGACAACCAGCTACTGTACTATCCATTATGCTACAGCAGCACACTTGCACTATCACAGTCAACATACACCATCTGAGGAATGCTACAGTTAGAATGACAGAAACCGACCTCTACAGATGTAGAATAGTATCTTCTCGAGAGGCTTATGCCTTTGACCAAGCATCCGAAAGATTTTCGTTGATTTTTAATGAGATATAGCTTTAGGTGTGCTACTATTATTAAATATTGATGCTAATAAAATCTACTAGGACAGGCCATCGATTCGAACAACTTCCCTCCTTCTTGGCTTGACGGGCTTCACGAAGCTTTTCTTCACCTCCTTGTAAAGTGATTTGTACAGTGGCTTCTTCTTGCTCGATTTCGTGCTATGTTCGTCAGCAGTGCCAAAGCTACGAACACTCTCAATGTCGTTGACAAAGGGGTGAGTGGCACTTCGTGCCGACAAGTAGTTCCGATCGTCTGCTTCGACGATGGGTCGAAGATGATGCTGTGCTTGTGGCGACGCAGTATCGCGCTTCTCTTCCTGACTACTACTACTGGTCCGCCATACAGACGAGTTCTTTTGTCTTGACGACGACGACGATGCGTTGGATGATGGGAGATCCACTCGCAAACCTTCAATTCGTTGGACCAATGCTTCATGCTCACGCTGGAGTGTTTTGTATTGGAAAATGACATCTCGCAGATGCTGCTTTGCCAAATTCTGCTTCGTCACAGCGGATGTGACTGATACCTTTGCTTGGCGCAGCTCCCCTTCCACCTCGGAAACCTTCCATCTGGCAGCGTCTCGTTCCTGGATCAGCTTGACGTGGGCATTATTAGGACTGTATGGATCGTCCGAAGTGAGAAACTTTTTGTATTCCTCATGCAAGTCTTTGTACCGTTGAATGACATCCCTCAGGTCGCCCTCTCGGTTCTCGAGCTTTTGTGTTGCCAGTTCTGATTCAGTTTCTCTTTCTCGAAGATCATTTTGTAGTGACGAGATCTTGTCCATTGCCACATCATACTCTTGCTTTAACCTTATAAACTCTGCTGCATCGTTTGAGAATGTGCTGGACTTGGTGTTTGGGCCCTGGACTTTTTCGTCTCTTCCTTCTCCACTAGTAGTTGAAGAGGCGCAGCTCGAAGTCAGCATGGAGACACCACAGTCGAAGGACTGCTTTGGTAAAACTGAGGCGACTCCTGGTTTATTAGGTTCGTTTGCCTGAGTTTTCATATTGGCTTCCGAGGCCTTGAATTCCACAAGTATGGATTGGAAATTCGAACGCAGTCTCAATTGTTCCTGTTGAGCCTCTTCGGCTTTATGCTTTGCAGCTTCGACTTTAGCCTTTGCTTGGTTTAATCGTTTCCTTGATTTAGCCACCAAATCATTCAATTTGGATAAATCTTCAGGGCCCAATGCCTTCTCTCCTTTGTGCAGTGGTCCCTTTGCCTGCCCTTCACTTGAGTCAGTCTCATCATCCGCACTGTGGCCAATCACATTTCCCACAGGAGGATCTGCCTTTCCAGCCAATATTGCTGCTGCTTCGATACTTGACTTCGATGGTAAACTATTCATTGACGTTTTGGCTCGCTGCATATCACGAAGTGATCGCTTGTACTGCATCAGAGCAGTTTTGAGCTCCTTTTCGCGCGCTTGATATTGAATCTGCGCTATGACAGCATTGAGCTTAATTTTTGCTAGCGCGTTCAGCATCTCTGCAATCTTATTTTTTGGAGAACCAGCCGATTCTTGTGCTTGACAAGACTTGAAGTCGTTAATGTCTAAGTCGTGCTCAAGGAAAATGGAGCCGAAAAAAGATGAACTGTCGCTTGGAATTTGTTGTACAGTGGACACTGTGTCTTCTTGGCGTTGTTGGACGTCCTTATGAACGCAGAACAATCGTCTTTGGTGCTGCAAGAAGTTTGAGATATGCTCCCACCCAATCAGCTAGAAGAGATAGGCTTGTAAGATTTCGAACAAGGAAATACAAAAATGAGAGGGTGCTACTAGTAGACATACCTCAGCAATACTTCGTTCGACGGAACTGTCATCCTTCAACTTTTCTTTGTCTTTTCCCGCATCATCGTTGCCCACAAGCGTACCGATTGGCGGAGATCCTTCGTGTGTCACCGATATCCCCGCATTGGAAAAGAGATCTCGTTCAAGGTTCGATATTTCGTCAAATGCAATCTCGTATTTGGACTTTGGCCGGCTCTGGTTCTTTTCCAAGAAGTCGGCTCTCGCTCGCAACTCCGAGACCTTTTTCTCTAGGCTACCAATTTTGGTTAGGGAGGCATCGTAGGAACTTCTCAAATCCTGATATTGAACAACTGCTTCAGCCTGTGTGCGGCGATGTTTCTCTTCCAATGCTGCGTACTGTGTTTCTAAGTTCTGCCTATAGGATGCCTCGGAATTTCCAGCCGACCTCTTTGCCGCAAGCAATGCGTTGTAGTCCTGCTGGAGCTGTTGGTACCTCCCCTTAGCTTCCTCTGATGATTTCCGAAGAATTTGCTCACAGCTCTCCTTTTCATGCTTCAAAGTTTCTTCCAACTGCACAATTCGTTTCAAGGATTTTTCGTATTTTTCTCTGAGTCGTTTGAGCTCGCCAGCATTTTCGCTTTGTCGATCCCTGACGCTCTCGAAGTCCAACCGAAGATCCTCGTATTGGCGTTTCTCAAGACCGATTTTGGCGGCATGTTCTTTTCTCAATCCATCAACTTGACGATCAATTGACTCAATCTGGAGCTCGTGTTCCTTCTTCAACCGCTTACACTCCTCTTCAAAGAATCGTTCCGAGCTAGATACCTCAGTTTCTAGTTTCATGAGTTTATCAGCCTGCTCATCCTTGAGTTTGTTGTAGTTTTCCTCCAGATATGAGTAGGATTCCGTCATTTCCCTGAGTCGTTGGTCGTACTTTTCTTTCATCTCCTGAATGACAAGCACAGCATCATCATAATTCGCTGTAACTTTGTTGTAATCACGGCGCATGTTTGACATTTCCAGCAGGGTTTCCTTGTATTCCTCCGAGAGTTCGTTGAATCTTTTTTCTGTTTCCACCGATGACTTTTCGTATTCTTGAACGGTTGCATTGGTTGCATTCAATTCTTCTGTAAGTTTGACCATATCTTGAAGCGCACTTTCGTATTCCCTTCTGGTTTCTTCGTACATCTCCAATGAAATTGGTGGAGGCTCAATCGTGGATGAATCAGATGATGATACCGAGTCGTCGTCGTACTCCACTCGCCGTGGGTGTTGTTTGTGAGTTGGGTTCGTGAAGTGTCTACAATCGGACCTCTTGCTGGGGTCATAGAATTTGGATTCCAAGGAAGATATTTTGGCATCCTTGAAACCAGTTTCTTCTCGCAAGCTTCGGACTTCGTTAGCATACTTTTGCCGCTCGCCTTCAATCGCCTGGATTTTCCGCCTAATGTTTTTCATTGAGACGTTGTCGTTTTCGTCTTCAATGGGAAAGTCAGATTCTATCGTGATATTATTCAACACAGTCACAATATCATCCAGCTCCAAGAAAACCTTGTTATTCATGTTCCGTTGTTGTTTTAGTCGTTCATAGGCAGCGATTGCTTTGTGAAGCTTATGTGACAATCCCTGGTTTGTCGTTTGGAGATCTGCTGTTTGCTTCTTCCATTCCTCCCTCTCCTGCTTCGCTTTCTTCAGTTTCTGCTCGAGCTTGTCCATATGGTGCGTTGACTCGGCATACATTTGAATTTTTCCCAAGAGACCGTCCTCAACTTCGTCCGGAAATCTCGACTCTACTATTCCCCTTAGCTGTTTGATTTCCTTGAAGGCGATATCGCACTCTCGTTCCAAATCGTCCCTCTCTTTGGATTGATAGTTGCATTTATCTTGGAGCTCCTGCAGCTCGATGTCTTTCCGACGCATGTTCTTTCGTAGGTGATCATTCTCGCTCTCTTTGAGCTTCAGTCGCTCCTCCAACTCACGTGTTGTCATGTGTGGACCCATCACCACTTCTTAACTCTTCTTGGACGATTACTGTTCTCGATTTATTCCTTTGCTTCTTCACTGTCGCAGGAAGGCCATGTTGCTGAAGCCTGTAGCTCTTTCTTTAGTACTAAACGCGTTCTGTACTTTCTGGTTCGTGCTTCTCGCTCGATCGACTTGTGCATTCAATGGCATCAGATTTGGTCTTGTTCCTCTGCCAAAATTGCAAAATCCAACGGTTCGAAGAAAAGTGCCCGGGACTGAGATATATGGGACTCATGACACGTACGAAACATGTGGGATGGACGGAAAGACCTCATCCCTAATATTTTTGAAAATGATACGAGAACAAAATGATGATGAGAGATGCTGTTGCCCATGCCCTGATTGAGGACTTGGCGGCTGGCAAGCTTGTTGAAAAATCTGAGTTTCAGCTGACAGAAGAGCAAAAGAATGTCAGGATTCCTGGCTATCTGATCTATCTGGCTGGTTTGATTGCCAAGCCATCATCTCCGTCTGGTAACACATACACAACAGATGATGCAGGTGTGGCAATATCATTGACAACGCGAGACAATGAACAGTTTGAATCTTTACAAAAGACCTTTGCTAATTTCAATAAGAATGAAATGCCCATATTTCGTCTCAGTCCAAGGCTCTGTCCAACAGAAGATCAGCTCACTTCGATTCAGACAGACTTTGAACGAAAAAAACAAGAGCTCGAGAAGAATGCAAGCAAGGCTGCCGAAGACTTGTTGTCAGCGGAAATCCTAAACAATCGGAATGAGGATACAAAACCTATTGATGCTAATGTGAAGAGCAAAACGAAGAAGAAGAAAAAGAAGACAACCAACACTTCCAATTCGATAAAAAATGCAGTCGCAGATTCGAATTCTCATGAAGGGAACCTTCCTCCTCCGACCTCAGCGCAAGATCAATCTACATCTACGTCTGCAGCGACCTTGGAGCAAATTCTATCGCAAATTCAAACTGAAACGACATCGTCCGTGATCGAAGAAGATGCTGATCCATCATCATGGATTCCAGTATCCACCAAGAGCAAAGAATACAAGAAGATTGGTAACCGACAAAATGAACACAATAGTGCCAAGGTGGAACCCCCCAGCCGCAAGAATGGCGAGATAGATCAGTTGGATACCTCACATCAAGCAGTGGACGTCACTAATGATTCAGATGGTGCCGAAACGCCTCCGCTCGGCACCAAGGGCCTGTCGGACACATCTTCAATGGAGGATCAATTCTCGTCTACTAATAAGCAGGATACACTTGCGACCAAAACAGCAACGAATACCGGTGAAGTACGAAGGGTGAAGAACGAAACAGGTGTTTTGGATATAGCTGAATCAGCCTCATTCTCAACTTCCATTGAAGCACTACAAGAAAGGATCCGATTGTTGGAACAGGCTGTAAAGGCAAAAGATGGAGAGCTCAAACAAGAGAAGCAAGCAAATATCAAGGCTCTTTGCCAGAAACAGCAGCAGTTTGATGATCAAGTTCAAGCACTTCAACTACGACTTTATATTAGCGAGACTCGACTCAAGACCTTCGAAGAAGCACTGGAACAACATGTTCAAGCGGTTGCTAGCAACGTGTCAACATCAATCGAATGTACTAGCGATACTAGCGGAAGAAGCATTCTTCATCAATATTCATCACGGAAGGAATGGCCCATAAGGGCTTCGAAGAGCAATCAAACAAAGGACAAGGACTCACCATCACCACTCATATCGAGACTACTAAGCCGTCAGAGTAAAATGAGCGATGATGTGCCGTCAACCGGATCATGAATGAATGCAGTCCTGCTGGCGAGAAAAGTCACTATAGCTATTGGCATGGTACACCATTGAGATTCCTACAAGAAATGCCTCAGCTTTGGCGTTAATGCTCCAGGCTCAATCCATTGGACTGCTATTGAAAAAGTGGGGTAGATTCTTTCTCCAATGGGCAGATATCATCTGTTGAGTCCAGGAATGTATACGAAGTTGTAAAACGGAGCTACTCCGACTTTCTGTTTCTGCTAGAAAGAGATGCGGCCATTGTTTGAATTGATTGATCGACAACGTCGAACCAGTATGAAGACGAATGGAGTTCAAGATGTGATAGAGATTTAAGATTGAGTAGAATAAGCATGCTGCTCTTCTATATTCTTTCTTTTCTACAATGTTAGTTTGCAAAGTCGGGGACAACAAGATCTGTCCTCTCCGTGATTTATTTGTATTGCGTTTAGGCAGCAAGCTTGGCGGTGATTCCTCCAAAGTGCTTTCCGTGAGTCTCACCGACGGCAAGCTCCAATTCGGAAGGCATTCTGCTGCCATCAGAGGACGCAAGGGTACCAGATCCGTAAGCAGAAGCTCCATGGGCCTCGTCGTTGGTGAAGACCTTGGGGTCAACATATCCAAGAGGGACAAATACCATACCTTGATGGGCAAAGAAACTGATCATGGAGACTTGGCAGTTCTCTTGTCCACCAGCTTGAGTACCAGTAGAGACAAAGGTACCGGCAGCCTTTCCGACAAGGCCTCCCGATTGCCATAGTCCTCCGGTGGAGTCCATGAAAGCCTAGTGGCGTTGAAATGGTGATGATGATGATGATTCGTGTGAGATCAAGTGATTGGTGTCATTCGTGTCAACAACAACGGTAATTGATAACATTGCTTACCTTCATTTGGGCTGGAACAGATCCGAAACGACCAGAAATTCCGAACATGAATCCATCGTATTCAGACATCTTTTCAGGAGTCATGACAGGGTGGTCTTTCTTGGGTGGGGCACCCATCTTTCCAAGGACCTCTTCGGGCAAAGTCTCGGCGACTTGATAGATGTCACATGTAGCTCCAGAAGCTTCAATTCCCTTCTTGACGGATTCAGCAAAGCCAGCAACGTGGCCGTACATACTGTAGTAGATGATAGCGATCTTGGTCATGTTTGGATATTTGTTGTTTGTACCTGTTGCAGCAAAATGAAATTATGAGGGCGTTCCATGGATCCGAATTCAGTTACCTTATTTTCGAGACGACGTTTCGAATCCAAAAGATTGATTTTTGATGGGTTTACGTAAGAAAAAGATCGTACACGTCAGGATGATTAGAGTTTTGCGACTTAATGGCTTATTTCAGAGCCTGGTTCTCGATGTTCCAACAAAAATAACGGGGATGATGTTGAAACCACGAACACCTTTTCCTCCAGAAATATTTTTCATTTTGAGATCCAGTAGATAGTGTGAATGAATCCATATACCTTTCGGATACATATCGCTGCAGTGGCTATCTACAGCATGGTAGTTTAGGACACTTTTGTGATTGGATTATGCTTTAATGGCATTGGTTTCCCCTGTTCGACATCCCCCGATATCGAAATTACGATCGAACGGGTCGTCTACAAACGAGCGAGGCGAGCCAAGAGTAAAGGCGAGCGAGCGATGCCAGATGAGCGAACGGGCGATGGACGGACATGATACGTTTGTCTGTCTACCGTCTACTGCGCACACCTCCACGTACTTTTTCTTGAGACATCATCGCAGACGTTCTTTGCAACCTGTCGAATAGTACAGGTATACCGATCATTCATCATCCACCCTAACCTGTCTTTATATCTTCAACGATCTTATATAGATACAAACATCATCGAAATGGAATCCAAATCATCATTATTGCGCGCAGTTGTCTCCTGTCTGATTCTTGCGGTGGCAAATGGATTTATGACAACGACCAAGCCAATCTGCAGCACAGCAGCGTCCACAGAAAAATCGTTTGCTCTGAGGTCGGAACAACCAGAATATGGAAAATCATTGGAACTTCCAGAGACATACGCCAATTGCGGAAGGTGTGACTCATCGTATGCCATGAAGCCGGAAGACTTGGGACAAGGCAAAGGACGGTACGATACATGTCGCATTTTGATTGCATTTTGATTCGACGAAGAACGACAGGACTAATACCTCATTTCATTTCTTTTCCTTTCTCCTCTAATCTCTGTTTTCTAAATGAATTCTATTTTGCTTTCTATGATATTGGCACTACCTGATAATTTCCTTCTCTTTTGGTGTTTTGAAAAAAAACCAGCCGATTGGAATGCGGTGTATGCGGACACTCTTGGTTTCAGTCTCGCGATCGTCTCATGACCATGAACGATGGTTTCGAAATGGTTCCTCTCCCCGAAATCCACCGAAAACGAATTGAGACTAATATTGAAGAGGGAAAGAGTCCCAAGTTCGTTGGACATGGCAAGCTTTACGTTGGAAACATTTCGTTTTCGTGTACCGAGGACGACATTTTAAAGACCTTTGCCGAAATTGGAGAAGTTGGGGATGTCTCCTTGGTGCGGGACGAAATTGGCCGCAACCGCGGATTTGGGTTTGTCACAATGAGAAGCAAGGAGGATGGCGAGAAGGCCATGGCCACATTGGATGGATTCGATCTACAGGGAAGAAATATCGCAGTACGTGAATCAAATAGCTAAACTGCTGCAATAGGACAAAATCTACACAAGCGAATGAATATGCATGGAAGAGTGAGCGGGCCAGCGAAATGTGGGTGAATGAATTTAACTGCAGCATACTTTAGGACACACTACCTACAGTACTCTCCCATCCTTTCCTCTGTTGTTACTGACATAAAAAACTAAATATGTCCCCTTCATCGCCATTGAAAATTATTTTGATGATTTGAAAATCATCTTCGTAGTGCTATACAGTATATACCCGGTATTCATCCGAGCCACACAATGTCCCCACAAATAAGCAACAAACGCAAGCGATCTCAAACAATACCCGTTATCACCAATGCGACAAAGGGGGAATTCCAAAATGCCTTTGATACCTATAAGGCAGTCCATCTCCCACTCTTTCTACAACAGAATTTTCGCGCCAGAGACAATAATAATGACAATGATGGGGCTTCCAATAATTTGTCTTGTTGTGACAGCAGCGAACCAAACACATCAAAAGTCCCCTTCACCTGGAAAGATTTGAAACAAGTCTTTGCTGACTTGCAGGAGGAAGATAAAAAGTCATGGTGCATTGAAAATGGGAAAGTACATAATGATGGAAACAAATGCGGCAGGATATCTCATGACAACAACGACGGCGACGGCAATGATGATAGCTCGAAACTTGATGCATATGTCGGGGCTTTGAATTTCTTGGATCCAACTGACGTTTCAGAGGCCCAAACGAAAGACAAAGACTTTGCCTATTGTTCCTTTCTCATTCAGAACGACAACCGTGCCAAACAAAAAGCCTTGTCACGGTTTCCCCTTTCCACATTACCCTTTGCCGCCGATCAGTGGGGCTACGGACCCTCCATTTGGGTCTTTTTTGGGCGCAATCAATTTGGAAAGGAAGAAATGCAAGGCCGACCGGAACACACCGACTCGGTGAGTCACGACGGAACCTGGCACTATCAGCTGTCGGGGATAAAGAAGTGGCATTTGCGGCCAACCAACAAACTTGTGGAGCACATGAAAGAAAAGGGAGTCATCGACTTTATAGAATTGGATACAATCCAAGTGGATTGCAATGCAGGTGATGTATTGGTGGTAAACACTGCTCTATGGTGGCATCAAACTAAGATACCGCCACAACCTGAACCCTCCGTTTCGTATGCTCGGGATTTTTATCTTGATGCCAGCAAGATGGATTTTGCCGATACTGAGGAAGATGGCGGGGGGATGACGAATGTAGACGGTATGTATGCTTCCAATGACGTGGGTGCAGGCACCATTGTCTTTACGGAACACGGTACGTTTTCTTCTTGCGATGCTGGTGGAAATTGTTTATTGCATTCCAATTACTAAATAAGGCCGTAACCAGATATGCCAGATGGTGAACTTCATCGCTCAGCCACTGCTCCGAATTGTGAAGTCGTGGAGCTAGAAGATGGCACTAATGCTGTGGTGACAACGAAAGATGTAGCCTGTGGTGACTTTTTTTGCATTCCAGAGTCCGACAGCGAAGCAGATGATGATGATGATAATGATGACGAAGGAGAGATAGAGGGGGAGGAAGAAGATGGTTGACTAGTTCATGTTGGAGGTATCATGTAGCCGATGCGTCATCATGCAGGAGATTAGGCCTCTATTAATCCGTTGTTGTCTCTTGTTAGAGATCTCTTGAGATGACTGCAATATTGAATACCATAGACTAGCAAGTATTTCGAGTCTATTTTAAAGTATACCAATTTCTCAAGCATCACGCTTCTATACCATCTTCTCAGCTTCTACCGTGAGAGGTTCATTAAGGTGCCCTACGAGTGGATGCTCATGAGCCTTCTTCATGTGATGATACGTCTGCAATACTGAACATGTTGAACAGAACATCACAGCAAGGAAATCTTCAATGCAATTTCCCCTAATGCTGTAGTATTCACGAATTTTAGATCTCACAAACATTCCAAAGACCAAAAAGACAAAAGAGAGCGGACTTGTAAATCCAACCAATACCATTCCATAGACTGGACTTGTGGTAACTCTAGAGTCCTCGTCTGTGTCGCTTGATGCAGTTGTCGCAGTCCCCGAGGCCTTCGACACGAGGGAAAGCACCACAAAGAGCAGAGAAACCAAACCGATTGATTTCGCCACAAATCTTGGACGGTAGATGCTCAAACCGAAGTTCTCTTTCTTCAAATCCACGAGTTGCTCGAAAAGGCAAGCCCATGCAACTGGGGAACAGAACCATGACAACAAACAAAACTCGGTGTCTGTAGTTACGGAATTGCAGCAAACATCGAAGTCGACTTTGCTTCGATCCCAATCACCACGAATTTGTTTCACGGTATCGAATGGTTGGGTTTCTGCTTCAAATACTTGGCCCTTTTCCACTCCATTGCAGTCCACAGGGACTTTGACTACTGCTTTCTTCCATATTTTCGTGGCAATTCCTCTTCTACCTTTCTCTTGATACAAGATCTGTATAATAAACCCAGGAGGGAGCGCTAATGGCGCGGTGACTTTGACGCGGACTTTTGCAGTTGGAGGAGAAGGTGAGACAGTCTGATTATCACCAATCGGTGATGCTTCCACCATTGGGATGCTCAGCTCAACATCACTTTCGCTTGGTGTATGCCATGTGGATTCTATGGAGTTGTTTATGGCGCTCATTATGGTGTTGAATATTCGATGCCACAGGATGCTCGTCGATAATATAACGCAGGTATGATTCGTTAGTCTGTCTTGCGTTTTCGGTCTTGATACGAATAAGCCTGCACACCACTACCGGTACCGGTACATATTGACGCGACGAACCGGCGCTCAATAGGTACTTTTGGTGCACGAAATATTTCAGAAACGGTTTTCATGTGGCAAATAAATTTGGCAAGATTGCGAAGGACATTAATCCAAGACTAGCGAAGTCTCTTGTTTACTAGATCCTCATCAGCTCCAGCTGGAAGAAGAGGTTCATTCTTGGGAAGGCATCCAAGCTATGGTGGATCTCAAGAGTCTTCTAAGACTACTATAACACGTACTGCAGAACGTGTGTTCCACAGGCAAGAACCGTAGCGGCAACCTGCGATATTGTGACAACCACGAATCTTAGATCTCAAAACGATCAAACTATAAATCCAGAATTACTTCAGCTAATAATGACTCTATCTTCTTCCCCCTCCTCCTCGATCTCTCCATCATATCGAGTTAGATTCTGATCATCCGTTGGTGTCTCTGGTCGGAGGCCTTGCGAAATGACAACACCACTTGTCAAGAAGAATCACAAAACCACTTCTCCCCGTTGTTTTATGCTACAGTAGCACCTTACTTCTATACCAGTTTCTCAGCTTCTGTTGGAAGAGGTTCATTAGAAAAGAATCCGAGATGTGGATGTTCATTGGCTTTCTTCATTTGATGATACGCCTGCAATACGGAGCATGACGAAAGAAATGTGACCGCAAGGCAATCTTCGATGCAATTTTCCCTGATGCTGTAGTATTCACGAATCTTTGATCTCACAACCATTCCAAAAACCAAGAAGACAAAAGCAAGAGGAGTAGTAAGCCCAAATATTCCAAGCACCGAAAAAAACAACAGCAAAAGGACCTTTAAATCCAGAATCATCTGGTGTGACGCGGGATAGTACAGCCCCCGAAGTCTTTGGTACGATGGAAAGTATCAAAAAGAGTAGCGAGACAAAACCGATTGATTTTGCTACGAATCGTGGACGGTAGCTATTCTGACCGGCATTCTGCTTATCCAAGATCACGAGTTGCTCGTAAAGGCAAGCCCAAGCAACTGGAGGGCAGTACCATGACAACAAACAAAAGTCGGCGTCGGTAGTTTGGGAACAGCAGCACTCATCAACATTGAATTCATTTCCATGCCAGTAGCCATGTATTTGTTTCACTGTATCGAATGGTTGGGTTTCTGCTTCAAATACTTGGCCTTTGTTCACTCCGCCACCATCCAAAGGGATTATGATAATTCCTTTCTTCCATGTATCCTTGAAATTTCCCGTTTCATCTTTTTCTTGATACAGGACCTGCATGACGTAGCCTGGAGGAAGCATCGCTGGCGCAGTAACTTGGACGCGAACCACTGTAGATGGAGGGGCTGGCATCCCTTGTCGGGGTGGAGTGACAGCCTCCCCATCAGCAATCGGTGCGGCTTCCACGAACGGGACACTCAGCTCAATATCAGCTTCGCTGTCAACATTCAATGAAGATTCTGTAACATATGGTTTATGACGCCCATTGTGCTGTTGCATATTCGATATCAAAGTAAATAGTGAGAATAGGGGGCTCGTCTCTTTCTAACTATGATATAAACGATACGAACAGATGATTTTTTGCGGTTTGTGTAATTTTGAGTCATTGTCGCAATATATATATCACCATATATATATATTATGTGCATCGCAGAATAGGATGAAAACGGTCAATTTATTTTTTTATAGTAGGGGACCCCCTTTACTTTCGACGACCAAGAATAGGAAGCTTTTGAAATGACGGCGGTCGCGAAGAACAGTATATACCATACCAAAAGACAACAAGCCATATCCAAGCCTGTTTTATACTCATCTCACCTCTATAGAAGTTTCTAAGATCCTTTTGGAAGAGGTTCATTGGGGAGGTGTCCGAGGTGTGGATGCTCTAGCTAGGAGCGAGGAGCCTTCTTCTTCAGCTGGTGATACGCCTGCAACAATACGGAACATGTTGAAAAACATGCAACAGCAACGCATGCGCATTCCCCGAAGCAATCTACATTAATGTTGCAGTATTTACAAATCTTAGATCTCGCAATTATTCCAAATACCAAGAAGACAAACCCAAACATCCAATATAACCATTTGTGTCGACGGATCATTTTAGTCGTCTACAGCAGTTCTCGCAGTCACGAATCGTGGACGCGGTACGAATATTGAATAATATGTATGCGTCGTTGTTTTTGCCCCCAATTCTGCTCCTCCAAATCCATCGCAGTTATTGTTCGTAAGCAGAAGCCATCATACGCAGCTGGAGCATACAACCATATAAAACAACAGAACAGAAGTCCGCGTCGGTAGTACGGGAACAGCAGCAACTTTTAACATCAAATTCGCCTCGATGCCACTCACCACGGATTTTTTTCACTGTATCGAATAATTGAGGTTTTTGGTTCAAATACTTGGCCTTTTTTCGCTATATCACCATCCAGTCCAAAGGGACTTTGACAACACCTTTCTTCCATTGATCCTTGGCATTTCGCACAGTTCCAACTTTTTGTTGATACAGGATCTGCATGACACGTATGCTGTGTCCAGAAGGGACGTCCAGAAGGGACGGCTGATGGCGCGGTAACTTTGACGCGAACTTTTTGAGGTGAAGAAGCTGTATTTTTTATTAGCATGAAGGAGAAGATGACGCCGTGACAGTATTCTGACTCTCAGCAATTGATGTGGCTTCCGCAAACGGGACGCTCAGCTCAACATCTGTGCGTTACGCTGTCAGTATTCAATTAAGATTCTGTAAGGTTGAGTAGGACGCCAATTCTATTTTTGTTTATCCAATACCTAGGCGTTACACCGTAATCAGGTGCGGTTTTGAACAGATTTTTAGGATCGCGAGACTCAAAACGAAGTCCTATCCTCGTAGAGGGACCTTTGCAACGGATGTCCCCGTTTTATAGTCCCCGTCCCTCACCATGAATGAACGGTATCGCAAAGTATTGACAAGCTTCTGAGATGCCGGAGATTGCGAAGACCAATTATTAATACCATTCCAAAGAAGAACACGTCTCCCATGACTATTTTAGAATAGCATAATACTTATACCAGTTTCTCAGCCTCTGCTGGAAGGGGTTCATTGGGAAGATATCCGAGGTGCGGATGCTCGTGAGCCTTCTTCATTTGGTGATACGACTGCAATACGGAACATGTTCCAAAACATATGTTCCAAAGGCAATCATAGAAACAATTCCCACCCTTGATACTGTAATATTCCCGAATCTTTGATCGCACAAAAATCCCAAGCACCAAAAAGACAATTCCGAACATGCCTGTGGACCCAGAATCACCCTTGCCACTGGATTCAGTTGTTGCAGTCCTCGAAGCCAACGATACAAGAGAAAGTACCACGAAGAGTAGCGAGACAAAACCCATTGACTTTGCCACTAGTCGTGGACGGTAGTTCTTGTTACCAACGTTCTGCTTCTCCAAATCCATCAGTTGTTCGTAGAGGCAAGCCCACGCAACTGTAGGGCAGAACCACGACAACAAACAGAAGTCGGCGTCGGTAGTTGGAGAACAACAACACACTTTAGAATCAAACTCGCTTCCATGCCAATAGCCACGGATCTGTGTCACGGTATCGAACGGTTGGGTTTCTGCTTCAAACAATTCGCCCTTCTCCACTCCATTGCCGTCCACGGGGACTTTGACAACTCCCTTCTTCCATTTATCCTTGGCATTTCCACTTTCATCTTTTTCTTGATACAGGATCTGCATGACATAGCCAGGAGGGAGCGTCGACGGCGCGGTGACCTTGACGCGGACTTTTTCCGGCAGAGAAGGTGCCGTGGCAGGAGGATGAGTCTGATTCCCAGCAATCGGCGTGGCTTCCACCAGCGGGACACTCAGCTCAACATCCGTTTCGCTCTCAGTATTCAACGGAGATTCTGTAATGCTGTCTAGGGCGCCCATTCTATTATTCTATCTTGAATAGGCAATGCGTCTTGTCAATGTAGATGACCGTTTTCAGTTTGAGAGACTTATACTGAATTATATTACTGTCCCGCGCTTGTTTCGAGTCATTATCGTCAAGATACTGGCTTGTTGATGCGTGCGCCGTTCGTTGGAAGAAAAGATATGTCTGGCATTCGTACGTCTTTCAATCTGGAACTGAAATAGCGTTAATTCAGCCTCCTCCCGCCAACCCAACCCGCCAACCCATACTGTACTGTACATTACAGTACTACGGTAGAGTCGCCAAACAATTACTTCATCAATCAAATACTTGCCTCAGGCACCTGCTACTGACGCACCTCTCGCGGTCACCATAGTGAGACTATGATTCTGATCTGACAAGACGAGGTACCACATCCTTGCTGTCAAGAGACGAGTGACCAAGAAGGCGTCTGTGCTTTACTGGTGACAGTCGTCTATACAACTGCAAGAGAGCTAGAAGTAAGGAAGGCGTATCCAGCTAGGTAGTAACTTTGCGAGGTTCTTCATTCATTCAAGAGCTTCTCATATCGTCACTACAATTAATATCATAGCACTGAAATAGCGTTTTGGCACGCGCGCATTGGCGATTTCCAAAAAAATCTAAGATGATGACGTTACAGTGGATGATTTCAAATCGCCAAAACGCGGGCGTCAAAATATCGATGCACACCTCAAAAAGAGTTGTCACGATGATGAGATCAGACTCCGATCTAGACGAAGTGGAAAGTATCCAAGAGCTAGCCATGACCGAAAACGAGGAGAGTACCAACGATGAAATAGAAGAAGCTGAGCCAACAGGAGATGATTCGATAAGCAAGGCATCCAAGAAAGAATGGAGAAAGCTCTGGCGCTCTCAGAAAGCCTACTGGCGAGAACGTGAAAGCGAGGCCAACCACAAATATGATGAGCGGGATGAAGCGCCTTCTGGCGGCGGTGAGGAGGGAAATGAAGGACACTCCAGTTTGAACGACGACGGACAAAACGACGAGCATGAGGATATCACTCAAATGGCGGGGGAAGAATCTGCTGTCGGGGAAGATTCTGACGAAAATGATACGGCCAACAACAATACTTCAGACATCCAAAGTCCTAAGAAAGGATGGAAACTATTGAAAATTCTCAAACAAAGACGGGCTCAAGAAAAGGAGAATGGGCAGGGTGAAGCTACCGAGGAGGAAGGCGTGAAAAATGAGAAAAACGAGGAGGAAGAATCAGCACTCTGGCGCGATATTTCATTCACAATTGGTAGTCTTACAGACGATGATAATGGACAAAGTACTGATGAAGATGGAAACAAGAGTTTGGAAAACATCGAAGAAGAGATTCTTCGCCAAGCGAGTATTGAGAACAACAATGACGATGGTTCGGGCGTAATTCCTCCCAGTCCTTGGTCTTCGTTAAAACGACTGCGAGACAAAATAAAAGACAATTCAACTCCAGAAGCAGAAGAAGAAGTCAAGTTTTTTGGGGACGACTACGAGGCAGATACCAGAATTGATCAACTGGACGAAGGAGAAAAAGATCAAGTTGATGGTGATAGAGATGAGGCAGGGGACGCACCTCGCGCATGGGTTTCGCTGAAACGAATCCGAGACAAAATAAAAGACAACGCAAGCATAAACAGAGAAGAAAAGAATGCCAAAAATGGTGAATGGGTTCAGAAGTCTGATGACATTGATGATGGTGTTGTTGATGCATCGGATGACACCGCCAAAGGTGACGAATATCCCGACGCACCAAATCCGTGGTCATCTTTGAAACGATTCCGCGACAGAATAAAAGATAGTTCACACCCTGATGACGGTGAACCAGATGAACCAGCTGAGAGTATGGACGAAAATGTAGAATCAAAGGCGGCATCGGAAGCGGCAAATGACAGTGACGATACAATTGAAAATAACGGAAGCAACGATGAAATGGGAGACGAAACCAATCCCAGAAGATGGGGAGTACTCAAAAGGATACGCAAGAAGCTTGACGTTGACAGCAATGGCAGCAATGACAGCATCGAAGATCAAATCGAGTCACTCGCCAAGGAATTGGAGAAAGAACAACAACATTCGGGTATTTCTTTCGCCAATGACGAGAATATAGACGACGACATTCCGCCCGAAGAGGATGCTGAAAAACCTCAAGACGAAACCAACAACGGGCCAAGAAAAGGCTGGACTTTACTGAAGAGGGTTCAAGATAGATTAACCTCGGAGAAAGAAATTGACGACGAAACTGGCGGTTATGATAACATCGATAACGCTTTTGCGTTTCGCACCTTCCATGTTCTTCATACTCGAAACCAAGAGTTGGAAGACCTTGTCGAGAGACTCCAGCGAGCAAATGAAATTTTGAAGGCCGAGTGCAAACTGAACACGGTGAAGGTGGTTGAGCTGTCAAACATGATTGAGACAAAAGGCGGTAATTGTGTGGAAGATGTGCTGTTGCAGAAGTCAATCGAAAATGCCGAATTGTTAATGCAAGTTGACGAACTTCAAGTCGAGCTGAATAAAGCAAACAACTCTGTTGATAGCCTCAAGGTTGAGAACAAGGAGCAGAAACGACTCATCCATGGCATGGGTAGGGTACTTGATGCGCTGCACTCCACACGTGTCGATGATTCGTCCTCAAATGTACCAAGTATGGGTTTGGCTGGAGAACTATCCATTGATGATCTGGAACCCAAAGTAGAACGGATAATGGAAGACAGAGAGCAGTTGGTCCTTCGATGCAACCAGTTGGAACGAGAAAACGAATTGAAGGACGAACAAATTGAAAAGTTATCGGAAGCCTTGGATGCTCAGTCGTTCCACCAAGCTTCTCTGGAAAAGGTCAAGGGAGGAGATGACGATTCGTCGGTTCATTCAGAAATGACAAGATCGACGTACACTGGAACATCCGTGTCCTCAAGTTCTGTGGAAGATGATAGTGACGACAAGTATAACTCAAGAATTCGGAATCTATACCATTCCGTTTCGTCCAAGATGATGTCGGGCAACATGATGGAAATCGCGGAAGAAGACAACAACCCGTACTTCGATACTGAAACTTTATGCACCAACAACGACGACGACTCTTCAGTGAACGCCATCCAAGGACATGGCGACGATTTGGAATCGTCCATCAAGAAGCGACTGAAGACTTCAGACCCAAAGTATGTCGAATTCTTGTCATTGATGGCCAAGAAGGGCATGGTATTGAAGTCCGTGCCATCCGAAGAAGCAACAGAACACCCTGATGAACGCCAAGAGCAAGAAACCAACAACAGAGATGAAATTATTTGCGAATTGGTGATATGATGATTGATTTCATGTTCACCTTAGATAGAAAATCTGCATTTGCAGTTGCCGTGACTTGACCGACAACTTTTATTATAGAACTCTTTTAAAATATATGACAACACTATTCCGTAAATAATTTGCGAATTGGTGACATTATGATTGATTTCATGTTCACCTTAGATAGAAAAGCTGCATATGCAGTCGTCGTGACTTGGCCGACAACTTTTAGAACTCTTCAAATGTATGACAAGTATTCCGTAACTCGGGCGCGTATATTGACGAAGCTACAGTATGCGTTTCCTTGATCAGCGAAATAGAACCAAATGCTTTCAGTAGCTAAGTTTCCCTACTTATCGTCATCCCCAATGATTCCATCTCCTTTCTACACGGTGTCACTGTATTCTTTAGATACAATTCCTTATTCTCTTTGCAAAAGTTCTCAAAGCTCCATTCTTGGTCCAGAAGAAGCATTTCCATCAGATCGGGATTCCAAATGTAGGCAAAGGCTTCCACGGATTTCTGATTCTTTGTTCTTACTTCCACAACCTTCCTAATGTACTCATCACTCTCAAACCAATCGAATAATTCCAATTCTTTGGGAGTTAAATCTTCAATCAATAGGCCGTTCACTTGTTTCGTTGGATTGGAAATCATGGCAGGAAAGACAAATCCTTTGACGGGATGCCTGGAATGCCCGTCCAAGATCGCTGGAGGAAATGATTCTACTGACAGAGGCCGACCTAACAAGGTCTCGACGACCTGGGGACTTGATAGGGTGCCATACACAAAAACAGGTCTCATGATTTGATTGGAGTACGCCTACAGTATATTATTGTTATTCGTCACTGCATCGATGATGATGACAATGATGATGTTGAGAATGAATGCAGAACACTGCAATAATAGTGAATGCACGAGTGGGTGGACAGAAATACTACAACAAAAACGTTTTCTGTCTACCTTTGCGACTCGTACGACTGTTTTAGAGGGCACCATTTTCACTGAAGTTGCAATAAGATACAGTACTGAAGACATTTACCAAACTAAAGAAGTAAGGTGAAGGTCACAATTTATGCGCTTATCCTGTAGCACTGCTGGCAAAAGAATGATGGCAAACTCCAAGGTACTGCTGGGTCCTCATCTGGAAAATCGCAGCTAGTGCCCCTAAATATGTCCCTAAGGTTGACATTGTTCCCCATCCGATCGCCCCAGCTACAAAGATGCCGATTGAAAGATGTCGCATCAGAGAACATTAATTCCATGTCAGTGACGGAAGAAATATCCCATCTTGATACGTCTCCATTGAAAGCTGACGCGCGGTCGAACATTCGCCGCATTGTAGAGACAGAAGAAACATCCAAGGATGGCAAATCTTGATTGAAGGCTTCTGCACCTTCGAACATGTAAGCCATGTTGGTCACAGCTGACACATCCCATGCATTAATGTCTTGATTGAAGGAAACTGCATAATAAAACATTTCATACATCGTTGTGACAGAAGAGACATCCCAACTCGAAATGGGTTGGTTGAAGGAAGACTGCCCAATTGATGGACCGCTCGAACTGCTGAACATGGCAGACATGTCAGTTACAGAAGAGACATCCCATGCGTTTATGTCTTGATTGAACGATTTTGCTCCTCGAAACATCTCTCGCATATTTGTGACAGAAGAGACATTCCATGATGATATGTCTTGATTGAATGATGGTGTATCTGCAAACATGGACTGCATGTTCGTTACAGATGACACGTCCCAACTCGAAATGTCATAGTTGAATGAGGATGATTGTATCGGGTCATCTAAGCGAAAAAGTCCTTCCATACTGGTGACGCCTGCACCAAAACACCAGTCTTCGATTGGTCCATATTGGGCCTCAACAGGTGCCTTAAGAGCAGAGGCTATAGAAGACCCAGAAGCTATCAACCAGCCATCAATTGCATCCGAAAGCTCACTGTTGGTTTCAAAGCATGGGAGTGTAGGAGAAGGAGTCGGGCCATTACTGGGAGACGGAGTTGGTCCAGAGGTCGGGGATCTTGTCGGTTGGGGAGTTGTGGGTACGGGCGTCGGCGAGGCTGTTGGTAGCAAAGTAGGTCCAGGTGTCGGTGGAGCAGTGGGCCCCGGGGTTGGCGAAGGCGTGGGTTGGGGAGTAGGCTCCAAGGTTGGACCAGGTGTACTGACAGTTGGTCCGAGTGAAGGAAAAGCCGACGGAAAATGGCTGGGTATCGAAGTTGGTTCATCCGTGGTCGGCAACGTAGCAGGAGCTCGCGTTGGACTGCTAGAAAGTTCCACAGTTGGAGCACTTGATGGAATTGTACTTGGTGTGGCAGAGGGCAGTGTAGATGGAACGGGAGTAGTGGATCCCAAAGAAACAATGCGAATTTCTTTGAATGGCAATTCCAAATTAAGCTTTGTCACAAGCTCTGATTCTGGTCCGAATACTTGAATGAGCATACTTGCCAAGGTAAATTCGTTCTCAGACTTTTCCAAGTACAGGTCAATGATCGTGGATACATGCAAGCACGGGGTTTCGTTGCTTTCTACACAAGGCGTCGCCGATTCTGGTTGTACTGTCACCAAACCATTTACAATCTTCACAGTGTTCGAGGAAGGACTACTCTGACGGGATAGTCCAGCGTGTGTTCCCCGCATTCGCCTTCCAGTTTTGACTGGACATCCAACAAGCTCTGGCATGAGAAGCGCTTGAATTTTCTCTTCCAAGTCTTGCGCAGTTGAGTCTTCAGGGAATTCAGAATCCAAGACAACATCCATTTGCACATGGAAACTTTGCAATACAGTATCCTCTTGTCCAACTGCATCTTCTCCGTTGGCAACTGCGGAGCAGTCTTTGGGTGAAGGAAGATCCAACGGAACGAGACTGCTTGGAGTGCTCGATGGTGATCCAGACGGACTGTTGGAAACAGGTGTCATTGTCGGTGAAGCTGAAACATTGCTTCCTGCTACAGAATTTGAGTCAGCAATGGCGGCTGCGGTTGTGCCTTGTTGACTCGCAACAAAGGCACCGGCTGCTCCTCCCACCAAGATGAGGAGGACAACGATCCAGAACCAGGCTTTACAGTAAAATGGTTTCTCTTTCGAATCTTCTTGCTTATCTTCTTCGTCATGAAGAGTCCGCGGACTATCTGTCTCCAACATTGCAACTTGTTGTGTTTGTTCAGTTTGTTCAGCTTCTTCAGCAACAACGGCCGCATCAACGGCAACCTCTCTATTTTTGGTCTGCTCAATTGCACAGGCTTCCGGAACTGGATCCATCCCGCCAGATTCGATAGAACCAGCCGGGGCCACAGCAGCTGCTGATTGGTCTTCGTTCGTTCTTCGACTCCGTTCACGATGGGCATCGTCATTTCTTCGCACAGTACGGGAAGCTCCGGACGACTTTTCCTTGCGCCTTCTGGATCGCTCATTTGCATCGAAATTGAGTTCTGTTAGTGCAACCGCACCGGGCTTCGAAGCATGGTCTCGGCCACGACCACGACTCTTGAGCTTGGAATCTGCATCATTTCTTCTCCCTCTACTCTTTGCAGCTTTGTCCCCGTCGCGGGCACGACGACCCTTTATCCTGGCTTCAACATCCTTTCTTCTTTCTCTACTCTTTGCAATTTTGTCCATGCCAGTGTCAGCCGCTTCTTCGTCGATCTCTGGAGAACGACTTCGATGACGTCGATTTTTGCTGTTCTTGCCTGCATCTTTTTTTCTCGTTCTACGCTTTCCAACTTCCGATGGGCTCTGTTCTTGAAGGTGAGCACCTTTGCTCTCGCTCGCACCTGTTTCCTTTTCCTGTTCCGCTGCATCTTCCACCATTGTCTCTAATGTGATTCACCCCCCAAATTCACTTCTCTTACTCTTACATATTATACAGCCAAACCGCAAACATATCATTTTTGGTACCAACTGAAGTGGCGGAAGATGACGTTGCGACAAGTAGAAGTTGCCGGGCTTTTGGAGCACGCACGTGATTAAGACATTATTAATATTACTACTACTAGACGGTCCGACAGTAGAAAACTGAACATGCCACATGTTCATTTGTTCGTCAGACGTATAATAATTGATCTTGGCGGTATTCAACTTCTGTTTTATGTGGGCCCGAGATCAATTATGTGAGATGTCCATTTGGAATTATTGGCATCAATCACGAATGCAGGTTGATTGATTCAAGCGACTGCTTTTCAAAGATATTTGAGTCAAGTCAGTCAATCAATAAGTCATACCATCATTGATTGTTCGTTGACATGAAAATGATGTCCTTGATTGAATGACTCGGTGATTGGTTGTTCACTGTACAGACTGTACACTTTGTCCACATATTACGCTGGACCACTTGTAATACTCCAGAATATCTTATATTAAACGTATAATGGCAGCCTTGGGAATTGACGAAGCAAAGATTCTCCAAATCTTGGAGAATAATATCGAAGATGTGGCAACCAATAACATTCGCGAATCAAACGAAGAATTCCTCAATACTCTACACGGCTATCTCGATTGTCGTGCTCAGATGGATGCTGAATATAACAGGGTTGATACAAAGCAGGAATTGGCCAGCTTTGAAATGGAGAGTGACTCGGGAGGAATCGAAGATGACACGCTGGATGACAAGAATATGTACAAGTATGAATATCAGCAGCAATCGACGGAATGGGAGCCTGTCAAGGATATCTGTGAATTATACGCAGCTGCTGAAATGATACGTCCGGTCTATATGGAAAAGGTGGAGTCACTAGTCGCCCAGGTAAAGGAGATTCATGGGGAAGGCTCAAAGATCAAGATCAAGATTCCACCCCTCAAGGGCAAAGAACGGGCCATGGCCAAAGCAGAAGATGATTACGGCAATCGTGACCCGGGACCAGCAGTCTCTTGGTTGTACGACATTGTGCGAGGTAGTGTTCTATTTTCATCAGCCGATTGTCTCTTGACATGCGTCCGCTTGATCAAGGAGGATGAATCGATTCACATTGTCAAATCCAAGAACCGATTTGCCAATCCGACACTGACAGGATACCGAGATTGGAATCTGCAGATCAAGATTGAAGAGCCCGAGGAGGAGTTTGAACACGTTTGTGAACTGCAGTTGCATCACGAATCCATCAAGGAATTGTCAATTTCTTCGCATTCGCACCATTACTACGAATTTTTCAGGAAATACTTTGCCGGAGCCACGGATACTTTGACCGATCGTTTGGAGGATCTCAAAATTGTTGCGGGTGGCGATAAACTCGATGGAGCGTTCTTGAACCAACTTCTTGAAGAAACAGGAGATCTGGAGAGACTGAAACGGTTGGCGGATCTTTTTGGTGATTTTCTGTGCGAATTTCAATGGACCAACAAAGTGTACGCCAAAATACTAAAACAGCAGTTGGCGGATGCCTCCCAAGAAGATAGTTTCAACATTGCAATGACAATCAATAACTTGGCAAACAACTTTCAGCAGCAGGGCAAACTGAAGGAGGCCTATTCGATGTACGAACAAGTCCTTCAACTTAACAAGACTGCTTTCGGTGAGGACCACGCATCGATTGCAGTTACGCTCACAAACATGGCCAACGCAAAGTCAAGGCAAGGGAAATCAGGTGAAGCGATGGCTCTGTACCAAGAGTCACTGGAAATGAAACAGAGGAATCTTGGTCACGATGATTCTTCGGTCGCCGAAACGTTGAACAATGTTGGCAACGCCCTGCACAAGCAAGGGAAGTGGGACGACGCCATGGCCAAATACAAAGAAGCGCTGGAAATCTACAGTGGTACCCTTGGCGAAGACTCATCTTCTGTTGCAGTGACAACCAGCAATATGGCAAACGTCTTGAAGAGCAAGGGTGAATTGGATGGAGCCATGGAAAAATACCAAGAGGCATTGGAAATCTACAAGAGGACACTGGGTATGGACCATGCATCAGTCGCGGTGACACTCAATAACATGGGAAACATTATGGAAGAAAAGAACAGTATGGATGAGGCCATGCATTTTTACGAACAGGCTCTGAGTATCAAAAAGCAGACAATGGGCGAGGAGCACTCGTCTGTTGCAGCCACCCTGAACAATATCGCGGCAATTCTTCAAAAACAAAAAAAGTTTAACGAGGCCATGGCGATCTACAAAAGCGTTGTCAAGATTTATAGCAAAACGGTCGGAGAAGATCACCCCAATGCAGCCATAACGGTGAGCAACATGGCGAATATTCTCAAGCTTCAAGGGAAGGTGGACGAGGCCATTTCCCGGTATCAGCAAGCCCTTGTCATCAAACGAAAGGCGTATGGCGAGGAACATGCTTCCGTTGCAATCACGATAAACAACATTTCCACCCTACAAGAAGCCCAAGGGAGACTGGAGGAGGCGTTGTCTTCTTCCAGAGAAGCACTTGTGATCTTCCAGAAAACAGTTGGGGACGAACATGCGCATACTGCACTGGTGAAGAAGCGAATTACTAGATTGGAGAGCAAGATTGGAAAGTGAAAGCAAATTCGGTTTTAATTCCTTTTGCGACTGGTCCTTATACCATTTTCTCTTGAAAGTCTAATTCATGTCAGCTCTTGCGTCGATACTGCATGGACCGAAATGCCTAATTCGAATAGTATCTGTACCCTTACCTTCATGCCCGTCCAAGTCAAACCGCAGTCCCCACTCAAGCATTCTACGTCTGAACCGCACAAAGAATCACGGTATTGCAATTGTAGGTGGGCCACCCTGTGCAGTACTCACCGGAGCCACATTGGCGTTGAGATTGGCATTCTTGGCAGAACCCAGCGACACAATGGTTCTGACATGCATCGCTGCTCGAACAAAAACTGCCGTCGGCTCTTTGATCTAGCACTCGTGGTTCGGCCCTGCCCAAAAAAAAACTTAAAATTGTACTTTAACGAAAATATGCAAGTCAACTCAACAGATATTGGGCGCGAATAACATACCCCCTCGAATCAATCGTGCGGCACTCTCGGCAAAACCCTGCGACGCACCGCCATTTGCCATTGGTGCATGCACCGTTATTCAATCAAGAACCAATACAACTCTCAGAAAACGGAACAATTTCATCTCCACTTTGGAAGACTCCGCTTTCTTCTGGTTCCCGTCGACCATAAGGTTCCCGTCGACCACAAGGAGTGTCGCCACTTGATATTTCAAAGTGAGTTGCACCCGTAGCCACAAGTCCCAACCAAATTTCAACACCGTTCCTACATTGCCGTGCTTGAAAGTAGACAAGGTCATTGTTAGCCGGATCTGCCGTGTCCCCAACGGAGTAGCTTCCCCAAGTTTCGACCTTGAATGATTGTTCCCGATCGTTATTATCAAAGTGAAAGTATGTATTTGCAGGTGCCACTCCGACAGGGCCGAGTGCCGTCATCGAAACGGGATAGGTGGTTTTAGGGAGCGGCAGTGGGCATGCGACACCGGGAGGAAGGATGTAGTCCCAAGCCTCGAAACCGGGGTAGGAAAGACGACCTACCCCATCGACAAACGGTACAACCGTACCAGAATAACCTTGTTGTCCGTTCCTGCATATTTGGGCTGTTACATCCGTGCCTGGGTTGGTACCAAACACTATGGTCCAAACTGCTTCTTCAAACAGAAAATAACGACGGTCCATGGACACAGTGGAATACGTAAATCCATGTCTCCACTCAATGTTTGCTTCCACATATCGGGGAATAATGTATCACCAGTTTGCTGTCCAAAACAAAATACATCAGAAAAAATAGTGGAATCGAATTACCATGCCCATAGATAGGTGGTACCATTGGAGTGGCGTCTCCCATGTTCAAACCCATCAGGAAGACCAATATCGGGCTCTGTCGAATCCCAAATCCACATTCTCAATGTTCCTTGCCACACGACTTGATCGTCTTGTCGTTGTTCCACACTATACGTCATATATGATAAAGCGGGAGGCAAGGACCCAAAGACAGCCTCCCAATGCTCTGGACGGAAAAGAAAATATCTTCCAGTATTGTCTCCAACGACCCTTTGGTTATCCCAATCACCAGTGAGAGGAACTCCGTGTCCGTCAAATTCCATTGTTGGACTGGAAGTAGGCGCAGTTGATGGACTGTTGCTAGCTACAAGAGAAGGTGCACTAGACGGCGCTTCAGTAGGACGCAATGTTGGCGGATCTGTCGGGAGTGCTGTGAGCAGTGGTGTCGGGAGTGCTGTGGGCAGTTTTGTTGGACCTTGTGAAGGTTGCGATGTCGGCAATGGTGTTGCATCCGGTACCGGAACAAGTGTTGGAACCAATGTTGGACCAGTAGATGGTGCTGGCGTAGGTAGAGCCGATAGAAGCGGACTAGGCATCAACATTAGCTCGTCAGTGGTCAGAAATGAAGCAGGAGCTTGGCTGGGATTGCTGAAAGCAGATGCACTAGGAGCACTTGATGGACTTGCACTGGGAGTAGCCGAAGAATCTGACGGGGGAACAGGAGGTGCAGGACCTGTGACAATAGATCCCAAGGACACAATCAATACTTTCTTGAATGGTTGAGGCAAGCCAAGCTTTGTAACCAACTCTGGTTCTGGTCCAAACACCTGAATAGTCATATTCGTATAGGTCAATGTTGTAGCAAACTCCTTCAAGTACAAATCAAGGATTGTGGATACATGCAAGCACGGCGTGTCGTCGCTCTGTACACAACCTGAAGTCAATTCTGGCCGTACTGTCGCAAGACCATTTACAATCTTCACATTGTCCAAGGAAGAACTGCTTTGACAAGATAGATTTTCTTACCCGGACAGAGTCCTCAGCATGCGTCGTTCAGTGTCAATTGGACACCCAACCAGTTCTGGCATGAAAAGAGCTTGGATTTTATCTTCCAACTCCTGGGCCGTCGTGTCATCGGGATATTCAGAGTCTGGCACAACGTCCATTTGTACCTGGAAGCTTTGCAATACGGTATTGTCTTGCCCAGGCACCACTTCTCCGTTGGCAATTGCGGCACAGCCTTCGGATGAAGGAGGAAGATCCAACAGGACTAGACTGCTTGGCGTGCTGGATGGTGATCCAGAGGGACTGCTGGAGACAGGCGCCATTGTTGGCACAGGTACTGTTGGATCAGGATCAGTTCCCAAAACAGTCTCTGGCTCAGGAACGGCGGCAGTGGTGTCATTGGTTTGCGTCCCAAAAAAGATGGCGACGGCTCCTCCAACCAAGATAAGCAGGACAACAACCCCAAACCAGCCTTTGCAGTAAAATGGCTTTTCTCTTGATTCGGCTTGTTTGTTTTCTTCCTTGGGAGGAGTGCCGTCCGGTGGGCCTCTGGTACTATTGGGTACTGGTACTGGTGCAGGTTCTAGGGCAAGCATGCTTTTTCTTGTATTGGAACCCTTCTCCGTTGCATCCTCTGGAGCTTTTCCTGCGTTTTCATCCACAGCTACGGCTTCAAGCAATACCTCACCACCTTCGTTGATGTTTATTGCTGCTCCTTTGCCAGAAGTATCCTCAATGGGGTTTGATTCCAGATCCTTCTTTTTTGCCTTCTCTTCATCCAGCATGTCAGCAGCCTTCAACTTTTGCTGAGCTGTATCGGGCCTGCTGGAATCGCCCTGATTTCTTCTGCTGTGAGATGTGCTGTTTCTCAATCTTTGAAAAACAACACTCCAGGTGAAGTCGTATTTGCTTGTGACATGTTGCTCAACATTCCTGTGATTGTCGATCTTTTGAGTGTACAGGAAACACGACAATTGATGGTCAACAAAAATCTACATCGACAAAATGCTAAAAGAAAGGAGTTTGACTACAACGTTGGTGGAGAAGTTTTGATCAAGAATTTCAATCCAAGTAAATTGGATCCAAAGATGGAAGGTCCGTATCAAATTACTCGTGTGTTTACTAACGGAACTGTCGAAGTTTGCAGGAGTCCTCAAGTCTTTGAGAGACTGAATACACGGCGTCTTGTGCCGTTTTGTTGAGTCTAGCAAGCGATGAGTTTGAATTGCCTGTTGCGTCAAGAACCACCTCTCGTATGTAAGGGCGCCTTTGTGACTACACTTTGATATGGAATGATATGATAATGATATGATCATACGACAAGCTTGGATCATAGAGGGGAAGAGTGAAACGGCCCATTGAACAGGCAGGCCCAAGGTATTGGGACTGTAGAAGCTCCTTCTGTCGGGTACAGAACTAGACCTTAGTCAAAATGTCCACACTTTCAAGTGCCTCTCTATACATCCACAATTTTCTCTGTGACTCTTCTGTGAAGGTTGGTTTATCTTGAAAATCACTTTTTTGTCTACTTATTGGTTACACTCGTTACCACTTTCAACTTCCGTCGATCCTCCTAGAAAATCGGGACCCCCGATCGGAAGGCGTTTTTGTCATGCGGTTGAAGTGTAAATTTGGGCACAGGTACACAGTAGATTTGGCATGCGGTGATAATGTGTAAACGTTTTAAAGTGGTGCGCTATGTGATGGCATGCGCGGGGAATGATTTTTTAAATATTGTACCGTATACCGGTACATACGAATCGCACTTTTAACCCCTCATGTTTGGAGATCTGGAGACCATTCTCCCAAAAATAATACACTGCATTCAATATTATAACCAACTAGGATCCAAATTGAAGTTGTTATAAAAATAAGCTACGATCCTTTGAATAATACAGTTGAATGTTGCTTTAGCGTAATGTAATTCCTTGGATTTGCCCAAGATTCATTTACTACATATTCCAAGCAGCACATATTGCACCACTGTTTGACCCCCCAGTTTGTTATTTGCAGCCAAATTCCAAATGGACACTTAAACATCTCTACTGCCAGCAATAGATACCATAAACTCTTGGGTTCCGGCACGACCACCAGCAGGACGTCTGGTTTTTGTGTTATTGTCACCGCACCACCCCAAACCCAATTGATTTTCGCTACATTTCCCCCCAAAATCGTTGTCGTAACAAATATGGATGAGCACCCGACAGATCCACACTGTCATCCTTATAGCGCTGAACCAAGAGTGTCAGCGCGTTCCCTGAGCACACACCCAAACGCTGGATGTGTACTGCATATGTCATTATTTCATCGACATCTCTACTGCTGGTCCACGATTGCCAACATTCAAAAGCCCACAGGCCAACATTGTCCGGTTTGTTTATTTCCAACAGGCTCACTTCTGGGCGGCGATTACCATCGTTCTGACGCCGCCATGGTCGATTGTCTCTTCCATACAGGCATGTCGTCGCGTTCTGACGTTGGCTCCTGCTTTTGCTTCGATTGACTGTTCCAGCTAGGAGCTGTCAAGTGGATACCATCATACTCGTTTATTTTTGCAGGATTGGGATACCAGACAAAGGAAGGCTTTGTCGTGCTCAATTTAGCATAGTCATGGTACCCCGTTCTTGTTTTGGGATCCCATATGGAATGCTCTTCAAAGCAATGCCCAACCATGATATCCTGTACTTGGTATCTGGTTTGAGCAAAAATTTCGCCCTTGGTGATCACTTGGATTGCCTTGAAGTTAAGATTTATTGAGTAGATGGTAGTCGCGGGGAACTCATCCAAGCGCAGCCCGTACAGAGGACTGTTTTCGTCAATAAAGTGGCGAATGGTCCACACACCGTTCACCTTTGGTACCTGACTCACTGCCAGATGCAAGTTTTCCGTTTGTACCACCTTGCGCTTGGAAAACTCGCCAGGAGCTCGATATTCTTGTACGGAGGTAATCCACAAGTTTGCTTCTCCATTGATCAAGGAATTTGCCCTCCCGTCAGCATTTCCAATTCTAACCTCAAGGCAGGGCTCCCCCAAGACATTGGACATGGCAACCACTTCGCTGAATTCAATATTAGCCTGAGGAGTAATGAATTTAAAGAAACTTGAAATGGAGATCCAATGGGTGAGCTGCGCATCGATATGATGCATCGTCGTACAAAAATTGCCCAGCATTGGTATTGACTTACAGGAGGCCAGCGTACACTGTGGACAGAACGATAGAAAATATAGTGATAACAACAACCAAGGCATTATTGAGAAAACCCTTCGGCCAATATCCTCCGTATCCAATTGTAGACGAGGTTTGCACTGCAAAATCAAAGACTTGGGCATACGTCATTGTGCCATCGCCGCAACATCGGCCTTCCCGATCAAGGAGGCTTGACATTCGAAGCAAATTAGATGAGGATATTAGAACAGTGATAAAGAAACAAAGCGAATTCAATATGAGATCAAGAATCGACTTACTACCAAGCGGCCGCAACTGGTAGCACAAACATACATCGGCATGAATCATCGGTTAGATCAATCTGTCTGTGTATCATACAACATCTGCACGCAATCAGCAATCAAGAAGCGAACTTACAGATAGCATTCATGGATAAGTATACGACAAGATAGAGGCCTGTTAGGTAAATCGGATCCTTCGAAGTCAACCAACGCTGGCAACGATGGCCAATTCGTCCAAGGTATCTGCTCTTGTGAACGTTGATATTTAGCCATTCGGATGCCATGCGCTCTTTCCGACTGGTAGTTGGGCGCTTTGTCACGCTCTTCATCAATTCAAAGGTTATTTTGCGGCCGTCATTGTCGACCACGCGAGTAGTTTCGTTTGGCTCTTCAATGTCATTATCAACTTTGGCCAACGCCGTTGCTCCATTGAGCATGGAGTGAAGCTTGCGGCGCTGATTGCTTCTCAGGCTCCAATCCGTATTGCTGCCGTGGCCACCATGACCATGATGTGATCTTACAGGCATATTATTATGGTCCGAGTGTCTTCAAAGAATTGCTGCTTCAAGAGGTCAATTCGGTTGATCGTGTTGGCAGTGAGATTGCTGATGCGACGATAGATGATATTCCTTTCTTTTTTCACTCTTTTCTTCTTCCGCATTTCCGTTTGTCCTACCGCCGTACGTCACTTCCAATCGGACCAGTCAATCTACTAGTAGTTTTCAACAATTTCGAAATTTACTATCGGTACAAACCGGTACGGTATATTATGAAATGAAAATGTGGTATCCCCCTTTTTAATTTATACTGCTAAACCCCCACTACTATCGTATGGTCATGTGGCAGTCTTTTATATTGATATTCAATTTTCAAATATATAGAGGCCTATCATATTGCCAATCTTTCCTTGAAAAGCCTCTCTCTGCGCCATATTTTCAATTTAGGCTCTCAAAAAATATCTTATCATGCGAATGCACAAAACGAATGAATTAATGAATTAATCAATCCATCTTGATTGTAATTTCCGTTCGTCAAGCATTATTTGGCAGAGCAATCTTTCGTTACAGATTGTCAGTCTTTACTAGCTAGCTGTCCCTTCTATAGATATATAGATATATCAACCGACGCAATAAGAAGCGACAAATCCAAATACTCGTTGGTGTTGCAACAAATTAAAAAAAAACCAGAGAGATAAAACGAAATGTCTCGCAAGGCACAAGAGAATCGCTCAGAATGGAAGACACCTTCCATCTATGCTTTCTCCGGCGATTATGGGCCCTTTAAAATTCGCCGTAATGAACCCATCGATAATGCCTTGGTTTACTTCATGAAGGATGGCATCACTGCTGTGTCCTCTGCCAAAGCAGGATCCACAGCTGCAAGAACACAACGACAGCACCCCATGTTGGAAATGGCAGCCGTCGCTCAACAATTGCTGCTCAAGCCAGGGGACTGTTCTACACAAGAGTATTTATTCTCGGCCATTTTGGTGATTCATGTATCAGGAATGATGGTCGATACAGACGAGTTTGCAAAGGCCATGGCGCGGGAGGTGACTGAGCGTGAGCTTTGCAAATCCTTTGGCAAACCATTGCTACGGCTGCTAAAGCGTTTAATGTTACGCAATGTGACACTGGCAGCATCCCACGATCTTTGTCCATTGGCATACAAACTCTTTCAAGCTCTATTGGCGCAATCGAGTAGTGCTACAGCAGAGTTGGCACCTCAGCTTTGGCTCTTGTATCCATACTTGCCCGCCAAATTCATCAATGCACAGATGGTGGAGGGAGCGCAAACCAATACCGGTAGAACCATGCCAAAAAACAGAAAATCGCACAAATCAGAGCTTCATTTGATATTCCAAAGTGAAGTAGCCCGTGACAAACGCCTTGACATGTTGCGACATGTATGTTCGGTGGGAACTTGTCGTGTCATGGACTCTGTTCCTCCGTTGCAACTCTTGTTGGCCGCCTTTGACAAAAATCACATTGCAAATAATGACAAGAATGCGCTAGCACCCTACAACGTCGATTATTGCAATGGCATAGGCAAATCGTTATTCTTGTCGACAGTAAAAGTCGAAATGAACAGGTTTACAAAACAGTACGAACGTGATTGTGAAGAGGTCACTGCGGACCTGACAGTCGCCGTTGAAATGAAACCCGAGCCGAGTGACTCTGTTCTGCCTGCAACCGCAGAGGACTGGTCCAGATGTGAACGACAGGTTGGTGCCTTGGTCTTGCGTGGCAATCGCTGTGTCTTGGTCCGTTCCATGACTGCCAAGTGGCACGGCATGAGACTTCCCAGCGTAGCACCCCGGCCTGGCGAGGGTGATAAGGAGGCTGTGGTCAGGGCTGTTGTGGAATTGCTAGAAGTGGATGCCGATAAAATACGCAGTTTGCCGATGATTCCTCCGGTTTCCATCTATGGACCCAATGGTCAACCCACGATACTATCCCTGTATCCTCTTTATGCCGTTCAACCACCACCTGACGGACCTCTCGAGGAAGCAGACATGGAAGATGATGAATCACCCTACGACTGGTATACCTTCGAACGCGCAGCGACACGAATAGATGCTGCGTCGATTGCTGGACTACAAACAATGGCCAGTGCCCTGGTAGCCGCTGCCAATGTCGGCATTCTACCCTGTCAGTGGGGTGGTGTCTTTGGTCAAGAAATGGGTATGATGTGTTCTACCAGCAGCGTGGCGGGCCAGCAATTAACCGTTGCGCCCGAAAAGTGGACTCCTTCACGTCAGGGTGATGTCTTGCAGGAGGTTCGCCGGGCCAACTCGGCTTTGATGGAGCGGCGGTTGTCGAACCAGCATAAAAACGGAACTGCTGTTCAACAGACATCAGACTTCCGTTTGCCCGTTACCATTTTGTCTGGCTTTCTTGGTTCCGGCAAGACAACTCTATTGACTCACATTTTGTCCAATTATGAAGGCTTGAAGGTTGCCATTCTAGTAAATGATATGGGAGAAATCAACATTGACGCGTCTTTGGTCAAGAAGCAAACTTCTGTTTCTATTCATCAAGCTGAAGAACACATGGTGGAGTTATCAAATGGTTGCATTTGCTGCACTCTACGAGAGGATTTGCTTGCCGAAGTTTCAAAAATTGCACAAGCTGGAACCTATGACTACTTGCTGATAGAATCGACAGGTGTATCGGAGCCAATGCCAGTTGCAGAAACCTTCACCTTTGAAGATACTACAGGATTGAGGTTAGGATCATAGACACTCTGGTTACTGTGGTGGATTGTTCTCGATTCTTGTCTGAACTCGAGTGTTTGGAATCCTTGCGCGACCGCAACTGGCATGCAGATCCCACAGATCAGCGAACAATCTCCCATCTCTTGTGCGATCAAGTTGAATTTGCGAATGTGATTGTCCTCAATAAAAGCGATCTGATCCCACTCGAGGATGAAAAACTCAAAATTAAATCGTTTATTCGGAGTATGAACCCAACAGCCAAATTGATCGAATCCACCTATAGTGCGGTTCCTCTAGATGAAGTCCTTGGGACGGGTCTCTTCTCCATGTCTCAAGCTGAAAAATCTGAAGGATGGTTGAAAGAAGCGAGGATTGGTGAACACACACCAGAGACAGAAGAGTACGGAATAGGGAGTTTTACCTATCGGGAGCTCAAACCGTTTCAACCATACAAGCTACATGCGACACTCCAAGCCATGATAGACAAGACGGAACCTCCTTTTGATACAAGCACTGTACTTCGTGCGAAAGGCTTCGTTTGGCTCGCTAGTTTCCATCAGATTCAAGGAGACCTCTCTCTGGCGGGAAACCATTTCTCATTGCTACCCGGTAATCCGTGGTGGGCCGAGATCGACCGGCAGGACTGGCCAGAAAACCTAGCTCGCGATATACAACAATTATGGCATGAGCCCTATGGAGACCGACAACAAGAAATTGTCATTATTGGGCAGTCTCTGGACATGGAGCGTATCACGAAAGCGTTAAACGAATGTTTGCTATCAGATGATGAGATGGAAAAAGGTCAAGAAGCTTGGAATACCCTCTTCCATTGACTGGGGATCCTTTTCGGGAGGAATGGGATGCCGCCCTTTCTGTAGCCATGAGCGCTTATACACTAAACGCTCGTCGAATAAAAATCAGGAAATTTGGAAGCGTGCATCTGATGGAGCAATAGACGTAGACTCATTCGATTTTGATATCATGAAATGGTTGACTGCATCTAGTACTTGTCGCTGCGCACTATGGGTTCTTGCTATCATCTGATAGAGCGCTACAGTTGGGATCTGGAAGACGTGAGAGCCCATAGCAGGTCAATATTCACAGTGTCGCATACGACTAGAACAAGCTTTACCATTTTGAAAATTCAATCGGTGCAGTGTAGACAAACAATTCTCGGCCTTCTCGATAGGCAAAATTGCGCTCATCCGTTTGGAGTCTTGTTTCCACGAAACACTCATCACGTAGATTGATTGCTCATTGAATAGTACAGAGTGTAGTCTTTCTTTCTGAATCTGATAATCGAAAAGAAGCCTTTTGTCGTTGCGAGAAAAAGAGAAGCTCCGAAGTATGATACCTTGATGCACTGTTTCGTTCCCTCCGCAATCTATCTGAATTTTTGTTATTAATAGCAACAACATTTTTTGATTTTTTTTCTATGCGCGCATATGCGGCTTAACGGAACTTTTCCCGAACCGCTTGATCATTGCTGCCTCCTCCATTGGCCTCCGAGACTGCGACACTTGGAAGGCGCTCCTGTGCCACAGCATCCAAAGATTCCAACGTATTTGGAGCGCGGATGTCAATAGGTAGCAGTGGTCTCGTGAAATGCATTCCAACAAGTGTCTCTGAACGTCATTGCAAAAACCGCTGACGAAGTTCCCACGAAAAGCATTGATGGATCCAGGATTTTGCCAAGCTTCTGGGTGTTAGACAAACAATTCCACTCGAAGGTACCCCCTGTCCGTAAAGACATCCAAGACACAAGGCGTTAAAGGCAAGCCACTCCCGAGGCCGGGCCTTCATATACTCTCCAATGGCTCCGCAAAATAGTGTCAATGTTTCATACTTGGTCTCGATGGGAAAGTAGAAGAAGATGACAAATCGGGCATTCGGACTTCTAGCCCAATCAACAATGCGGCTGGAAGCCAAACTCTACTTACCATGGATGCAGTTTCCAAGGTTGGTAGACAGCAGGCCATGGTCGATGTGGGAAGCCTTGATCAAATCTCCAATATTGTACGGACGTCGCAAAAGAATAAACAAGATCCCTTTTAAAAGAAAGCAGATTTCTTTGTACATAGCGTCGACACTCTTGACAATAAAGCCAGTCAAGCAAAGAGAGTTTCCCATCACGATTTGGATGGAAGACTCGAAGAATGAGACTTTTCACTTGCTCTGGACTAGGAAGGTGGCTTCTTCTCGCTGCCATTGTTTCGAAATCGACATCAGTTTCATCCTTTTTTTCCTGAATCAATGGATCGTAAATCTGTCAAGCGGACACGGTAGTCGTATGGCATGGAAATTTACTGCGTAGGAATAATACACTAGACGACAATGACAATATTCTGATTGCTGCCATGCATGGCCACCACCATGGATATGACGTGATCTTACAAGCATATTATCATGGTCCAATGGTTCGTTCATGAGGATAACCAGTTCATTGTTCATTGTGTTCATGGTGAGAATGCTGCTGCTATGATACATGCTGCATTCTGATGATGATGATCTTGCTTATTGAAAACCTTTTGAGTCGAATCAGTCTAAGCAGTATTGGACGTGTAACGTAACGTGTACTGTAATGCTAAGTCACTCTTTGGAAGTCATCTTGCGGTCAACCCACCCCGTCTGTCGGTGGCACGGACGAATTATAAACGCCGTAATGCATTTTATTGAGAAGATGGCAAAAACGATTGTACGTGTGAATGTCTGTAGTGAGCGGTAGTATGAAAAATGGCTCATTTAACACATTTCACTTTTTGCGACTTCTTTCACTTACCGGGTACGAATTTGATACTATTGATAGTTGTAAAAGAGACTAAAACTCATTTTTTCACTCTGCAAGTTCAATCACGGAGCATAATTGGCAAATGCCGATTCATCGGTGAAACGGAGAAGAACCTATTCTCTGTCATCTACATAATATATAAGGTTACGGTACCCTTCTTCAAATGTTGGATCTTTCAAGCATGTCAAATTCCCATACCGGTACCAGGTACCATGGTACCGGTAGAGTCAGTGGCATTTTGGATCGTTGATGATGCATGATGCATGGGTCATTTTATGGTCAGAATATTCCGATCTGACAACCTACCGGTACGTTGATGCCAGTAGCAATGTACTGTGACGCATGAATGATTTGCCTTCGTGCAATTTCAGAACTGGGTCATTTCTGTTGATCTTCTACACAAAAACCTGTAGTCTCGGTAGCAATTTTGGATCTTTGGATCTTTCGATATTGCTGGAGCGTCTCTCGCTCATGATCTCACAAAAACTAGAACCGTCTCTGTTGAAACAGAAATGAAGCTCTTTCTTGTTGCTCCGTTCTTGGCTGCCTTGATTGGCATTGCCAATGCCGAAAGTGTTGGTACGATTCGAGGAAGCGCTAGGAATGGTGGCGACAACAGGGCCAGGAGCCACGATCACCGTGCCCGTTCAAGAACAGAAGAACCTCGTTCTCATGATCATGGGCGGAACAGTGGCGAACCAAGAGGCCAGCAAGATGAAATGATTCGTACCTCTCCTCATGCAAAGGAAAGGAATGATGACATGCCCAGAAGCTATGATCATGGCCAGGAAGAAAGGGGAGGCGATGGCAGTCTTTGCTTTAGCGACAGTGCATGCGACCCTGGTACTTGGTGCGTCCGCGGGTTTTGTCAGGAGTGCCGTAAGATTGATTCGACCGAGGATTGCCCCTCTGGCGAGGTATGTATGTTCATATTTCTCGCACAACATCTCTTGTCTTGACTTGATTGCATTCATTAAACTGATCTACGATTTTCAATTTCAGTTTTGTTCTGGGCCCTTTTACAACTGCAAACCTTTATTGAACGAGGGTCAGTTGTGTCTGAGTGATAATGCATGCGAGAGTGGGGACTGCGACAGGGGAATGGTAAGGAAACATATTGTTCGAAGCGGCTGTTTTGATTTGCATGCATGTCTATGTTGCTAACAATGCACTCCTTTAATGCTTCTATAGTGCGCTTCTGGCGACATTACTTCTCCTACACCAGTTGAATCTGTGTCAGGCGATGGAGAAGACGGCAGTCTTTGCCTGAGCGACAATGCATGCGGCCCTGGTACTTGGTGCGTCCGCGGGTTTTGCCAGGAGTGCCGCAAGATTGATTCCACCGAGGATTGCCCCTCTGGCGAGGTATGTTCATAGTTCCCGCACAATATCTCTTGCATTTATTGAACTGATCTACGATTTTCAATTTCAGTTTTGTTCTGGGCCGTTTTACAACTGCAAAACTAAATTGGACAAGGGTGGTCTTTGTTTGAGTGATAATGCATGCAAGAGTGGGGACTGCGACAGTGGAATGGTAAGGATACATATTGTTCGAAGCAGCTGTTTTGATTTGCATGCATGCCTCATGTGACTGATGTGTTCCTTGGATGCTTCCATAGTGCGCTGCTGGCGACATTCAGCCCGTCGCTTCTCCTACACCGGTTAAACCTGTGTCCGGCGATGGAGACGATGGCAGTACGTGCCTCAGCGACAGTGAATGCGAAAACTACTGCGTTGCTGGCTTCTGCCAAGAGTGCGAGGCCCACAGTCACTGCGGCTCTGGTGACGAGTTCTGCACAGGTTGGCCTACCTACAATTGTAAGGACAAGAAGAACAATGGATCTTGGTGTGGAACAGACATGGAATGCTTGAGTGGGGACTGCGGTATAACTTGGGCGGGCGTTAAAGTAAGGATACACTCTGTTCGAAACCGGTGTTTGATTCATATCTTGTGGAACTAACGAAGTGCTTGGTCGCTATAGTGCAAATGAGCATTGAACTACTCTCGAGACATCGTCGACACCTAGCATTGCACGGCGCGCCGTCAACGTATTTATATGAAAGAAACGATAAGAAAAGAAGAAAAAAGAGTGAGCGGTTGACCTTGGTGTAACATCACAGTGAAAGGGAGAAGCACATTTCATGAACTATATAAAAAAGGAAAAACATTGTTCGTCGGATCATCACAATCAGAGAAGCAAACATAAAAAAAATATAAAAAATGGATGTTCCATGGATAGAGTACGATGATATATAGTCCTAGTTACAGTGCTTCTCATACCTTTCTCTCATTCATTGCTCGTGTGCCTTCCAAAGGTAACAAGTGAGGTCAATGCAACTATTGAATAGTATACCACTCGCTCCAAGAATCAGATACACCAGTGATCTTGTTCGAGACGGGTCATATCTTAGTCATCAATAAGCCCCCCCTGCTGTCAGTCAAGACATCCAGGACACTCAAGGCGTTAAAGGCAAGCTGTTTTTGAGACCGGGCCTTCATGTACTCTGAGCCGAGGTTTCGATGGAAGCTCGACACTCTTGCTCAAGTCAAGCGATGAGAGTTTCCCATCACGGTTTGGACGGAAGACTGACTCGAATGAGGCTTTTCACCCGCTTGTTTGAGCTCGACATCAGTGTCATCCTCTTCCTTCCTGAATTAATGAATCGCAAATTTATCAAAAGGACACAGTCGACTTTGGTGAGCACCGGGAATGGACAAATACAAATGCACAACAAGATGTAGTATTCGCCGCATTTCCAAGCATTTACTTACCTATTCTGATCCAGAGTGCTGTGAAAGACGATGCTGCTGTGTGCATGTGCGAATGCGTTGCTGTTATTTGGCTCGAAGCTCGTTGAAACTCTGGCAGTACGTCCGACTTTGACGTCATAATGTACTGTGTGGCACGGAAAGTTTCTGTAGGAATAGACGAGAATGACAATATTCGTATTGCTGCCATGGCCACTATGGATATGACGTGATCTTACAGGGGTTCGAGTATCTTCAGATAATGATTATCGTTCAAGAGGATAACCAGTTCATTGCGTGTTGACGATGATGATAATAATGATGCCCGTGTTCACCTTTGTATCTCAAATACCGGTAGCAGTATACAGTACAGAGACTGTACTGTAGGTACTCGTACCAGGCTTTACAAATTGCCAACAGAATCCAACGTTTCGAAAATTGAAGCGTTGGAGATTCCGTCAATAAGATTCCTTTGGGATCATATCATGCCGGTATGAATATCAGATATTACGGTCTTGGATCTGGTAACGGGCTCATCTCGAGAGATGGCGAAGAGAGTTTGTAGGTACGTGTGCAATAATGTCGAAAAATGGCATGCAGTATTCCATAATAACGCTTCTGCTTGTTGTGGCGAACTTGACTTTTTGCGACTTCTGAGTTAATTGTTCGACGGGACCAGGACCCTCAGCAACTCGTCTGTCTGTCGTCTAATTTAAACGGGGGGAAGCACTTTTCTCTAGTCTTCCCCCATTATGTTTTGCATTCAAATTTAGGGGCCCAAAGTTCTACTTTGGGGTCGAATCGAAACACGACAAACCAGTTCGAAACACGACAACAGATTCCGAAACGCGACAACAGAATTTGAAAGACGACAAACCAATTCGAAAGACGACAAACTCGAATGAAACACGACAAACTCGAATGAAACACGACAAATCAATTCGAAAGACGACAAATCAATTTCGAAAGACGACAAATCAATTCAAAAGACGACGACAACAAAATTCATCACGCCCGCCTAAACCTGTTCATGGTCCAAAGTAGAAGCGACGGACGGCAGAAAAAACAGGAAAATACGCTCATGTGCGAGAACTATCGCTACGTCAAGGTCATGAAGGAAGGCGACAACATGCCTTTTTTGGAGGACCCGGTGAAACATTGGCTCCAGGCGGGAAGGAGCCTAATATCAAGTGGCATCATTGAAAGGCACAAAGGATTCCATTTGGAGATGTGACGACAATTGTTACTAAACTCGAATCCAACAATAAACAGGATTTGGATTATTATCAAGCTCCATGATCCGACTTCTCGCAATATTCTTATTGCCAAGCTTCCCGTTCTCAAGTTTGAGTTCTACTACAACCCAGATACGGTTGTCTCCAACTATGATCGGGCTACTGGCGCCTCAACTGGTTCGACGAGTGTCACAATCAGTTTAGATGACATGTCAAAGGAAATGCATGATCGAGCAGAATTTTGAAAGAAATGCTTTTCAACGAACATTTTATATCTATCTGTTGATATTTGTATCACATGTTGTAGTGAAGTAGCAGGGATGGTAGGATATATGTATAATACGTTGCTGGTCTAGAACTCTTGTTTATTCTCTTTACATCTATCTACAGCATCTTCAGTCAGAATATTATAGAGTGGTGAAGACTCCTGGAGTGAGGATGTGGTTCATGGGCGGATCTTCTTCCGATGATAAGATCATGAGAGATAGGCGAGAATGCTGCATATGTATTTCCATCCGACAACTTCAAGCTGAAACAAAGAAGACAAGATTTTTCGAAAGACGACAAGATTTTTTGAAAGACGACAAGAAATTTCGAAAGACGACAAGATTTTTTGAAAGACGACAAGATTTTTCGAAAGACGACAAGATTTTTCGAAAGACGACAAGAAATTTCGAAAGACGACAAACCAATTCGAAAGACGACAAACTCGAATGAAACACGACAAAATATTTTTCGGAAAACCGTAATGCCCCCTTTTAAACAACTCCCCCTAAAGAATCATGTATCCGCTCCCCGTAAATTCAATACGCAAAATCCCCCTTAAAACGACGAAGGACGGACGGGTTGCGGAGGGTCCAGTTTGGGATTTCGCGTGATTAAAAAATTCAATAAGACGTACGACTTTGATATTTGTAGAAGAGACTAAAGCCTCCTTTTCTCACTCGCAACCTTTTTATGAACGATCTGTTTCATAAATCCCTTTCTAACTCCAATCACGGTGCATAATTGGCAAATGCCGGTTCATCGTTGAAATCGAGAAGTGGGCAAGGAGAACCTACAGTACATAAAATCGTAGTTCCACTCTAGCATTCTTCATTCTTCAAATGTTGGATCTTTCAAGCATGGCACCAGGGTCAGTGGCATTATGGTAGTTGACGTACTGTAGGGTCATTTCATGGTCAGAATATTCCGATCTGACAACCTACGTTGATGTCAGTAGTAATGTACTGTGACGCATCAATGATTTGTCTTCGTGCAGTGTCAGAACTGGGTCATTTCTGCTGATTCTACGCAAAAACCTGTAGTCTCGGTAGCAAATTTGGATCTTTGGATCTTTTGATATTGCTGCAACGTCTCTCAATCATCACCTCACAAAACGAGAACCGTCTTTGTTGAAACAGAAATGAAGCTCTCTCTTGTTGTTCCGTTCTTGGCTGCCTTGATTGGCATTGCCAATGCCGAAAGTGTTGGTACGATTCGAGGAAACGAGGTAAGGGATCCTGCTGATGGTGAAAGGACCAGGAGCCACGAGCACCATTCCAAACCTCGAGGAGACGTGCGTTCTTCTCACGATCGCCATGGCAGTGAAAGAGTCGGGACCAACGACAAACCAAGAGACCAGCAAGACGAAATGATTCGTACCTCTACGCATGTAGAGGATAGGAATGGTGACAAGCCCAGGAGCTATGATCGTTTTGCGACCCCAAGAGGAGAAGCGCGTCTTGCATTCGACGGACACGCTGTTCCCATTGAGGGTAGTGATTGGGATAACCAAGCAACTGCAGCAGTTGATAAAGGTCGATACTTTCTCTTCCGTCCAGAACATTGGAAAGCGGTCTTCGGCTCCTTGCCTGCCACAGGAGAAGCGACCATATATGAAGTCGAACAACAACGAAACGGTGAAGTCGTGTGGCAAGGATCAGTGATGATTTGGATTTGGGACTCAACACGTCCTGATATTGGTCTTCCTGATGGGTTTGAGGCTGGTAGACGCGATCCTGTTTCTGCCAGTGGACAGTGGGTAAGTTGGAGTCGATTATCGATCTATGTACATTGTGATTCGATTCCAATCTTGTTTCTAATACAGCTCTTTTATTTTGACAGCAAACTGGTGATTTCATTCTTCCAGTTGAACCTGCGCCCATCGACTTAGGCACCAATTGCGATGTCTTTTTTGATGATTTTGATGCCTTGACGAGCAGGCCCATTCCATCCGAGGACAGCAGTGGCAATGCCTTGCTCGAGATTACAAATCCAACGGACGCAAGTAAAAAGATCAACCTAGTTGATCTTCTGAACGACTACATTGAAGGCCAGAACACTATCCCTGTTCCTAAAGTGTTGATGGGTGATGAGATTAAAAGTCTTGGTGCCAGTTGTGAGAAAATTTCATTCGTTGGCCACGACGAAAGGGTCCTTGCGCTTGGACTTGAATATAGTGCCCCAACTGGTACTACGTACTCAGTTTGTATGGCCGTGAACCCCTGTGACCACATTTATGCCCTCAGTCAGTCAGGTAAGTCGAAGATATTAATCAATCACGCATGCATATAATGACAGTGATGATTCAACGATATCGATTCTAACTCATGGATTTATAACTCCCTCTCACCGTGCTTGGCGCAGGTGTATTGAAACTCGTGAAGCCAGTCCCCCCCGCCAAACTAACTCTAGAGGCCGATTCGATTGGTATGTAATATCTTGTTCGGTTGCTGCTGCGTTATGTTACTGTCATATTCGTCGTTGTGCTGCTGTTCTAATATTTCGTGTTTCTCCTAATGTTTGATGTGAAATAGGTTTTGCACTCAACAAGGGATTGTCGCGAAAGACTTTGAATAAGATGTGGAGCGGTGACAGTGGAACGACTGCCATTGATTACAGAACAGTTGATGGACACTTGGCTATGACAGCAACTGGCACAGTGGAAATTGAAGCTGGTCCCAAAGTACGTATAGTCGAACAGTTGGGAATCAAATCCTTCGTCCTTTGCTCATGATAGCTGCTGCAAATTTCAGGCCACTGTAGGACTCGTGTGCACAGCATCATTACTTGTGGATCTCGATCCTGCAAATAATGGCGTATTACCGTTTGATGAAGGTGTAAGTATTACAGCAGCAGATGATTATTGCTTCAATGCATTCATTGCGAGATCTCATCTACATGGGTGCCTTTCAAAAAACAGGTTGATTTCGAGTTTCTCCTATCAGCAGAAGCTACTCCCGTCATTGAGTTGCGCACGAATGACGATACTGTTGCACTTGATTTGAATGGTCTCTTGACCAGCATGATAGACTTGTATGTCAAGGTGTTACCAGCTGGCGCACATGTCGAACTCGCCGCGTCCGTCGACATGTCTCTTAATGGTCTTTGCCTTGCATCACCTCTCTTGTTGTTGTATTGTGAGATATTCAATGCCGATGGCAGGCTCAAAGGGGAGGCGAGATTCTTCGCAGACAACGATGGATTTGGGATTAGGTTCGACGTGGAAGGTCACCTGACTCTTATAGATATGGACGACACCATCCTTGACTTCATTGAATGGCCCGACCTTCATGCTCGTGTCGATCTAATGCTCAGTGTTGAAATGACTAAATACGGAAAGCTGGAGATATGCATGCAGGAAAGTGACAAACGCGTCACTTGTTTGGACTACTGCAAGTCGGATAGTCAGTGTGGCCCCAATGAATACTGCCACTGGTCGGGAACTTGCATTGAGAAGCATGGAGATGGATATGTCATATGTACCGACAACAACCAGTGTGACAACTACTGTGTAGCAGGGATGTGCAACGAGTGCCCCGTGACGGATTCGTCCGAGGGCTGTAACTCTGACCAGGTATGTGTCTAGTTAGTCTCGCCGCAACAACTCTCTTGTTGACTTGAATGTATTCCCTTGTGACTAATCTGCAATTTTCAAATTTAGTTTTGCGAAGGACTGACCCACACATGTCAACCAAAAAGAGGCGACGGTGGTGCGTGTCTGAGCCAGAATGTATGCAAGGATGGGCATTGGTGCATCGGCGGATTTTGTCAGGAGTGTCGTGAGATTGATTCGACCAGGGATTGCCCCTCTGGCCAGGTATGTTACTCTCGAACAACAACTGCCTTCTTAACTTTCTTTTGTGGATTCGATAAACTGATCTGCAATTTTCAATTATAGTTTTGTTCTGGACCGTTGTACAACTGCGTAGACCAACGAGGCGACGGTGGTGCTTGTTTGAGTCAGAGTGTATGCAAGGATGGACATTGGTGCGTCCGCGGATTTTGCCAGGAGTGCCGTGAGATTGATTCGACCACGGATTGCCCCTCTGGCCAGGTAAGTTACGCTCGAACAACAACTATCTTCTTGACTTCAATGGATTGATTCGTTCAACTGATCCGCTGCGATTTTTTTCAATGTCAGTTCTGCAGAGGACCAGATTATAACTGCGAAAATCAAAGAAGTGACGGTGGTGCTTGTTTGAGTAGCAGTGCCTGTAAGAATTATTGCGTCGCAGGCTTCTGCCAAGAGTGCAGTGGCCAAAGCCACTGTGGCTCTGGTAAGTTTTGCACAGGATGGCCTTCCTATAATTGCAACAACAAGAAGAGCAAGGGATCGTGGTGTGGTTCTGACAAAGAATGCCATAGTAACAACTGTGGTCTCACTTGGACCGGCGTTAAAGTAAGTGTGCAGATACTGTTCGAAAGAGGTTTTCTTATTTGGATTCATATCTTGTGGAACTCACGAATTGCTTGATCACTTTAGTGCAAATAAGCATTCATCGACAGAAAGCCGTATTATATGAAAGAAAAGAAAGAAAAAAAGTCATGAGAGAGATTGAATCATCGTTCCTTGGATCATCGAAGTCAAAGGACGGGAGAAGCTCATTTCACAAACTAGAAAAAGGAAAAAAACGTTCGTCGGATCATCGCAAGTCAGAAGAACGAATAGAAAACAAAACAAAAATAAATGGATGTTGCATATGAATGGTAGTAGTGTACAGTATGATCTAGTCCTAGTTGCTGTGCCCGTGTACTTATTGCCGTGTTAGCTTCTGCATAAATTCACCAGCACCAGCAAAAGCTTCCGGCGTGTCATCATGGCTGTTCATTCCAATCATCATAATGTTCTCACTCTCACTCTCTCATCGCAGGGTACTGTAGCTAGTGTGTCAATATATATAGTTGTTAGATTTCATTTGTCTCAAACCGGCTGCCGATATATCCTTAATAAAACACCGTTCCAATGGCGAGGTTGACTTGCTTGGAATCAGTCAGCAATCGCCCTGCATTCACTCCAACAGGACGACCCGACAAAGCGGACAGCAGTCATAAGTGTGATGTTGGATCCATTCAAACAAGCATTCCTTGTGAAAGATGTGGTTGCAATCTTCTTGTTTGGGCGTGCAAATGACGTCTCCAGTGGCATATCCTTCCAAGCAAATGCAATAGCAGTCGTTTTCTTGGTAATCTTCTCCTTCTACTTATTCTCCCGTTGCCGCTGCCTCACATAGTATTCTGGAACGACTGGTATTTGTATCGATTGGATGCAAAGTAGGTCGGAATGCGTTGAAGGATTGTCATGAGTGGGCTGCAGAACAGTGGCTTATCGAAGTAGCAGGTGCCATAATGCCCAGTTCCATGTCCTCGCTTGTCTCATCCTCCAGCTTGATTGCATCTGGTTCGACTGCTGCTCCTGATGCTGATGCAGTAGTATTTTCCTTTGTGCTGGAGTTATTGTGATCTTCATCACATATTTCTGTCTCTTCAGCCTTAATTGTTGTGTCAAACAAAAAGAAATTTCATAACTTCTTATTGGGGCAGCTTCTGAGGCCGATCATAACCGTCGCGCGAAATTGTACATAACCGACGTCGATCATCGGAATGATGATCCTGTTCAACGACGGATCCTCTCAATCTTCTCAATAATATCAATTGTTCTTGAAGCAGGTTTCCTCAGGGTCGAAGTCATGTCGAAGGAGGTGTAGCAACGCTTGTGAATGGGCATTTACAGTGTAGACAAACGATTCTCTGCTTTCCAGCTAGGCAGCATTTCACTCGTCCGTCTGGAGAGAGTCTTTGTTGCCAGCCGCACTCTCATCATCGATTGAGATACTCATTGAATGATATCGTATAGTCTCTCTTTCTCATTCTGATAATATAGAAGAGAAGCATTTTATCGTTGCAAGGGAAGGAGAAGCTCTAACGTATGATCCCTTGCTAGCATTATTGCTTCGTTCCCTCAAATCTGAAGGCAGGGTCAGGCATTATGTTGTGTTATTGTGTGATGACATCATGCGGATTTATTCATAGTTTTTTTATCGTGGCAGGCGCAGCAGACGGTAGACGGACTGGCAAGAGACGACATCCCGTACGCTGATGTCTTCAATCTGTCCGTCTCATCGTCCGTCATCATGTACACGCACTGTACATATTCAATATTGAATATATTAATACCATTTTATGGTACCGTATTTTTATAATAATCAAAAATACACCGGTATACGCCAAAAGTGGATTTATTTGTGAAGGCATCAAGAGTACAGTAGGCGATGAAGCATGATCATCTGAAGCGGTTCAGACTGATTTCTCTTCTTATTCTTTTGCTAAATAAGGCTGAGTTCTCGAATTTCATTTGAGCCTTCCATTTCCACTTTCGTACCTATTATTCTGTCGCAATGTGGACGTAAAATTGCTCCATCGGGAGACCCATTAAAACGCACCGTTGCATCAACGCCCAATTCGCTGATTCATTGCCTACCGGTGGCACTTCTCAAATTGCGTACCAATGGCGCCCAAAGCTGATTCCATGCACTTCCATCTCGGCCGAGACCGCGCTCCGAGATTGGCACCACAATCCGCGGATTGGCTGTCATATCATACCTATATCGCCTTCCGCTGCACCTACCAACCGCAGAGACTTCCCATGTTTCACGGCCCCAAGGGAGTCGCCGCAACCGGCAGCTTCTCAAGAATTTCATTTCGGATCACAAAAATTTCTTTCCAGATCACGATCAATAAACATGATAGCTCAACCATGTGCAACACTGCCCCTCTCCGACAAGCGCCCCATGATAGTGCGATTCCCACGGGCCTATATATGGCTCGCCCGATTTGGCAGCGGATTCCGGAACAACAGCACCACCCAACTTCCGTTCCGCACCACCCGTAACGTGACTGACTGTTGCGTTCAGGACCAAAGTTTGACTCACCACTCCAACAGACCTAATTGGTACTCCGCCTAATACTATCCAACATTCCGTTACAGTCACCCCACCCCGACTTAACCAAACGGCCGTTTACCCAACAACAATTACACCAAAATTCTATTCCTGTAGTAATCACTTTTTTCTTTTTAACTTGCCCACAAGTTTCTAGAGCTCTTGCTTCCCCCCCATCCCTTGTTGAACTTCCCGCCACGCACCCTTGATGGCGTCCTCCAGGGCGGTCAATCCGGTCTCACTAGCGTCAAGGACCTGCCCCACGATGATACCAAGGAATGTGGCTGATGATGCGAAAATGAATGCTGTATCTATCGATTGATATCCTATATTGAATATCAATTTCACAATAGATAGATAGATAGATATAGATGATCGGGATTCCACCAATCTTTTAATATACCTACATAGCTACGGGGCCGTTCAAAGTGATGCGATTCTATGAATTAAAATTGCTATTGAATGCTTGCCGTTCTATCGACAAGCTAGTTAGAAGAACATCTTATGATTGTTCTCTGCGGCTTGACGGAACTTTTCCCGAACCGCTTGATCATTATTGCTGCCTCCTCCCTTGGCCTCTGAGACTGCGACACTTGGACGGCGCTCCCCCCGTTCCACAACAGCATCCAAGGATTCCAACGCATTTGGAGCGCGAATGTCAATAGGTAGCGGTGGTCTCTTGAATTGCATTCCAAGAAGTTTCTGAACTTCATTGCAGAAACTGACCAAGTTCCCACGGCTATCATAAATGGCTCCGGGATTTTGCCAGGCTTCTCGGTGTTGGACAACCAACTCCACTCGAATGTACCCCCTGTCCGTAAAGACATCCAAGACACGCAAGGCGTTAAAAGCAAGCCATTCTCGAGGCCGGGCCTTCATATACTCTTCAATGGCTCCGCGGAACAGAGTCAGTGTTTCATATTTGGTCTCGATGGGAAAGTACAAGAAGATGACAAATCGGGCATTCGGACTTCGAGCCCAATTGACGATTCGACTTGAGGCCAACGCTCCGTTTGCCACGGATGCAGTTTCCAAGGTGGGCAACCAGGTCATGGTGGTTTCAAAAAGGGTAACGTTTTGGACGATCCAACCAATACTTCCCATTAGCCCGGTCTCCGACTCGATGTGGGAAGCATTGATTAAATCTCCAATATTGTACGGACGTCGCAAAAGAATGAACAAGATGCCTTCAAAGTACTTGGAAGCGGCAGAGCCAATCACAAAGGCAAACGCCAGAAGCACACTGGATAGAGAGAGAAACAGTGCCATTGGATCAAGTCCAAGCTGCGACATGATGATTACGACCACAATTACGTAGAAGATGGCATTGAAGATCGCCTCAAAAGCACGGTCGATCTGAGCCGAGTTTTCGATGGAAGCTTGGAGAAGACGGAACTCCTTGTACACGGCGTCGACACTCTTGACAAAGTCAAGCAATGAGAGTTTCCCGTCACGGTTTGGACGGAAGACTCGAATGAGACTTTTCACCCGTTCTGGACTGAGAAGGTGGCCTTCTCTCACCGCTAGGGAAGCTGCGATGGTTTCGAACTCGACATCAGTTTCATCCTCTGAAAGTAGATGATTGAAGACGTTTTGGGCGGATTCCACACACGTATTGCGTTTGTCTGCAAGACCAAATGCAAGTGAAAATGGGTAGTCGTTGTGAATGAGGGCAAGAGCATTCCTAAAGCGCAAAACGGCTGCAATTGAAGCTTTCTTGTGTGCAGTTGATCGCCTCTCTGGTTCCTCCCAGCGATCCAGCATCTGTGCCAGTTTGAACTTTTCAGATTCCGCTAGACCAAGAGCATTGTTCTTTGTGCTGCTTCCATCGTCTTGGTCCAGCATATCCTGATAGGCAGCCATGCCGCTTTTTGCGAATTGTCCAGATGCCCCCTGTGCGGTATTTCTTCGTTGCAGCAATATCTTTTGCTTTTCCATTCTCGATGCGAGCTTGGCTACTTGGCTGACAAGTAACATTTTATCCATGACCTTTGCAAGTGATTCACCGAAATGTACTATTGGGTCATGAAGGAATAATCAAGTGAGGTCGGTTCGGACTACAACAACCAAAAGGCACCGCACACTCTCCATGAACTTACAGAATGATTGGCGTCCCAAAAAGAGGCCTACTGCCAAACGTTTGATAGAAACAGCAACCGTGACTGTTGCGCCTATGGTCAGAATGATCCTGTACAGGTCACTGTTAACGACATTTCCAGCAGGATTGGCCTCGCTGAAGAGCGGAATAGTATCTTGCCAGAATAACCAATGGGCAGCAAAAGCTGTATTGCCATACAACATGCCGAAATTGAGAATGGACCACATGAAAATAACAAATGGCCATCCTTGGGATTGAATAAGCCAAAGAGTCAAAAGTGGTCCCAATAGTCGTGGGATGATACGGGTTTGGACACACAGTAGATCAATCACCAATGCTTGAACCGCCAACGCGAGTGTCAAAGTCACCCATAGTCGAACCACAAATATCAGGATCCACGAGACGCTTGGCCCTTCGCTGGTGGCGGTGGTGGGATTGTCCAAAAGGTAATATAGCAAGGCAGCAACTCCAACAAATGGCAAAACAATGTACAACAAAAGTTTGAAGTATTTCTTGAGGGTGGCCTGTTGGGGACGAAAGAATGACCCCCAGGCTTCCACGTCGCTCTTGACTTTCTCTGCCATATCAGAAAGATGATGGTTTTTTCCGCCATTTGATCCGGATGATTCATTGCGCCGGTATGAATCTCTGGAAGATTTTTTGGTCCTCCCTTGAGAAGGATTTTGTGCTACATTTTGAGCTTCAAGATCGACGATTCCTTCATCGACAATTCCTTCGTTTGTCTGTTTGTCGGTCTTCAGGCTGTCAGAAGCGCCGCCTTCCGCGACCGGTTCCAATGTGGGCTTGTCCCCAGAAAACAAGCGATCGCGTACTCTGCCATTGCCTTTTTCAGCTGCCGGGATTCCAATACCAGGTGTCCCGAACGCCAACTGTGCACTCCGATCAAACTCAGAACGTTGTGAAACGGCTGGTGTTTGATTTGGACCGACATGAAAGCCGTTGCCGATGAGCTGGTCTGTCAGGTTGGCCAGCTGATCGTCGACACTCATCACGCGTTGATGACGTCGTTTTGGGCTCAAGAGTGGTTTCCGCTCTAGGTCGTCAGCTCTGCGGCCACTAGATGGACTGCTTGATGGCTTTGGCCCAGAGCTGCTCTCTTCCAACGCCTTGCTGGCTTCGTCTGAGATTCCCTCTAGAACAGACGATTCAAATGCCTGGGATGAACCGAACTGTTCTTCGAGAGTCTTCAGGATGTGAGTTGTAGCTTCATGCTCGTACTGATTGCTCTGCAAGAGACTGTCCAAGGTGATCTTCTGTTTCTCGCTGTCGTCCAGGCTGTTGTGTTCCATGCGCAAACGTGCAGCTTCGGCAAGTGATTGCTTGGCATCACTTTCCATCGAGGTACCTCTGTTCAATGAAAGTTGGGCAAGTGACTGTCGTGGTGGATCGACGAGGTCCGAGATGTTGCTGTTTCCACGACGATGACCGTCAGCATATTTGTTGTTGGATCGAGCCGTGTCTTCGCTGGCATTCGCAGAGGCCTCATCCATGACGGCGATAGTTGATGGAACCTCTTCCATATTTATTCAACTGCGTCGTAACGATATTGCTTTCGTTCTGTTGCAATGATGATGAATTAGGAGAGTGAATGATGTAAAACTATGTGTTTCTCAATAAATTTCGGATCACATGCGTGTTTTTGTTTCCAATGATACCTGTAGTACTGTACCTGAAAAGTCTTTCTAAAATTACGAAACTATGGGTTTTAGCGCGTGAGATTCGGCGGGCAATGGGCGGGGATCTTTGTACGGGCATTTGGTTGGGGGGAGGGGGTGAAAACCAGGAAGGAAGGTGGTGGTGCATGATCTACACACGCTTCTCAACGGGGAATGCAAAGTGACATTGCGGTTCCTGAATTGTTTCTAGTACTGTAGTAAGCTATGGGTTCTTGGTTTCCTTCAAAAGTGATCATGATCCACACATGCGTAGTCCTCTCAGTGGTATCGTGGGTCAAAAGAGGGTCATAATTTTGGAGATGCAAATCGACCTTTTTATTTTCAGGTTCTCCCGCCCGTTTGAAAAGCGTCAGCGTTAACTTGTGAAACAGCGCGCATGATAGAAATTCCACGTCAGTTCATATTTCCAGTTCCCAAATTTTGGGTGAGAATTTCTGAGCCAATCAAACGAATCTAAACCAGCTGACGCGATGCTACGCGGCTGTTTGGCAGAACATGTAATTTCAAATTGGCCTATCGAAGTACTATTTTTTAAGATTTCGTACGATTATTTCATACCAGTACGTACAGTATAGTTCTGTAGGACAAGAAATCATTTTCAATCATCAACCCATTCCGACCCTTGTTGTTGTAATCAGCCAAGCACTGTGAATCGCCACTCTTTTGCAGAATGCTTTTCTAAAACCATCACACTACCACAGTACCATGGTACTGTAGGACAAGAAATCATTTTCAATCATCAACCCATTCCGACCCTTGTTGTTGTAATCAGCCAAGCACTGTGAATCGCCACTCATTTGCAGAATGCTTTTCTAAAACCATCACACAAGCGTAACATCGAACAAAGAGGCTGTTTGGAATGGGAACTTTCCATGTAGACGCGATTCAACGGCACGCTCTTGACCTGGGTGATCAATTCTGGTGTAGACTCAATAATGATACGACAAGACTCAACAGCAATCGCCCTGTACTGTACGAACCCAGACACGGCGAGACCCCAACCAAAGTTTCCAACTATAGGTATGTTGGAACGTGTATTAGATACTTAGATTAAGGTAGCCTGGTAGGCGCAGCGGTTCGATTCCGTAATACCTTATATTTGACATGGTAAGGTTATGGGATCGAGTCCTCGGTTCACATTGCCCTTGTCGATCTTGGAAATGAATGCCGACTGTCTGCATCGACAGGATAAAGATGGACGTGCGAGGGTTTCGACACCAGAAATGGGTGTGCGAGGCTGAAGGGCTATATCTATAAGTATCGAATAAGGGAGGATGTTGGAACGTGTATTAGATACTTAGATTGGACTAGTCAGATTAAGGTAGCCTGGTAGGCGCAGCGGTTCGATTCCGTAATACCTTATATTTGACATAGGTACATATAAGGCGATCGATTCTGGGGCGTTGTTTTGGAATGTATATCGCTTTCTTCCAAGATCATCCAAGGTGACTTCATGGAATTTCATCGAATCTGATCAATTCTAGACAAAAACTGGCAATGCGAAGTAGACAGACCTCAACAAGCAATAAAATAACACATCGAGCATGTCCAAAAAATTTAAGATTAGTAATCAGAACAAGGTCGTATCATACAAGATATCATGGCTCTTTCCTCAGCTTGATATGAAGTTTTGGACCAATAACGTCCGTCTGTCACCAGTCGCAAAATTTCTACCCAACACAATTATTTTTTCGTTGATGTCATTGTTGCACCATGGTGAGTTGGAGCCCATACATTCCTGTACACTGCATGAAAGTGGGATTGACACACTCAAAACATGTCTCTTTATCCTCTAGGAATGGCTCAGTACATAAAGGAATCGGAATGTTTTCTTTCTATGGGCTTCAACAAGGCCACTATGCCCATCGCAGCATTCTCCTCCATTATATTATCTATAGAGCCATCTTTTGGAACTAGAATTCTTAAACGAAGGGCGCAGGATCTTGTTTGAGTGGTACCAAAGCGCCTCTGATCCAAAAGAATGACGTCTAATGTTATCTTCATGATGCGCCCATTTCTTTGGATCCCTAAGCCCAGAAACCAAATCTGTTGCCAATCGGAAAGTCGGCATGGATGGTGGACCCCACAAGAAGAGACAATAACGACGACTTGACAATATAAACCTGTCTCCTTTTTGGATACAAAGTGAGTACATTTCCCCTCTTGGAAGGATGATTCGACTATAAGTATAAAATCGTCGACCAAGAAGGTGTCGTGGGTGGTCGGTTCGCTGTCGTTTATTGGCAGGTCCACATAATGGCCGCCACTATGGCGACAGGAAATCATTCAACAATACACCAGCTGTTTCTTTTTAAACTCTTACGGTCAGACCATTCTGAGAATCAGTCATATATATTCGCCCTAGATCAAGCAGTCAGCTATTCTGAAGTGAATACACATACAAATCGAATAATGCTCGCGATTCAGACAAGTGTAGCGTATTAGACTTATATAGCTTGCCAATAACCCTGGTGAAATAAATCGTTTCTATAGATTTTAAAATTGTTAGTGGATGCCTGGTTCTGTCGACAAGCGAATTAGAAATACATCTTGTGTTTGTTCTGAGCGGCTTCCCGAAACTTTTCGTGCATTTCCTCCTGCTGCGTGCTTTCTCCCTTGCTCTCGGCGACTCCATCACTTGGATGGCGCTCCCCCCGTTTTACAGCAGCATCCAAGGATTCCAACGAATGCTCAGCACGAACATCAATCGGTATAGGTGGCATCTTGTATTGCATTCCAAGGAGCTTCTGAACTTCATTACAGAAACTGACCAAGTTGCCACGGCTGTCATAAATGGCGGGCGGATTTTGCCAGGCTTCTCGGTGTTGAACTCTCAGCTCCACTCTCATGTAGCCCTTGTCAGTAACGATATCCAAGACACGGAAAGAATTAAAAGCAAGCCATTTCCGAGGTCGGGCCTTCATATACTCCTCGATCGCTCCACGGAATAGTGTCAGAGTTTCATACTTGGTCTCGATGGGAAAAAACAAGAAGATGGTAAATCGAGCATTCGGACTTCGGGCCCAATTGACAATGCGACTTGAAGCCAGTGCTCCGTTGGCCACGGTTGCGGTCTCCAAAGTGGGTAGCCAGCACATGGTGGTTTCAAAAAGGGTAACGTTTTGGACGATCCATCCAGAACTTCCCATTAAACTTGTGGTCGACTCGATGTGGGAAGCATTGATCAAATCTCCAATGTTGTACGGACGTCGAATAAGGATGAACAAAATCCCTTCAAAGTACTTAGACGCAGCCGGCCCAATCACAAAGGCAAATGCAAGAAGCACACTGGAAAGAGACAGAAACAATGCCATCGGATCAAATCCAAGCTGTGACGTGATGATGACTGTCATAATTACGTAGAACACGGCATTGAAGATGGCCTCAAAGGCACGATCGATCTGAGCCGAGTTGTCGATCGAAGCTTGAAGAAGGCGGAACTCCTTGTAAACAGCGTCGACACTCTTGACAAAGTCAAGCAATGACAGGGATCCATCACGGTTTGGTCGGAAGACTCGAATGAGGCTTTTCACCCGCTCTGGACTCAGAAGGTGGCCTTCTCTGACCGCTAGGGAAGCTGCAATTGTTTCGAACTCGACATTAGTCTCGCCTTCTGAAAGGAGCTGCAGGAAGATATTGTGAGCGGATTCGATACATGCGTTGCGCTTATTGGCAAGGCCAAATGCAAATGAAAAAGGATAGTCGTCGTGAATGAGTGCAAGAGCATTCCGGAAGCGCAAAACGGCTGCAATCGAAGCTTTTTTGTGTACAGTAGATCTTCGTTCTGGTTCCTCCCAACGATCTAAAATCTGTGCCAATTTGTTCTTTTCCGATTCCACGAGATTAAGGACGGTGCCATTTTTCGTACTGCTTCCGTCGTCGTCATGGTCAAGTAGGTCCCGATAAACGGCCATCTCATTTGCCTTTTGTTCACCAGGTGCTCCGGGTGCGGTGCTTCTTCGTTGCAACTTTTGCTTTTCCATTCTCGTTGCAAGCTTGGCTACTTGACTCACGAGCAACATTTTGTCCATCACCTTTGCAAGTGCTTCACCGAAATGTACTATCGGGTCATCAAGGCGAACGTAAGAATACAATCATGTGAGGTCATTTCAAACTTCAATAAACAATAAGGCACCAAGCAATGACCATGAACTTACAAAACGATTGGCGTCCCAAGAAGAGACCTACTGCCAAACGTTTGACAGAAACAGCAACGGGGACTATTGCGCACATCGTCAAAATAACCCTGTACAAATCACCATTGACAACATTGCCGGCAGGATTGGTCTCATTGAAGATCGAAATGGTATCTTGCCAGAACAACCAATGGGCAGCAAAGGCGCCCTTTCCATACAACATTAAAAAATTGAGAATGGACCAAGTGGACAAGACGAATGGCCACCCTCGGGATTGGATAATCCATAGAGTAAAGAGAGGGCCCACTAGGCGTGGAATGATTCGTGTTTGGACACATAGTAGATCAATCACCAATGCTTGAATCGCCAACGCAAGTGTCAAAGTGACCCACAGCCGAACCACAAACAAAAGAACCCACGACACACTTGGCCCTTCGCTGCCGCTGGTCATGGGGTTGTCCACAAAGTAATATAGTAAGCCAGCAACTCCAACCAATGGTAAGGCAATATACAGCATGAGTCTGGCGTATTTCTTGATAGTGGCCTTTTCGGGACGAAATAATGATTTCCAAGCGCCCATATCGTTCTTGACTTTCTCTGCCATGTCCCCAAAAAGGTGATGACTTTTCTCGCCATTTGGATCGGATGCAGAGAGCCTGGAAGAATCTCTGGAAGATTTTTTGGGAGTTCTTTTTGAAGTATCCTTTGTTGCCTTCGGATCTTCAAGATCAACAACTCCATCATAGCTGGATCGTCTATCTTCATTCATGCTCTCGGAAGGACCATCTTCTTCGACTGGTTCCAATGTCTTATCCCCAGAAAACAAGCGTCTACGTGGTCTGCCATTGCCTTTTTCAGGTGCTCCGAAAGCCAACTGTGCATTACGATCAAAGTCGGAATGTGGTGCAACAGATGGATCTTCTTGATCTGGAGCGATATGAAATCCATAGTCGAACATCTGGTCGGCCAAATCGGCTAGCTGATCGTCGACACTCAGTTCACGCTGGTGCCTTGACCTCAAGAGTGGCTTCCGATCTTGGTCATCGGTACGGCGGGAAGGAGAGCGACTAGCTGATGACTTCTGGTCTGAGCGGCTACTAGATTCTTCCAACGCCTTGCTGGCTTCGTCGGAAATGCCCTCTAGTACAGATGTTTCAAAAGCATGGGATGAACCGAGCTGACCTTCGAGTGCCGTCAGAATGTGAGTCGTGGCTTCATGCTCGTATTGATTATTCTGCAAGAGGCCGTCTAGGGTGACCTTCTGTTTCTCACTCTCTTCCATACGATTATGTTCCATACGCAAACGTGCGCTTTCTGCAAGCGATTGCCGGGCATCCTCTTCCATCGAAACATCTCTACTCAACGACGGTTTTCCAATGGATGCTTGCTGCGGTGGATCCATAAGATCCGATACGTTGCTATTTCCACGACGAGCATGACCACCATCCGCAAATCTGTTGTTGGATCGGGTAGTGTCCTCGCTGCTATTCGCAGATGCATCATCCACCACGGCGATAGTTGATGGTACCTCTTCCATTTTTATTCCAATGCCGTAGCAATACGTTTTCGTTCAGAGAAGGTTACTTGTACAGCAGATTGGGTTTGAAGAATTGTAGAATAAGGAGAAGATTTGTAGAAGATTGGATTTGATGGGACGCTTCTTGTTTCTGATGGCTCTGAGGTATCCAACGGTCAGAATTTCTCCGATCTGACCCGAAAAGCTGACACCAGGTTGCATCAAGCTGCACTTCAAATAAGTCTACATTACCTAAATATCCCGAAATGACGAGGTCGCAAGTATGCCCGCCCGCATTGGCAGAGGAGAAGGACTTGCTTGAGGGGAGGATAGAGAGAGGGAAAACGTCAGGGGAACTGCGAGTTTTGCGTCACGGCATTCGTTTTGTATACTTTTATTTTGGATGATTTTCAGATACCGGTATCACCTCAATGGCTGAATAAACCGCAACAAAAAGTGATCGAAGTGACAATCGAATTAGTCAGTTCGTTCCCTCACATGCTTCATCGCTGCTGTACTCGATGGCGACGCGATGGCGACATGAAAGACTTTTTGACGAGTGTAATTGGCGATAGCACGCACATTCCGAGCGAACTTATTAGCCCATTTCGTGAGAACAGAAAGAATATCTTCCACGAAAAGTCGTTCCAAATCAATACGCTGTATAATGCTGTACATCCTGGCTATTAAGATTGGCTCGGGAAGACAGCCCGGGAATCATTTGGATAGGGCCATTTTCATTTGATGTGTTTCAACAAGCCTACCCGACAATTGAACATTCTAGTTTCAACCATCATATCCTAGCCAATTTGATGAGAACATTGGGCGAGCTATACTATGCGGACAGCCGACACTGAAGAAGACTGACAAGAATCGTTCCAGCAAATTCGTATTTGTTGGGAGGATTAAAAAATGTTGAACTACAGAGTTCGGGAAGCGGCTGACCGAAACCGGTCTAATCGAATATGTTTCATCGAGAGAAGCAGCAGGAAAGAGAAATTAGAAGAACATCTTGTGCTTCGTCTCTGCGGTTTGACGGAACTTTTCCCGAGCGGCCTGCTCTGTGCCTCCTCCACTGGTATTAGGTAATCCAACAGTTGGGCCGCGTTCCTGTCCCATAGCATCCAAGGCTTCCAACGCACTTCCGTTGCGAATGTCAACAGGTAGCGGTGGATTCTTGAATTGCATTCCAAGGAGTTTCTGAACTTCATGACAGAAACTGACCAAGTTCCCACGACTATCATAGATGGCTCCGGGATTTTGCCACGCTTCTCGGTGTTGGACTACGAGTTCAATTAGAATATACCCCTTCTCAGTATAGACACCCAAGACACGCAAGGCGTTAAAGGCAAGCCATTCCCGAGGCCGGGCCTTCATGTACTCTTCAAGGGCTCCGCGGAACAATGTCAGTGTTTCATACTTGGTCTCGATGGGGAAATACAAATTGATGACAAATCGGGCATTCGGACTTCGTGCCCAATTGACAATGCGGCTGGAAGCCAATTCTCCATTTGCTACGGATGCAGTTTCCATGGTGGGTAACCATGTAATTGTAGTTTCAAAAAGGGTAACGTTTTGCACAAACCATCCAATATTTCCCATCAAGCCTGGTTCAGCTTGGATATTGGTAGCACAGATCAAGTCTCCAATGTTGTATGGACGGCGGAGAAGAATGAACAAGATACCTTCAAAGTACTTGGAAGCAGCAGGCCCAATCACAAAGGCGAACGCTAGAAGCACACTCGATAGAGAAAGGAACATTGCCATCGGATCGAGTCCAAGCTGCGACATGATGATCACGACCACAAGTACGTAGAAGATCGTATTGAAAATGGCATCAAAAGCTCGATCGATCTGAGCTGAGTTTTCGATGGACGCTTGGAGAAGACGAAACTCCTTATACACGGCATCGACACTCTTGGCAAAATCAAGCACTGAGAGGCTTCCGTCCCGATTTGGACGGAAGACTCGAATGAGACTTTTCACCCGCTCTGGATTTAGCATGTGGCCTTCTCGAACTGCTAGCGACGCTGCGATGGTTTCGAACTCGACATCAGTTTCGCCTTGTGCTAGTAGCTGCTTGAAGACATTTTGGGCGGATTCCACACATTCGTTGCGATTACTGGCAGGGCCAAATGCAAACGAAAAAGGGTAGTCATTGTGAATGAGAGCCAGTGCATTCCGAAAGCGCAAAACGGCTGCAATCGAAGCTTTCTTGTGTCCAGTAGACCGCCTTTCTGGTTCCTCCCAACGATCTAACATCTGAGCCAGTTTGTGCTTTTCCGATTCCAAAAGATCAAGAGCCTTTCCGTTTCTTGCACTGCTCCCGTCGTCGTCTTGGTTCAGCATATCCTGATAAGCGGTCATGTCGGTACTTCCTCGTTGCAATGTTCTTTGCTTTGCAAGCTTGGCTACTTGACTGACGAGCAACATTTTGTCCATCACCTTTGCAAGTGATTCACCGAAATGCACTATCGGTCATAAAGGAGCAATAAAGTGAATGAGCGTGTTTCAGTGGTGAACAACGTAGAGCACAATGACCATCAACTTACAAAATGATTTGCGACCTAAAAAGAGACCTACAACCACACGCTTCACAGAAACAGCGACTGGGACCGTCGCGCCTATTGTCAAAACGGCCCTGTATATATCACTATAGATGATGCCTCCAGCAGGATTGGTTTCGCTGAAGAGCGGAACAGTATCTTGCCAGAATAACCAATGGGCAGCAAATGCGCTCTGACCATACAACATGCCGAAATTGAGAATGGACCACATAAAAATGACAAATGGCCATCCTTGGGATTGGACAATCCAAAGGGTAAACAGTGGTCCCACTAGGCGTGGAATGATACGCGTTTGGACACACAGTAGGTCAATCACCAATGCTTGAATCGCCAACGCAATTGTCAAAGTGACCGATAGTCGAACCACAAACAATATTACCCATGACACACTTTGTCCTTCGCTGCTGCTGGTGGTGGGATTGTCCAAAAAGTAATATAGTAAACCAGCAACTCCAACCAACGGCAAGACAATGTACAGCATGATTTTGATGTACTTCTTGATGGTGGCTTGTTGCGGACGAAAAAAATATTTCCATGATGCCACATCGCTCTTGACTTTTTCTGTCATATTAGAAAGAGGCGAATTGTACGGGTTGCTTCCCTTCATACCACTTGAATCGGATTCAGTGCGCTGGGGTGCATCTTTGAAAGATTTTCTGCCTGCCTCCTGAGGCATATTGTGTGATGCTTTTCCAGCTTCAAGATCAACCGCGACATCATTCGTCACAGGATCCAATGTTGGCTTATCCCGAGAAAACAAGCGGCCGCGCCCTTTTCCAGTTGTCTGTGCAAAATCAGCTGACCCGAAAGCTAACTGTGTGTTTCGATCAAACTCCGAATGCGATGCAATGGCTGGCGTTTGATCTGGACCCGCATGGAATCCATGGTCGACCATCTGGTCAGCCAAATCGGCTAGCTGGTCGTCGACAGTCATTGCACGTCGATGGTTTGGCCTCGAGCTCAAGAGTGGCTTCCGATCTTGCGTACGAGTAGTAGCGTGACCGGTGGCTGATGGCTTCAGCAATGCGCTAGAGTCCTCCATCGCCCTACTAGCTTCGTCGGAAACGCCTTCCAATATAGATGTTTCAAACGCCTGAGATGAGTCAAACTGTTCTTCGAGTGTCTTCAGAATGTGAGTTGTGGCTTCATGCTCGTACTGATTGTTCTGTAAGAGGTTGTCCAAGGTGATCTTCTGGTTCTCACTCGAGCTCATACGATTGTGCTCCATACATAGACGGGCACTGTCTGCAAGTGATTGCTTTGCATCACTTCCAATCGAGATACCTCTCTTCAATGGATGTTTTGCAGTCGATGCCGATGCTTGCGGCGGATCAAAGACGATAGGATCCGAGGACAAGTTGCTGATTCCACGATGATGGCCATCCGCATTTTGGTTTTTGGCTCGGAGAGTGTCGTCGGCATTCTCTGATACATCATCCATGACGGCAATCGTTTTTGGTATTTCTTCCATGTTCAAATGTTGTCGGTGTAGTTTGTGAGTAAAATGAAATTGTGGTCGTTTTTTGGGCACGAATCAATATGAGGGTGACGGCGGATATTCGCTTCTGGTCGGAAGGATGATCCGAAGGGTCGGAGATTTTAAGCCAATCAAATAGGTTAGATGGTCGACGTCATTTGAGTGAGAGTCATGTGTAAAACTCTTAGGGAGTGTTACTCCGAATTGAGGCGCAAGTAGCAGTACGACAGTACACCTGATAAATGATCATCGGGCAGGTAAATATATATAGGGCAACCAGATACTTATGACAGTTGAGAGCAGATAGCGCAATGAGATCTCACAAAGGAAAGCATCATCATCATTTGCTATTGTACCGCATATGACAGTACTGTACCATCTTTTTTAAAATAATGGTAGGGGATGCTGCAACTAACACATGCTCGCAACAGGGGTTGCTGCAGCTTTAGAAAAGAGCGTTCTGGGCTCTGTTTGGCTATCCCGGTATGATTTGACACTAAAAATACTTTTGTAACCAGCAAATGTATGGACATGACTAGGGATTTCCTCCACTGTAGATTGCAATGGATGGTAGACGAAGGTCGAATGTTCTACATACTACTCGACGTAGCAAGCGAATTCAGTTGAATTGATATTGAATTTGTTTCTACCAATGGTTTTCTTGAAAGCGGTACAGTATTGAATGGCAAAGTTTCACGAATTAGAAGAACATCTTGTGCTTCGTCTCTGCGGTTTGACGGAACCTTGCCCGAGCGGCCTGCTCTGTGCCTCCATCATTGTTGTCGGGGGCTCCAATAGTTGGACCGCGCTCCTGTCCCATAGCATCCAAGGCTTCCAACGCACTTCCGTTGCGAATGTCAACAGGTAGCGGTGGTTTCTTGAATTGCATTCCAAGAAGTTTCTGCACTTCATTACAGAAACTGACCAAGTTCCCACGACTATCATAGACAGCTCCCGCGTTTTGCCAGGCTTCTCGATGCTGGACGACGAGTTCCATTAGAATATACCCCTTCTCAGTATAGACACCCAAGACACGCAAGGCGTTAAAGGCAAGCCATTCCCGAGGTCGGGCCTTCATATACTCTTCAAGGGCTCCGCGGAACAATGTCAGTGTCTCATACTTGGTCTCGATGGGGAAATACAAATTGATGACAAATCGGGCATTCGGACTTCGTGCCCAATTGACAATGCGACTGGAAGCTAACGCTCCATTTGCCACGGATGCAGTTTCCATTGTTGGTAACCATGTAATGGTGGTTTCAAAAAGGGTAACGTTTTGGACATACCATCCAATATTTCCCATCAAGCCTGGTTCAGCCTGGAGGTTGGTTGCACAGATCAAGTCTCCAATGTTGTATGGACGGCGGAGAAGAATGAACAAGATACCTTCAAAGTACTTGGAAGCAGCAGGCCCAATCACAAAGGCGAACGCTAGAAGCACACTCGATAGAGAAAGGAACATTGCCATCGGATCGAGTCCAAGCTGCGACATGATGATTACGACCACAAGTACGTAGAAGATGGTATCAAAGATTGCATCAAAGGCTCGATCGATCTGAGCTGAGTTTTCGATGGACGCTTGGAGAAGACGGAACTCCTTATACACGGCATCGACACTCTTGACAAAATCAAGCACCGACAGGGTTCCATCCCGATTTGGACGGAAGACTCGAATGAGACTTTTCACCCGCTCTGGACTCAGAAGGTGGCCTTCTCTAACTGCTAACGACGCTGCGATGGTTTCGAACTCGACATTAGTCTCGCCTTGCGCTAGTAGCTGCTTGAAGACATTTTGGGCGGATTCCACACATTCGTTGCGATTACTGGCAGGGCCAAATGCAAACGAAAAAGGGTAGTCGTTGTGAATGAGAGCCAGTGCATTCCGAAAGCGCAAAACGGCTGCAATCGAAGCTTTCTTGTGTCCAGTAGACCGCCTTTCTGGTTCCTCCCAACGATCTAACATCTGAGCCAGTTTGTGTTTTTCTGATTCCACGAGTTCAAGAGCCTTTCCGTTTCTTGTACTGCTTCCGTCGTCGTCTTGGTTCAGCATATCCTGATATGCAGTCATGTCGGTACTTCCTCTTTGCAATGTCCTTTGCCTTGCAAGCTTGGCGACTTGACTGACGAGCAACATTTTGTCCATCACCTTTGCAAGTGATTCACCGAAATGCACTATCGGGTCATCAATGCGATCGTAAAGGAGCAATAAAGTGAGCGTGTTTCAGTGGCGAACAACGTAGAGCACAATGACCATCAACTTACAAAATGATTTGCGACCTAAAAAGAGGCCCACAGCCAAACGTTTCACAGAAACAGCGACTGGGACCGTCGCACCTATTGTCAGAATAATCCTGTACATATCACTGTAAACAACGTCACCAGCAGGATTGGCCTCACTAAAGAGCGGAACAGTATCTTGCCAGAATAACCAATGGGCAGCAAATGCGCTCTGACCATACAACATGCCGAAATTGAGAATGGACCACATAAAAATGACAAATGGCCATCCTTGGGATTGGACAATCCAAAGGGTAAACAGTGGTCCCACTAGGCGTGGAATGATACGCGTTTGGACACACAGTAGGTCAATCACCAATGCTTGAATCGCCAACGCAATTGTCAAAGTGACCGATAGTCGAACCACAAACAATATTACCCATGACACACTTTGTCCTTCGCTGCTGCTGGTGGTGGGATTGTCCAAAAAGTAATATAGTAAACCAGCAACTCCAACCAACGGCAAGACAATGTACAGCATGATTTTGATGTACTTCTTGATGGTAGCTTGTTGCGGACGGCACAAATATTTCCAGGATGCCACATCGCTCTTGACTTTTTCTGTCATATTAGAAAGAGGCGAATTGTACGGGTTGCTTCCCTTCATACCACTTGAATCGGATTCAGTGCGCTGCGTTAAATCTTTGAAAGAGTTTTTGCTTGTTGCTTGAGGAGGATTCTGGGATCCAGCTTCAAGATCAACAATTTCATCATCGCTGGATTGTTTTTCTTGATTCATGATTTCAGAAGTACTGCCTTCCACAACAGGTTCCAATACGGGCTTGTCTCCAGAAAACAGGCGGTCGCGTCCCTTTTCAATTGTCGGTGTAACACCAGCCGCCCCGAAAGCCAATTGTGTGTTCAGATCAAACTCCGAATGCGATGCAATGGCTGGAGTTTGATCTGGACCCACATGGAATCCATGGTCGACCATCTGGTCAGCCAAATCGGCTAGCTGGTCGTCGACAGTCATTGCACGTCGATGGTTTGGTCTCGAGCTCAAGAGTGGCTTCCGATCTTGGGTGCGAGTAGTAGCGTGACCGGTGGTCGATAGCTTCTGCGCTGAGCTAGATTCTTCCAACGCCTTGCTGGCGTCGTCGGAAATGCCCTCTAATACAGATGTTTCAAACGCCTGGGACGAGTCAAGCTGTTCTTCGAGGGTCTTCAGAATGTGAGTTGTGGCCTCGTGCTCGTATTGATTATTCTGTAAGAGGTTGTCCAGTGTGATCTTCTGGTTCTCACTTGTGTTGACACGATTGTGTTCTATACGCAAACGTGCAGCTTCGGCAAGTGATTGCTTTGCATCACTTTCAATCGAGATACCTCTCTTCAATGGATGTTTTGCAGTCGCTGCCGATGCTTGCAGTGGATCAAAGACGATAGGATCCGAGGACAAGTTGCTGATTCCACGACGATGACCATCCGCATTTTGTTTTTTGGCTCGGAGAGTGTCGTCGGCATTCTCTGATACATCATCCATGACGGCAATGGTTTTTGGTACCTCTTCCATGTTCAAATTTGTTTGATGTATTTTCGTTCAATTGTGAATTGTGAGCTTCCAATGACTTGTGAGAAAATGGATTTTATCAAGTTTGGTGCACCTTTTTTATGCACGAACGAAAACTATGAGCGTGACGGTGGCTATTCGCTTCTGGTCGGAAGGATGATCGGAATGGTCGGAGATTTTTAGCCAATAAAATAGGCCAGCTTGATGACGTAGTGCGACTAATGGGTAATGATGTTACCTGTTACTCCGAATTGAGGAGCAAGTACGAGGTACTACACCACTTGTGAGCAGCTATTACGGAATGGTCCCACGAAGAAAGTATCATTTGCTGCTATCTAGATGATTTATGAACTTTAAAAATGGATATCAGCACTTGACTATGGATTTCCTCTAGAATGCGATGGTAGCCGATACAATAATTCTGGGAGACTTTCCTACAAGTGTTCTGCTACTTGTAGCAGGCGTTGCATTGATACGTTTTCTATTGGTTTTCTTGAAATCGCTACAGTGTTGTATTGAATGACATAGTTTCGCCAATTAGAAGAACATCTTGTGCTTGGTCTCAGCGGTTTGACGGAACTTTGCCCGAGCGGCCTGCTCTGTGCCTCCTCCATTGTTGTCGGGGGCTCCAATAGTTGGACCGCGCTCTTGTCCCATAGCATCCAAGGCTTCCAACGCAGCTCCATTGCGGATATCGACAGGCAGCGGTGGTTTCTTGAATTGCATTCCAAGAAGTTTCTGAATTTCATTACAGAAACTGACCAAGTTCCCACGACTATCATACACGGCTCCCGCATTTTGCCAGAATTCTCGATGCTGGACGACGAGTTCCATTTGTATGTAACCCTTGTCTGTAAAGACATTCAAGACACGCAAGGCGTTAAAGGCAAGCCATTCTCGAGGTCGGGCCTTCATATACTCTTCAATGGCACCACGGAACAGTGTCAGAGTTTCGTACTTGGTTTCAATGGGGAAATACAAGAAGATGACGAATCGGGCATTCGGACTTCGTGCCCAATTGACGATTCGACTGGAAGCCAATGCTCCATTCGCCACGGATGCAGTTTCCATGGTCGGTAACCAGGTAATGGTCGTTTCAAAAAGGGTAACGTTTTGGACATACCATCCAATATTTCCCATCAAGCCTGGTTCAACCTGGATATTGGTAGCACAGATCAAGTCTCCAATGTTGTATGGACGTCGAAGAAGAATGAACAAAATTCCTTCAAAGTACTTGGAAGCGGCAGAACCAATCACAAAGGCGAACGCCAGAAAAACGCTGGATAGCGACAGAAATAATGCCATTGGATCAAGTCCGAGCTGCGACATGATGACTACGACCACGATTGCGTAGAAGATGGTATTAAAGATTGCATCAAAAGCAAGATCGATCTGAGCTGAGTTTTCGATGGACGCTTGGAGAAGACGAAACTCCTTGTACACGGCATCGACACTCTTGACAAAATCAAGCACTGACAGGGTTCCATCCCGATTTGGACGGAACACTCGAATGAGATTTTTCACCCGCTCTGGATTCAGATAACCGCCGTCTCTCACGGCTAGAGACGACGCGATGGTTTCGAACTCGACATCAGTTTCGCCTTCTGACAGTAGATGTTTGAAGACAATTTGAGCGGATTCTACACATTCGTAGCGCTTATTGGCAAGGCCAAATGCAAACGAAAAAGGATAGTCGTTATGAATGAGGGCAAGAGCATTCCGAAATCGCAACACGGCTGCAATTGATGCTTTCTTGTGTGCAGTAGACCTCCTTTCTGGTTCCTCCCATTGATCCAACATTTGAGCCAACTTATTCTTTTCCGATTCTACCAGACCAAGCACAGTGCCGGTTCTTGTACTGCTTCCATCGTCTTGATCAAATATGTCCTGATAGGCAGCCATGCCTTTTTTTTTGGGCTGACCGGGTGTTCCGAGTGCGACATTTCTTCGGTGCAACAACATTCTTTGCTTTTCCATTCGACTTGCAAGCTTGGCTACTTGACTGATGAGCAACATTTTGTCCATCACCTTTGCAAGTCTTTCACCGAAATGCACTATATCAAAATGTCAAGAGTAAGCGTACGTAGAGTATTATTAATCAAGTGAGTTCGATTCCGATTACAATCAAAAAGTACCGCACACATATTCCATAGACTTACAAAATGATTGGCGTCCCAAGAAGAGACCTACTGCCAAACGCTTTACAGAAACAGCAACGGGAACGGTTGCGCAGATCGTCAATATGACCCTGTATAAATCACTACTAACCACATTGCCAGCAGGATTGGCCTCACTAAAGAGCGGAATAGTATCTTGCCAGAACAACCAATGTTCGGCAAATGCGCTCTGACCATACAACATGCCGAAATTGAGAATGGACCACATAAAAATGACAAATGGCCATCCTTGGGATTGGACAATCCAAAGGGTAAACAGTGGTCCCACTAGGCGTGGAATGATACGTGTTTGGACACACAGTAGGTCGATGACCAATGCTTGGACCGCCAACGCAAGTGTCAAAGTGACCCATAGACGAACGACAAATATCAGGATCCATGATACACTTTGTCCTTCGCTGGTGGTGGTGGTGGGATTGTCCAAAAAGTAAAACAATAAGCCAGCAACTCCAACAAGTGGCAGGGCAATGTACAACATGAGTTTGATGTACTTCTTGAGGGTGGCCTGTTGCGGACGAAAGAATGACCCCCAGGATGCCACGTCGTTCTTGACTTTGTCGGTCATATCTGAAAGAGACGAGCGGTTACGATTGCGATTGGATGGAGAGTTTTTGGCTGCCTCTTGAGGAGGCAGATTCTGTGATGTCTTTGGAGTTTCAAGATCGACAACTCCGTCAAAGCTTGCTTGGTTATCTTGATGATGAGGATTCATGAGTTCAGAAGGACTGCCTTCGTCAACAGGAGGCAGAAATGTGGGATGGTTGTCTCCTGAAAACAAGCGGTCGCGTAGTACTGCACCGGTACCATTGCCTCCTCCTTTTTTTTCAGGTGACTGTAATACAAAATCAGGTGCCCCAAATGCCAACTGTGCATTCCTATCAAATTCCGAATGTGGTGCAACGGGTGGAGTTGAATTTGGACCGACATGGAAACCATGATCGATTAGCTGGTCTGCCAGGTTGGCGAGCTGATCGTCGATACTCATCACACGATGATGTCTTCGCTTGGGGCTCATGACTTGCTTTCGCTCTGTTTGTTGGTCCTCTGACCGCCGAGAAGTAGAGTGACTGCTCGGTCGCTTTGTCCCAGAGTTGCTTTCTTCCAAAGCCTTGCTGGCATCGTCCGAAACGCTCTCCAGTATGGTATTTTCAAAGGCCTGGGTTGAGCCGAGCTGATCTTCGAGAGCCGTTAGAATGTGAGTTGTGGCTTCGTGCTCGTAGTGACTGTTCTGCAAGAGACTGTCCAAGGTAATCTTCTGCGTTTCGCTTTCTTCCGTACGATTGTGTTCCATACGCAGCCGTGCCGCTTCGGCAAGCGTTTGCTTGGCATCACTTTCCATGGAAATCCCCCGCTTCAAAGGATGATGATGCTGCCCAGCAGTCGATGTCGAGTTTTGCTGTGGCGGATCAAAGAGATCCGATAAGTTACTGTTTCCCCTACGGTGTCCACCATGTATGTTGCTGGATTGCAGTGTGTCGTCGTTGGCATGTGCACCTTCCATGACGGCGATGGTTTTTGGTACCTCTTCCATCGTTCTAATATTACTGTACCGGAACCAATCCAGATAAAATGATTTTTAAAAATATCTTTTGATGGGTTATTGCATTGATGTGTGATTTGTGATTTTGGAATTGATGGTCACTGGAGAAAGAGGCGACGTGGCTTTCATTATTCGGCATGGATAAAAGAACTTTTATCTTCGCTTTCTGATCGGAATTGTGTCAGTTTCTGATCGGGTTTGTGAAAAAGAGTCAGTGAGCGGGTCAGTCACTAGCAAACGACCATGAATGATGATGCCATCATTGGCATCGTTGGTGCCTTCTTTGTGTACTCCGAAAAATTCCAGGAGAAAACATTGTGGGAAGTCTCACAAAGGATCACAAGAACCAATGAGGCATCATTTTGTTGCAACGGCACGGACGAATGAGTCTCTGAAATGAAATGATGTTTGATGGAGATTGATTGATCCATTCGATTCATTCGTTCCAAGGTTCATCATTCGAACGAGTCAGTCCATTCGGTCTGTCATTTTTCATTTCAAATTTTTCAAAACAGTTTTCGCACACATATTTGAACATGCAGAAAATCACATCATCAGCAATATGATGTTGAAATTCTTGTAGACTTTCCGACAATAAACACGCTTGACGACACACCGAAGCATGCGGATTCGAGTGAAATATGGCTCATCATCATCTCGAAATAAGAAAAGAAAGAATAATGATGGACTGGCCAAGTTCCTTCTTCCTCTTTTGAGTATTATAACGATGATTGCCATCATGTCATCTTTTCCCGGGTCCACATCATCGTTTTACATTCTCACAGACGGAATTATTGCCAATAAGCAGCTAAATCCATATATACGGAATCTTACTTTGGATCTGCAGTCTTGTTCCAATGGATGGTGCGTCGATACGGAATTTCGAACCCCTCGGTACGCTGCTGCTGGTCCATCAGTAGCACCATTATTATTGCCCCAAACAGTACATGCAGTTCCACGCTACACGCATCAAGGGTTCGAAAAGTGTTTTGCGAATAAAGTGGTGGTGGTCATTGGAGATTCCAGGCTTCGTTATCAATTTCTGAATCTTGCAGCTTTTGTCAAATACAGCAAGTTTATGAAATGTCAAGACTATCATGGTGGGCAAGCAGAAGTAGAAAGAGTCGACGAATCCTGTTTTCTGATTGATCGCGAGTCATCCATATCGAATACGGAGGAATCCATCGATTGGACCTTGTGGTACCAAGAAACTACATTGGAGTTACAGGAGGGATCCAAACAACAAAGTTTATGTGATTGCTTTCGACACAATCCCTTTGCGGTTCGGAATGTTTATGAAAATCGGTACATTCAGCGGAGCACGGACTTTGGGACTATTCATCTAGTCTACTTGCAAACCTTTGCGAATCTGGTTCGCATTGACCAGAAATTTCCTCCTTATGATTCCTATGCTCCCCGTGAGTCACGATGCAAGGTTGGAGAGTGTGGGGTAGGAAATCGGACCAATGCGTTTGAAGGCACGGTCGAAAAGACCTTGTGGGAAGTGGTTCCAAAGCTAAATGCGACCCACGCGTTTGTCAGCATGGGCTGGGAGGACAACTGGGAGAAAATATCGGATTTGGCCTGCGTCATTCGAGACTTTCAACAATTCTATCCCAACATTCGAGTATTCCTAACGATCAACCCACCCATTCGAGCCAATTTGACACGAGACTTTGATGATCTCAAGTGCAAAGTCGACATTTACGACAGGGATACCATGAGCAAGAATGTTCCAACAAATTGGTATTGGGATGATACTCATGCTTTGAGCATTTTGAATGAAGAATACAACCATCAGATGATGGAGAAAGTGTGTCCGATTGTATAGCGACGAGTGTGGCCAAGAATGACCGACAAGATCATTGATCAGAGTTTGATGCTCGAAGCAGCTGAAACAAATACTTGAGAGTTAGCAAATGTTCCGAAGGAGCGAGCCCACATTTTGATCTCGGTTATCGTGAGTTCTGCTCGCTCGAAGTGCAATCAACGGTCATACGAAATATTTCAATTCAATCCGTGTCGACCAGCGACAATGCCCATGAGGGAGAACGAATATCAGTCCTTGCCGAAATTCTACCTAGACATGGAATGCAGTCAACATCTTATGAACGAGCTTGCCATGTCTATCGCAGCCAATATGTACCGTACAAATTTCACCAACTTTAGAACTACGGATATTGTACTATTTACGCAAGCTGGCAGCTGGATCAAAGCCATTGCTTTGCCCTTTCGCGAGAAGGAAGTTCAATCATTCATTTTGCTTAGATACCATATGCAGGCCACCAGATGTCACTATTTTCATCGATAGTATCAAACACCTGCAACAAATCTATATGACTTGGACGACTTGCATTGACGATTGTTGTTCATACACACACTCATGGGCACGTTTATTTTGTTTTGAAATGACCGCAATCTTTGAACGAATGCACTTTTAATGGAAATGAAATGTGTTGGGCTCTGAAATACGTAGCTATAGAATCAATCTTTCTGCGTCGAGTGAACCATCTGCGGGTGATCAAACTTCCTTATTTCAGTATGGCAACACGAGGAACGAATGAGAGATTCTTTTGAGCTCTGTTGGAACTTCCCTCTAGAAGTAAAATCTATCGGTCTTACGATCGCTTGTGTGCTAATATTCCGTAGCACTGTACTTTCTACTCGCTCTCGTTGTCATACAGAACAGCATCTGGTATCTTGCTATGACTGCATTCAGCTCACTTCTCCACATGTATTGATCGTGCTTTCCTCTGATCAATACCTCTCACATGATTGTTAGACATTGTTCAATCGCACCCTCATTGCTTGTCCCCGCTTCTCATGAACAACCGCGCTTATTCTCCGCTGTCCATTTACACTTTCTCCATTCTCCACATTTCCCAAAAATGCAGCTCGGCTTGAACTTTTCCCTTGACAGTAATGTAATTCTTCATATCCCCTCACTCATCCTTTTTCATTTTCCTTTACCCTTTCTGGAAAGCCTAAATGTGGATACTTCTTGCTACCGGTACCTACGCATCCTGTTGCTTTCGATAGGCTGCGCATTCAGTTATTAATTGTGAGATGGCCGCAATCTTGGAGCGAATGCTCGCAGTGGAAGTGGGATGTGTTGGGCCACGTCTCGGACATATTTTATATTATATAACCAAACAATACTGTATGCAATCGTAATAAAAATGAACATTAATGACTTCTTATACACTTTTGTTGTGTTGCGATAAGTATTTTGTACCGCGGCACCAAAATGAAATGATTTGGGCCAAGCGTATGTCTCCCACGTGCTCAAACTCCCATTCTCACAACGGCAGATTTTGAGCTTCCATACACAACAGTACAGTATGGCACTCGCAGTTTAATAATTCCATTTTTCTTCACCATGAGAAATCATCTTCTTCTTGCCCTGTCATGTTTTTTTTTCCTTCTTGGAAGGTCTAATGCAGAATCTAGAGGACGCCCTTGCACCAAGAATGACGACTGTGAATTGTCGAATTCTATTTGTGTGGAAAACTTGTGCATCAACAAGTTTTACAGAGATGGTTGTTTGAAGTCATATGTGCCGAATTGGACAAAGATCAGAGTTTGCAACTCGGATGATCCACCCGAGGCCGAAGATATGGGATTTTGTAGACAATCGAAATTCGATTACATGGAAATCCGGGCGCTGGCACAAGACTGGGAGACCTCATGGTTTTCGACTTGGATTCTTCAAATCCTTTTGGTAAGTCAATCGTCTCTGTACTCTAACTATACGATGGCAATACTGACACTGATCATTCTTCTCACCACCTACAATACAGAGCGAGATACTTGATGTTCCGGTTTCTGTTGAAACTGGTGGACCGAACATGAATGCTGACTTTTATGGGCGAAACTTGCACATCGACTCTGGTATTTTTGAACCCAATTTCCTGGAGCTTGATTCAGGCGCTCAGAACATTGATTGCAGAAAGGTGAAAAATAGTGATCCCGAGAACTATGAGTCATGTGCTCAGATTATTCTGGAAACCTGGAATTCCAACGAGTTGAGCATCCAACCAGACATTGAGAACCCCAGAGATCTTGGTGCTTTAGGGGCCGTTCAATGGTTCGTACCCCGTTTCACAGCCGAGAAGGACCCGAGTCTTCTATCGTACATCGGACTGTCTGGTGAAGACAAACGGCGAAAACTAGCTGAAACCTTCAAGAGACCAACCTCGTGGACCTCGTACTGCCAAGAAGTTTCAGGAAATAACTGTACGATCGACGATGGTGTTGCTACACGTGCTCCCCTCAACGAAGAAGAAGGGACGAGATTCTTTTCGGAAGGGCTTTACATTGGTCACTTCCGAGCGACGGATGAGAACGACTGCGACAGATTCCCCAACACCTGCACTGGTCATTTTGCAGATTTTCCTTGCGATTGGACTGTAAGTGTCATCGCGCCAGTTTCTTTGCAACTGATGAAGGGAGAAGCAAGCTTTCTCACCATCATTTGTGTTGTTGTTGAATCGGTTTTTATAGAGCAACTTCAGGCAACAGGCATATCATCTTGGCATACCTCTGAAGAGCAGTGGATCCGGACCAAAAGGATACAAATACGGCGACCTGGCGCAGATATGGGCTGCCGCCAATGCGACGAAGAGTGACGTGATGATGCTCTGGTGGCATCCAGACTCTCTCTATGAACAATATAGTAAGTGATTTGCAATGTTGCGTCAATAACTGAAATTCTGGCCATGCCTTCTTATCGTTTTCCTTCCACGCAGTCGAAACCGACGCCGAATTCACGAGAGTCGTCCTACCACCTCCAACCCAAGAATGCGTCGATAATCGAGCAGATTACGCGAGTTTATGTGGAACAAATGAAATGGCCAAGGTTGGTACAGCCAAAGGTGCATGCGACACGTATGCGCAATCTTTAAAGAAGCTCATAGCTTCCACTCTCAGGGATGCTACGTTTGATTCAGCAACACCAGAGGCTTTGTGGAGCCCTGCATACGATGTAATTTCAAATTTCCAAATCTCAAGTTTGCAATATGGAGAAATATTCCAGAATAGGTTTCAGCTGGGTGGAGGGGACGTGTGGAACCTCGATAATTCAAGGGATGCGACATGTCGATGGGTCGTTGATAATTTGGACTACATAGAATCATTCATTCCAGACACATATCCTCGAGTATTACGGGAGGAAACAGATCAAGGCAATTTGTTCCTAGGCTTCGGTGTTGGACTCGCGTCACTTGCCATCGTTCTGGTCCTAATCGCACTGGGAGTTACGTGCGTGAGAAGGGATACCAAGGCAATGTACATTATTCAGCCGCAGATCTTGCTTACATTACTCTTTGGACTACTACTTGTGGCTGCTGGGGCGTTGGTTTTATCATTGAATCCAACCGACGCTACCTGCGTTACAACGATGTGGTTAACCGATATCGGAAATGTGTTTGTCTTGACACCAATGGCGATGAGAGTGTACACTATTAACAAAGCGGCAGGAAGTGGAAAGCGTATGCAGAGGGTCCGGATTCCTGCGAAAGCATTCTACCGAGTCCTTGGATGCTTTCTGTGGTGTATCGTTCTTTTCTTGAGCGCTTGGACAGTGTTGGATGCCCCAGATGAGACTCTTCATTTCGATCTCACAAACGAAAAGACTGCGGATGATGAAATTATTGTGTACTTTTCAGACTGGTGCAGTTCCAACAGCAATCTTTGGGCGTTGGTCAGCCTTCTTTGGAAGGCAATGATATTGTTGCCTGCCATCGTCGTAACCGGTGTTACAAGCCGGGTCGATGACATCAATGGCACACGGGGGTTGGGTTTCACGCTTATTGTGCGCTCTTTCTTTCTTGTTGTACAGGCATCTATACTTGCTACCATTGATGGGGAAAGGGGTTCCGCGTCCATGGCATACATCAGTTATATTCTGAGTGCTGACACTATCGCGACTACTCTACTTTTCGTGGTTCCAAAGTTCATGACAGATAACGAAATCATCCAGGATGAAATCCCTCCTGATTTGTTTTTGAACACCACCGTCATGATTGCCGACATTTACGGCTTCACTGCCTGGACTTCCGTGAGGGAGCCCGTTCAAGTTTTCAAATTTTTAGAAACATTGTACGAAAGGTTCGATTCGATTGCTGATCGTCATGGTATCTTCAAGGTCGATACAACTGGGGAGCACTACGGTAAGTCGGCCATCGTTTTTTCTTCCTTCCGCTCTCTTTGGTAGGCGTATTCTAAGCATGGCCCTTTCTTTATTAAAAAGTGGCCGCATCAGGACTTCCAGAAGCAAGGGCTGATCATGCAATCGTAATGGCAAGATTTGGATCCGAATGTCTAAAAACGATGGAGTCCATCACTAAACAGTTGGAGATGAAGTTTGGTCCGGGCACGGGAGACTTGACACTCCGTATTGGTATGCACAGTGGTCCCGTTACAGGTGGCTTCATGAGGGGAAAGAAGGGCACGTTTCAATTGTTTGGAGACACCGTCACAACTGCTGGTCTTATCCATACCTGTGGTCAAAGTAATCGAATTCACATGTCGGAGTCAATGGCACATCTATTGATCGACGGTGGCAAACGCAAATGGGTCCAGCGTTGCGAGACGAAGATCCAGACCGTTGAAAAGGGTGAACTTCAAACCTTTTGGTTGATACGAAAGGGCCAACTTGGGATGGCGGAAGGAGCCATGGAAACTCGATCCAATGCGGATACCAATACATCAGTGGAAGAATTGCTAGGTTTGGAGACGTCCGAGTTTGAGGCTTCGGGCCATCTTGACAGCCAGCAACGTTGGATCGCATGGAACACGGAGACACTGGGACAGATCCTCAAGAAAGTTGGGGCTCTTCATCAGCACCTGCAAAAACGTTCTAGTATCATCCCGCGAGCCACCCGTGCCACTGAAGACGGCAGTGACAAGTTCGATATGCCGCTGGAGGAGGTTCAAGAAATCATCGAACTACCTGCTTTTGACAAAGAGGCAACCAAAAAGCTTCGTGACTATGGCAATAAAATGGATCTGCCTTTAGAAGTCGTGGAACAGTTGAGAGAATATGTGACACATGTTGCGGGCATGTATGAAAATAATGTATGTATATGCGCAACGCTTGTTTTGGAACCTTCGCTGATTGTGATTGATGAAATTCCTCATGGCCATATTTTCTGTTCCGTCCTTTTTATATTGCAGCCATTCCATAACTTTGCTCATGCGTCGTATGTTGTAATGGCTGTTTCGAAGTATATGGCTCGGATTTTCGCAGCATCCGAAATTGATGTTGGGCATGATGAAGATAGATACCTTTCTAAAACTCATGCAGCGATTCATGACCATACCTATGGCATCACCAGTGACCCCTTGACACAATTTGCATGCCTGTTTGCTGCATTGATTCAGTAAGTGCCCTTTCCGTGACTTGTACTAACTTTTCGCGCCACAGAATCTCGACGTCTCACGAAGAATTTGTTGATATCACAGTGATGTAGATCATCCCGGTGTGACAAATGCTGTATTGATGAAGGAAAATCAAAGATTGGCCACTATCTATAAGAATCGGTCAGTCGCTGAGCAGAACTCGTTCGATATGGCATGGGATCTATTTATGGACCGACGGTTTGATGCCTTTCGTGGATTTCTGTGTGGTACGGAAAGTCGTCTTCGTCGATTCCGTCAATTGGTCATCAACTGTGTCATGGCAACCGACTTAGGAGATAAGGAATTGAAGGAACTGCGTAATGGTCGTTGGAATAAGGCCTTTCTGGAAAGTAGTGAACGGACCACATCGGAAAACATTAGCAGTTCCTTCGAGATTTCCGAGGCGGATACAGAATCATCGCAGGAGAAGAATGAGAAGAAGGGAGCAGAAGATCGACGAGTTGGGACTAATCGTAAAGCAACCATCGTCATTGAACATCTAATCCAGGCTGCAGATGTCGCCCACACTTGTCAACATTGGACGGTCTATCGTAAATGGAACGAGCGATTGTTTCAAGAATGTTATGAGGCTTATCATCATGGCCGTGTGGATAAGAATCCAGCAGACAATTGGTATCAGGGTGAAATTGGATTCTTCGATTTTTATATCATCCCGTTGTCGGAGAAACTACGTGACTGCGGCGTCTTTGGACAGACAAGTGATGAAAATTTGAACTACGCCAAAAGCAATCGTGCACTCTGGGTCCAAAATGGCGAAGCCATCGTCGAAGAAATGTTGGCAAAATACAAGCAAAAGTCATTGTCGGAATACGACGATGGCACTGATGATGACATCCCTGTTGAATTGAAACCTGGGGACGAGCCAACTGCATCACTTGAATTCTCCAACTAAATAGATGGAAAGGAATCGTTGGCGCGAAGTCTTCGCTGAAGACATTGATTGGTTCACTCCAAATTCAGCTGTGAAAGTCGTGATCGCAACCATTGAGAATGTTACCTTCGGTCTGATCAAACTCTTGGGCGAATTAAGCCTTGGGCTTCTGAATATTTCAAACCTTCTTCGAAAGACAGCTCTTTGGAATTGCTACAGATTCGCTCCCACATTTGCAAAGAACCATCGTCATTTTTCTTGATAAAAAGTAGACCAGAGCATCATCTGCTACATTCGTAGTATAGTTCAGTATTGAAATATTGCCATGAGTCTATTCGGAATCCTTCGAAAGAGCCATCGTGCTCAATCTCAATGTAGGGTGCTTTGTGTATGCTTGTTTGCTCATGTCATTTGCAAGTTCGACAGCGGTCAATCAGAAAGCCTTGTCCGCCATTGCAAGGCCAGGATTCTTTTCTTGGAAGGTTGGAGCGACACAAATCGCACAATGGTTCGTAATCGAGTGAGACCAATCTCTTGACCATTCTCCAAAGGTTTGAAAAGGCCAGATGAAACATCCTGTCGGAACGAGTAAAATGTCTTGGGACAGATTGCTTCAGTAATTGTGTTGGCCATTCGACCAACGGCTGGAATTTCGGCCATCGCCTTGAAGTGGCAAGCCTTGGGAATGAGAATGGTATGATGGAAACATTGATAAGCCAGTATGAGTTTCCGATTCGCCATGCCACAAGTATTCCATCACGTTTTCAATCACAACCCCAGCTCCACTTTGGAATCGACAGCGTCTTCGAAAGTCATTATCGTCACTAGTCTCTTGATCTTCCTTCCCAATAGTGTTCATCCTCATTTTCCACAACGCAAGCTCCATCAGTGATGTTACTTCTATTCGTATAATGCACCCGACTTTATCAAAGAAATGTTCCAGAACATCGCATCTGCTCCCAAATCCATGATCATTCTGCATCGTTTCCAACCAGAGCGAAAGTACTGCTCTCCATTTGTCGCCAAAGTCCCAGCTAGACACCCTTTCAACGACAAGTTTGTAAAGGACCATTTTGATCAGGGGAACAGCTCTTTGGGATGTATGACGCAAGATGTAATCCATCATCGTCTTGCTACGAAAATCCTGGTGCCAGATAATTTTCTCAGGACAAGAATCAATGAGACATTCCATAATGTCATGTCGAAGTGTCGTGGAAGTGGCAATGAGATGCAATGGAGTGAGACCATAGGCGTCTTCCCACAATTGAACGTTTTGGGATTGGATCATTTTAATGAGCCCTTTCTTGGTCAGAACCGGGGTACTGTGGTAGCAAACCTTGTGGATTGGTAGGCCTTCAAATCTGTCGCGCCACCTTGGCCCGCCAACCAACAAATCGCTCCCTTCGAGGATATTGTTGGATGCCGCGTAATCACAGGAGGATGGAATGGAAATGTTTACCAATGAATGGCAAAAACGGAAGCAATTGTCATCCAGCACCATGTCCGACTTGGCTGGAATCTCAACACCCAAAAGACTCTGGCAATCCGCAAAGGCACCATCTCGGACCCACTTCAGACTAATTGGAAATGCAACCGAACTCAATTCGGAACAGGCTGCAAATGCACGGACACCAATCGTTTTGATTCCATCTTGAAGATTCAATTCGATTAGTGATCGGCACGAGCCAAAGGCAAATTCCTCAATGGTCTCCACCAATCCTGGTATCGACATGGTTTGCAGGGATACACAGGAATGGAAGGCATGATGTGCGATCAGAATCAACCCCTTGGAAAGTTCAACCGACTCCAACTGGAGGCAACGATGAAAGGCCCAAGGACCAATGACTTTCAGTCGTCCTTGCTTGCCAAGTTTCACAGCAGTGAGGGATGTACAGCCGTCAAAGGCTTGTGTATCGATGAGTTCCACAGTCTCTGGTATTGCTATTGACTGTAACGATGTGCACCCTTCAAAGGTCCGATGTTTGATCGTTTCCAGTCCATCTGGAAGTTCTATTTCTTGCAACATCTTGCAGTCTCCAAAGGCGCCTGGACCAATGACCTTTAATCGTTTGTGTAAATTGACTTCGACCAACGAATGACACTCGTTAAAGGCGGAGTCGTTGATCGTCGCTAGTGACAATGGGATCGATATCCTTCGGAGTGATCTACAGTAGCAAAAGCATCCATTTCCGATGGATTCCAGGCCTGGCGGTAGCACAATATTGCGGAGTGACAGACATTGAAAAAAGGCTCCTTCCCCAATGGCTCTGAGACCCACTTCCAGGCGGACAGTACCGAGGGCAGTACATCCTTCGAAGGCAGTACATCCTTCGAAGGCTTCCATTCCAATGGTCCTGACTGATCTAGGAATGTAGACCCGGAGGAGACATTGATGACCCTTGAAAGCTCCATCTTTAATCGTGTGTACGGCAGTATCAATCATGACATACTTGGCAGTCTTGGGAAAGTGTCTTTGTCCACTGTAAATATACCATCGTTTCCCATCTTTTTGGAAAGACTTGGTAACTCCCAGCAATTCCGTTTCAGATAATATCGATGACGATTCAGCACCATGACCATCAGCAGCAGCAGCATCATCATCATCATCATTGTCGCGAAAGAGAAACCACCATCCAAGCAGAAGCAGGACTACACTGACGGCACTATACATATCATTGGTCGGTATTATTGTGCAGTACCATCAACAAGACTTTTTGCTTTGGGCTCGTCTGCACACCATATACTTGTAGAGGGTGAGAGATGAACTCCTCGCCCTGTTCGAGTAGTAGGTACGTAGGATGATCAGTGTGCGTATGTGCAATGACGAGAATGAAAGAAAAAGATGATGCGATGAGCGCGAGCGAAGGACGCACGCGATATACGCTTTACAGGTACTGCGTAGAGGTTTGTTTGGGGGCACACTTTCGGGGTCGACGGAAAGAACAGCAGGGGGTACACTGCTGACGAGAAGTTCGGGAACGAGGGAGCATTTGAGGGAACAAGGGACGTTTCGTCCAGCATTCAACCGTTTTTTCCCTTGTTTTCTCCCTTATTCCCTTTTTGCCTTGAAAACTCCCTTTTTGCCTTGAAAACTCCCTTTCTCCCTCGCTTCGAACCTCATTCCCTTGATTCTTCGCTTTTTGATCGACGTATTTTCCGCGAAAGTGATGCACATGAATAAATTGACATCGTGAAGAGGTCTTGCGAGCTCCGAATGTCTCCACCGATATCCATTGCGCAGACGTATTTATTTGATGTCTCCGTTTGAAAAGTGGAAATGGTAAGCTTGAGGCCAATGAACTCATCATCCACTGCTAGAAATTCCCTCGAACCCCTGACATTGTCTATATTATAGTCATATATATTTTGTGTATACGAAGCGACATGGAGGAATTTGCCCTATTTGCCTCTGAAATCACTGCTGAAGTACCTCCAAAAGGTCTGAAAACTACTTTTGGAGAGGTTTCGGGACGTCTACGAAGTCCCAAGGCAACATAGAGCTCGAATTTTCTGCGGAAGTTACTTCTCTTGTTATACGAAAGGCAATGATACCATTTTATGTGTTTTTATATGGGTTTCTACAGGACGATTTTCAACGGAGACCATTGAGTTGCAAATTCGTCGGTGACAATGAAATTGCACGGTCTGGACCCCATGAGCGGAGAAAGTGGAATTAGAGGTTGTGGCAAGCATAATTGATACCTGCGTTACGTCGGGAGTGGCGGTATTTATGTTGAATAATGTTTGCTGGGCCGCAATCACACAATAATCCACCATGATTGGTTCTGTTTGTTGCTTAGACTGGACGGATAGGTGTCAAGAAGACGTATTTGACGAATGCGACTCATATCTACCGTCACCATCAAGACCAAGATCTACGCAAATGTATATTTTTGGGATCTCAACTACCAAAATTGACGATTTGGAGCACATCAAGGTGCCATGGTGCGATTGTTCCCCACGTTTGGACAAGCCAGTGTGAACGCCCAGAGAAGTAAAAACCTCCGAACATGCTGTGGCAAGCGTAATTGATAGATAGACTATGGCTGGAGTGGCGATTCATACTTCCAATCGCCTCAATTACACTACAATCTACCCTGTTTCGTTCGACTGGTTCTGTCAGGTTGCAAAAACTGGTCGGCAGAAAGTCAAGAGGGCCAATGCCTCACATTCAACATGTGTTGGAAAGCTCGGCAGTGATCCTACCTACTCGGAGATCCAATCGGATGTGTTTTGTTTGGGTTACTTGCTGAGATATTGGAATTCCAGTGTTTGGTGCTGTCTGTTCCCCTTTCAGCATGAGGGTCGGTGTGGCCGCCCTGGAGACAGCCAACTATTCAACAATACACCAGAGCCTCCCTTGGATGCCTAATACTCAAATTTTCTGGGACCCAGGCAGTGGTTCCGCCTAGATTAAGAATCATGCCGCCCAAATGGGGTCAGAAATCATGGAAATCTTGTCCAAAAAGCCACTTAGTGGTGGTGTGGGCCGAATTTCCTAAAAATGACTTGTTCTAACACATATTTGTCGTCCATGGGTATGTATGAGAAGATCGGTGGCTTTGGAGTGGACGCTTTTTAGGTAAAAATGATTGAATAGCACTCACACTGCATTGAGGATCAATCCAGGTTCATTAAAGAGAGTGGCTGGAATCCTTCCCAGTAGCCGAGTCGATACCCTGACACGATGGCACCAAGTTCAAAGTTGTCAAAATACATATAGTAATCGAATTTGGGCGGTGGTTTGGAGGGCTCTGGCAAAAAAAAAAGATTCTAGGCCAGCATAATTTTTTCTTCCTTTCCTACTCCTCAATTGACTTTGTGGAATTCCTTAATATTATCGATTCTACTGAAAGAACTTTGATTCAGAGTATGCACAGATCTATTAAAGATACATAATAAAAATATCGCCCGGAAATTTATCACAAATTGTAATGGGAACAAGGTCATATGGTGCAAGAGACGAGGCCTGTTACCTCTTAGTTTCTTCCACAGGAATACAATCTAATCAAATCACAGGAGTCAATTTTTAAATCCGACTCAATCGAATGTTAACGGTTCGATTTGAAATGTATGTGCATGGGCTATGATATGGGCAGGCTTGCGTGCAATCGTACTGCAAAAATGGGTACGTACAAATGTACCGTAGGCACCAGGTACCTGGTACCAGTAGTCCTTCATCACATCTTGAAAACACTCTTATTATTTGAGTTTGGGTTGTCTTCGATGTTTGACGCTTGAAGGATCAGACCAGGACGATGTCTGGGACATGAGACGGTAAGTCAAGGATGCTTGTGGTGACTTAAATCCTGGATTGCACTAACCGCAATCATTTCACATTACTGCACAGGTACAATATAGGATGCCAGTTATTTTTAGATTTGTTTCGAGCTGTCGTCATTGGCCAGAGAAATAGAGGGAAATCCAAGTGACCAGCTGTCAAACCAGACTGGAGTCAAAAAGTGTGATTGCACACGAAGAGCTTCAGACCTGTGATCAAACAAGACTACGTGTGATCAAACAAGACTATGTGATTGTGATTGATGAACACAAGCGCAACTGAACACTTTACTGGCGGCGCAAGCATGAATGGAAACCAGGCATTCAAGGCGAAACATACACACAGTGTGATGATCTGCTGTTGAACTGAAATGAGATGTGTACTACTAGTAACAGCGAATGTAAATTAATTTTCCTTTATCATTGTTGTAATATTGCACGCACTACATAGCAAAAGGTTTGAATTCAAATGGAACCGTAGAAATAGGATGGCCAGTGCTTCTTAGTTGCGGACTATATGAGAACCGTTAAACTGGAAGGTGGTTAACAAGGGAGGACGGGAACATGGTGGTAAACGAGGGAACGAGGGATTGCTAAAATGAATATGAGATGAGGGAACGAGGGAGTGTTCGAGGGAGGGCTCCCTTGTTTGCGCCAGGGCTCCCTTGTTTGCGCCAGGATTGGTACCGATTACCCTCGTTTATCCACTCGTTCCCTCGTTTTCGACCTTTTTCGCGCAGATTGTGCGCATCGTTTGGTTTCGTTTCGTAAAAAGGGAGCGAGGGTGCGCCTTGTTCCTTCCCTTGTTTCCGCCCTCGCTCCCGAACTTCTCGTCACCAGTGTAGGAGCGGTTACCGTAATTGTGAAAGGATTATACACCTTTTTTATAGCCCTCTAGCTAGTGTCCATTCTACCGCGCGCCTCATATGAGGTATATGCGTCAAAGCCACGTTCTGACCTGGTTGTGGACAAGCCTCATTCCTACATCTGGACCTACTAGTGACCTAACATCAGATCCTACTAAAAGCTAACTAATATCGGAGCCTACCTGCTAGTAGTTCTGGAATAACTGACAGCTTCTAGGTAAAGATCCATCCACGTCGACCAGCCTCCATTCCTAGATCTCGACCGACTAGTGACAGGCGATGTAGCACCAATTCATCCTAACGGATATGCAGCCAGGAGAACCTATTTGAGGCCATACTTATGATGTAGTACTCGTCCCCAATATAACTGAATGCCTTCCAGCAGCAGAATATCCTTATCGGGACCTATTCTCCTAGACTCACCAGCAAGTCAACAACAGCAGCAACAACAACACTCATTTTCCTCCGAGTCATGCTCCGAGTCGCTCTCATCATTACTGCTGAGAAAGACGTCGTCTGTCATCTATATATGCTTGCTCCTTCGTCTAATTACGATCAATGATAACGGTCGTTGTTGTCATGCAACAGTTCCTTGAGGGGCCATTTCCGTCTAATGCAGTTTTATTTGAGGACCTTGCACTTTCCACATATTTGTTGGAGGAGCTAATTTTCCAGTCAAGGATTTCGGATGAGCAAAAGGCTTCCCTCGATTTTACCAAAATGAAAGGAGCTGCTGTGAAGGTGATCGCCCACACGACAAGAAGAAGATCCAACAAAATTCGGAATTGAAACGTGTACAGGTTCTCGCCAATAATTGGCGGGAATTGATCTAAATTGACTAGAATCTCTGAGGGTGGTCCTGTGTGATGGGTACCTGGTACTCCAAATATGTTGTTAGCGCCTGACCAGAAGCGTTCGCTTGAGCCTGAAACCGCGATGGATGCCCTACCGTGGATACACCTGCTTGTGCTCCGGCTATTTTATGTAACACATATATGTAACAAACTTCGAAAGAAAAAGGGCAAAGTTCCAGCAGCTATGGTACACGTACAGTACAAGTACTCGTACTAGTGTCTATTCTACCGCGCGTTTGCCTCATATGAGGCAGGGTGTTTGCCTCATATGAGGCAGAATATCGACAGAAAAATCGGATGTACGCACGGACCATCTTGGTACAAAATGAACACAAAAAACAACAACAACTCAAAAAAAACACTTCGACCATGACAAAACACCTACTTTTGAACACAATAGAAGTAAAA